TAAAGGGGAAGTTATGATATACTCAAAATCTGGTTTCAAGGTGAGGGCAGAGAAACAGACTAATAAAGGGGGGAGCAGGGAGTGCCTTAGGATCTTAAATACCTCGCTATTCCAGGTGTAACTTGTCCTCAACTTGCATCTGGCTTATAGGTTAATCCTTGTGTGCCCAACTCATTCATTTCCCTGTGGGGTCCTGTCAACATTCAACTGAACCTAAAAGTGTACTAGACCAGACTTGCTCTTCCCATCCCTTGTTTAGGATAATATTTTATCCTACTGTATGTGATGATTGCCACCTAATATCTGGGATATCTATGTCAGTGATTTTCCTGACAGTAAATCAAGAGAAAGAGAAAAAGTAAAAAGAGGAGGGAAAAAAAGTAAGAGAGTGGGGAATGCTTATCCATTGACTAATGATGCCAAGTTACTGTGCAATTTAGGTTTGACACAACAGTGTTGGTCTGTGAAGAGGAAAAATTAATTCAAAGGACACCTAGCAAAATCAAGAAAAAGAGAGAGGTATTAATGGAAGATAAAGGAACTGAGGTAAGGATGGCAAACCTTGCTTCTCAATCCTATAAACACTGCTTTTTGCTTTGCTCTAAGATAGTGTTGCAAGAAGCCATTAGGACATTTCATATTTCATTTTAACCACCTGAAGGAAACCTTTTAAAAGGAAGTGATGCTTTCTTTATTTTTTCCTAGTGGAATTTGAGTTTTTGTTTGTTAACCAGAATTCTTTTAGCCAGAATACTCACTCTGATGACCCTTGTACACATTGGATAGAGTTTAACTCTTTTTTAAAGATAGAGAAGGGCCCTTAGAGATCCTCTAGCCCATCTTCTGCCCAGACAGATGAAGTGATTTGCCAAGGGCACACAGGTACCGAGTGGCAGAGTTAAGACTTGCTTAGTCCTTTGCTGTTTTCACTAGCCACATTTGTCTTTCCTCTGTAATCCAATGTGAAGTCATATTAATAAGGACAAGAGCTGGAATTGCCTTTTGAATCATGAAAGGAAGATTAAATTATATTCAACATTGTTTTAGGGTTAAATATATTTTATTAGGAGCCAGTTTTTTGAAATTGGTAATATAAGAAAGCTACACATGATCTTTCTTTCACCCAGGTAACACTTATCTTTTCATCCTTCTCTCTAGTTTCAGAGAAGGAATTATAATAGTAATAATAGTTATCATTTATATATTAGGATTTACAAAGCACTTTACAAATATTATCTCATTTTATCCTTATGACCCTGGGAAGTAGGTGCTGTTATTATCTCCATTTTACAGATGAAACTTGAGGTTAAGTGACTTACCTATGGTCACACAGTTGGCAAGTATCTTGAGGCCAGATTTGAACTCAAGTCTTCCTGACTTGAGGCCCGGTGCTCTATATCTCCTGAATCACTACCACTACCACCACCACATAGTTGCCTCAGCTAGTGGGATAAGGGCTGACATAGTCTGTGTCAGGGTGGTCAGAGTGATTTTCCTCAAGTACCTTTTTCAACATGTCATTTTTCTGCTCAGAAATCTTCAGTGGCTTTGTATATCCTACTAGAATCTATATAGTTTATTTTTAGGGTTCTTCATAATTTGGTTCCATTTCTTTAACTTTCTTTCCTATTACCCACATGGAGAGCTCCTCTGCTTAGACCTGTCTTCTGATCCAGGAGCACTCATATCTGCCTATGGGCTTTCACTTACATTCCTTTACCTGAAATGCCCTTCTTTCCCCCTTTATCCACATCCTCCTTCAATGTCTTTCTCAAGTCCTGCCTTTTTGTGAAGTCTTCCTCAACTACCCCCATCTTCTTTGATTTTATTTGCCTCTGAAAACCTATAGCATTTATAGTCCATGCTGGGGACCAGGACCCCTGGGAGTCTGTAGTCTAACCCACCCCCACCCCCCAGCCAAGACCCTGACGTAACCCCAAGGGGGTCCCAGAGGGCAGGAAGATGGATCACATCGTACTATCCCAACATAGCCAATTATGGTGAAACTTGTCTTCAACACAGCTACACCTATTTTTATCCCCTAAATTCCCCCTCTCTAACTAGGTGGCGAAGTGCACAGATTGTCAGGACTGGAGTTAGGAAGATTCATCTTTCTGAGCTCAAATCTGGCCTCAGACACTTTCTAACTTCACGACCCTGGACAGGTCACTTAACCCTGCTTGCCTTAGTTTTCTTATCTGTAAAATGGGCTGGAGAAGGAAATGGCAAACTACTCCAGTATCTTGGCCAAGAAAACCCTAAATGGGGTCACGAAGAGTTGGACGTGACTGAAACAACTGAACAATAAAAAGAGTTCCCTTCCTCTGTTGTGCAGGCTACCAGCTACCCCTTTCTGGGCAGGGCTTTAGTCCCGCAGGGCTGTTAGAACCTAACCCCTCCTGGGCACCCACAGCAGTAGCAGCACAGGTGGAAAATTTGCTCTCTCCAGCGCACCCACCCTCTATCACCTAGAACACTTCATGACTTTGGCAGATATCCCTTGAGGGATGAGCTTTGCTTCTATAGCTGTGACCAGGAACTTACCTCCTTTTGTTTTGGGTGAGACAGAGCAAATCTCACAGAATGAACATAGATGGGTTGCAATAGTTCACAGATCTCATCCATCATCTCTCCCAAACACACTCCTCTCTGAACTTCCTTATTTCTGACAAAGGAAGCACCATCCTTCTGGTCACTGAGGTTGCAACCTCTGGGCCATCTTCTGGTTCCCATTCTCCCTAACCCCACATAGCCATCAGTTGTTAAATCTTGTTTTTACCGCTAATCTCTCCCATCTGTCTCCTCTCTATTTACATCCACTACCCTCCTTCCAGCAACTCTGGTGTCTTCCCTTTACCGTGAGGACAAAATATAAATTCTTCTGTTTAGCTTTTAATAGCTATACAGTCTGGCCCTAATTTACAGCTCAGTTATTCTGTCTTGTATAATTCACTAGTTTTTTTATGTGTGTTAGTCTTCTCTTCCCCAACTAGATTATGAGTTCTTTGAAGATAGGAAATCTGTCTTTATTAGGAAGAAAGGAAGGAAACAAGCACTAAGTGCTTATTATGTACCAGGCATTGTGCTAAGAAATATTCACAAATATTAACTCATTTGAGCCTTATAACCATGCCAGGCATTGTGATAAGAAATATTCACAAATGTTAACTCATTTGAACCTCATGACCATGCCAGACATTGTGATAAGAAATATTTATACATATTAACTCATTTGAGCCTCATAACCATAGGAAGTAGGTGCCATCATTATTCCCATTTTGCAGTTGAGGGAACTGAGGCATTTAGAGACTTGCTGGAAAGTGTCTTGAGGCCATCTGAACACAGTTCTTTCTGATTCCAGGCCCAGGGCTCTATCCACTGCACCACCTCGATGCTTCGCCTTAGACTTCAATATTATCTCTTATAGCACCTAACAAGACGGTGAACTCATAGTAGATGATAAGTAATTACTTTTTTTTGATTTCTAAGTTTACTGAGAAGCAGAAGAATTTAAGGAAAAGGGGCTAGCCTAGGAGTCAGGAAGAACAGGCTTCAGTTTCAGGTTCTGACACATGCTGGCTGTGCAGCTGTGGGAAAGTCACTTAATCTCTCTGTCATCCAGGCAACTCTGTAAGCATGGAAGTGCCAGAGGAATTGCAATCTGCCTTAGTGGATGGAAGTTCTCCACTGATTAAATAACAACTCTGGTGCAACAAAATCCCAAACTGCAATTTGCTGTGGAATGTTTTGAAAAGTGCCCATTAAAATTTTCTGAGTTTATGTGCAGCATTAAATAATACAACACTTACACAACCTTGATAGTTAAGTGAATCTTTTTAATATTCATTTGCTTGACTTTATTGGGCCTGAGCTATCCTGATTCATGGGTGAATGAGCAGAAATACACTTAACTCATTGTATCTTGCCAATACCTTCACATTCTATCCATCTATTGGAAATTAGAGCCTACTTAGGCATGCTGATATCTGCCCTATTCCCCCACCCCTTCCCCATCTCATTTTTTGCTCTGGTCATCCAATCACTACTGCCATTGATGCTAGAAAGGGAATGACAATTGACAGTCTTAATGGCATCACTCACAATCCTTGTGACTCCTCCCTTCCCTGGCTGTCACTCCTTAACATGTGTTGTCTCTCTTTATTAGAATGAGAATTCCTGGAGGACAGTCAATTTAGTCAACAGGTATTTAAGTGTCTACTATGTTCCAGGAGCTGTCCAAAGTATTTGGGGATACTCAAGTAACTCATGATCTAATGGGGGGAGATAACAGACAAACAACTATGTACAAACAAGCATATACAAGATAAATAGGAAATAATCAACAGAAAGAAAGCACTAGAATCAAGAAGGATCGGGAAAGGGCAGGGGCTATAGGACTTTTGTATTTCTATTACTGCCACCTAGTCCCTGTCAAATAGTAGGCACTTGTTTGTTCATTCATTTATTCTTGAATTATGTTTATAAATGCATGGTAAGAGTAAGGAATTGAGGCATTTATTTGGATTGCTTGATGCCAAATGAATTTCCTAAATTATTCTCCATATCAACAGATGTATGCAAATGCATTTACATATACATATGCATATGTATGTACACATATACACATATATACAGGGATGAAATTTGTCTTTGGAGGTGGTTTCCAAGCCAGATCCCTTGGGAAGTAAATTTTCCTGTCCTTATGTCAGCTCCCTGGGGCAAAGCCCTTTCCATCTCCAAGCTAAGTTATATGACCCTTATCTCTGGTACTACCTAAAAGCAAATAAAGAAGCCAGATGATCTCTAAGGTCCCTTCAGATTCGAAAATCCTGTGAACCTATGATCATAAGTTGTGTTGTATTTTTATCCAGATAACACCTTCCTTAATAAGGATGTCAGTGAAGGAAAGGGAAAAAGAAAAGATGAAGGAAAAAGAAAAGGAAAGGGAGAGAGAGAAGGAAAGGGAAGAAAAAGAGAGGGAGGAGAAAGAAAGAGAAAAAGAAAGAGAAAAGGAAAAGGAAAAAAACAGGGAGAAGAAGAGGAACGGCAGGGAAGAGAGTGTTTCTTTTTCCAAGTTCCAGCAGCAACAGTTTAGCACTTGCAGCATTCCATCAATAAAACCAGCATTTTGACACCTTCCCGGTATGTCTTTGATGCTTTTCTACTTTCTTTGATAATAGTGGGTTTTGGAAGAGAGTCACTATCCCCTAGGTCCTGCTTCTCTCCTTCCAAAAGAATGCCAGTCAGTTTGAGGGGGCTTCCTGAGAGGGTTCTGGAGTACATACAAGTTACCACAATATCTCCTTCAAGCTGTTTGCTGATCAGCCAAGAATGGGACTTAAGTTTCTTTAACTATTACAGGAAGTTTCTGGTCTTGACAACTTCCTTAAAAAGTCAGCACATATAAATAGGAAAATTTGGGATCCCAGCTATTGATTATTGTTTGTCCTTCATTCTCAAAGAGGACCAAAGTGACATCACTATGTTGGAATCAAGGTACTATGTGTTCAATTGTAGCTGATTATAGACCAATACAAGCTTGGAAGGCTCAGGCACCAGTAGTCCATATGAACGTTTGGAGTGAAGCTGGCTCTACATTGGTGCATCTCATACTTCTTTTGAGCTACTGCAATTCTGTTTTGCTCATAAACCATAGCACCTTCTTTGATGTGGGCATGCCATGCTGGGCAGTCTTGTGCCAGTGTTCCCATGTCTCATGGTTGATTCCAAAGTGCTTCAGATTCCAGCTATAGAGTATCAATAGATTGTGACTAAGTACATGGACGTTCTGCTACAGAGAGAGAAGTTGTCCTAAAGGCAATGAGGTGGTAGCATTGGGGTGATTTAATATGACACCATTTAGACAGCTCTTCAAAGAGGGAGGGGAAGGCTCTTCTTGGGAGAACCTCAGACTAAGAAGATCTCATTTTTAACTTTTGCTAAAAACTTAGCATGAAACTTTGCCCTTTTTATCTTAGCCTTTCTAAAGTTTGTTCTTCTTTTGTAGGAAAAGTAACCTTCTTTCCAACCTTTACCTGACGTTGTACAATGAGGTGCAGCATGGAGAGTTTTTCTTACCAGATGTGGAAGGTAATATAAGTGGTTCCCTACCCAGAAGTAGATTTCCTGAAGAGAATGTACACTTTGAGGAAGGCTTTCTTTGCAGTGGATGTCTCTTCCATTTGTTGTTAATGAGTCATTTCAGTTGTGTCCAATTCTATGTGATGCCATTTGGAGTTTTCTTGGCATAGACACTGGAATGGTTTGCCATTTCCTTCTCCAGCTCATTTAACAGATGAGGAAACTGAGGCAAACAGGGGTAAGTGACTTGCCTAGGGTCACACAGCTAGTAAATGTCCGAGGTTGGATTTGAATTCAGGTCCTCCTGACTCCAGGGCTGGCACTCGATCCTATCCACTTCAGTGCCTCACTGCCTTTCTATTTGTCATACTGGATTATATATGATGTATGAGCAATGTTAGGTAAGTGGCACTATGGATAACATGCTGGGCTTGGAGTCAGGAAGACTCATGTTCATGACTTTAAATCTGGCCTCAGACAATAGCTGTGTGACCCTGGACAAGTCACTTAATCCTGTTGGCCTCAGTTTTCTCATCTGTAAAATGAGCTGGAGAAGGAAATGGCAAACCATTCCAGTATCTCTCTGCCAAGAAAGTTCCCAATGGGGTCACAGAGAGTTGGACATGACTAAAAACCAACTTAACAAAAAAAACAAAATTAGTCATGTATTAATATCAGTAAATACTTCCCATTATGGCAAAAATTAGGGGTTATATGTAAGGACAACAGATCAGTTTCATCCCTGAGTTTCTTTATCGTCATGATAAGACACAATATAGCTGTTTTATATATACTGTTAGGAATTAAGGCCATGAATAGCAGTGGAATGAGCTTTTCTATGAGTCTGCCCATAACTAATCATGAAGAAGGACTGAATGGAGTAAGGCAGTATTTCTCAAACTGTACTGCAAAGAACCCTGAAATACCTTGAGAGTTTGTGGGATTTAAAAAAAAAATGAACTTACATAGTTTGTTAATAAACATTGAGATGGTAATTTTAGAGCATTTTGCTACATGTTTTACTGTCAAAAACTTTGTTTAAACTATAGGGCTCTACCACTTGGAAAAGTTCAAGATCCATTGGAGTACTTGTATGGTTAGAAAAAATTAAAAGTACAGGATAGGGAGACTTAAAACCTTATATTCTAGTTCATATCTCTTAGTTCTTTCAGTGCTCTAGAATTTAGCTGACCTTGTCCAGGTGACTTGAATTCTCTTTCTTTAGCCACAAAAACAAACAAACCAAAAACTCCCTTAGATTTATACTTCATATATAAAGAAGAACTTCCTAATAGGATTATAGCTATCCAAAAGTGCTATATTATAGCCCTGAATACCATCACGGGAATGGGACTTGGAGGCAGGTTTGTAGCATAGATAGTATGATAAATAGATGAAGTATTAGGTAGATAGATGAGTTCAAATCTCTTCCTTTTTCCCTCACTCAGTGGAGGTCTGTAAGCAAGAACTGGATGACCTTTGTTGAATATGTAGAAAGAATTTAAAAAATATATTATTTTTATTTTTCAAGTAACAAGTATTTTTTAAATGAATCCTTCCCACCCACTGTTCCCCTGTAGAAAGGATTCTTGAACTAGGTGACTTCTGAGATTCTTTTCAACTTTGAGATTCTCTGATTCTTGTCCATCACTGTTCATTCAGGCCCTTATAATAATCTGAAACTCATACAAAATTGGAGACCCTTAATGAGGAATAATCTACTTCAACGGCCCCCTTTCCTAGAAGAGATTTTTGTTAATACTTCACAGGCTACTAGAGATTCTGCTACTGTAAACTTTAAGGATAGGAGACGGGGCAGGGAAGGTAAGCATGCCTAAATTTTTCCTTTATAAGTGGAAAATAAGTATTGTTTAGAAAAAGGCACCCTGGCTTTCATAAGCAATGCCATTCTTATTCCTATGTCTAGGACTTTGATAAGATCCTTTGCCCTAAATAGGAATCCTCACTTTTCTCTATCTGATCAGATTTCTAAATCCTTTTTCCCTGAAGCCTTCCTTTACTCTTCCCACCTCCCCATCCTACTCTCAGATTGTACCTTTTTAGCTCAATTCATCAGGAATATATTAAGCACCTACTATGTACAAGGCCCTGGTAGGTACTAATGATATATAGCCGGAGATGAAAAAGTCTCTGCCCTCAGGGAGCTTATATTCTACTAGGAGATAGAACACAGAAACAGATAAGTAAATATAAGATAATCTGAGGAGGGACAGGAGTATTAAAGCAGGAAAGGCTTCATTCTGAAGTCCAAGAGGCTGCCTCACAGTTTAACACTTAATGATATACTGTCTTGTTTTAACGACATGGTAGGCTCCTGGAGGGCAAGGACTATATATACTCCTTCTGTATCTCTGATAGCAACAGGCCATGCCATAGTAGGCATGATAGGCAATAAAAGCTTGTTGAATTGAATAACAAAGCCTCAATAAATATTTATGACTGATTGGTAAGTAGGACATTTGGTTAATAAAAATGACTTATTATATGTGATGCCTATTGTAATTCCACTATTCCTTTCTATTCAGGAATTGCTTTCTATCCCAGAAAGAGAAACCATATTGTGTAATGGGTGGAAAGCCAGACTCAGAACTAGGAAAATCTAGGTTCAAAACTGCCTCTTTTAAGTACTGGCTGGGTGACCTTGGGCACTGCTCTAGGCAATTCCTTATGATAGAGGTTCTTAACCTGGGGTCCCTGAATTTGTTTTTAATATTCTGACAATTGTATTTCAATATAGTTGGTTTCCTTTATAATCCTATGCATTTTATTTTATACATTTAAAATATTATTTGGAGAGGGAGTCTCACTTGGAGACTACCAACAAAGAGTGAGACCCCCCTGCTCTGAGACTATAAATTGCTAAGAAAGTGCCAACCTGCATTGATAGAAGGAATTTTCTCTTCTGTGAGTTCCCTATACTAATGAATCCCTAGGTTTATGCTGTGGATAACAAAATATGAATTATGGAAGACTTCTGGCCATTGTGTGAGGTGATGCTTCACAAGCTCTGAGAGGTGGATTGAACTTTAGCATTGATAGAGGGAGAAATAACAGCTCTTTGTTTTTAAAAGCCTATAGTAATTTTGCTTCCCCAGAAACTTGGTTTGGTGATCTGGGTTACAGGTGAAATATTTTCTCGGAAGTGGTATTGAAAGTTCTCATAAAATTTTGACTTGAAAGATGTTAAGTGACTTGCCCAGGATCACACACCTAGTTAAGTGTCTGAGACAGAATTTGAACTCAGATCTTCTTGACTGCTATCTGTATTATGCCACCTAGCTGCCTCCAAGTCCTATTCAAGGCTAGAATATAACAATTTGACTCAAATTAGGTGGGTACACAAAGGATGTGTGATTTTGTTAGGGTAAGGAATTACCTGAAGCAACTTGAGAACGAGTACAAAATGGGCGAATCGTCTTCATTTGGGTGGTTGGTCAGGGACTAGGAAAGGGCTTAGTTGGATTTTGCAAATGCCTAAATGGTTGCAGAAAAGTGTTCAGCCTCATCTGCCTTCTCCTAAGGAACTGTGACAATCCCTTAGGAATCCCAAAGCCTGTACCCCTATGGTGTGTGTATGTGGGTCACTGCTTCCAGATGAACTTCCTGCTACTTGCATTGACCATGAACTCAATGTGAGCAGGTGATTTGGGAGGGAACTTTTTTTCTCCACTCATATCTATAGGCTCTGTAGTTGTTCTCTCTGGAGCTGGAGAAGAATCAGGATTTTTGTTATACAGACTTTTTTTTTTTAATGGTGTTGATTATAACAAAATTCTCTGACTATACAAGAATTGCTTCCCATCATATAGTTCGGGGTGTGTGTTGCACTATATGTATATTTCAGGGAGGGCTCTTTTATTATGCCCTGACCATATTAACTGAGTATTTTGCCATATGCTTCCTTGCATTTATTCAGGACTCAGTAAAGCCTGTAAAATTTTCAGTAACATCCGAAATGGTAAGATTTATGTGAATGATGTGCTGCTGACCCTACATGCCTTAAAGATTTCCATGAGTGATGGAGAGCTGCGTCAGGCACTGAAATGTGTTTATATTGATGGTAAGTTCTTCTATTACTAGTCATTGGGAGTCAAGCCAGTTATAAGGACATATAAGTGTGGATCTAAGTTTCAGAACGATCCCTGTTATTCATTTAAGAAATAAAACAGCTGAGTCTTTAAAGCATAATATTATGAAAATCATGTTCTTTCCTATGAAGATGAAAACTATGTATCCGGTAGACCTTATTATTAGTGCTAACTTCTATGGACAACTATGATGTCTCAGAGAAACAAAGTTGAGTGTTAGGATTACATGTTTAGATGTGGAAGAGGTCATTAACAATAGTAACAGCTAACATTTATATAATGCTTTAGAGTTTGCAAAGAACTTTACAATTATTACTACATTTTATCCTTACAACCACCCTGGGAGGTATGCGTTAACTGACAGCTTTGGAAAGGGGTAATAAACAAGCTGGCATAAATGCTCAGAATCACCTTTGTCAAGTAATCTCAGTCTTCTTTATTACCTTTTCCCAAAGCAGTCAGTTAATAAGCATGTATTAAGCACCTGCTGGGTACCAGACACTCTGCTAAGCACTGGCGATACATAGAAAAGCAGAAATGAGTCCCTGCTTTCAAGGAGCTCAGAGTCTGATGGGGGAAACAGCATGCAAACAACTGTGTACAAATTATGCACGCATATATACATACACATATGTATATGTGTATTGTGTCATGTCTGACTCTTTGTGACCCGACCTCATTTGGGGTTTTTTGGCAAAGATACTGGAGTGATGTTTGCTATTTCCTTCTCCAGATCATTTTACAGGTGAGGAAACAGAGGCAAACTTAAGTGACTTGCCCAGGGTCATATAGCTAGTAAGTGTCTGAGACTAAATTTGAACTCCTGACTCTAGTCCTGGCACTTTATCCACTGTGCCACCTAATTGCCTTCCTTGCCACCCCAAACCCCATGTCTATGTCTGTCTCTTCTCTTTCTTCCTATCTATGTAGATGTAGGTCTAGACAGATATCTATATCAAAATATCTATTAGATAAAGAGCTAGAGATATAGATATATGGATTCCTCTATCTACATATAGATGTATAAATACATATCTTTACATAGATGTGTATGTGTGCATTATACATATGTATATATGTATGAATACATATACACACATAGATATAGATGGATATAGAGGTGTAGAGATATATAGATTTCTCTTTCTATATAGATATCTCTATAGATATATGTATGCATTTATGTATATGTATACACATATATGCATATACACATACATATACACGCAGAGAATAAACTGGGGGTAATCAGCGGAGGGAAGGCACTGGAAGTACAGCAGAGATGTTAATAAATATGAGAGATCAGATAGTTCATCATTCAGTCCCTCAAGCCAACTTTCTCAGTTATTTCCTCATTTCTTAAAATCACATGTGTTGTGCCTACCTCATAAAGTCGTCGTGATGATCAAATGAAAAAAAAAAGTACATAAAAGTAGTTTGGAAACTATAGAACAGATATAAGATGGTGGTCTTGATTATAGGTCCTTAACTGTGTGTGGCATTGAGATTGGTTTTATACCCCAAAGGAGCTTCATAGACCTGGCCCCTTGTCTTCTGGAAGCCAACAGTGTGAGAAAGATATACTGATGTAGAAACACATGATAGATATCTGAATAACACAACAGATAACTGAATAAAAACATTAAAATGAGGCATGAATAATAAATGGTAAAGGAAAAGTATTTTTGAGCTAGACCCATTGTTTCCTTTGACATTCACTCTATCTAAATTTATTATCAAATCTGGATCTTGGTGACAATTATTTACCAGCTTTCCAGTAATTTTATCACAGCTTTAGAGGACATTGAGTTCAATCTCAAGGAGTTCAGTATCTGTCTCACAAGTTTCCTTTCCACTCCAGTTCCTGTCCTGAAATTAGGGATATGTCTGTCATTCAATATGTCTGTCATTTTCTCTCAAGTCCCCTAACCCCCAGTGCCTCAGTTTTATCTCTCATGAACTACCTTTGTATATTTTAAATCAGATATCCCTGGGCATCTCAAAATCAACATGTCTAAAATAGAACTTACTACTTTTCCCCTTACCCATTCCTCTTTTCCAAATTTCCCTAATATTTTTTTGTCAAGGGGTACCATGATCCTTTCAGCCACCCAGCTTTGCAACCTTGCAATATCCTTGACGCCTCATTCTTTTTGACCCCACGTATCCACTCAGTTGCCAAATCTTGCTTCTGCCTCTACAATATCTCTCTCGTCTTTCACTTTCTCTCCATTCACATGGTTACCACCTTTGATCAAGCATCCCCATTAGCCTAACAGTCCTATTTCAATAATTCACTAGTTGGTCTCTCTGCCTCAGGTCTCCACTTGCTCTAATTTATCCCCCACACAGCTGCTAAAGTGATTTTCCTTAGCGCAGGTCTGATCATGTTGCTGTCCCCTAAACTCCAGGGGTTCCCTATTGCTTTTAGAATCAAATAAAGGCACTTCTGTTAGACATTTAACATCCGTCACAATCTGGTCTGGCCATTCGTAGTCCTGGCCCTGGCCTACTTTTCCAACTTTTATGCACTGTCCCATCCAGTCAGACTGGCTTTCTTACGATTCCTCACACATGGCACTCTAACTTCTGAATGTATACATTTATACTGGCTTTAATCCCTATGGCTGGAAGTTCTCCCTCACCTTCGACCCTCTTATACTCCCTAGCTTCCTTCAAAGCTCAGCTCAAGCACTCTTTTCTATATGAAGCCCTTCCTAATATCTGCTAGTGACTAGTGTCTTCTCATCATCCCACTCCCTGCCCAAGTGACATTGTATTTCTTTTGTCTTACCCACTAGAACATAAGCTCCTTGAGGGCAGGAACTGTTTCATTTGTCTTTGCATCCTCAGCATTGGTCCATAACATGCTTGTTGACTGATTGATTTTCTATTCTTTTCTTTTTCACTACATAGTAAACAGTTGATAGAGCTTGAACTTTTTTATAGAGTGGGTTGGTTTAATTTTTATATTATCAGTTGTCTCTTTGAATTTTTTAATTGCCTTAGATCACATGCAAACCAATTGACTTTTGCTGACAGTTCTATTTCTCTCTGCTTCTCAACTATTCTTTGTAGCAAATGGCATGCTGGATTTTTCAAAATTCATGGAGATTTTGAATGACAGAGGTTCCTTCTCTCAAGACCCAGGTAAACAAGAACTTTTTTTTTTCAAAATCATAACCAAAGAAAAAGAGAATTGATGCTTAGTGTGACAATTTTTTGGCTAGGCTTAAGAATTTCGATTTCTTCCATGTCTCCTAACTACTTATTCAGATAATCTAGATTGAATAAAATTTTAAATGTGTGCCACTTCTCTTTCCAGTCCACCTAGTGTTCTGATGACAGATTAGTTTTATTTAAAAATCTCTAAGAATATGACCTCTAGATAGAAACAGACAAATTCACTTTTGACTTGGAAGAGATTGAATTCTTTGGGTGCCAGAGCTAGTAAGGCAGCTGCCATTATCGATTAGACATCACCCATAGACTATTGAGAGGTGCAGCCATTCCTGGGGTTCACCAACTTCTATGAAATATTCCTTGACTTTCTCCTACATATTTTTGCTGATTACTGTGTTAATCACAGAACTGGGTTTACTAGAAAAATTGATCATTTTTAGGATCTGATCTCACCTGTGTCTGCCACATAGCAGGCACTTAATGAATGTTTATTGCCTGACTGACCTGGTCTTTGCCACTGCATTACGGTAATTTTCTTCCTTTTGGATTAACTCACTTTCAGATTCCATGCAGGGGCTGCCCTCTTTCCCCAAGCCTTCAACTTCATGTCTGCACTCTCTGTCAGAAGATGATCTAACCTCCTACCTTACTGAGAATATTAAGTTTGCACATCATAAATTCCTGTTCCTTGTATATAACATATCATCTTCTACCCCTTTGCCTTTGCACAATTGGTTTTCCTTCATGGCTGAAATATTTCTTTGCCTTGTCCCCTAATCCTCCCAATCACTCTTGTTTGTCTTGCTCTCAAATCCCGTAAACATGTTTGAAATCCAGGCTTTTAAAATGTTGTGCTGTGGAAATCAGCTGTCTTACTGTTACTACATATTTTTGCAACTAACTGCAGACAATATCAAAGTTGGAAAGGATTTAAATAAAAGATTTTAAAAAGTCTTGTTGGATACAGCATTAGCGATGGGGCCAGAATTTGATCACACATCAGCAGGCAAATTTTTAGAAAAACCGCTATGTGGGTTTTTTAATGGAAAGTTTCTTAATACAAAACCAGCCACTTCACCAAGAGGAGGTATTGATTCTCAGAAGGCAATAACCTGCCTTTCCTTGATTCATGATTTTGCAGCATTCCAGGAAGCATACCAAATTTTCGGCAAGATAAAAGGAGGCCGGGTTGAAGTTGAAGATATACTTCCTCTTCTGAATATCTTGGGAGTCTCTGTAATTTTTAGTACTTTCCAGGAAGTGATGAATTATTTGTCTTATGATGGTGAGTGTTTGAATTCTCAGTGTGTTTTTATAATTAAATTTTGATTACTTAGTCTATATATTATCCTTTGCTTTTGAAACAGCTGGGCCTCTAGAAACTCTGAGATCTCTGGTTCTGGAGCCTCTTGCTACTTTTGCCAGGTTTGGTATGGTTATATGCATATAGTGACTCAAATCCCCATCCATTGCAACACTTACCATGATGCTCAATAGCAAAAGCATTTAATTAAGACATGAAAACACCAAAGGGAAACAACGAGAATCCATAGTTTCATGCTCTGTCCTCATGCCCAAATGGATGCAATCACCTAACCTTCCTAGATGGGAAAGAATATAGAAAATGCCTTAACGGATGGAGAAAATATCCTTTCCATGGCTGGGTAGAGAGGCTAAAAAGCCCAATTGTTTTCTGGTATTCCCTTAGCATAATGTTAGTAGCTAGTGTGGAGATAAGCTTACCTCTCAGGGAAGTCCAGAATCCCAGAAAGCTGCTTGACTTGGCTGTAGGGTGATTAGTGGGCCTCCTGAGTTCTGGAACACCATAGTATAGTACCACTTTCCATACTTCTCCTTCTCAGCTTTCCTTTCCTTCTCTTCTCATTTCTATTTCTTACAGCTTCTCAAAAGTATCTCAGGACTCCCCTTTCTATGCAGAACCCCTCTTTCCCCCAAAACATATTCTTGCGTCTTTTTTGATACCTAGCATGCCCAAATGCAACCCTTGCATCCAGGTGCAAGGCCCCACTTGAGCATCCAGTGCCCTTCACCCTTGTTACTCTGGGTGTCTAAAGATACGTTGGAGACCTCCCATTAAGGGGGAGCCTGCCCCTATTTATTACTTTCTCTTTTTCTTTCTGATCTTAGGTTTTGCACTTGAAAGGAGAAACAACAAATTGTTCGTTTTGCTATTTGTAAGCAACTTTTGCAAAAGGGTTCAGCTGGTTAAAGGAAGCATGAAATTTTTTGTTAATTTTTTTGAATTGTTTCTGTGTTTCATTTTTCTACCTTATTATATATCTCTTTCCCAGGAGACCACTAGTTATTAAAATTGTATCTTGATAGGACGTCTACATTTGTGGTTCAGGAGAGTGTGGTGTGGAGAAAATTGCTGTCTGGAAGTGGATTTGAAGCAAACAGGCAAGGCAGGTCTTCAGGTGCTGTGGATTAATATGGTAGCAGCTGGAGCATAAGGGGCAGGGTCTAGAAAAGGCGGCAACTGGGACCTATAGCTTTGTCTGTTAAGCCACTTACAGCCACATATACCACCTCCATGAAACCAGCTTTCACATGCTATTCTTGGAAGTAGAACATAAAAGTCTCTTTAATCTTAGATTAGACAGACAGTTAAGTCCTTCTCTAAAATTGTTGTTCAGTCTCGTCCAACTCTCTGTGACCCCAGTTAGGGTTTTCTTGGCAAAGATACTGGAGTGGTTTGCAGTTTCCTTCTCCAGCCCATTTTACCGATGAGGAAACTGAGGCAAACAAGATTAAATGACTTGCCCAGGACCACACAGCTGGTTAAGTGTCTGAGGCCAGATTTGAAGTTAGGAAGATGAGTCTTCTTCACTCCAGGACTGGCACTGTGCCACCTAGCTGGCCTTTCTTTAGGGTAGAACTCAGCTTTCTTCTTCCATTCCTTTCTTCTTCCAGGGCATTAGGAATTAAGTAAATATTGAGTCATTGACCGACTGGCTTTTCCCCCTCTCTTATCCAAGAATGCATCTTTCATGTATTTCTGCTGGCTTTCTTCCTTGCTCTGCTGTTCTTAATTCTATCTTCATTATTAGTTTTATATTATAGCAATATTTAGAAATGATTATGTTTGGAATTTATTTGTAATATTTTAAAGTCACATCTTAAATTTTTTACAACAATGGTCTCAGAGGATGAAAACTGGGCTGACATTTACGTATAATGAGTTGCATATGGAATGCTTGATAAAATCTGAGTTAGTGTTCAGTCAGTAATTCTCAATCCTGAGTGTCTTCTTAGGTGCCTATGAACCCTCCATGTGCCTTCCTGTAACTCTCTTAAATTGATAAAGAAAAGGATTTTTCTTCCAGGGGATAAGTTTAATCAGTACCTGAACCTTTTCTTTTTTTTATTATAGATAATAAAACAGTGGATTTCAGAGATTTTCTATTTTCTTTGGAGGATTTACAGCAACAATATGAGGATGCTGGTAAGGAAGATTTTGTCTGACATAGAAATTGATTTCAAGTGTGAATACAACTTTAATGGCACATTTTAGTGATTTTTTTGTGCAAATTTTTTTTTCTAAACCCTTTCTCCTCTAAATCATAGACTGAAAAAAATATGGACTGAAAATATAAATACACTCCAGTGAATACCGAGCACATTGGAAAGATTACTTTGCATTTTTTACCATTTATTCTTCTCTTTAAAAGCCAGAATAAATGAATTCATATTCAGCTCGTGAGTTACTCTGATATTTAAATTTGGGAGGGGGTCATATTTCTTCTTAGCCAATTTTTAGCAAGCCATTCCCTATCCTGTTGTTTTGTGTTTGTTTTTTTCTACCTCTTTCTGCCTTGTAATTCAGTAAATCACAGAATTATAATATTTTAAAGGGTTGATCATCTAGTCTAACCCATAGGAAAAGAATTCCTACTATAACGGACATGACAAGTGGTGACCCAACTTCTACTTGAGGCCTTGAAAGAAGGTTATCCCTCTACCATCCCTAGGCAGCCCATCCCACTTTTGGATAGCTCTAATTATTAGACAATTTTTCCTGACATCAAGCCTAAACTTGGCTCTTAACAGCTTTTACCATCATTTATGGCTCTAAACAGAATGTGTCTAATCTCTGCTCTCTGTGATTGCTCTTCAAATACTTGAAAGAGTGATCATATTTCCTTCCCAACCCCACCCCAAATTTTCTCTTCAGGCTAAACATTTCCATTGGTTCAACCAATCCACATATGGAATGGATTTAAGGTGCGTCACCACCCTGTTGTCTTCCTCTGGACGCTCTCAGCTTATCAATGTCTTTATTAAATCATGGTGCGCCAACACTGAACACCATAGTCCATTCATGATGTCTGATGAGCCAAGATTATAGTGGGGCTGTCACTTCCCTATGCTTAGTAGCTAGCAGTTAAATGGTGTAGTGAACTCCTGGGCCTGGAGTCAGTAAGACTCATCTTCATGAGTTTGAATCTGGCCTCAGACACTTGTAAGCTGTTTGACCCTGGGGAAGTCACTTAGCCCTGTTTGCCTCAGTTTCCTCATCTGTAAAATAAGCTGGAGAAGGAAATGGCAAACCACTCCAGTATCTTTTCCAAGAAAACCAAATAGGGTCACAAAGTGTTGTACATGACTGAAAAATGACTAAATTAAACATGAATTCAATGAACCTGCTCTCCTTTCTTTTTCATTGAAGTCTTATTTTTATATTTCATCATGGTATGAAAGTGACCCTAAATTCTTAAATGTTATGTCCATGGGGTTTTTGCTTTGATAGGGCATACCATACTGAGAAAGCTTTGAGTATGGGCCTTGTAGAGGACCCCCTATTTGTTGCCTGAGGGTCAGCTTAGTTAAAGTTGGGACAGACTCATCAGTAGGTTGCACACAAGTGATGAATTTCTTATTTTTGTTACAGCTCTTGAAGACATGCCACTCAGTAGTAGAAAAGTTGTGATCTGCATCTTAATGATGCAATTATAGATGACATGAATTATATAATACATTTACATGTTATATATTCTATAAATTATATCACATATATTATACATATATGAATAACATGTATAGTATATAAATTATAGATCCTTGAAACATTGAAGTATTCAAAGTATGCTCTAAAGTCTCCAATATACTGAGTTTGGGTTTGATTTTTCTAGGCCACGGAGGCATAAATATAGTTATAGAAGAAAATGAAGAGAGTGGGCTCTGTTAGAGGAAGGAGGCTTACTGTTTTCACTGTCCCTAAAGACGTTAGGTAGAATTGGGTTCATTAAAATCACTCTAGATTTAGGAAAGAATCTGCTCATCGTTACTTCAGTATACCTGAAATAGTTCTCAATATGTGACCCTGGGTTGTATTGTTATTTTTATTTGAGGGTAATAATATCTAGCATTTATTTAGTGCTTTAAGTTTTACCAAATGCTTTCATATTATTTCATTTGATCCTCGAAACAATCCTGTGAAATAGATGCTATTATTATCCTCATTTTTTGTTCAGTCATTTTTCAGTCGTGTCCAACTCTTTGTGACCCTATTTGGGTTTTGTTGTTGCTTTGGGGTTTTTTGGCAAAGATACTGGAATGGTTTGCCATTTCCTTCTTCAGCTTCAGTTCATCTACAGATGAGGAACTGAGGCAAACAGGGTTAAATGACTTGCCCAGGGTCACACAGCTATTAAGTATCTGAGGACCGATTTGAACTCAGATCATCCTAACTCCAGGGACAGAGCTCCATCTATTGTACCACCTTTCTGTTACAGTTGAGGAAATTAAAATTGAGAGATACTGTATGACTTGCCCAGGGACAGGCAGCTAAGTTGGTGTCTGAGACAGGATCTGAACTCAGATCTTCCCGACTCCAAGACTAGAACATCCTATCTACTAGCCCACTTAGTTGGCAGCCAGTAAGTAGATAGAGAGCTGGTCTTAGAGTCAGGAAGACCTGAGCTTTAGTTCTACCTCTGACATGTGATTAGTGTGACAACCTGGACAAGTCATTTCTCAGTGCCCTAGTGAGTAAGTTAGGGATGCATTGTTCATCTGTATCATTTGAGGGTATTTCTACACCCAAGAAATCATAAGTCCAGATCTCTTCCCCCCAAAAAACTTTGATTATATCTCCTGACTTTGTTGCATATCTTTCACGTAGTCTTAATTTTACTTTCTAGGTTTCTTTGGAACATCATGTAAAACTGGGGCTTTTTTTTTTTGGCTAGGCAAGTGGGGTTAAGTGACTTGCCCAGAGTCATATGGCTGTGTGTTAAGTGTCTGAGGCTGGATTTGAACGCAGGTCCTCCTGACTCGAGAGCTGGTGTTCTATCCACTACACCACCTAGCTGCCCCCGTAACTGGGGCTTTTAAACTCTACATCCTTTCATTAGTATGCCCTCCATTTGGTTATTAAAATAAAAAATAATTTTTCTTACTATTTATATAATTATCATTCTGAAGCCCAGGTTTAAAAATTACTTGATAAAAATTAATAATTACTTGATAAAAAATAATATTTAAGTAATATTTGTAATACTTGATTAATATTCAGCAAGTTTTTTTTTTTCTCTTTTGTGTATATGTAACATATAAGTTGTTGTTTAGTCATTTCAGTTGTGTTTGACTCTGTGACCCCATTTTTGGGTTTTCTTGGTGGAGATGTTGGAACGGTTTGCCATTTCCTTCTCCAGCTCATTTTACAGATGAGGAAACTGAGGCAAACAGGGTTAAGTGACTTTCCCAGGGTCACACAACTAGTAAGTGTCTGAGGCCAGATTTGAACTCAGGGAATATGAATCTTCCTGACTCCAGGCCCAGCACTCTACTCCACTGAACCTAGTAGGTGCCCAAACCCTTTGAGGAAAGTATGTTGCCATATTGTCCTATTAGATTGGATTGAAGATAGAGCTTTATTGAAGGTGCACAGAATATAATCATTCCTTGTGTTCTAATCTATACTCAAATATTTGTACTTCTCGAAGTCAAAGATTCTTTCTATTTGTCCCTTCTATCACCTCATTTCTTTTGTATGGATTATAGTACATAGGCTTCCAGGCTACCTCCCCCACTCTAGGCATATTTATTCCCTATATCCCTAGTTTCATCCAGAATGAGCTGAACCACCATTACTGAGGGTTTCTCTAATTGTTCTTATCTCCTTAGAGTCCTTTGTCTGCTCCTTGAGGGCAGAAACTTTAGTTTTTGTCCTTATACCTCTAGTGCCTCTCACAAAATAGGCATTTAATAATTGCTGTCTCATTAGAAGCACAACCAGATGGCACAGAGGATAGAGTTCTGGGCCTTGAGTGCAACCCCCTGTTTGTTTTCGTTTTTGTTTTTGTTTTTTTGTTTTTGGTTAGGCAATGGGGTTAAGTGACTTGCCCAGGTCACACAGCTAGTAAGTGTTTGAGGCTGAATTTGAACTCAGGTCCCCCTGACTCCAGGGCTGGTGCTCTATCTACTGCCACCTAGCTGCCCCTCATTATAGCTCTTAACACTTCTCATCATCCAAATGCACTGGTCTTTGTGTGGCAATAAGTTAAACAGATTGGATCAACAGATAGGTATTCATTTACAAAGTCAGTTGGCTCAGTCTTTAGGTCTTTAGGTCCTGTCCTCCAGTATGCTAGCTGTCTTTCTGTTATTTAAGAACAAGAATGTCATCTGATGGCAGTAGAAAAAAAATGCAAAAATTAAAGTCATAGAACCTGATTCAAATTCTTGCTCTGCTACTTGGCACCTGTGTGACCTTGGGCAAATCATTTAACATTTCTGGGCTTCATTTTCTTCATCTATAAAATGAGTGCATTTTAGACTAGATGAGGGTTTTTGCAGTCCTTTCTAGCTGCCACATATATCTGTGATTTGCCAATTGAATAACTTTTCTCATGATTTAATTAATTTATTTTAAAAGCATTCAGTCATTGTCTCAGTGGGCAAGAAAATGAAATGATGAAATGTATATTTCTTGTGTATCTATAGTAATTAAGGAATGGTCATCCCAGGATGAGAGTGATTGGAGATTCTCAAAGCCCCATACGAGTAGGTTGTTTCAGCAATTAAGGAAGAAGAGCAATATATTCCCTAGATCATCTGAATCTTCCTCCACACGGTTCAATAGAAAGACCTTCGGTGAAAAAGGGTCTGAGGAGAGCATTGACCTCCTATCCCCACAACAAAACTTAAAAAATAACTTGAGTTTGAAGAATACTTTTGAAAGGGTTGATATCAGCGTTCTTGAATCCCTACGGACGAACTCAAAAACAAACATAAGCTTCAGAAAACTTGTGGGTCAGTCAGAGACTCAGCTGGAGGAGGCTCAACCCCTCAAAGCTATTCCAGGCTTTAGAAGATCTTTCCATGAAGCTGATATTTCTGTTGCCTCAGAGTCCCAACAAAAGATTCTGAAGACAGAGGAAAGCCATGAGCTAGAGCCAGTAAAGAGTAACTCCAGAAAATCTCTGGAAGAAATCAATAAATATGAAATATGTGTCACCGGGACCCAACCGCGTGGCAGCAGTATTTCTCTCAAGAAATATACCGATGTAGAAGAGATTCCTAGTGTGAAGAAGAGTTCAAGTTTCCCCAAATACTGGAAAGAACCTGAGTATAAATATGGAATTTCTGTCACAGACCTCCAACCACCAAGTATAAAGAGTAGTCAAATCCTCAGAAAACTATCGAGTGAAGTTCATATTCCAGAGATCCCAGCTGCCTCTTTGGACTTGGTTAAGCTTCAGCCTGAAAAAGCAAAAGTAAAGTTCAGAAAGAAGCAGTTACTAAAAGTAACTGAAGGTAAGAGTTTCTTTTTACTGTATAGTCTTTGTATCATAGCAACCAGTCATTGTTAGGCAACCACACATTTGGAAGGAATTCCTTTGTACCTGCTACCTCAACTCATAATCACCATGGCTACATGGTGATTAATGGGAACTGTAGTTATAAAAACCATCCAAACAGTGCCTGCATTACACTTTCTAGAAAGGAGAGGATTCCCTTCCATTGGAAAGCTTTCTATTTTTGCATCTTAACAAAAGGCAAGTGTGTTGAGGTCTATGAAATTTTTGTTTGAAGTCCCAGAATTTAATCCTTGCAATTGTCACTCTACTTTAGTGCTTGTGGCCCTTTAGGAAGACACAGAGACCTAGCCCCTAGGAAGGGAGGCACAGAGCTAGGCTCTAGGGAAGAAGGCATAGAGACCTAGAGAAACACAAAGACTTAGCAATAAGATACAGTTCAAAAGGCATAAATGTAAAGTCTTACACTTAGGTACAAGAAACCTTCATAAATTCATGATTGGAGGAGGCAGGGTTGGCAGCAATTTTTTTTTTTGCATTTAGTTTTATTTTTTCTCAATTACATGTAAACTAAAATTTTTAACATTTAAAAAAATGCTTTTGAGTTCTATATTCTCTCCCTCCCATCTCCCCTTCTTGAGAAGGCAAGAAATTTGATATAGACTATACATTTGCAGTCATGCAACATTTCTATGTTAGTCATGTTGCAGAAGAAAACACAGACCAAAAATAAAATAAAGTTTAAAAGTATGTTTTGATCTGCATTCAGACTCCATCAGTTCTTTCTCTGGAGGTGGATAGCATTTTTCATCATAGGTCCTTTGGAATTGTCTTGGATTATTGTATTGATGAGAATAGCTAAGTCATTCACAGCTGATCATCATACAGAATTGCTGTTACTGTGTACAATGTTCTCCTGGTTCTGCTCATTTCACTTTGCATCAGTTCGTGTAAGTCTTTTAGAACCTCACTTTTTTCACCTGTAAAATGAGGAGGTTTGATTAGGTGATCACTAAGGTTCCTTTCCAATTTTAAATCCATTGATCCTCAAGGGATAAAGTTTTGGACAGTGGAATTTCAAGCATTAGGATCATGGGATCATTCATTTAGAGCTAGAAATGGACCTCAGAGGTAATGTAATCTGGATTAATCTAATCGAACCGACCCGCCCCCCCACCCCAATTTGGGTAAGAGGAAACAGAAGTCTTCAGAGGTTAAGTGATTGGTCCAAGCTCAAGTAGTCAGTAATTGATAAAGAATAAATTGTTGAAGAACCCAGGTACTCAGATTCCAAATCCAGTCCTCCTTCTATCGCATCAGACTTCCTACTGAGGATGTCTGTTTTGGACATGCTGAGGACCTTCTGGTTGCATATGAAGCCAAACCACGTAAACAGTTACTTAAGACTACTTCTTGGGACGGAAGATATAGAAATATTTCATCTGCTACTGGTAGGTTGTTAGACAATAACCATAGAAGTTGTCTGGGGACAGCTATACTTATTGACTTAATCTTAGTAAACTGGTTAAAGTAAGTTAATAAGTCTAATCTATTCTATACTTCTGTGATAACTGAGTACCTAGATAAAGATTACATTCAGCTGTTAGGATTACTGAGAATGGAAACTCTTAAGAGTGAGTAGAGGTTCATCTTAATTCCCCTTTACCCAAGTTACCTTCTGACTGTACTTATTAATCTTCACCCTAACAAATAGACCCAAATATTTCTATCAAGACATCTTTCTGGTTAACAGCTTCTAAATTGATCCATCTTTCCTACAGTTTCTCTCTCTCTCCCTCCCTCCCTCTCTCTCTCTCTCTCTCTCTCTCTCTCTCTCTCTCTCTCTCTCTCTCTATTTAGGAGTACCTAAGGAGGAGTGTGCTAGTAAAGGTTTAATAATTGGCTTTCTGAAAAAAAGGGGCCATAACACACTTTTAAGTTTAGTCTGCATTATTACCATTTTCTCCATCACTTTCTTGAGTTTGTACAAATCAGCAAAACAATAAATCAAGCTCTGATTTGCAACAGTTGCCTATTTCTAAGTGCTTATATTGAAAATTAAATGATCAGCTTTTGAGAGCTGGTTTTGAGAGACAGCACACTTCTGTCTTGGGAGGAGGAGGCAGGGTTTGGGTGGAGGAAAGGGGAAGAGCTTTATAAAATTTTGCTCTGAGATGTGGAATTTAGATTTGTGCTGCTAACCAGTACAAAGATATCTTTACATTTTAAGCTATTATATCCCTCCATTCTGCACCCTAGGCCTGTCCTTCACTTTGAGTCCCTAAAAACTGTATCTAGGTTCAAGGCACACTTTGATCAGCATTTTTGAAAACAACAGGAACATAAGCCCCCATCTGAAGCTCTTTTTTAAGGAAAAAAAAGAAGTAACAACAACCAAAGAACAAAAAACCAGACCACACCAGAAGGCCACACAAACTTTAACACCATGGTATTTAATGAAACTGAAGAACAAAAAGAATACTTAGGAAAATTTATACCCCAACATGCATAAGAGTATTTTCTCCTGTAGATTACCATGGTACCCGTGGGAGGAGGAACATTGGTAAGGAATATAAGTTGCCCAACTCATACCCCTAGGACTATGTCCCAGTCGGAACTCCAGGGCACAGTGGATAGAGGGCTGGGCCTGAAGTCTGGAAGACCCGAGTTCAAATTTAACCTCAGACACTTATGAGCCAAGTGACCCTGGGCAAGTCATTTAACCTCTGTTTGCCTCAGTTTCCTCATCTGTAAAATGGGATTATAATAGCACTTCCCTCCCAGGGCTGTTGTGAGGATCAAATAAGATAATAATTGTAAAGCATTTAAGCCCAGTGCCTGGCACATAGCAACTGCCATATAAATGTTAATTATTATTATTATTTGCATCTACTTCAGTAACAACTTCAGTTGGCCACCTGATATTTGGAGTGGGATGAGTAAATTTCTTTTAACTCCAACCATGCTTCTAGGAGCTAATTTAAAGCTATGTAGATTACGTTGGAGCCTCAGGTAACATGACTGAATGGATTGGGATAGACCTGCTGACTTTTATCCTTCATTCTTGTGACTGTACCTAATTCACTGCTCTCTACAATTTTATTTGATGCAGAAAGTAATCAGCGTTTTCTAGACCTGAACAGTCCAAGGTTCCTTGGGAAAAAATAAAGAGTCAAAGAGGTCATTTTCCTGGGTTGTGTTTCAAAATTCAAAGACACTCTTGCATTGAAACATAGCTATTACAAAAGAGAAAACAGACATGGAGGAGGAAATAATCCTTCTCTGAGGCACACCTTTTCCAGGTGTAGTAATAAGATCGTAACACATTCCAAACTCCAGGTAAAATTGTAGTAAGGCACTAAGAATGATATGTATTCAATTTAAATTTTTACACTCTTTGCAGATATACAAGATTCCCTTGGATTTTTCAACAAACTCACAGAGGACAAAATTGCTATTGATGAACTCCAGCCTGTCTTGAAGATTATTGGAATGGATTTATCTGAAGATGAGTTAGAGAAGGTGCTACAAATGACTCCTGCCGATGGTGAGACTCGGTAGCATGCTTTATGAAATCAACTGTTTCCATGGGATCCACTTTAAGTGTTTAGCATTTCTTGAGCTGTGATATATCTACAGGCACTAACCAGAGCTCTGAAATATGTCAGTAATAAATGTGAAAGAAGAAGACAAGGTAAGGCTAAATGAGGTATAAAAAGAATGCTGGGCTTGCAATCGGAGGACTTGAGTTTGAATCCTGGCTTTGCTTCTTGCTCCTGTTGGGACTTTGTGGAGAACAGTGTCCTCTGGGCCTCTGCTCCCTCATCTACAAAATGATAAGGTTGGAATAAAATGGGAATTATGTAAAAAAGATTTTCCTGGAGAGTCTGCTTGGGAGAGAGATGTTATTGGTCACAAATGTGAGGCAGAATGGGTGCTGAGGTCATAGCATTGACAGGTGCTGTGGTGACAGGGTTGAGTGATTGGTAGGGGTTAAAAATTGGGTTGGTCACAGAAGCTTCTCCTTGACCATCTAAGGCAAGGATTCTTAACCTGAGGTCCATGAACTTGTTTTCTTATAAAAAATTATGGGTATGGAAAGGCATGAAAATGGGAGATGGAGAGTTGTATGAGGATCAGCAAAAGGCTGGTTTGGTCCCATCAGAGAATTCATGAAGGCAAGTTTATGGAGTATAATAAATTGGAAAAGGTAAATTGGAGCAATGTTATAGAAAGTTTCAAACAAAGGAGTTTGCATATGATACTAGAGGCAATAGTGAGCTTCCGAAATTTATTGATCTGGGGAATGACATTGTCCTATGCCTCTAGAGTCACCATTTTGACATCTGAGGCTTGAGTCAGGTAGACCAATTGGGAGGCTATTGCAATATTCCAGAAGAAAGATAATGCAGATCTGAACTAGGGTGGTTGCTATGTGAATGGAGAGAAGAGAATGGAATTGAGAAATATATGACAGTAGGATTGATAAGACCTTGCAATTAGCTCTATATAGGGGAAGAAGTAGAATAAAGAGTCAAGGATGGTTCCAAGGTTGTGAATCATTGTGATTAGAATGGTAGAGGTATGTACCTTAAAGACAAAAAGAAAGTTCAGAAGAGGAGTGGTTTGGGCAGAAAAGATCAGTTTTATTTTGGACATCTTGGGTTTGTGATGTCTATGGGACATCCGGTTCGGAATGTCCAATGTTGTAGATACAGAACTGCAGCTCAGGAAAGAGACTAAAGAGACTAGATATATAGATTTGGCAGTCATCTGCAGAAAGTGGATAATAAGTGAACCCATGGCAGTAGTTGGGATTCTAAGAGACCTATATATCTCTATATCTAAGAGATATAGAGAGAAGAGAGACCAGGACAGAACCTGAAGCAGAGACTGTGGTACACACAGTTAAGGAGATAGGATATGGATGGTGATCCAGCAAAGAACACAAAAAAGGAGCGGTTAGACAGAAGGAGAAGCAAGAGAGCAGTGTCACAGAACTCCAGAGACGAGTGTCTAGGTAGAGATAGGATGTCAAGAAGGATGAGGACTGAGAAAAGGTCATCAGATTTAATCATTCATTGCTAAGCATTTTCATGAAACCCTGACTACATGCCAAAGATCACTGGTAACTTTGGAGACAGCAGTTTCTGTTGACTGATGAGGTCAGAAGCCAGAGTGCATGTGGTTAAGAAGAGGAAGTGCATGAGAAGAGAGAAAAGGAAATAGATGGAACAAGTATAAGAAGTAAATAACAGCTTTTTTCTAGGAGTTTGGCTGAGAAAGGGATATAGAACCATAGCTTGAGAGGATACTAAAGTCTAGTGAGGTGTTTTGGGTTTTTTTTAAGGATGGATGGGTAGGATAGGGAAGCCTCGTTATTTTTATAGCAGCAGGGAATAAAGTTAGTTGATGGGGAGAGTGCTGGAAGAGATGGGATCATTGGGTGCCCTGGTGAGGAGAAAAGACACTTCCTCAGAAACTGGAATAAAGGAAGAGAGAATAGGGAATGAGGTCAAGAGGCTGTGAGATGTAGAGAAATGGAGAAGAGGGAGCCCCTGGTGAATGGTCTCTATTTCTCTGTAAAGTATTGAGAAGAAGTCCTCAGTTGAGGTTTGGGGGGTGGGGGGGTGGAAGGCTAGGTGTAGGAAGCTTGAGGAGAGAAGCCAAGGTTTGAAACAGTTTCTGTGAGAGAATGAGATGGGAGGCAGTTAGGGAGGAAAGGATTGCCTTGTGGCAATGAGGGCCCAGTTGAGATGGGATGACATCAATTTGTAGTGGATCCAATCAGCATGGTTATGTGACTTCCTCCTGAGCCTTTCAGAACATGAGTAAGAATGGAGAAAGTCAATGGAAAAAATCCAGGGTTAAGCTTTTGCTGTTGATAGGACAAGAAAATCAGAATTCAAGAATGTAAAATCGAACTAGTTAACTTTGAATGAAAATTGGGAGAGGAAGAGGAGGTGAAGCTAAGAGCAGACGGGAGGGCCTCAAAGAATGTATGGAGGACTGAAGAGACTTGAGGTCATGGTGAGGAGGAAGAATAGGTTTGGGAAAAGTGAGGCATAGCAAGAGATGAAATAGTAACAGAAGTTTAGGGTAGACACAGAATTCTTAATGGTGGAAATGGAATAGCTATGGGCAGAGGTAAGGTCAAGGCAGTGACTGTATGACTGAAGTGTAGTGAATGAGAAGGTTATAGGAGTTAACTTTAGTTTTGAGATTGAAAGTCAGACTTTTAGCTAAGAAAAAGTTTAGCAGAGAGGAAGCAGAGAGTGGAATGTCAGAGGATACATTCCAGGAACTTGGATATGAAGGAAAAAGAGAAGATGGGATTTTGAGCTGAAACAGTTTGAACATATTTTGTTTTATAGCTATGTTGATACTGAATTTAGCATTTATGACAACTTCATGCTACAGAGAATATAGTTATCTAAACTTCTTTATTTTGCAGATACTGAAATGGTGGATTTAAAAGACTTTATGGTTAATCTGGCCAAAGCCCGACAGTTCTCAGAGTATACTGGTAGGTAGAAACTTTGTTGAATACCTAAGTGATCAATACCACTTGTCAGTACATTCATGACAATTGAATAATAATAATTTTTTAAAAAAACTAACTCTAACAATGGATGTAGGTAAAATACATTGACTTTAAGAGTATTTTGATGTTGATGTTTGTTTTAGTTAGGTTTGATACCAGTTTGAATTCACTCATTAAATGAACGATCACATTTCTTTTGAAATCTCCATGGGTACTGAGCATAATTTACTTGTGCCTGATGTTTTGACTACCAATTTGTTTTTATCTTTATTGTTACATTTTCTTTTCCCACTCAGGACAAACATCCAAATATAATCCACAGAGCAACATAAATTTCCCCCAAATGCCCAGTTAAGCAAAACCACCAAATAGTCTGATTGTAGTCAACAACAATGTAATTTTTTTTAGGAAAAAAATTTTTGTTAATGACCTTTGTTTTTTAAACTGCAGACATTTCCAATATTTCTACATCCCCCACCCCCAACTCTTACCTGTCACAAACGAAAACAGTTAAGTAAATGAACTATCTCACTATGACCATTTTTGACAGTTAATATGTAGCATTCAGTACATATAGATTCCTACCTTTTTGCCTCTGTTCTTTGGAGCCATTATTGGTCATTGCCTTTAATTTGACTTCAGCTAGCTTTTAGTATTGTTTTTAATTTACATTGCTGTAGTTATTGTAAATATTGTCTTTCTGCCTCTGCTATCTTCTTTCTGTATTGGATTGGAAAAGTCTTATCAGGTTTCCTTGAATATCAAACATATTTCATATGGGCATTTGCTGAAACTAGCTCATACTGGTTTTTTGAGAGTAGAGTGCTACATTTTCAGTGTAAACATTTACACCTCAGAAATTAGCAAACACTACAAATTCAGAAAGTGATGATGGAAAAAATGTTAATAATGCAGATTAAACTTAAAAGTATGTTGTACACGTTTTAAAACAAATGCATTTATTATTATTACTTTTATTAATTATAACTTTAAAGATTATTACTTATTATTTTATTAAACATTTACTAACATGCCCCTGAGCATATAGTTATAAATATAACATTATACTTATATTTTTGATTTTGCTATCTTATTTCTGTATTTGTTCATACAAGTCTCATGTTTTCTTAAATATTAAAGTTTTTTTTATAATGTCTCAATAATATCCAGTAACATTCATAGACTACGATCTGTTTTAGCCATTTCCCAGTTGATAGGCATCTAATTGCTTTCCAATTTTTGGTACTTCAAAAAAACGCTGCGGCAAATGTTTTGGAATATATGGAATCTTTCTGTTTGACTTCCTTGGGCTAGATGCCCAGGAATAGGATTTCTGAGTCAAAGAGTATGAACAGTATTGTACCTTTTCTCTCATAACTCTTAGTTGTTTTCTAGGATGATTTGACCAGATCACAACAGTGAATTGTGAACTGTATCTAAGTTTGCGTGGTTTCACATGCCTTCTACTCCAAGAATTTTTTTTTTATTAGCATTGCCCTTGAGTTGAAACCTCACAATTGCTTTAATTTGCCTTTCTTATATTATTAGTTGTATGGGTCTTTTTTCATATGGTTGGTGTTGGCTTGAAATTATTTTTTTGAAAACTGTTTATATCCTTTGATTTCTTGCCTATTGAGGAATGGCTTTTAGTCTAATGTTATTTCCCATTTTTATAATTTGCTGATTTGAATAGAAAGGAAAGATTTTGCTGAGGAAGTAAGACGGAGAGAAAGGATACATCTATACCAAAATATTTATAACACCACCTTTTGTTGAGGCAAAAAACTGGAAACAGGGTGATTGCCTATTGATTTGGGGTTATTTGGTGTGTGAATGAAATAGAATATTATTAAACCATTAGAAATGACAAATGTGAGGAATTCAGAGAAGCATGAAAGACTTATACAAAAGGTTGCAGAATGAAGTAAGCAGAACCCAGAGAACAATATACACAATGATTCCAATCATGTAAATGAAGGCCACCACAAGGCGGCCAAGCTCTGCTCAACTGGAATGAGATCGTCAGTCTTGATGTGACGTGATGAAACCTATCTCCTTCCTTTTGAGAGAGAAGTGTCAGACCTTGAGTACTACATATTGCCCATGCTTATAGTTTTGATTATTTAATTAACTGATTTTGCTTAACTGCTTTTTTGTCGTTAAAATGGAAGTTTCCGTGAGAGTAAAGTATTATTGGTTTAAAAGTATTACTGGTTTAAAAGACGAAAGGCATCATTAAACTTCTTTCTTAAAGAAAAGTTTTGTGCTTAATGTTTTGACTCCCCCCTTCCTCTTTTAAGTCAGCACTTTGTTTCTGTGATTAGTTTTATTTATACCATTTTGTTGTTAATCTATTTTTGTAGGTCTCCCCCTGCTATCCTATCCAAATTCCTTGAGTTTACTTATATTGTTAATTTCTCTTTCCCTCTCCCTATTCCTCTTTTTCTCCTCTCTCTCCTTCCTGCTTTGCCTTCCTCTCACCCCATTTCTCTCTACTTACCCTCCACCCCGTTTATTCTCCTTTTCAGTTTGTATGCGTGCGTGTATGTTTTATCAAGAATTTCAATTTTCCTCCTCATTTCTTTCTCCTTTTCTTTTATTAGGCCTTCTAACCACTCTTTGGGATCTTGTGAACAATCCATTCTCTTTTCTGCAGTTTTGTTTATAGTTATTCCAGGATGATTCTCTTTTTCTGGAATTTCAATTTGGAATTCTTTTAATTCATGGCATTTCTTTATTAGTCTTATTCACTCATTTCTTCAGTCTTTATATTGTTTATTCTCTCCTGTGAAGTCTTAACTTCTGAGCTTCACCCTTATGAGGGTTGAAGGCCTTTAGCTGAATTGATGCCAAAGGACAGCTATATTAAGATGGATGTAGAAAGGTCACATCAACTGTTGTTTTTTCTAAACTCCTCTTGACTTTATGGCTGCTGGAGCCACTGCTAAGTGGAAACCTAGAGAGAGGCTGGAGGTGGGGAATGGGGTAATATTTGGCAATGAACTGACAGCAGCCACTGTTTCTTCATCTATGAAATGAGCTGGAGAAGGAAATGGCAAACCACTCCAAAATCTTTGCGAAGAAAACCCCAGATGGGGTCATGAAGAGCCAGATGCTACTGAAACGACTCGACAGCAACAACAGAAGCTGGTAATACCCCCGAACACTCAGTGCTCAGTGAAGAGTCGGTCAATAAACATTTATTAAGTACCTACTATGTAGCTGGCACTATGCTAAGCACTGGGGATACAAAGAAAGGCAAAAGATGGTCCCTGCCTTCAAGGAGCTCACAATCTAATGGGGAAGACAACATGCAAACAATTCTGTACAAACAAGCTGTATATGGGACTAACTGGAAATAATCAATGGAGGGAAGGCATAAGAGGGATTAGAAAAGACTTTCTATAGAAGGTCTGGTTTTATCTGGATCTTGAAGGAAGACAGGAGCTAAGAGGAGAGAAAGCATTTCATGCATGGGGGTCAGAGTAAGAAGAGAATGTCTTTTTTTTCCAGGAGCAACAAGGTGTCCAATGTCACTAGACCGAAGACTATGTAGGGGCATGTTAAGTTATAAGAAGACTGGAAAGATGTGAATGTGTGTGTGTGTGTGTGTGTGTGTGTATGGGTGGGGCTGGTTATGAAAGAAGACTTTGAATGTCAGAAAATTTTATATTTGATTCTGTTCTTTTATTAAGCATTCCAATCACTGCAGTGGCTCTAAGGGACCACTGGATTTTATTGAGTAGAAAGGTTGGGTGGACGAAGTGGGGTGGGGGCGAGCGTTTCATGACATGGTCAGACTCACTTGAGGAAGATCCCTTTGACAGCTGAAAGGAAGATGGAATAGAGTGGGGCAAGACTTGAGACAAGGTAGACCGGCCAGCAGGGTATTGCATGAGGTGATGAGGCCCCGTGGCAGGGTGTGGTGGCAGTGTCAGAAGAGAAAAGAGGGCCTATTCAAGAGATATACACAGCTAAAATCGACAGGCTTTGGCAACAGATTGGATATGGGGCTTGAGAGAGAGTGAAGAGTCAAAGTTAACACCTAGCTTGTGAGCCTGGGTGACCGTGAAGATGGTAGTGCCCTGGAGAGTCTAAGGTGAGGGTGGCAAGCAAGAATCCAGCAGCCGTGTGGAGCTCCCAGACCTCTGTACAGAGCCTTTAGCCTTAAGAAACGAACCCTGAGTATGAGCCCCTGACTGGGGCAGTGATGAGGAGCTGATAGCAGCAATGTGGAGACCTCAACACATTTCCTTCAGTATGGGGTCCAAGGTGGGAGAACACAGAGAAAAGAACAGGGACTTGATAGTTTCCCTTTGTTATTTCTTCTTTTTTCCCCTGTAGGGTAAATTACCTTATAGGAATTTCTTTTCATTTTCTTTTTTTCCAGCTGCTGACCTTTTGCTTCATCTGGAATATTTCTTATTGTTTGTAAGGTTGGACAGTAGAGGGGGCTGGGCTTGAATAAAAAAATGTCCATCATCGTATTGGATCTCTGCTTTTCCTCTCTATAAAAGTTGTTTTTAGTTGACTTTATGTAAGTCCTATGTCAGCAGTATTTTATGTATACTGTTATTTCCAATGGATTTTCTCTTCCTCATGGTTTTGTTAGTAATATTGAGAAATATCAATGATTTCTGTCAGTTTTGAATCTTGCTGCTTTACTGATGCTATTGTCTCAATTTTTTACTGCTTCCCTAAGGGTCTCTAAGCAAACTATCATATTGCCCCCAAATAGGTATCCATTTGACTTTTTTTTGCCTGATCATTCTTTTAATTTCCATTTTGAAATTCTTTCCTTTTATTTTGAATAATTCATCTGAATTTTTAAAAATAAATTTCATGGATCACCATGATCAGAGAACGAATCACTTGATAGGCATCCTTTTTTCTATAAGCCTTCCTATATTAAGTTCGGTACTTTGATAGCAAATATAATCTATCAACGGGGTAATACTTGACGTCTTTCTGGATTGGTGGAAGTTCCTGAGCTCATCTTTCACTATCATAACTTTCTAGTACCTAGGATGATCTCTACGTTGTAATAGGACATCGGAGGTAGGGACTCAAGAATATGTTATGGCTTTAGTGAAGCATAATGCATTGCATATTAAGTGCTAATGTTTAAGCATCATGCTAGGCTCTGGGGAGTTATAAAGATGCAATATGATATATTCCTACTGTCAAGGTCCTTACAGTCCCTAGGAGGGTTGGGGTAGGTGTCAACTGTGGTGTTAATGATTTGCTCTTCTAGTAACTGAATTCTAGAACTAGAGTCTTCTCATTTTTACTGGAGTTTTCCATTAAAACTTCACTTATGAGTAACATCTCTTGTCCACTCCTTTGTTTTCAGTGTTGAAAGATGCCATTGATGTCCTTAAAGACTTTGAAGACGAAAAAGTTCCCTTGGATCAAGTACAGCCCAAACTGAAGAAATTGGGAGTCTATTGTTCCATGAACGAATTAAATAAAGCCTTAGAAAAGATACCTCCTGATAGTAAGTGAAAGGGATATTTATAGGGAAATTGGATTATTCTATTCTTCAAAAGCACTAGGGTACTGGAACTCTATTTGCTATGCCTGTCTCAAAGTGAAGGAGATTCATCATGCCGTGAATGGGGAAATTTTCAGCTCCCCTAAGTAGAAGGGTAAAGGCTCAAGTTTCTCCTTACACTCTATTTTCCCTCCCCTCCCATGTCTCCTTGTAAAATTTTCGATGTGAATGCAAATTTGATTTTTATAAACTGATTGATTTCCCTTCAAGAACACATCAAGGTCTGATTTTCCCAAGTCCCCAGAATTATGGTTGAGAGCATAGGGGTATTCTAGAATTCCCCAACTCCTAAAAATAAGCTGCTCAAAGGAATATTTGATCTCTTTCATTCAGTTAGGAAGCGTATTACTTTTTAGAATCGTATCTGAAAGTTTTATTCGATGGAAAGGACCTGGGATTTACAGTCAGAGGATCTGGGTTTAAATCTTATCTCTGAAATTTATTGCCTATGTTAACTTGGGCAAGTCACTGAATTTCTTAGGTTCTCACTCTTCTCATCTGCAAAATTAAAGCTTGGACAGAATGACCTCTAAAATCTCTTCTGGCTTTAAATCTGGGTTTTGGCAGTTGCGTAAGTTAATCTTGCCAGTATCCTTGACTTTGTGCAGCCTTGGATATGTTAGATAAGTGAATCCCAGCCTTTTTGAGTGTGAAGACCCTTTCCCATCAAATTGTACAGATTTTCGCTTGAGAGGAGTAGTTACACTTTTTAGTGTCCAGTGATTGAGAGTACAGATAATGGAGAATACAGATAATGGCTAAAACCACTATAAATTCAGTAATGCTTTTGAATAAGGGAGTAGGTGAGCTAGCCTACTATCTTACAGCATCTACAAACTTTCAAAAATTGTAATATGTTTGCTCAAGACATGTTGTTTATTCAGTCTACCAAAGGTTTTTGGTTATTTATCATGCAAAGCCACTAGGTGGACAGGGCATTGAGCCTAGAGTCAAGAAGACCTGGGTTCAAATTTGGCTTTGGATACTTGCTAGCTTTGTGGTCCTGGGCAAGTCACTTAACCTCTGTTTGACTCAGTTTCTCTATAAGATAATCACACCTACCTCCTAGGATTGTTGTGAGGATATTGTTGTGAGATATCAATTAAGATAATATTTATAAAGTGTTTTGCAATCCTTAAAGTGCTATATATATGCTACTTGTTATTATTATTCCATCACTTCACCTCACAGGGATGGGCAAACCCTAGAGCTCGTCATTACCCACAGGTATTTGCACTTCTAAGGTCAGAAACTCTGTCATTCCTCTCTATGACCATATCCTCCTACTATTCCATCTCTACCTATGTCTTACCTCTCCTAAATCGGTTCTTCCCCCCTCGTCACGACCTCCAGTCCCTCCACCCCTCAGTACCTCTTCAGGTCATTGATCTTGCTCGAACTTCACCTTCTTTCCTTCTCAATTTGTACTGGACCCGGCCTGACTCAGGAATGAGACTCATGGGCCATCCCGCACTGGACAAAAAGGAAGTTTACGTGGAAAAGATACTTTGCAGTGATAGACCATTGGTTCGGAGAGACACAGTGTCTCTTATCTCCATACAGAAACACATCTGGGGGCAGCTAGGTGGCACAATGGATAGAGTACTGGCTCTCGAGTCAAGAGGACCTGACTTCAAATCTGGCCTCAGACACATAACACTTACTAGCTGTGTGACCCTGGGCAAGTCACTTAACCCCATTGCCTAGCCAAAAAAAAAAAAAAAGAACAAAAAGCAATTTGGAATTTTAGGGGGCAGCTAGGTGGTGCAGTGGATACAGCATCAGCCCTGCAGTCAGGAGGACCTGAATTCAAATACGGTCTCATACCAGATACTTGACACTTACTAACTGTGTGACCCTGGGCAAGTCACTTAACCCCAATTGCCTTGCAAAACAAAAAGAAAGAAAGAAAAAAAAGGAACACATCTGGTCAGAAGGGTGTGTTAATTCATATATCTATGCGACATCCACCAAGTCTGATGGGATTCCTAATGGGCTAGATATATTTTTATTCCTTAAGTGAATGAAATGCCTTGTTAATAGCTCAAGTCCTCTCTGGGGCAGCTTCCTTGCCTTTTATGGAAAAAAGACCTGTTTACCAGTTCATTTTCTGCTGCTTTCAAACATGCCTAAAGGGGCAGCTATGTGGCACAGTGGATAGAGCTGAGGCCCTGGGGTCAGGTCAAACCTGGCCTCAGACAATTAGTCTGAGTGTGACCTGGGCAAATCACTTAACCCTGATTGCCTCCAACAGCCCCACCCTCCCCCAAACCCAAAAACCATGTCTAAGACTTCCCCTCCTTAAAAAACCTTCACTAGACCCTGCCATCCTCTCAATCCGTCATCCTATAGTTCTCCATTTCTCACCCGAACTCCCAGAAAAAAGCTTTCTGTTCTGGATGACTTCACTTCCCCTGCTTTCACTCACTTCTTCACCCTTTGCATCATGGCTTTTGGGGCTCATCATTCAAATGAAACTATCTTTCTAATGTTAGCAGTGATAATGTATTTGCCCAAGGTGCTAACCTTTTTTCACTCATCAGCCTTCTGGACCTCTCTGCTTAATTTTTATATTACTGACTACCTTCTCCTCCTGGATATTCTTTTTCTCTGGTTTTTGTTTTTGGATACTGTTCTCTCTTGATTCTCCTCTTTCCTGGCAGACTACTTAGTCTTCTTTGCTGGCTTGTCACTCATATTACGTCATGTAACTATGGATGTACTCCGGGGCTGAGTCCTGGGGCCTCTTCTCTGTCTACCCTCCTTCTCAGTGACCTCACCAGGTCTAATGGATTTAATTATCATCTTTTTATCCAGCCTGATTACCTCACTTCAGCTCCAGTACTGTATCACCACCTGTCTACTAGGGATTTTAAACCAGACATCTTAAAGACATCTTCAACTTAATACTCATTATCTTTCCCCCTGAGCCTACCTCTCTTTCTAAACTTTTTTTTTTCTGTCCAGGCACTATCACCCTTGCAGTCACTCAGGTTAGCAACCTTGGCATATCTTGACCAATCAGTTGCCAAATTTTATTGTTTCTGCCTCTGTACTATGTCTTGTGTCCTGCCCCTTCTCTCTGCTCACACAGCCATCACCTTATCTCAGGTTATTATTATTTCTCCCCTGGACTATTTTAATAGGCTTCTAATTGGTCTCCTTGTCCCAGGTTTCTTCCCACTCCAAATCCATCCTCCATGAAGTGACCAAGATGACTTTACTTATGCGCAGATCAGACTCCATCACTCCCCTCCTCGGTAAACTCCAGTGACTGACTTACCTGTGCCTCTAAGATAAAATATAAATTCCTCTATTTAGTTTTTGAAGTCCTTTGCAACCTGGCTTCAACAAGTATTTTCAGCCTTATTGTATTTTGCTCCTTTTCCCGCACTCGATAATTCAGCCAACTTGTCCTGTGTTCCTTATATGTTCCTTATATATTCCTCACTCAACTACCCATCTCTATGCACTAGCTGTCCACTAGCGACATGAAGCCTTTCTCAATTCTCCTACAACTGCTAGTGTTCCATCCTCTAGATATCTCTTTTTTCAACTACCTTATATTCACTTTGTATTTGCTCTTTATACATCTATGTTTTGTGGTGTGGTGGGCATGGCTTCAGTCCCGTTTTCTTCTATTTTTTTTCTCTCCCTTGGTTAGTTTACTCACTCATGCTGTCAGGTTGAGGGTACCCAGAAGGGATGCTTTCAGGGTCCTAAGGGTAACCCTGGTGTGGGAGAGCTATATTTCCACCATTTAAACACTACCTTCTACTCCCCTTTCTGCATTTCACAGTTCACAAACCAGTCAAGATGACACCATTAACTCTTAATCAGAAACATTTCCTAAACTGAAGGCAAAAAAAGAATAATGTAATCATAACCTTCTTCCCATAAACCTAGGACACACTTACTTGCTCATCAATGCACCTAGTGTTTGGGCAGAAGGGTGGGCACAGACTTACCTAACCTTAGCAAGGGGCGCATACTCCCACTGGGTAGCTCACATCGATGGACAGTGGGCCTTGATGTCCTTCAGACACAGTCTCTACTGTTCACTGTTGGAGTCAGGCTGTTTTTTCTTGAGGGCCTCTCCATTCTTTTCCTGAGACAGGCTAGGCTGCTTTTCTGCTGACCACTCTTCTCCTGGACTGCCAAAGGAACATTAAGCCTTTTCAGTGGAATAGAAACACCAAGCCTGAAATCTGCAAAGCCTTTTCTGTTTGCTCTCTTGGTTGGGCTTTGAGGAGTCTTCATCTCTCAGGCAGTAGTAGATCATGGCGTATTTGAGAGTTGGAAGGGGCCTCCTAGGCCATCTGCTCCAGTCCAATACACAAAAAGAATTTCCATTATAATATACTTGGTTGAAGATTTCCAAGGAGGTAGAGCCAAAGCCCTCTTAAAGCAGTCCATTCCCCCTTTGGATTGTTGTTAAGTCATTTTTCAGTTGTATCTGATTCTTCATTTGGAGTTTTCTTGGCAAAGATACTGGAGTGGTTTGCTATTTCCTTCTTCAACTCATTTTACAGATGAGGAAACTGAGGTAAATAGATTTAAGTGACTTGCCCAGGGTCACCCAACTGGGAAGTGTGTGAGACCAGATTTGAACTCAGGAAGATGAGTCTTCCTGACTCCAGGCTGGGTACTCTATCCACTACACCATCTAGCTGTCTCATCCTGTTTAGATAGTTCATTATAATTGCTATGAAGTTTTCCCTGAAAGAAGGAAAACTCTTCCTGAAATGAGGAAGCTGGTGGCACAGTGGATAGAGTGCTGGGCCTGGAGTCAGGAAGACCTGAGTTCAAATTTGACCTCAGACCCTATAAGCTATGTGACCCTGAACAAGTCACTTAACCCATTTGCCTCAATTTCCTCAACTGTTAAATGAAGATAATAATAGCACCTACCTTCAAGAATTTTTGTAGGAATCAACTGAAATAATATTTGCAAAGCATTTAGCCCAGTGCCCGGCACATATTGGGTGCTTAATAAATGCTTATTCCCACCTCCTCCCTCTCTGACTTTGAGCCTGAATTTGCCTCTTGGCAACTTTTATCCATTGCTCCTAGTTTTCCCCTCTGGGGCCAAAGAGAACACGTCTAATCCCTCTTTACATGACGCCCCTTCAGATACCCGAGGACAGCCATCGTATCCCCCAATCTTATTTTTCCCAAGTTAAATATGCCCCGTTCCTTCAACCAGTTCTCATTTGTGGTGCACTGGAGAACCTTTGCCATCCTTGTTGCCTTTTTTTCTGGCTATTCAATCAATCAGTCAATAAACATTAAGTGCCTACTGTGTGCCAGGCACTATTAATGTCCTTCTTAAATCACGGAGCCCACAACTGAATGTAGTACTCAAGAGGAAGTCTGATAAGTCTGTTACCTTCCTGTGCCTCTCAACATAATCCAAGATGACATTAACTTTTTGGGCTGCTAAGTCACACATTTCACAAACCGGTCAAGATGACACCATTAACTCTTAATCAGAAACATTTTCTAAACTGAAAGCAAAGCAAGAATAACATAATCACAACCTTCCTCCCACAAACCTGTTGATTTACTCATATTGAGCTTGCCGTCCATTTAAACCCACAGGTATTTTTCAGAGCTGCTGCTATCTAGCCACGCCTCCTCCATTTTAGACTTAGGAAGCTGCTTTCCTCTAACCAACTGTAAGACTTTACATTTATCCCTATTGAATTTCATCTTACTGAATTAAGCACGATGCTCTTGCCTGTGTCATCTACTGTGTTTAGCTATCCCACCCGGCACTGTGTCATCTGCAAATCCGAGGAGCGTACCATCTGTCCCTTTATATGTCTTTAGGTGGCAGTGATGGCAAAGGCAAAGATAAAGGCATTTCTTTCTCTAGTCAGCTCCTCCAAACAGCAAAGCTTTTCTTCCAATTAGTCTTTCCAAGAAACAAAGCTTTCTTTCAGTCGGCTTTTCCAAGATGCATAGTGAAGGCTCCCAAGATGCCTTTTAGACCAAGCTCCAAGGACTGCTTCTCAGACTCATTCTGATATATGCTCTTCACCAGCCTTACTACTCTAAAACAAGGTATCTTGTGAAGTGAATCACCCATATCTTATGATGAGAAGCCCAAATCCACATTTCCATCAGGCATAGCACAACTAGGCAATATCTGTGGTGACTGTTGTCCCATTGAGGGAAGCCAGATGACGCTCTGCCATTAACTTACTACTAGGCAAGTCACTTAAAACGGTCACCTCAGTTTTCTCATCTGTAAAATGGGGTCACTAATACTAGTAATTGTCCTTCATACTCGAAGAGGACCAAAATGACATTACTATGTTGGAGTCATTGTGTCTGACTGTGGCTGATCAGACAACCTCAGAATGCTCTACCGCAGGTCTGGTACAAATAGTCCGTACTCTAAATACTGAATTCATAGGGTGACTATCCCAATCAGCAAGACTCATAATCCTGAGTTCATATTCAGCCTCAAACATTTACTAGTAGTGTGACCTTGGATAAGTCATTTAACCCTGTTTGCCTCAGTTTCCTCATCTGTAAAAAAAATGGGCTAGAGCAGGAAATGGCAAACCACCCAAGGATCTTTGCCAAGAAAACCCCAAATGGGGTCATAAAGTGTCAGACACAAACTGAAACAACTGAGTAGCAATGAAGTTATCTCCCCTGAAGGAATATAAAGTCTTTGAGAGGAGAGATTGTTTCATTTTGGGTTTTTTTTTTTGTATCCACAGTGCCTGACACATACTAGGTGCTTAATGCAGGCTTAGTGATCAAGTGATTGTATTGATTCTTTGTCATAACTCTATCATATATATTCTGCAGATAGAGAACCACTGCCTCAGGTCATCTGAAAAGGACTTTAGATATCATCTTGTTTGATCCTCTCATTTTATAGAGGAGATAACTGAGTGACTTGCCTGAAGTAGTAATTAGCAGAGCAAGGCCAGGCTTAACTCAGACGAGTTCAGTAATTCAGCCATAGGCTCAGAAAGTAATGAGACACTGGTGGACCATTAAATGCAATAAAAATGACTTTGCTAATAATAAAAGGGAAAAAAGAGACATTGTTCCTGAGGTTAAACGTGACAGTAATTCAGATAAAAAGGCTACTCTCCTCTGTCTCTGCATTTACTATGGCAACCAACCACATTAAGTCAGAAAAGTGTTCCAAACCAAGGAATGGGAAATCTGTTAAAACCTCTAATACCTCATAAGCTGGGCCTTTTATCCCTCAGATGGCAAGGAAGCCAAACCAGTAATCATCCCAAGAATGGCCTCCCTACCTCCTTAAAGGGAAACCAGCCCAATCTGCATAAACTAGGCGACAGTCCTATATATCCTCTTTCTCCAGGTCCTTTCAATTATTTGGTGACTGCTTCTAGTTTCCCATCTGATATTGCTTTAGGCCTGTCTCAAATGGGCATCAGTAATTGAAAGAAATTTTGCAAACAGAAGGGAGCTGTGGAAATACATGATAACATTTGTCACGTGCTTGTTATGAGCACTGAGCAGCTGTAGTTCCTTCGAATAATGATCATTTTGAGTATGAGTAGCAGCATGTTATGTATGCACAGCTCTGCCGTTAACTTACTATTAGGCAAGTCACTTAAAACTTTCTTCACCTCAGTTTTTTCATCTGTAAAATGGGACCACTAATACTCGTTCTAGTTAGTTGTCCTTCATACTCGAAGAGGACCAAAATGACATTACCATGTTGCAGCCATTGTGTCCAACTGTGGCTGATCAGACACCCTCAGAATGCTTTACCGCAGGTCTGGTACAAATAGTCCATATTCTAAATACTGAGCTCATAGGGTGATGATCCAATGAGCAAATGCATTTGAAAATATATATTATGTATGGGTAGTTCTCATAAGAATTTCTCATCATCTATTCCTCACCTTCAGTAGGCACAGGGTCAACCTGGTGTAGTGGATAAGAAGATCTGGGTTAGAGTTCTGCCTCAGATATTTACTGGCTGTTTGACCCTGGGGTAAATTACTTAACTTTTCTTCATCTGTAAAATAGTGATAATAATAGTACCTATTTTACAAAGTTATTGTGAGGATCAAATGATAAATGTATATTGTATTAATGTAAATGATAAATGTGTATATTGCTTTTCAAGCCTTAAAATGCTATAGATGTCTGAACTATTATCATTATTGTTATTTGATTTTTGAGTTTCTGTTTTCCTTTGGTTTTCTCAGTTACTAGGTGGTATTGGCTCTATGTCTTTTACCTTATTTCTGAGTGCAGAACTCCAGCCCCACTTTTGTGGTTCATACCTGTGATTTTATCAATGTGGGGAATTCTCACTGTGGAAACTCCCTCCTTTCTCTCATATTGGCAATTTGTTTACAATTTATGGTCCCAAAGAGTTGCTTGAGGCACTGAAAAGCTAGGTGACTTGCTTTCACTCCTAGAACAAATATATGTCAGAGAATGTGAGAATTGCTGGTCTTACTCTAAGCCCATCTGTCTATGTAACATCCTCTGCTGCATCTCATATAATTCCTTATTTTAGGTAACTCCAGATTTTTAATAATGGTCTTAATAACTGAAAGCATTAGGGAAAAATCAAGCTAAGTATATTATTGAAGAAGACTTTAGGAAACGGTCACTCTCTACATTAATTATTTTCTCTCTCATGTTCTTTCAGGTAAAGGAGAAGTGGATTTTAATAAGTTTGTTAAAACTCTGATGAGTAACCCCTCGTTAGGCAAAAGAAAATGTAAGTAAAATCATACTTTATTCTTCTTTGCAAGCCAGACATTTCAAAATCAACACACATAATTGGAAAAGAATGTAAGGACATTCAAAAGTTACCCTACTATAGTCTTTAAGCAAAAACAAAACAAAACAAAAAACCCCAAAACCCCCAAATCTCACTGATTACCTCTGAGATAATTTGACCCTATTCCTCTCCAATTCTATTCCTTAATCTTGGAGCTCATTTCACATTGTGAGAAGTTAAAACCTACACTTGTTAATTCTCTTACTTCCTAACTCAGGGGTGGGAAACCTACGGCCTTGAGGCCACATATGGGTGCTCTAGGTCCTCAGGGTCACACTTGAGGACCTAGAGTGCCATATGTGGCCTCGAGGCCAGAGGTTCCCCACCACCCCTGCTAGCCATTCCTGGTGGGGACTATAGCAAAGATAAAGAGCAGAGGAGGAGAAGAAGGTATTCAGAAACAAGGTGTGCTCACTGTTAATTGGTGCACAGACTGTTTAAACCTGTTTAAAGTTTGAGAATCTAATGCCATCTAGTGGGGAAATGACCTGCTGTCTTCCAATATTTGAAGGAAGGCCTGCAATGTGGAAATGGGATAAGACTTGCTGTTTGGCGTCAGACTGGAGAACTAGATTGAGTGGATAAAAGTGACAGGAAAGTAGGCTTTGGCTCAGTTTAAAGAAAAATTTCCCAATACTTAGAGTTGTCTGGAAATGGAATGTGTTGCCTTTTAAGATAGAAAGTCTGTCGTTAGAGGAAATCAAGGAGAGGCTAGAGACCATCAACTTGTCATGGATATTGGAGTCAGAGGATCTGGGTTCTAATCCTGCCTCTGTCATAATCATGGGCAAATCACTTAACTTTTCTGTGACTCAGTTGCCTCATCTGTTAAATGTAGGAGTTGGTCTGATTGAAATAGGTTTCTTATTGTTCTATATTATATATACACACACACATATATATATATACACACATACATACACACACACACACACACATTCACACACATACATACATTCAAGGGGTTGACTGATCACGTAAGAGACTAGACTAGATGATCTTTACCAACGCCAGGATCCTATGACATTGATATACATATTGATAGTATGGATAGGACTTTTAATTTTTAGACCTATCCCTAAATTATTCTACAATCAGGTTACGAATCTCATAATCTTTTGGCTAGGCAATGGGGTTAAGTGACTTTCCCAGGGTCACACAGCCAGTAAGTGTTATGTGTCTGAGGCCGGATTTGAACTCAGGTCCTCCTGAATCCAGGGCTAGTGCTCTCTCTACTGTGCCACCTAGCTGCCCCAACTCTCGTAATCTTTTGTGAGACAAGTTTTTGAATAATATTAAAATGAGATTAGTAAAATTTTCATACCACGTTGAGAGAAGTTGTATTTTTAGACTTTCAACTCAATATCCTTCTTGCTTTTCCTAGCACATAGTCTTTCATCTCTCATCTCCAAGCATTTTCATTTTCACTGGCCTGGAATACAAGAGAAATTAGGGATAGTTTCAGAGGAAAAGCAATGTGTGTGTGTGTGTGTGTGTGTGTGTGTATGTGTGTGTATGTATATATACATACACACACATATATACTCATACACATACATATGTGTATATATCCATATGCATGTATATAAGTGTCTCCTGTATATGTATATATTTGGATGCATGTATATGTATATCTGTATAGATGTCGATATCTATATGTTTAGTTCTCTGTGTGTCTATAGACATTGTTAATCTGTGCTTGCATCTTTGAATGTAGTTGAGGGTAAGGCCTGTATTGTTATTTCCATTTCACAGATTGGGAAACTAAGGGTTGAAAAGATTAACTGAATCAGGAAACCGTGGATTAAAAATCTTGCCTTTGATACTCACTAGCCGTGTGACCCTGGGCAAATCACTTAACTTTTCTGAGTCTCATTTTTCACATTTGTAGAATAAAAAGGCATAAGGTATGAAAATATTAGGGATAATTAATAGCTGTAGTACCTATTTCACAATCACGAGGTTGTGAGTTGTGACACTCAAAATTGAATCACTAAGTCACAGATATTCCTTCTATGAATTTCTGGTGACGATGACCTGGCACTTAATTACCATCATAATTCCTTCCCTTTCTACAAACAAATCTTCATGGTCCAGTCATGCTTAATGCTTCTTTGTTAACATATTGTTGGTTGAATTCATATGGATGTCACCCATGGAAAGCATTTTAATTCCATTCTTGGATCTTAGCCATTTTATATGTGTACCTGTTATTAGCCTTTACAGTTACTTGGTCAAGTGATATTTGCTTGTTCCAAAAGTGTTCCTCCAAATTTTTGTCCTGTTTTTCATGTTCTCTAATAATGTCGGTCAATTCTCTTCCTCCTTTGTGGAGAGGCACCCTTGGACCTGAGGGTACTATTGACAAAAAACCAACCCACCAGCCAGCCAAACCCAGTATGAAACTTTTGCTTTTAATTGGTAAGATCCATTTCAAATTTTGTTATGATATGGTATTGGTACATAATGAAAGTGTATTTGATCCAATTCATATATACTTATTTTCCTGGGTAGCACAATCCACACCAAAGTATTTCCAACATGTATCACACTAGTTTTTCTGACTTGTTTTGATGTCTTTTACCTCATTGTAGTATCAGAATACTATTCACTATGCAATTCTTTGTGTCAAACTGATTATAATTACAGTTTTGAGTAAGGCCAGCCTTTAAATCTATGTTGCTCTATCTGTTTCTTAGATTCATAGCAACTGTTTTTATCCCTCTGACTGGGGTGCTAATCCAATCAATGGTTTTGTCAGAATCCAACTGGCTTGTATTGTTTAGGGTGTCATGGAAGGAATACAGTCTCTGACCTACCATCTTCACAACATGGATGATAGGTTGAGCTTTGAGGGTGATGTTATTATTATCATCATCATCAAACTTATTCTCTTCCTTTCCGATGGGGTTCAGATTGAAATAGTCTTGGGAAAACTCTCTATTCTGTTCAATTATTCTTTTATATTTAATGTTCTATGGACCATTGCACAGGTGGATAAAATAATTATTTTTTGTAGTTTAATAAGAGCATGATAAGCTTAGCCTCTGCAGGCTCACTGTAGGTATCCTCAGTACAATTTCATAGCAGACAGGCCAATATTATTGTTATTATTATTTGTCTAAGTGGCATATTAATCATATTGTCCTCTGAGCAAGGGGCCATTTGTAAAGCTGGACTGTCTGTGTGCAAGTCAGGTCTATACAGATTGGTTAAATTGGACCTAAGATCTGACTATTTTAGGTGCCCCATTATTCCGAGGCCATCTTAACAATGAGAGGAGCAAGATGGGTATTCCTGCATTCTTTTTTTTCCTGAATTTATTTTTTTATTAATTTATTTTGATTTATCAACAATCACTTCCATAAACTTTTGAATTTTAAATTTTTCTCCCCTTTCCTCCCTCCCTCCCTCCCCAAGATGGCACGCAATCTGATGTAGGCTATACATATAGATTCTTATTAAACATATTTTCACATTAGTGACGTTGTAAGTAAGAATTAGAACTAATAGGAGGAACCACCAGAAAGAGGAAACAAAACACAACAGAAGAAAAAAAATAGCAAATAGTATGCTGTGATCTGCATTCAAACTCCATAGTTCTTTCTTTGGAAGTGGAGAGCATTTTCCATCACGAGGCTTTTGGAGATTTCTTAGATCCTTGTATTGCTGAGAGGGGTTAAGTCTATCAAAGTCAGTCATCACTCAATGTGGCTGTTACTATGTACGACATTCTCATGGTTCTGCTCACTTCACTTCAGCATCAGACCATGCAAGTCTTTCCAGGTTTATCTGAAGTCTGCCTGTTCATCATTTCTTGTAGCACAATAGTATTCCATTACATTCATATATCACATTCACAATTATGATAACTATCTGTGTCTTTCTCTCCATCCTTCCCCCCCACCCCGTTTATGCTTTTCTTTCTGCTTTCTCCTTTTCCCTCCTCACTAATGTTTTGCTTTTGACCACTACCTCCCTCAGTCCCACCTCCCTTCTATTAGCCCCCTCCCTTTTCTTTCCCCTTTTCCCTCCTACTGCCTATAGGGCATGTTAGATTTCTATACCTAACTGATTATGTTATTCCCTTCTTAAGCCAAATCTGATGATGCCTATAAATATGCCATTGAGGCACATTTCACTAGATAAGCTGGTGTTGTCAGATCTGGCCATATTTGTTACAGATGTAGACTGATATAGTGTGAAAGCTGGTTTATCTCAAGTTCTACTAGTCGTCAAAGCATTTATGTATGTCTGTGATACATTGGTTACAATAATGGCCTTAAGCTACTAAAATTCCGGAAGTGCCTTTTGAATAATTTAAAAAAGGATAAAATTCTGTTCAGTGTAATCTTAATATTATTCATTAGAGCCTATTTATTTGAAAAATGGTATTTTAAGAATGGAAAAGTGATAACTCTAGTGGAAAATTTTGCCAAATAGAAATACTTTATTTGCTGATGATGACTGATAAAAATTAAATGGATCAACATAATGTGAATGAACCTTTCCCCTCCTCTAAACCCACAGCAATAGAAGAAAGTCTTGAAAAAGTGGAGACATTTAAGGGCAACAAGGCTTCAGTGCACGATTTGTGGGACACTCTGCACACATTAGACCCTGATTTGACGGAAAAGGAATTCCAAGAGGCACTGAAGGCAGTCCCACAAGATGGTTGGTATTTTAAATATAAAGTCTTTGAGTAGACATTTACTAGGTGCCTACTATGTGCTCGTGCTGAGAATTACCATGAGTAAAAGAGGAGAACCAGAGACCAAAGTTTCTGGTTTCCCATCTTGGCAGACTCAGGGCTAGATTCTATAAAGCAGGATCATCTTATAGCCTAACTTAGTGGAAAGAGCTAGAATTACCCTGACCAGGAAGACCCCTTTTTTGGATAGCTTTCCCATTAGCTGTCTAGCTTCCCCTCCCGCCAAACCTAAGAGTTAATCTGTAAGTGCAAATCAGAAGTCAATGCCATGTACACCCGATGGTACAATGGATAGGGTGATGGACATAGAGTCAGGAAGTCCTGGGTTCAAGTATTGCCTCATGGGCAAGGGTCTAAACCTCACCTTTCTCAGCCTTAGTCTCTTCATCTGTAAAATGGGGTTAATATGACACCTACCTCACAAGCTGTTGTGAGAATCAAATTAGATAACATAAATAAAGCACTTTGTGAACCTTAAAGCATTATATAAATAACAGCTGTTATTATTGTTTCCCTAATAAATCTTACTCTCATTGTTTCTGAAGTTTTCTTAGTTAGGGTGACTTTGTTCTCTGGTGTTCCTAACTTTAGCTTGGAATTTTGTTCTTTATTTTCTGTGTTCCTGACATCCCTGTCTGTTTACAATCCCAGACTGGTAACCTGACTTTGTTTTTAATCAGAGCAAATCAGAACAGGATCTGAGCCCTTTCTCCTGATGAAATGTGGAATGAAGAAGTTAAAATATTTAGAGTAATAACTGATGTTTTTTAATGGACAAGTAATGGGCTTAAACAAGTTCAATGAATCAATAACAGAAATGGAATCAGAGAACCAAAGAGCTGGAAACAATCTCTAAAGATCAGCTGATCTAACTTCCCTAGCCTCTTCAGATAGGTGAAAGGCTAAACCAAAACTGATGATTGTTTCTCTTATTTAAAAAAAAAGATTAACTTAATAATCACCACTAGGTGTATAATCAATCAAACATATGAAAATAAGGAATAAAATCTACATATGTTCTTGGTATTTAACCAAATGAATTAGTATAACAAACAAGTAAAGAAGATGCTTTCATTCTATATTTCTTTCCAGGCATATCTGAAGTTCTAGCTTTTCTCTTCCCTCTCTTTCCCTTCCTCCTTCTCCTCCTCATTATTCTCCTTCCCTCTGCCTATTCTATTTTCTTTTCATTTCCTTTTGTTTTTCTTCTTCTTCTTTTCCTTTCCTTCAAGGACATATTTGTCAATATGAATATAGTTCTGGTTCTGATGACTTTGCTTTATATTACTTCATAGGTCTTTACCTATTTGCTCATCTGTTCTACATTCGTTATTTTTAGTGACCATAATATGCAATATAAAATTCAGCTAATGTACAGTATTTGGACAAATTGAGGTTCTCCTCATTTTTCTATTACAAAACAAGTAGCTATGAATAATATAGATTTTTTCAAATAGTCTTTTTTTCCCTAATGCTACTTTAGGATAAATACTAAAAGTAGAAATTGCTTTCTCAAAAGGTATCAACATTGCCTGGCACATAGTGTAGGTGCTTAATAAATGCTTGTTGATTTATCGATTTCTCTGTGACTCATATGACATGTTGCCATATTGTTCTCTAAAATGTTTGCTCCAGTTGTAGTCTTATCAGCATTATTGTAAGAGTGCCTACAGTCCACCTACAATCATTTTTTCAGTTTTTGCCATTCTAATGGGAGATACCTTGAAGTTATTTTGATTTTTATTTCCCTGATTATTAGGGAATTTTTCTTTCTTCTTACTAAAGATTATTAAAGCAAGGCAATTCCGTAGCTTCCCTTGCCCAAGGAGCTAAAATTCTTCTACCTAGGAAAACTTCTAAGACAATCACAGATCACTCCAGGATTCAAGGCTTTCTGTGAGTTGGTCCTCCAAACTTCACTCCAAAATTATAGTTCAGTTTGGTTGGAGAATGAATGTTTTATTACCCTTTTCTTTTATTATCCATTCTCACATGGCATATTTTGATATCATAGTCATCCCACAAAAACAGATAATATATGAAAAATGCTTTGCAAACATTAAGACATTATATAAAGGTTAGTTAGTTAGTTAGTTAGTAGTAGTAGTAGTAGTAGTAGTAGTAGTAGTAGTAGTAGTATTCTTTGTTCATATAAAATTTGAAAAAAGTAATCAGGTTTTGCTGACTAACTTAGTTGCTCATTAATGACATAGAAACCAGTATAATAATGTATAATGTCTTCATCATATCCTGATCTTTATCCAGCAAGACTGACATATTCAAAATATTTTGTATCCAAAATATTTTATCTTGCAGAAAATAAAAAGGTAGATTTTGACGAGTTCTGTCAGGCTCTAGAAGATAGAAGACAACAAGCACAGGAAATAATAGGTAAGAAATGGATCAATGGTGATCTGATACAAATTCATTTTTACTGGTTAAAAATGTAGAGTATTATTTTCAGTCAACTCATGTTAGGAATGCAGACAACTATAGGACAACAGAATTTATGCTTGGCTAATGGTTGGAAGTCTTGACTTGGAATCTAAGAGTTTTTAACAAAGAAATGAGAAAGTTCTTTCCCCAGAGAAGCTATGTATTTAGGACTGAATTAGTTTTGAGAATAGTAGCTCACATGGATATCTTCTTTCCACCCCCAGACCTTCAGGTATTGGCTTTCTGATTTTCCTAGGGGTGAAGACCCTCTACATATTCATAAGTCTTAAAGTTAGTACCCTATCCTGTGGCTCAAGATTTGGCATTAGGAGTTTTCCCATGATCCTTTGAACTGCTTCTTTCAGGAGCCCATTCCTCATACTGGTTTCTTTAAGAATAACAGCTGTTTGCAACAGGAATAATCAACTATGAGTTTCTACTTTCCCATTTTTTACATTACAAGAAAGCATAACTTTTGTTTGGGCAAAAGGACCTCACAGAAGGCTGCTTATTTCATAGGAAAAAAAAAGTTACAAATGGTCAGTTGGCTAAAGAAGGAATGTGCAGATGTTTAGTTTGGAAAAGAAAAGATTTAGTTCGGGTACAACAGTTTTTCCCAGGTATTTGATCCTTATGTTGAAGTGGGATTAGACTTATTTTTCTTGGCCGTAGGGAGTAAGGACAATGGATGGAAATTTCAAAGCCTGACTTATACGCAATATGATGGAAACACTCTCTTACAAGTAGAGCTGCTATTAGAATATTGGAATAGACTGCTTTGGAAAACATTGGTTTCTCCTCCTTGGAGTTTTTCAAGCAGATGCTAGATGAGCACTCGTCATGGATGCTATAGAGGGGTTTTTTAATTGGATACAGATTGAGCTGGATGATCTCTTGTGATCCCTTCCAACTCTTAAAAGTCTATGGTTCTATTAAGGTCTAACCATGCTAGTTGTATCGAGTGACGTCATTAATGCACAAGGGTAATTGATCATACTGGGTTGGGAAACAAAATATAGTATCCTGAAGGAATGGCTATGATCTATGATCCTTTAATTCAAGGCAGGCAACTTTTCATAGGATAAAAAGGAAAAGTCTGGAATTTGGGCCATTGCTGGAAGGAGAATAAGGCTGGGTGAGTGGCAGGAGCGTGGAGGTTATGAGGGAATGATGGGACTTGTCAGTCTGGGGTCAGCTGGAGGGGATTAGCTATCTCCATACAGAAGTTTAGAGCAGGGCACCCCAAAAAGTGATGGCAATGTTGAAGAAGGAAATGGGAGGTTCCAAAACTTCTCTTACTGAACCATTTTGCCCAGTTCTGGCTCCATTAACATGCCTTAAGCCTATTTTAGACAATTTAAACACTACCACAATAACATAGGGAGTAACAGAGCCAAACATCCTGCAAGGTCAAGTGGATTGTGTACTGACGGCCAAATCTAAGACATTTCACATGCATCTAAAGTTACGTCAAGGCTTAGGCAAGTTGTTTTCTTGAGGGTATCTTTAAGCCTTGTGTTCCTTGCTATTGCTTATATTCACAAGAGGTCTTAGTTTAGGTTTGAATTAAGTCTGTTTCTTTTTGGCAGGGTCAAAGCAAATAAAGACTTTGATCTTATTACATTGAAAGAATGAGAATTTCAATTGGGTATGGAAATCGGTCTTACCCTATAGGAAAATAGGGGGAGAAGGGGACAGGAGAGCAGGGGGGTGATAGAGAGGAGGGCAGATTGGGAAAGGGGGTAATCAGAAGCAAATACTTCTGAGGAGGGATAGGGTCAAAAGAAAGAATAGAATAAATGGGAGGGCAGGATAGCATTAAGGGAAATAGAGTTAGTTTTTCACAACATGTCTACTAAGGAAGAGTTTTGCATAACTGCACATGTACAACCTATATTGAGTTGCTTGCCTTTTCAATGAGGGTGGGTGGGGAGGGAGGAAGGGAGAAAATTTGGAACTCAAAGTTTTAAAAACACATGTTTTAAAAAAAATGTTTTCACATGCAACTGGGAAATAAGAAATACAGGAAATGGGGTACAGAAGTCTATCCTGCTCTACAGGAAAATAAAGGGGGAAGGAGATAAGAGAAGGTGGGGAGAGATAGAAGAGAAGGCAGACCAGGGGAAGGGGTATTCAGAATGCATGCCATCTTGGGGTGGGGGGAGGGGTGAGAAATTTGGAACTCAAAAACTTGTGGAAGTGAATATTGAAAACTAAAAATAAATACATTTATATTAAAAAAAGAAGAAAAAAAGAAAGAATGAGAATTTGCTGCTATTGGTTGATTTTTATCACTGGAGGAAATGTAGGTAGAGCCCTGGTAATACATAAGCGTGGGTTCCTGAATGTGATATTGCTGAGAACAAACTCATGGCTAGTTTGGCCTTCTCACCACAGATTTCTCCTCTCCCTCCCTCCTTCCCTTCCCCTGGCTACAAAATGTGGTAATTAGACAGGGAGTCTTATCAGCCCAGTGGTCAGAAAAACACCCTCCTCCCCCTTGTTTTTTTTTTTAAGTAAATTTTAAGTTCCCCTCCCAAGTAATTTCCATTTGTTTGCTTCTAGCACCATCTGAGAAAATCTTTGCCTTAAATAAGATCAAAGATGACAAGGTAGCCAAGAAGGATATGGATTATGTCTTGAAGAGTATGGGGATTATTTTGCCAGAAGAACAGTTGGAAAAATCGCTTGCATCTACAGGTATTTTATTTTTGTAATTTATGATTTTGTTTTATCAATGCATTTAATTTTTTATATCACTAATCCCCTAATATAAGCCTCCCCTTATTTCTTCCCCATCATTTGAAAACTCTTATGACTGAGACATTTTAGCAAAAATAACTTATATAGTGACCTTGTCTGACAGTGTGTGCAGCATTCTGCTCCCATGGTCCTCCACCTCTCTGTTGAGAAGAGTGAGGTGTCTTCCATTCATTATCCTTTCCCTAAGACTTCCTTTAGTGTTCTTTTGATTTACATGATTAGAATCACTGTACATAATGTCCTCCTGGTTCTACATACTTTATATTGATTTATACAGTTGTTTCCATGTTTCTCTCTGAATTTTCATAGTCCCTATATTTTAGGAATGGGGATAGGAACTAGACCTGTGATTTTATTGTTCTAGGGAGTTTCCTAGGTAAGGGAGCTTCCCTTGTCAAAGCAGGTTGGGATTTTCTCTGGAATTTAAGGTCTTAGAGGGCTATCTGGAATGTTGAGGGCTCAAGTGACTTGCCCACACAGCCAGTATGGAATCAGAGGCAAGATGTGAGCCCAGCCAGTACATTAATATATCCGTAATTTCTAATTTACCTCTCTATAGGTTTTGGGGAATTTCCTCAACTCTTAGCTGAGTTGAGTTATATCATTCCTAATGGGAGTTCTGTATATTGTCTGATGTGTTCTAATCTGTGTAACTCCTCTGATTTCTGCTTGCTATCCTCTTGGATAAATAGTTTTACTTACTATTTATTTGTGATGGTTTTTTTGTGCTAGCATTTGGTAGAAGGGAACTAAACTTTTGACCATAAGCTTGAGGTACTCCTTTCTCTTTAAGGAATAATGATAAGAAGAGTGACTTGAATATAAAAACAGTAATTCTCCTAAACTTGTAATATTTCCTTAAAGAGGAAGGAATATACTAATCTTATAACCACAAGCTGGGCTCCTTCCTACAAAATGCTAGTTACACAAAAGACCATCACAGAGAGTAAATAGCAGTAAACCCAATGAGAAAAAATGATTATTTCTCCCTTGTATTAATAACTAATTATTGAATGAGGACCAAGGATTTTTCCCTTTTTTACTTCTTCATCCAGAAATCAACCAGTATGGGAAATCTCTCTCAAAGGCTTTCCCGTACTAAAGATTTAAATAAAAAACAGTAAAAGAAATTCTAAGTTTAGGCTAATGGATGGATTTCTGCTCATTGTGTTTACTCAGATAGGTCTGGGGAAATATGGATTCTTCTCCTTTTTGTCAGACAGGTGATATAGAAATTGTTGTCTCCTTGACCAAGACATGGGTGATCCAAGTCACGTACCCCAAAGACCCGCATTTTAATAGAGCCCACCTCCCATTATAATATTTATTCTCTCTTATTACTTATTGAACAATGAGAGTTGATTTTCAAGGCACACTCCTTTTTCAAAAGACCATATAAATATTGAAGTTTCAACAGGTTTAATCTCTTGGCTATCGAGGGGACAATAAGCCTGTTTTTGTTGACTGCTTTCTAGATATAGTCAATAAAACTGATTTTAATTTACCCAGACACTCTGTCTCTTGGAACTTTTTAAACATCCTACCAAACAGATAAAAAACAAACTAGAAAGAATATAAAGATTATATACCAGACCATACACAGAGTGAATAGGATTTCCTACTAGAAGTAATACATCTCATACCAGTCAAGGGGAAATTCTCTCTAGGGAGAAAAAACTGGAAATTAGGGCCATATTGTATGAGGAGCTAGGTTTCCCCTCCATGTTGCCAACCAAAGTTCATTCTTTTTCTCTCTGGTTTCTCCCTGAAGAGAGTCTGGAACTACATATGTGCTCCCTAAAAGTAGGAAGGAAGAATGTCCATCTTTCAAAAGCTTTCAAGTCAAATATTCCCTCCCCACCCCACGCAGGCACACATCTTTGAGTCATCATTCTCTTCATCAATGAATGACAGGGTGTTTTTTTTTCTAATGCAAATATTTCCGGTTTGAAGCCAGGGTTATCCACTGGTACCAGAAACTCCTTGGGGGTAAGGAAACTCCTTGCACTTGTAGTCTTAGAGCCTTGAGAAGCTCAATGACTTGACCAAGATGATACAACCAGTATGTATCATAGCCAGCTCCTGCTGACTTCAGGGCTGGCTCTCTCTCCATTACTCCAAGGAAAATCGTCTAGTAGCTGAACTAGTAATAGCTTGCAATAGCTTGCCTTTCTTAACCTTTACCTTTCTCTAAATTAAAAGTTTAGAAGTTTGGGTGTTGTGAGTACTGATCTCATTTGCTGTGTATAGTCTGTTGACCTCATTCACCCAACTTTTTTGAACTTTCATTTGTTTGTAATTAGAATCAGAAATGGTATGCCTACCTTTCAGGGTTGTTGGGAGTAGCAATAAAATGAGTTTCAAACACTTAATAAATGTAAAATGCCCAGAGAAATTAAAAAAAGAATTAAACTTCTCTTTTAGTGGCCAATAAATGGACCAATAAATACTTTGTCCATGAGTTTTGTTCTGTCTCAGTCTTTCTCTTTTCTACCTCGCAGATGATGACTCAGTGAATATCAAAGACTTTGTGTCAACTTTAAGGAGCAATGACAGTTTCTCCAATTTTGCTGGTAAGAGTTTTGTCAAAATGATTATAGTAGAGTACCAAGCCTGTCGAGTCAGAGTGGTATAGAGGAAGAGTACTGGGCTTGGAGTGAGCACGTCCTGGGTTTGAGTCTCACTTTAGACACTTACTAGCTGTGTGATCCTAACCAACTCCTTTCACTTGCCTGAGCCTCAGTTCCCTTTTCTGTCAAATGAGGAGGATAATAATATCTGTCATATTAACCTTAGAGAGTTGTTGTGAGAATCAAATGAAGTAATGTCTGTAAAGTATGTTGCAGACTTTAAAGAGCTATATAAATGTCACTTACTAATGTTATTTGTGCATGGTAGGTGTTTAAATAAATGCTCATTGGATGAATGACGAGATGAATAGATGAGGACTAGGTGATAGTGTAGTTAGATAGATTTAGAATTGGCTGAATAGCAAGGTCCAAAGAATAGTCAGATATTTCTTTGGAATGAAATCTCTAGCAAGGATCTGTTCTTGGCCTGGTGCTATTTAACGTTTTATCGATGACTTGGATAAAGATGTAGATAACGTGCTTATCAAATTTGCAGATGACACCAATCTGGGAGAAATTAACTTTTTGGATGACAATCAAGATCTCAGAAATTTCAATGGGATGAGATGTTGGGCCAAATATAGTAAAATGAAATTAAATGGGAATAAGTGCAAGGGCTCTCACTTGTGTTCAAAAGACCAATTTCACATTCAATCAATCAACAAACATTTGTTAAACACCTACTATATGCTAGGTTCTTGGAGGAGATACAAAGACAAAAGTGATTGTAACTCCTGCTCTTGAGAAGCTTGTAATCTAGCAAGGAGAGCTGAAATATGCATAGAGGTATGTGCAACACAGTGAAAAGATAAATTCCAGGGGTGAGTGGGTGGGAATTTATTAGCAGCTTGGAGAATCAAGAAAACCCTCATGTAGAAGGTGGCATTTGAGATTGAGTGTCAAAAGAAGTTAAGGATCCTAAGAGGTAGAAGTAAGAATGGAGTGATTCTACATATGTGCTTGGGAGGGGGCAGGAAGGAGGGAAGGAGACCCAGTATAAAGGTATGGTGATAGGAAATGGAGTGTCATGTGTAAATGAGAAAAGTCAGTTTAACTAGATCCATAGTCTGTATGCCAGGGAGCAATGAGTAATGAAAAAGGAAAGGTAAGACTGGGCTTTGAGAGTCAACAGAGAAGTTAGTATTTGATATCCTAGGGGTAATAGTGAGCCACTAGAGTTTACTGAGGAGGGGAGCAGTGACATTGTCAGACCTGTACTCTAGGAAAAATATTGGGGCAGTTGTGTGGAGGATAAATTGAAGAGGGATTTGAGACAGGGAGATCAGTTAGAAGGCTAATTCAATAATTCAGATGAGAAGTGATGAGGGCATGAACTATGGTGGGGGCTGAGTGAGTGGCCAGAGAGAAAGGGGATCTGTCTATATGAGAGATATTTTGAAGGTAAAGTTGATGGTGTTTGGTAACTTATTGGATCTATGGGGAGAGAGAGAGAGAGAGTCAGGTGTCAAGGATAACACTGAGGCTTTGAGAGACTGAAGGATGCTGCTGCTCCCAGCAGGAATAGGGGACTTCAGAAGAAGGGTGGGGTGTTTTTTGGGAAAGATAATGAATTCTGTTTTGGATATGCTGAGTTTAAAATGTCTGTGGGATATCCAGTTTGAAAAATCAGATAGGCAACTGGTAATAAGTAATATGGGACTGGAGCTTGGGAGAGAGGGACTAGCTGTGGATATGTAGATCTGAGAGTCATCAGCATAGAGGTAATAATTAAACCTATGGGACCGAGGATGTCATTCAGAGAGACAAGAGACTTCAAGACAGGAGAGCCTTGATTTGAAACTTGAGGTTACAGTCAGGGTGCTATTAGCATGTAAGCTTTTTGAGGCAGGGACTGTTTTTACCTTTCTTTGTATCCCACAGTGCCTGTCACATAGTAAATGATTAATAAAAAAATTTTAGTTAATTGATTGATTTGTAAGTCTCTAGTATAATTATCTTAGAGAACCTGGTAATTAAAACCCAAGCCCTAATCAGGTGGTCTCTCAGGGTATCATAGTTAAGAATAAACATTAAAAGACTACCATATCTAAATAGAGCACTGTAACAAAGCCAGTTTTGGTTGGTTAGGATGAAAAGCTATGTCGTACTATACATTTGAATGAGAATGCCAATTTACTTGGTCACAGAATCATAGAACCTCAGAGTTATTGGGATCTAAGAGGTCCAATCTGTGTCTGAAAAGGACACAATATTTACAATGCTTACACAATACAATGCTTACAAGACACTCAACAGATGGACCTTGAGGCATTGCTTGAACAGCTCTGGTGAGGAGGAAACCTGTGCTTCCCTAAGCTGGTCCATTACACCACGGATTAGCTGTAAGTGTTTGGAAGATTTTCCTTGCACCAAGCATAAATTTGCCTCTTTGTACTTTCGAGTCATTATTCTTAGCTCTACAAAACAAATCTAATCCTCTTTCATATAGCAGCCCTTTAGAAAATTGAAGACACAGCTATGTTCTACTCACTACTTCCTCATCCCCCAAGTCTTCTCCAGATTGAATATCCCAGGTTCCTTCAGTGGATCTCATTGAGGACAGGGACAATTGGATTTTTGTCTTTGTATGTCCAACACCTAGCATGTTCAGTCATTGCAGTCTTGTCCAACTCTTTGTGACCCCAGAATTTTCTTGGCCACATATTGGAGTGGTCTGCTGTTTCCTTCTCCTGCTCATTTTACAGATGAGGAAACTGAGGCAAACAGGGTTAAGTTAGTTGCCCAGGGTCACACACCTAGTAAATGTCTGAGGTCAGATATGAACTCAGGAAGAAGAGTCTTCCTGACTGTAGGCCCGGCACTCAAACCACTGTTCTATCTAGGTGCCCAGTTCCAACACTTAGTATAGCTGGGGCTTCATAAATTATTGTGATTAATTGATTAATAAGGTGTAATCTCTAGGTCCTTCACCTTCCTGATTGCCCCCTCTGAACCTTCTCTAGTTTGTCAATGTATTTTTCACAACTTGATATCCCCAACTGAGCACAATACTCCAGATGTGGCCCGACCCAGGGCAGTCAGAGAACAGTGAGACTCAAATACTTCTCTCTTAATCCCACCTAAGTTCATGTTAGCTATTTAGCCTCCTATATTGCATTGTTTACGCAGGTTGAGAACGCTATCCACTAAAACTTCAGATACTTTTACAAACTTTCTAGTCCTGCCTCCCTAAAACCTTTTCTTCTTTCCTCAACTCCCCATATCTTTTCCTCCAATTTGACAGCTGATGATCTTGTTTCTTTTCTTGATTAAATAAAGACCATTCACCATTATTTTTTCTCTTCTTGTCTTCTCTATATCTCACAACATGTTGACATAATATCCCATCCCCTTGTACTTCCAGTCCATAATGAGGTGGTTCTTCTTTCCAAGGCCAATGTGAATTTGATTCCCATAGCCTTCTGACTTCTCCTATAGATTGTCCCCTAGTTATCTCCTGTCTCTAATCACCCATTTCTCCCTATTCACTGGTTCCTTATGGCTATCTACAAAAAAGCCCGAGTCTTCCCCGTCCTTAAAAAGTCCCCACTAGATCCTTTTTGTTGTTCAGTCATTTTTTCAGTCTTGTCTGACTCTTCATGACCCTATTTGGGGTTTTCTTGGCAAATATATTGGAGTCGTTTGCCATTTCTTTCTCCAGCTGATTTTACAGATGAGGAAACTGAGGCAAGTAGAGTGAAGTGACTTGCCTAGAGTCACACAGCTAGTAAGTGTCTTAGGCCAGATTTGAACTCAAAAAGATGAGTCTTTCTAACTTCAGATTTGGCACTCTATTCAATGTACCACCTAGCTTCCCCAGCTAGACCCTATCATCTACTCAAATTATCACCCTCTAACTCTCCTCCTTTGCTTAGACTCTTAGAAAAATTGCCTTCCTTTCCTCTCGCTCTCTTCTCAACTATTTGCTCTTTGGCTTTTGATATTATTACTCAATCGAAACTGCTCTCTTCAAAGCTGCCAATAATTTATCTTCATTTCCAAGTCTGAGGACTGTCCTTAATCCTCATCCTCCATGATCTCTCTGCACCATTTGACACTGTTACCTACTTTCACATGCTTGAGACTCTCTCTTTTCTTTCTTTTGGTTCTTCTTCTGGAGTCCTGGGTCCCAGAGGCAGAGTACAAGTCCCAGGGAGGGGTAGGCTAGAATGTAAGCAGCATGGTTTGGAGCTGTCTGAGATAAGGTGAAAGATGCTAGGGGCAGAGTTTAATGTATAAGAATTACTATCCCCAGAAATTAAAAACACACTGAAGGAATCCTTAATATCTTGAATATTCAGTTAGAAAAAGCTACTTTTTTCAAGTATATTCTTATTGTTTGCAAATAAGAACTTAAAAATTCACAAAGACATTTAAAACTTTTTATTTGTTAATCATGGCTGAATTACTGCAAAGCTTAACTAGTGAAGTACTTGTTTTCCTAGGAGAAAAGGTATCCATAATATTAATTTTTATTTAGCCCCATGAATGAAATAGTCCATCCATTCTGAATTACTTTAATTTTGTGGTAGCATTGAAGGAAACCATCAACGCAATGGACCAGGATAAAACGATTCCTTTGCCTGTAAAAGATGTATATGCAGAAATACTTCAGCACAGATCTGCTCCGGAATCCATGGGAATGCAGTTATCTGATCAAGAAATTCAGGATGCAGTTGGTGCTCCTGTTCTTGAAGGTGAGTTGACCAAGAACCTACCAATTATTTGAGGTGGAAGAAGAGGTGCTACAGTGAGACCTTCCAAGGGTTTCCATAGTACTTTGTCAAATGCTAATGAAGCCTCAGCTACACCATTCCTAAACACACTGCAAACTTGCTCTAAAATTGTTCTGTATAGAGCACATTTGGAAGGAGAGAATTCTATCTTGCACCTCCTTCAAGGTGGTTAATGTTATCATGAGTATCTTACATGGTCACCATAGGTAGCCTCCAAAGTTGGCCTCATAGCTTCTAGTGCTGGTGTGTGGCTACGTAACATCTATAGTATTTCAGAGAGGGGGGAATTTCATTTCCAGAGGGGATAAGTTATCTTCTTTCTTCCTTTTTACTCCTCTCAGGGAGGTTTGAAGAGTTCTGTGGTTTCTTCAAATTAAAAGCAATTTAAGAAGATTGTCAAAGAATAAAATAGTGTACACTTTTCTCATAGCTTTCAGTAAGCTAGAAAGCTATGGTGATGGACCTGACCAGGAGACGACGTAATGCAGTGGATAGAATGCTGTCTTGAAGTCAGAAGAGACCTGGGTTTAAATTCTACCTCTGACTCTTGGTAGTCATAAGACCTTGGGAAAAGCATTTAATCTCTTTTCTGTAAAACTGGGACAGTAATGCCTATTGCACTAACCTCAGCAGGCTTTTGTGAATTAAATACAACAAAGGAGATATTGTTGGGGTTTACACATATATGGCAAAACCCAGACTATGTAAGCACCTCGAACTTCTTACCAAGGCATGTCAACAGTCTACTTTTTCTCTGGATTACCTACCTCATTCCAATCTGCTTTCCTGAGAGCAGATCTAAGTTTCTAAATATATACCATGATGGTACGGTTACCTTCAAATTCTCTTAAGGTCCTAGGGCTAAGTAAACCCTGTAAGAGGAAATAAACAGGTTGTGGGGGGCAATTTTAAAGTACTTTGTGGATCTATACTCCTAAAATTCTAGCTCATAAATCTCTACTGGTCTTCTTACCCTTAAAAGTCAATCAGTAGATACAATTAACTCAAAGCACAGGTGTGTAATGAGCTACCTTTATAAGAATGGTAGCTACAAAACATTTCCCTGTAAACCTGGGTGCGTTCTCTCACAACCACACACAGTGAATGGGAAGGAGCAGTATACACATAGAGTATGCTAGGAGGGAATACTTATGGACAAAGTGACACACATCTCATGCATGAGCTCTCACATTGCTCCCCTGGCACGTAATGTCTCTTCTGGGCATGTCAACTAGGGTCCTTGGCCTATTCCCTGTAGGGTATACTATCTCCTGGTAGGTGAGCATCTCTGCTACAAGATGTCATGGGAGGAGGGAGGAGAGAAATGTTCCCTCTCCCACCAAGAGGTAAAGAGTGAGCCTCCCTAAAAAGCTGAGTTCTTCTCCTGTAGCTGGCTCTTTTTTAGATTGCCAGAGCTCATTCATCTCAGAACTGTCTCCTTCCTCGACTACAAAGCCTGTTTCCTTCTGGGTACAATTTCTTCTACTGTGCTGGAGGAAAATCAGTTGATTAGCAATTTCCTGATAACTACATCTCCCTCTTACCCCTATCCCCTTACCATGTTGCACATAATTTTAATTATTCTGAGATCATAGTATTCTATGATTTGTAAACATAGATGATCAGTGGGAACATAATTAGGGTTAAAGAGACGGGCTGTTGTAGCAGTAAGCAGTTGAGCTCCTCATACTAACCATGTTGCCATCTTTTAGCTTTAAATACTCTTTAAAAGTTTTACAATTAAATATACATATATTTGTCTAGACCTGTAATTTTATTTGTGTGAGAAAATTTTCTGAAATACGGGTTAGCAATTCATCTAGAACTTTAAGAGTCTTTGAGAATCTCTTGGAATCAATGAGAAAGATGAGTTATCTTACTCATGGTTATGTAGTCTTGTGAGATACAACTTGAACTAGGTTTCCTTGATTCCAAAGCCAGTGTTCTATCCACTGTGCCATGTTCCCTCTCCTTCTATAGAATAAATTCCTTAGTTTTCTTCCATGCCTTGTAATATTTGTACATCAATCCTTTTTTTTTTTTTTTTAGTAATTTCTAATTTACCTTCTAGGTCCAGAGAGAGATAAATTCAACATATTTATGACGGCCTTGTCTCAGACCGAGAAGCTTCCTGTGAAAGATGGTAATGTGTTCATAAAATAGAAAACATACCAAATGGGGAAAAAAACCCTGGGTATTGGATATATCTTTGTCAATTAAATTTGTCAGGATCAAGAATCTCAATTGTAACATTTGTCACCAGTTACCTGTGTGAGTGATTGCTTTCTCTTTCATCTTCTGTTTTCCTACCTATTCAGGAGGATAGTGATACCTGCTGAAAGCATCTAAATCAAGAAATAGTGGGTGAACAGAACAGAATATTATTTGTCTAGCTCAAATCCCATTACAATGAATTATGAGAAACCATTCAATATATTTGACTCGTTTAGGATTTCTTGATCACCCATTGCTACCTTGTTGTCTGTTCAAAATGGAAGCTCAAAGGCAAAACTCATCTGCGCATCATTCAGATCAAGGGTAATGGCAAAACCTGTCTTTCCAGCCTTTCTTACTAACTTATACAGGCTCAAGACCTATTCTCATGAATAGACCACAATGCCCGTACAAAGGAACAGAGTTTATGGCAAGCCCTCTTGCCTCAAAGGCTCCTAGCCTCTGTTCTCATCCATTTTGCTTTCCCTTATTGATCTGCTCCTAAACTTAATGCCAAAGCCTCATTTCAAATTCAACTGATTTCATTCCTTATGCATGCTTTTACCTGTCAAGGGTTATGTGAAACATATTACTGTGGACTCAAGCTCTGTCAAGATTATGGTCTGCTTGCCTTTCTCAGGCCACTGCAAAACTATATCATTTTTGATTCATTTTACCTGAAACTGCTTTTACTTTCACCCTTCAGCTCGCACTGAAAATATACCATTAAATAAGCTTCAATCTTTCCATACTTCTTGTTCAAAGCTCCCAGGCACCCCCTTGTAATCACATATCAGCCCTCTGGTCATTTTCCTGATATCCCAAATATTCCTGTGGGATAGTAATCACTTGTTACCCCTTTGAAATGGTTCCATTAAGATAGGAGATGGAAATAATCCTTCCCTCAGAAGAGGAACACCAAATTCTGTTTTGTCTTTCAGAAGCTTCAGTATCTTGAATTTCTTTTTTTTTTCTTTGCTTTTTTTTGTGAGGCAATCAGGGTTAAGTGACTTGCTCAGGGTCACACAGCTAGTAAGTTTCATGTGTCTGAGGCCAAATTTGAATTTGGGTCCTCCTTACTCCAAGGCCGAAGCTCTATCCACTGTGCCACCTCGCTGCCCCTAGTGTCTTGAATTTCTGATAAGAATCTTGTTAATATCCATCTTAGAAAAAGAAAACATGCCATTAATGAGCTCCTTTAGGAAAAAATCCCCAGGGCCAGATGGGTTCACCAGTGAATTCTACCAAACATTTAAAGAACAGTTAATTATAGTACTATATAAAGTATTCGGAAAAATAGGTGAAGGAGTCCTACTAAACTCCTTTTATGACACAAATATGGTCCTGATACCTAAACCAGGAAGAGCTAAAACAGAGAAAGAAAATTATAGACCAATTTCCCTAATGAATATCAATACAAAAATTTTGAACAAAATACTATCAAGGGGATTACAGCAATATATCATGAGGATTATACACTGTGACCAGATGGGATTTATACCAGAAATGTTGGGTTGGTTCAGTACTTGGAAAACTATCAACATAATTGACCATATCAATAAGAAAACCAATAGAAATCATATGATTATCTCAATAGATGCTGAAAAGGCTTTTGACAAAATATGGCACCCATTCCTAAAGGGAATGTTTCTTAAAATGATAAGCAGTATCTATTTAAAACATCAGCAAGCATTATCTGTAATGGGGATAAGCTAGAAGCATTCTCAATAAGATCAGGGGTGCAACAAGGATGCCCATTATCACCACTAGTATTCATTACAGTACTAGAATGTTAGCATAGCAGGAAGAGAAGAAAAAGAAATGAAAAGAATTAGAATAGGCAATGAGGAAACAAAACTATCACTTGCTGATGATATGATGGTGTGCTTAGGCAATCAACTGAAAAACTACTTGAAATAATTAACGACTTTAGCAAAGTTGCAGGATATAAGATAAACCCATATAAATCATCAGCATTTCTTTATATGACCAACAAAGCCCAGTAGCAAGAGATAGAAAGAGAAATTCCATTTAAAATAACTATAAACAATATAAAATGCTTGGGAGCCTACCTGCTAAGATAAACCCAGGAATAATATGAACACAGTTACAAAACACTGTCCACACAAATAAAGTCAGATCTAAACAATTGGAAAAATATAAATTGCTCGTGGGTAGACCAAGCCAATATGATAAATGACAATTCTGGCTAACCTCATTTACTTATTCAGTGCCATACCAAACTACCAAAATATTTATTTGATAGAGCTAGAAAAAATAACCATGAAATTCATTTGGAAGAACAAAAGGTCAAGAATATTAGGGGAATTAATTTAAAAAAATACAAAGGAAGGTGGCCTAGCAATATTATATCTCAAGTTATATTATAAAGCAGGAATCATCAAAACTATCTGGTATTGGCTAAGAAATAGAGTGGTGGATCAGTGGAATAGATTAGGTACAAATTACGTTATAGTAAATGACCATAGTAACCTAATGTTTGAAAGCCAAAAGACACCAGCTTTTGAGATAAGAACTCCCTATTTGACAAAAAACTGCTGGAAAAACTGGAAAAAAATTGGGCACAAACTAGGTATAGACCAACATCTCTCACCATGTGCCAAGATAAGGTTAAAATGGGTGCATGATTTAGACATAAAGGATGACACCATAAGCAAATTAGAACAAGGAATAGTCTACCTGTCAGATCTATGAGGAGGAGAAGAAAGCATGACTGAACAAGAGATAGAGAGCATTACAAAATGTAACATAGATAATTTTGCTTATATTAAATTAAAAATCTCTTATACAAACAAAATCAATGCAACCAGGATTAGAAGGAAAGCAGAAAGCTGGGGAATAATCTTTACAGCAAGTGCTTCTGATAAAAGCCTCGTTTCTCAAAATACAGAGAACTGAGTCAAATTTATAAGAAAACAAGCCATTCTCCAAATGATAAATGGTCAAAGGATATGAACAGGCTGCTTTCAGATGAAGAAATCAAAGCTATCTGTAGGTATGTGGAAAAGTGCTCTAAATCACTTTTGATTAGAGAATTGCAATTTTAAACAACTCTGAGGTACCACTTCATACCTATCAGAGTGGCTAATATCACAAAACAGGAAAATGACAAATGTTGGAGAGGATGTGGGTAAATTGGGATGCTAATAGACTGTTGGTAGAGTTGTGAACTGATCCAAATTTCTGGAGAGCAATTTGGAACTATGTTCAAAGGGCAACCAAACTGTGCATACCCTTTGATCCAGCAATACACCTACTAGGTCTGTATCCCAAAGAGATCATTTAAAAAGGGGAAAGGACCCATATGTACAAAAATATTTATAACAGCCTTTTATATGGGGGCAAAATATTGAAAATTGAAGTGATGCCTATCAATTGGGGAATGGCTAAGCAAGCTGTGGCATACGAATGTAATGGAATACAACAAGAAATGACGAACAGGCAGATTTCAGAAAAACCTGGAAAAGAATAAAATAAGTGAAAAAAATATGCTTCAATCTGCATTCAGAGTCCATCAGTTCTTTATCCAGATGTGGAAGCATCTTCTTCCATGAGTCCTTTATACTTCTCTTGGATCACTGTGTTGCTCAGAAGAGCTAAGTCATTCATAGTTGATCCTCACACAATGTTGCTGATACTGTGCACCATGTTTTCCTGGTTCTGCTTATTTCACTTTGCATTTCTTTTTGATCTTTTTCTTCTTTCACAACTGTAAGTAATGTGGAAATATGTTTTATATGGTAGCATATGCATCACCTACATCAAATTGCCTATTATTTTGGAAGAGGGAGGAAAGGAGAAAATTTGGAACTCAAAAGTAAAAATGAATGTTTAAAATTGTCTTGACATGCAATTGGGAAATTTTTTTTTAAATACTATTAAGGATTCTTGTTAATCCATGCCCTACTGTGACTATGAGAGGGCCTAGTTGGATATTGGAGAATATTCTTGTCTCAGGCTTCCTGCATAGACCCCTGGCATTGGTACCCAGATGCTGAGTTGGCCTTTTTCTTCATGCTGTGGCTACCCATGTTCCAAGGAGTGCACATCCATCCCCTGTCTTCCTGTATAGGAACTACTTGTGCAGGCTCCGTCTCCTCTTCTGTTCTGTGGGGACAGAGCTTTGATTTGACTTCAGGTCTCCCATTACTAGTTCAGGCCAGCTTAGAACACCCTCTTCAGAGCACTGGCTGATTTCAAGTCTTGCCAGCTGGGACTCCTTTCCTTGCCTGCACCAGTCTTTTGGTACAGTTCTAGAATGAATAGAAGAGCTTACTTCTATTTTTTCCCCTGGTTTTCTTTATCATGGATCTTTATTTTCTAGGGTTCATGTGGGAAAAGTGGGCTTCTCTATGACTTTTCCCATTCCCATCTTTAGGCAGGAATCCTGAGATGTATCTCTTCTCTTGGGCCATGCTCAGTCATTGTAATTACCCAGAGTTTAGCTTTTGTTGGTGTTCTTCTTTCCATTTACATTGCTATCATTTTAGTGTATTGTTTTCCAGGTTTTGCATACTATGCTCTGCACTGGTTCATAGTTTTTTTTCTTACAGTATTTATTGGCAGAGTAATTCACCTGTTGTGAACTTAATAAAAAATTAGAAATGAAAAAATTATCTTGTATACTTTCCATGGACATCTCTAGTCATCAAATGATATTTTGTTTGTGTTCTTTCTCTTGTAGCCTTGGAAAAGGGTATTGATGTTTTTACACATTTGGAAGATGGAAGGATTGGTGTTGCAGACCTGAAGCATGCCCTGGCTGATTTGAATATCAATTTACCAAAGGAAAACTTGGATCAAATCATTGCATCTTGTGCCACTGATGGTGAGCATTCCTAGAGTGGGGTTCTGTGTTATTTATTTACAGGAAGCTGTTAGGATGATTCTTCATAAGTTTAACTTTGGTATTTTGATGGCTCTGTACTTTTTCCACGTAAGTACTCCCAAGTCAATCATTCCGTCATTCAATCCACAAGGCACTACAGATACAAGTACAAAGAATGAAACAATCCCTATTCCAAGGATCTTCCATTCTAATGGGGAAACAACAAGCATATGTTTAAGTACATATACAGCATAAAAATAAAGTGAATAAATACAAATATGTACAAAGTAGTTTAAGAGGGAGGTACTAGCAGTTGATGGCTATCAGGAAAAGTTTCATACAAAAGATGTAGCTTAAACTGTGTTTTAAATGAAGAAAGAGACTCTATGAACCTTAGGGCATAACCATAATTAGATGGAATGTTATGGATGATAATCAAGCAAAGGAAACTTAGAAGGAACTGTTGGACAAAAGAACCAGAAGAGAGTATTCCTAAAAACCCAGATAAGTGATGGGATTAAAGAATGGTAAGTTAGGTTGCTTGAGGAAACATCATCATCATATAAACTGAAGTCTTCTGGTATAAGGGCAAAAGAAGGGAGGTTAGGCAGACTGTGATTCAAATATTGTACTTGAGAAAGGAGGGAGAATTATCTAGTAGACCACAGACACTAATGTTTGGCTTCTGTGAGAGAAAATTGTGGGAGGATTTGAGACAATTAAGGAGAAGGAAAGCATGGAGGTGACACAGAGTGAGAAGAAGAAAGGAAGATTAGTAGTGATTGGCAATTACCTGCCTAGGGGCACTAAGGCAGCTATTTGTTCACCTGATAACAAGGGTCTTTGTGGAGCATGTGCCCAAGACATTACAGAGAACTTTCCAAAACTTATCCAAACAGATGGAGAGTGATTCACTTCTGATTATTCACATGGATAGCCAATGATATTACCAGGAGAAAGGTAAAAATACTGCCAACAATTAGGAAGACTTGGGCAAGAAACTGAAGACCCTAAGAGCACATGTTGTGTTTTCTTACTGCTGTCTACTGAAGCCAAGGAAGTGAATAGCTGGCTAAGAATATGGTGTCTGAGAATGCGATCTAGACATCTGAGCCATTGCTTAAGACATAAGGATGACAAGTTCCTGGTCAGAAATGGAATATATCTAGCAAAGGCTAGTAACAATGTTATTTTCTGGGTGTCTTTTAAAATCAAATAAAGTATTTAAACTAAAAAATTATGGGGAGGGAGAAGACTGCCTAAGTGTGTGTGGGTGTATATAAATACATATATTTTTGGTATACATACTTTTATATATATATATATGTATATATATATATATATATATATATGTATATATTTACATGCATACTAAACTAGATGCAATACAAAATAGCAACAATGAAGAAAGAAGACTAGTAGTTGAGATAGCCAAAAGTTCACAGGAGATAAAATCCAAAGAGGCAGCCAGTAGGAAAAACCCATGGCCTCCACTGTTTTATTAATAAATAGAAGGTAGTAGAAGTCCTAACTCATGTTAAATGGTCCAACCATTTTGGAGAACAATTTGGAACTATGCCCAAAGGGCTACAAAAATGTGCATACCCTTTGATCCAGCAATAGCACTTCTAGGGCTATATCCCAAAGAGATCAAACAAATGGGAAAAGGACCCACATGTACAAAAATATTCATAGCAGCTCTTTTTGTGGCGGCAAAGAATTGGAAATTGAGAGGATGCCCATCAATTGGGGAATGGCTGAGCAAGTTGTGGTATATGAATGTAATGGAATACTATTGTGCTATAAGAAATGATGAACAGGCTGACTTCGGAAAGACTCATATGGTCTGATGCTGAGTGAAGTGAGCAGAACCAAGAGGACTTTGTACACAATAACAGCCACGTTATGCGATGACTAATATTGTTAAACTGAACCCTTCTCAGCATTACAAGGATCTAAGACATCTCCAGAGGCCTAGGGGTGGAAAATGCTGTCCACATCCAATGAAAGAACTATGGAAGTCAAATTGCTATCACTTATTTTTACCTTCCGTTGAGTTTTGTTTCATCTCTCTGATGGTTCCTCCTATTGGTTTTAATTTTTACTTACAACTTCACTAATGTGAAAATATGTTTAATAGGAATGTAAATGTAAAACCTATATCAGAATGTGCACCACCTTGGGGAGGGTGGGGGGAGGGGGAGAAAAATTATCAACTCAAAAGCATATGGAAGTGATTGTTGGTAAATCAAAATAAATTAATAAAATTTAAAAAAAAAGGAAGTCCTAACTCAAGGAAACAAATTTAATCATATCACTGAGACTTGGTAAAATGAAGCTGATGACTGGATCATGGCTCTGGATGAATGTATTTCATTAAAAAGAAACAGGTTAGATAAAAAGGGAGGTGAGGGTAGCATTGTATATTAAGAGTATATAATCACATGAGGAAATCCAGAAACCACAGCAGGAAAGCGCTGTGGAGAGTGTTTGTCGGTGGAGGGAGGAATAACTGATTATATCATTGGAGTATACTACAAACCGCCTGGACAAAAAGAGGAGATTGATGAGGAGTTTGGGAAGTGGATCACAAGACTGGCCCAGAGACATGTTAATATAGTAGTGATGGAGCAATCCAATTATCCAGACATCTGCTGAAGCTGTCTGCCAAGAGCGGAGCAGCTAATGACTTCATGATTGTCTTGTATATGGTCTGATATGTACCCTAGAGATTAAGAAAGCCGATTTCAAAGAGTTTGGAGGGAAGAATAGGTAGGATATTATGGACAAGATACTACTTGGAAATCAGTCCAGGAGGGATGGGGATATGCTGAAGAAGGAAATTTTGATGACAAGGGGAAGAATTCCGATTAGGAGGAAAAATGGGATTTGTCTGAAGAGACTGATGTGGGTGCATGGTGAACTCACCAACCAACTTTGATTAAAAAAATACAGATGGTAGAAGCAAGCCCAGGTTAACAGATGGTGGCTATGAGTAAGACATGGGCCTATTAAAAATAATGTCAGTAATGCTGAACTTCAGAATGAGGCGAGGCTGCTGAGAGAAACTAAGGACAACAAAAATTTTTTTCTCTCAATATATAAGAAGAGCATAAAGGAAGAGATCATATCTTTGCTTGGGGCATATGGGAAGATGATAAATGACAATGAAGAAAAGGCAGAGCTGTTTAATTCTTAGTTTGCTTTTCTCTGCCAAGAGGAATGACCCCTGTACTAGAAATGATGTAACAAAAATGTCTAAGAAGTCATATCATGAGATATCAAGAGAGCATTTAGTTTGCCTTTGATGAGTTTCAGTCACCTGGTCTAGAGATTGCAAATTGTATAGGCTAGTAGTGAATTTGGCTTCCATTCCTTGGAAGATCCTAGAATGGATCACTGAAGAGATGATTGATAACATCAGAAAGGGGAAGAATGGCTACAAGGAGCCAGCTTGCTTCACCAAGAATGAGTCATGCCAGACTGACCTCATCTCCTTTTTCTGACAGCATTATTAAACTAGTTGATGAGGGAAATGTTATGAACATAGTTTACCTAGACCTTAACAAAGCTTTTGTTAAATTATCTCATACTCTTCTTTTGGAGAAGATGAAAATATGTAGACTAGGTAATAATACATTTAGGTCGATTCAGAACTGTTTGGTTGGCAGGACCCAAAGAGTAATTGTTAATGATCCAGTGCCGGTATGACAGGAGGTCTCCAGTAGAGGACTACAGGGATCTGTGTTTGGCTAGTGTTTGTGACATTTTTATCAATGACTTGGATAAAGGCATAGATAGCACGCTCATCAAATTTACAGATGCCACAAAGCTAGATTGGGTAGCTAGAGTACTAGAAGTACAGCCAGCATCCACAAAGATATTGACAGGCTAGAGCACTGGGTTACATCAAATACAATGAAATTCAGTAGAAGCAAATATAAAGTCTTACACGTAAGTGTACTTAAGTATGGAAAACGAACTTGACCAGAACATGATAAAGAAAGCATGGTTAGACAGGAGTTGTCCTGAAAAAAAGACCTGAGGGTTTTGGTGGAATGTAAACTCACTGTGAATCAGTGGTATAACCTAGCAGTCAAAATAGCTAATTTGATATTGGGCTGCATTAGGACTGGCATAGTTTCTAGGAATAGTGAGGAAATAGTCCCATTGTACTATATGCCCTCATCATTTGTTTGGTTCTGGACAACACATTTTAAGAAGGACGTTGATAATCTAGGGAGGGTTCAGGGGAGGGCAACCAGGATTATGCAGGAATGTTTATTCCTGTCCTATGAAGACTGGTTAAGGGAACTAAGAATGTATAGTCTGGAGAAGAGAAAACATAGGGGGATCATGATAACTATGCTCAAGTATATGAAGGAATATCATATGGAAGAGAAATTAAGCTTGTCTCTGGCCTCACAGGGTAGATACAAGAATGATGGACAGAAATTGCAAAGAAACATGTTTACACTTGATATCAGAGAGTTATACAGAATTAAAACTGTCCCAAAATGGAATGAGCTACTCTGAGAGTTGGTAGGTGACCCTTTCTTGGAGGTCTTCTGGGGGGGGGGGCTGGAAGATCATTTGATGAGTATACTATAATGAGGTTATTTAAAAAAGACCCCAAACCAAGCCAAGAAATTGATTTAATTTACCATAATTAATTTATCAGTCTAGTTCACTTTTCCTGTACCTCAAGAGATTAAAGCCACTTCTCCTCTCAAAATGCCTGAGCTTTTCAAAGTTGTTACAAAAAATTACTGAAGGGCAGCTATAGGAAAGGCATCATTTCATTTGAGAAAACAAGCAAAACACCAAGCCAAGATTATAGCCCACATTTCTTCAGTTTTAAATTTAGTAGAGATACATGTAAAGTCTTTTTCTTGGGTTTGAAAAAATAAACCTCAGAAATATTAAATGGAAGAGGCATACCTAGACAGTAGCTAATAGGAGAAGGGTTCTGACAGGGGGTCTGTGTTTGAATATCAATACCTTCCAATTTTATACTTACAGAGAATGGGAATTTACAGTTAAAAGATATCACAGTGCTTTGACAGAGACTCCAGAGTTTGCTGATTCCATAGGTAAGTGAAGATTGCAGTTCGAAGAAAAATTATTGGATTAGATAACTTTTCACCATGAAATGTCTACTTAAAAATAGTAACTATAATGTTCCAGTTGTGTACTTTTCCACCTTTTTGGGTGGGCATCGAAGAAGCCTTCATTATATAGGTGACATTTCAGCTGATCCCTGAAGTACGATTACAAGTTTGACCAGGGAAAGTCATTTCATTCAGTTAGCTGCATCAGCAAAGATTGATAATAGGGATAAAAGCTGAGACTTCTTTAGGGAATAGCAAATCATCCATTTAACCTAAGGCACAGAAGAATAGGTAACCTGACACAAGAGCTTGGAATCCTAACTGGACTCCAAAGGGAACCAAATAATTTTTATGTTATACTTTCTAAGTGCTGTTTCTAAAGGCTTCTCTAACATGGAGTAAGGAGGACTTGAACAGGGTTTGAGTTGACTAAACTCTACATTTTCTAGCTTTTACTGAATTGGTTTTATTATTTCTTTTGTAAAGTAATAGAACTACCTTTTATACTTAATTTACATGGAATATAGGTATTTTAAGTCCTGTGGGGAGAATATACAGCTATCATTGGACTGGGAATTATGATAATCTTGGTTCTCTTAGTTCTGAAAGTAAATATATGTTCTTGAGCAAATCATGTCCCCTACTAGCATTCAGTTTTGCTTCATCTGTAGAAGGAGAGGTTGAAATAAATTATTTTTAAGGCCCTCTCAAGTTTAGAAAATTGGTGGTTCAACTTTTCTAATAGATTTGTGTACCCCAGAATTTATAGATTTTTGGAAACCATTGGTCTTCATTTCAAGAGAGCAGAGAAAGTGGTTGGCAATTGCTGTGTGACTGTTAGCAAATACATTACTCTTAGTACTGTGAGAGCCAAAACATATTTGTATTATTCATCTATTTCTTAATGAACATTTGAAACCAGTTTTGCCCTTTTACTGTAATATCATTTAACATTTTCCAAAGGTATAATGCTTTTAATCATAGTAGCATTTAATAGTGGCTTTTTTTTCTTTACACATGCTCGAAGGGTCATGTGTGAAGCAATATGTGGCACTCTACGTGTGGGAGTCAACATTTTCCCCATCTAGCCTTGATTATAGCTCAAAAGTTTTTAGTCGGGTATAACTTAGGTTTCCAGGCCATTGAAGCATGTTTATCTCCATCTCTTGCATCAGTTTCTTAGATAGTTGGGACGTGTCTGTTGTGTATCTTAAACCATATATAATTTCATTGATGACATATGCTAGACCTTATGTCTGCCACTGACACCTACTACACTCATCTGGCCATTTATCTTTGTTATGTGTTTTCAGCTTTGCAGCTAGCCTCTTCTGGCCTTGAAAATCTCCACGATAATCTCATTGATTATAATGAACTCAAGGATTCATTGACCCAACAGGGTCTTTATGGAGCGTGTGAAGTACTTGAGCAAATATTACCAGAGGTTACCAATGGTGAGTATTTGCGATGTTTTGTTGAACCTTGAAAGCGTAAGATGTTTTCTTAAGGAATTTTATATTCTGAATGAATATTACAAAACACAGTTTATTGGATTTTAGAATCATCCAATGCAACAAATTTGTTGTAGACAGAGTTGACCTCTGTGATAGGTACTGGGAGAGAATTATGCTTTAGATAAAATCTCCAAAGAGCTTATATTTTGTTCAGTGAACAAAATGCCAACGTAGTCATGGAGGGATAGTGGTAAAATAGCTCTCTGGAAGTGATTGGGAGAATAAGAAGGATGCCCCCTTTCACTTGAAACTATGAGTTGGGAAAATGGAGAGGGCTGTAATAGATTTAGTGTTCTTAGGGGAGGACTAGGTTTCCATTAAAGTGAGTGGGAAGGAATATATAAGATCCTTAAGGTCAAGGACTGTTTCACTTTTGTCTTTGTACCTCTAGTCTGTAGCACAGTGACTGGTGTACAGATTTGTTATTGTTTAGTCATTCAGTCACATCTGAGTCTTCATGACCCCATGGCCCATAGCACACCAAGCTCTTCTGTCTTCCACTATTTCCCGAAGTCTGTCCAAACTCATGTTCATTGCTTTCATGACACTCTCTATCCATCTCATCCCCTGCTTTCGCCTTCTCTTTTTGCCTTCAGTCTTTCCCAGCATCAGAATCTTTTCCAATGAGTCCTGTCTCCTCGTTATATGACCAAAGTATTTAAGTTTCAGTATTTGTCCCTCCAATGAATAGTCAGCGTTAATTTATTTAAATATTGGCTGATTTGATCTCTTTGCTATCCAGTAGGTACTGAACAAATGTTTGATTGACTGATTCCTTTAAATGACTGAATTTTGCTTTATGTTGCAGAACAAGGTCAGGTAGATTTACCTAAATTCATGGGCGTCTTATCCAAAGTGATGCAGATTCCTGAAGCTGCTGGTAAGTTTGTTTTGTTTTCTACCCTATCTGTTTCCATGGGAACTTGCTATGGTTTTTAAGTTACTGTCTTGGGATTGTGATTTCCTTAGAATTGGGAACTCCCAGTGAGAAAATACTCTCTACCAATACAGAACCACATCTGATCTGCAATTTATTGTCTGATAGTTCCCAGGGACACTAAGGAGTTGAATGACTTGTCCAGGGTCACATAACCAGTATATATCAGAGAAGAGACTTGAAACCAGTCTTCCTGATTCTGGGTCTGTCTCTATAATCATGCTTTCTATAAGTTTATAATCGAGTACAAAATAAATGACTATTTGACTCCGCCTATTTAGGATGCAAACAAATAAGAATCTGGGAGGAAAACACATGACAAAGGCAAAAATACTGAAGCAAATTATGTAGCAATTGTTTTCAGTAATGAAAGATGAGGACATAAAAACTGAATCCAGGCGTGATGCAGCTCCTCACTTTAACTTTAGTACTTTATAAAAACAGTGAGATAGTAGAATTCCCTTTGAATCTGTGCAGCATCTAGGTATTTCTTCCAAAATTCACTATTGTGGAAATATAAATTGTGATAATAGTACTAACACTACAGCAAAAGAGGTGGTGGTGGTCTGGGGGAGAGAGGTCATCGAGGAAGGGGCATGTAGAGGAAGTAGGGTTAGAAAGAACCAATTTTCCTGTCACTTGAGAAGATTATAGTTTTAGTGTACTTCTTAAAATTGGGGTTTAGTTATAATCATGATTATGATGAAATTATGATATAATCTTATCTATTGGAGGTTTAGTTATAACTGGTTACAAAGTAATTTTTTAAAAACTAACAGTGCGTTGGTGACTATATGTAGTCCTGTGTCCACCACAAGGTGGCACATTATGGTAAGAACAGTGGATCAAATCAAACCATTGTATTTAAGTCTCTTATTCATTTATAATGACATTGGCATTTCTTTCTCCATTGCTTGGATGGGGCAGCATTGTGGTAGAGCATAAGGTGGTTCAGTAAATAAACCATTAAGAATCTTGTTTCTAATCTAATTTAGTCTATTTTAAGACTAGAACATGAATCAACGACTAGTGGTTCACTGCTTATTTCACTATACTGTGCTCCCATTACCTATTCCTTACCTTAGCCTGGACTCTTTTATACACAAGTTCTTCTGTAGGCAAATGCCAGGGAGCAATAAAACAGCTGTCAAATAAGAATAAAATAAAGCACTCAGATACATACACAAATATACACATATGGATACAAACAGAGGAAATGAGAAAATGGAAATAAATTTCATAGGAAGAATTCATTTCCTTCCATAAAAGTTCTAAATCTGATCTTATCAGTGAAACTTTCATTGTCCTCAATAAGTATTTTATTTTAAAATATCTATTTATTTATTTTTAGCTTTCAACATTCACTTTTATAAGATTTTGAATTTTAACTTTTCTCCCCCTCCTTTCCTTCCCCCTTTCTCAAGACAGTGTACAATTTGATATTGGCCATACATATACAATCATTCAATAAGTATTTTAATTATAAGTAGTATTTAAAGTAGTATTTTATGGCTGCAACTGAGGGGTTTCCTATTTATCCCCATTCCTACTTCATAAAAATATAGTCATATCCTGCCCCATATTGGTTTTGTGGGGAAAGAAAGTAGGTGAAGGGGGTGGAGCCAAGATGGTGGAGTAAAAGCAGTGACTTGCTTGAGCTATTCCCCAAACCTGTCCAAACACCTGTAAAAAATAGCTCTAAACAAATTCTAAAGCAGCAGAACCTGCAAAAAGACAGAGTGAAACAAATTTCCAGCCCAAGACAACCTGGAAGGTTGACAGGAAAGGTCTCTTCTGCAGGGCTAGGAGAGGAGCACAGTTCAGCATGGGCACATAGGCAAAGACCAGGCCTCAGCGAACCTGGAACAGTCCTCAGGAGATTGAATGTAGGGGAGCTGTGGCAGTTTCCAGACCTCTCAACCCACCAATGCCAAAGATAACTTAGAAGGTCAGTAGGAAAGGTCTGTCAGATCTTGGTAAAAGAGAAGCCTGCTCCTAGCCTCAGTCCCAGTGCAGCCCCAGGGTGGTGGCTGCTTCTGGAGCTCTCAACACACAGACAGAGGGGAAATCAAGTGGCTGATCAGAGGGGCATTAAAGGGATCTCTTTGCTGGTGCTGAGGCAGGATTCTTTTGCTTTGCCTGTGCTTGGATCTGGGTCACAGTTCCAGGTGGCAGTCCTAGGGCAAGGAGAAGCACTGGTGGGGTGGAGCTTGTGGTGGTGGTAGTGAAGAGAGAATCCTCCTCACAGTTCTAAGGTAGAAAAGAGTGCTTGTGGTCACTCACAGACCAGAGCCCAGGCCAGGAAAGGAGTAAATACCTTGCCCTTGATCACAGCACCTTGGAAGACTGAAAATTTACAGGTCCCTAGAAGTATCTCTGGAAACAGCTGCACAAAACTCTCAAAGCTTGGGACAGTACATTCTCCACACTGGAAGCAGGCCCCTACCTTAACAAAGAGTTTAAAACTCAAGTAATTGGCTGGGAACATGAGCAAACCATGCAAAAAAGTCAGACCATAGAATCTTTCCTTGCTGACAAAGAAGATCAAAACATACAAGCAGAAGAAGACAACAAAGTCAAAGCTCCTACATCCAAAGCCTCCAAGAAAAATATGAATCGGTCCCAGGCCATGGAGGAGCTCAAAAAGGATTTTGAGAAGCAAGTAAGAGAAGTAGAAGAAAAACTGGGAAGAGAAATGAGAGTGATGCAAGCAAATCATGAAAAACAAGTCAACAGCTTGCTAAAGGAGACCCAAAACTACTGAAGAAAATAACACCTTAAAAATGGCAACCCAAATGGCAAAAGAGGTCCAAAAAGCCAATGAGGAAAAAAAAATGCCTTCAAAAGCAGAATTGGCCAAATGGAAAAGGAAGTCCAAAAGCTCACTGAAGAAAATACTTCCTTAAAAATTAGAATGGAGCAAATGGAAACTAATGACTTTATGAGAAATCAAGACACTATAAAACAAAACCAAAAGAATGAAAAAAATAGAAGATAATGTGAAATATCTCACTGGAAAAACAACTGACCTGGAAAATAGATCCAGGAGAGACAATCTTTAAATTATTGAATTACTTGAAAGCCATGATCGAAAAAGAACCTAGGCATCATCTTTCAAGAAATTATCAGGGCAGCTAGGTAGCACAGTATATAGAGCTCCAGTCTTGGAGTCAGGAGGACCTGAGTTCAAATCTGGCTTCAGACACTTGACACTAGCTGTGATCCTGGGCAAGTCACTTAACCCCAATTGCCTTACCAAAAAGCAAAAAAAAAAAAAATTATCAAGGAAAACTGCCCTGATATTCTAGAACCAGGGGTTAAAATAGAAATTGAAAGAATCCACCAATCACCTCCTGAAAGAGATCCCCGAAGGAAAATCATAGGAATATTGTGGCCAAATTCCAGAGTTCCCAAGTCAAGGAGAAAATATTGCAAGCGGCCAGAAAGAAACAATTCAAGTATCGTGGAAATACAATCAGGATAACACAAGATTTAGCAGCTTCTACATTAAGGGACCAGAGGACTTGGAATATAATATTCTGAAGGTCAAAGGAGATAGGATTCCAACCAAGAATCACCTACCCAGCAAAACTGAGTATAATCCTTCAGGGGGGAAAATGAATATTCAGTGAAATAGAGGACTTTAAAGTGTTCTTGATGAAAAGACCAGAGCTGAATAGAAAATTTGACTTTCAAATACAAGACTCAAGAGAAGCATGAAAAGGTAAACAGGAAAGAGAAATCATAAGAGACTTATTAAAGTTGAACTGTTTACATTCCTACATGGAAAGATGATATTTGTAACTCATGAGACCTTTGTCAATATTAGGGTAGTTGGAGGGAAAAAACTATATGTATATAAATAGATAGGTAGATATATAGATAGATAGATAGATAGATAGATAGATAGATAGATAGATAGATAGATAGACAGACAGACAGACAGACAGATAGATAGATAGATAGATAGATGGATGGATAGATAGATGGCACAGGGTGAATTGGAGATGAAGGGGTGATATCTAAAAAAATAAAATTAAGGAGTGAGAGAGTATTATACTGGGAAAAGGAGAAAGGGAGAGACAGGATGGGGTAAATTATTTCACATAAAACAGGTAAGAAAAGGCTTTTACAATGGAGGGGAAGTGGGGGAAGGTGAGAGGGAACAAATGAATGTTATTGTCCTCAGATTTGGCTTAAGGAGGGAATAACATACACACTCAATTGGGCATGGAAAGCTATCTTACCCTACAGGAAAATAGGGGGGAAGAGGATAAGAGAGAGGGAATGATAGAAAGGAGGGCAGATTGGGGGAGGGGGTAATCAAAAGCAAATACTTCTGAGGAGGGACAGAGTTAAAAGAGAGGATAGAATAAATGGGGGGGGAATCAAAAGCAAACACTTCTGAGAAGGGACAGGGTTAAAAAAAGAGAATAAACAGGGGGGTAGGATAGGATGAAGGGAAATATATTTAGTTTTTCACAACGTGATTACTATGGAAGTGTTTTGCATGACTACACATGTATAAGTTGTATCGAGTTGCTTGCCTTCTCAATGAGGGTGAGTGGGGAGGGAGGAAGGGAGAAAATTTGGAACCCAAAGTTTTAAAAACAAATGTTAAAAATTGTTTTCACATGCAACTGGGAAATAAGATATATAGGCAATAAGGTATAGAAATCTATCCTGCCCTACAGGAAAATAGAAGGGGAAGGGGATAAGAGAAGGGGAGGAGTGATAGAAGGGAGGATAGATTAGGGGAAGGGGTATTCAGAATGTATGCCATCTTGGGGTGTGGGGAGGGGTGAGATGGGAAGAAAATTTGGAACTCAAAATCTTGTGGAAATGAATGTTGAAAACTAAAAATAAATAAGTTAATAAAAAAAGAAAGAAAAGTGGGGGAAAAAGAAAATAGGTGAAATAATGTTACAAAGGGCAGATAGTTCCATCATAACAATCTTATATATCTAGGCAATGGTATCGTAGCAAAGATTACCTTATAGCAAGTTTTTGTTAGATTTTTTTTGTGTGTGTGACTCCCAAGAACTTGTGTGAATGTCCCAATGAGAGATCCTCTCTCTCTCTCTCTCTCTCTCTCTCTCTCTCTCTCTCTCTCTCTCTTATCAGTGGAACTGACCTTCCTGTTCAGATGCAGGGATCTCATAAGATAAAAAGATCTTTTAAAGCATCAATTTCCCTTATTAAATCAAACCTATTGGCCTATCTACATTTCAATTTATTTCAGAACTAAAGGACAAAATAAACAAGGCAAACCTATCCAAGGGCCTTCAATGAAATACTTCAATGAAAAACTGTTCTGTGTTGTTTTTCACATACTTTACCAAAGAATTTATTGGGAAATTATAATGGCCAGATCAGTGATATGCCAGGGTATGCCTGCTGACAAACTAAGGATATAACTTCTGGTGAAATAGATATTGAGCAGGACTTTTTATAGTTTATTACATGCTAGTTCCATAGAATCTTTCAGTGAATGTTCTAATCTCTTTAGTATTTAAAATGAGTTTAATACTCACCATATCACACTCTCTTATATATTGGCAAGTGCTTCTTCACGGATATGATTTGATTTCCTTATATAGAGGAAAAGTAACACAAACTTCTCCTTGTCATTATTACATTTTCCTATGAGGTTTCTGTATGAAAAGGCACTATGGTATAGAATATAAAACACTGGACCTAGAGTTAGAAAGAACTGAGTTCAAATCCCACTTCAGACAGAAAGTAGTCGTGGGACCCTGGCAAGTCTCACTTTAGTCATCTGTAATAACTAAACAAAATGCTTCCCCAACAAGGGTTTTGTGAGGCGCAAATGAGATAATATATGTAAGGCACTTTGAACATTTCAAAACTATGTATGTCAGTTATTATTGTTGTTATTTTGTCTGATGAAGTTAGATAGTCTGATAGAGTTCAGATAGAAACATATCTGGGACAGTTCACTCTTTTGCTATTATCATTTTGCGTATTATGTTCTGGAAACTATTGGATATAGGGATAAAATGACTGCTTTTTGTAACTGAACAAAAGTATTGGGACATAAATGCATCTTCAGTTGGCTATCTAAAAGTATCCTTGGGACTTCTTCAGGAGACAGAATGACAGGGATGAAAATGATGATAATAACAATAATAGCATATAGGTTTTAGGGTTTTAAAGTGTTTTATGATGTATGTTATCTCATTTCATTGGAGATGATATTATTAATGTACTTCTTCTTGTTCCTACATTATTTTAATTACTTCCACTGTGTCTCCACATTTTGAAAGCTTTTCATCCCATGTAGCTTAGAATTTTGAGGATTTGTTGAAAGCCATATATTAACATATTTTAAAATTTTGTATAGAGCAGTTTTATGTTCAGGCAATTGCAGACAACAGTTCTGTCTGTGATAATGTTCTAATTCTGGTAAAATTAATTTTTTTGAATTCTTAGGAATATTTTGGAGTTTGCATTTGTTATCTATTAGGTTATGAAAAACAGTGAATTTCTCATGTATGACTCTGGCCACAAGATTATGTCTTACTAGGTATTTAGTAGGTGCTAATCTTTTGTAACCTACAGTGATATGTTGCACAGTTTTTTTAAAAACTACTTACCTTGTTCTCATTTCTTCTGATGGGGTTCAGATGGAAGTCTGTTCTAGAATAGGTTGTTATTGTGGTGAGTGAAAGATGAAATGACTGAGGAAACAAAGATTAGAGCTTCTCAGCATTTAGATTTATTAAGCAATGCATGCCAGTTGTCCAAGGAATTGGTACCAGGCCCCTTCCTCAGCTTAGGGCTGGACCCCAAACACAGGGAGAGATGGACTTTTATACATTAAAAACAATTAATCAAATAAGCCCAATTAATTAAAAGAAAACAATTAACCAGGATATACCATTAGGTAATGTGATTTTTAATTGGAGGAAAGCTAGGCACTTTCTAGATTGGGAGAGGGAGTGAACAGGTGCAATTCCCTGAAATCAGAAAAGGAAGTGTCCCATTCCCCCTAGGCATCTTTATACAATCAAAGGAACATGCAAACAATACATGACCGATTAGTACAGGCCCAGTTTTCAGATAAGATGTACAATTCTGTATCAGTCTTTGAATCTGACTGAGCTTCTGGTCAGCATAACCTAGGTGCTTAGTTAAGGCTCTCTAAGCAGCAAGGTAAGGTACTCCAGTTTCCCAGCCACGCAGGGCTAGGTTCAAACAATACATTACGGTTTTCTCTCAATTCCCATAATTGAATAAAGTTTTCTCACAAGACAGAAGTTGGACTGGACCCATAGTGAATACAAAGGGGACTGAGCTAGCTCCAGAAGAGTCACAAGACGGAGTTACAGTAGCTCACTCAATTCCCACTACCACTTGCTGCTGCAATCCTTCAATTTCCTCACTTTCCTGCTATTATTCTTAGATATTTTAGAGATCTGGCCTTGAAGCCAAGAAACCCTGGGACCAAGCCCTACCTATGACTCATACTGGCTATATGAACCTTGGCTAATGGCTTGACCAAGTCTCAGAGACTATAAATTGCAGAGAAGGTACCGACCTGCATTGCTAAGAGGGAGTTTCTTCATCCAGGAACTTCCCATATCAGCATAAACACAGGTTCAGTCTCTATCTCTGTTTGTGGCTTAGTTGCTTGTGTGTGTGTGTGTGTGTGTGTGTGTGTGTGTGTGTGTGTTTGTGTATGAATGTAGTAACTGCTTTTTGCAGTTGAACATAACTCATGATCTATAGGCTCCTTGCAAGCAAGCACCCATGATATGACCTCAGTAACAATGTTGCAAGGATGCTATTACACCTCATCTTGTTTCCAGGAGATTTTTGTCTCCTCAGCCAAGTCTCCACATTTTGATGATGATTAATGATGACAATGATTCCTCCTTCTAGGAGTTAAAGAGTCTCTTAGTCAAATCAACATTCCCAAAAGTGATGAAAACATCATCCCTGAGCTTCAGGAAAAGCTGAATGTCATGGGAATCCATTTAAGTGATGAAAAAATACAGGAAGCATTGGATGCCACCAATGTCAGTGGTGAGTATTTCAGTGGAGGAGAGAGCAGAATTCCATATGCAATCATTCTAATATGGACGCTTCTCTCAATTAGTTGGTCATGTGTGCATATTTACTTATTGGTTTATTTGGGTTTTTTTTTTTTAAGGAAGCCTAGAAAATTTTATTTGACATGACCAAATCCTTTTCATTGTTAAGTCCTATATACATCTTGAGATTTTCTTAGTTTAACTTTATTTACTTAAGCTTAAAACAATTTGGATTTGTGTCATATACCTTATGCTTCTGTATTTCATTGTTTAAATGTAAATTATTTAAATTGTCTTAAAATATGGCAAACCGAGGGTATGGAAACAAGTAATTGTCAAGCTAGTTTTTGGGACAGCTTTTAGTCTGGTTCTGAGCTACTCAGTACTTTAACTGTACTTTGTAGACTTAACTTCATAGGTCTACTTTTCTCTTTATTGGAATGTCTGAATTGTTTTCGCTCTTTTTTTGGCAGAGGATGGAACAATTGATTTAAAGGACTTTGTCAATAATTTGGCTACGGTGAAAAAATTTCGTGAATACCAAAGTGAGTATGAATTTCAAAACAGGAACATTCTTATCTTCACAACTTTAAAAAATAAGAATTAACTGAAAAATTATTTGGGGGGCAGAATAGATATAAATGCAAAAAAGTTATATAACAGTAAAAAGTGTTAAATAGTCATACAAGATAACAATACAAAAAGTGTTACAAGAATAGTACATGATTAGATTCTACACTGAGTGTTTCAGACAGAATGGTCTCTCAGTTAAGAGAAGGGGAAGGGCTTTGTATGGGACTGGATGGGCTGGGAAGGCTTCATGGAAGATGTAGGACTTAGGTGATGAAGTGATAGAATGCTGGACTTGGAGTCAGGAAGACCTGAGTTTCAGTCCTTCCTTAAACACTTAGATGTACGCCTTTGAGCAATAAGCTTTCTCTGCCTCAGTTTCCTCAGTAAGATGAGGGGATTGGCCTCTAAGATCCCTTCCAGCTCTAAATATTTATTTTCCTGTGAGTTAGACCTGGAGGATGGATAGGACCTATTCAGAATAGCTTGAGCTTACTTACTATCTAAGAGTGCTATTAGTAAATCCCTACCCTGTTAGGTGGTATATTGGATAGAGCTTTGTACCTGGAGTCGGGAAGATGTGATTTCAGATTTGGCCTCGGACCCTTATTGGTTGTGCTTATTAACTGGGCACATCACTTAAGCTCTGTTTGCCTCAGTTTCCTCAACTGTAAAATGGGGATAAAAACAGCACCCATATTACAGGGTTGTTGTGAGGATCAAATGAGAAAATATTTGCAAAAAGCACTTAGCACATAGTAGGAACCATATAAATGCTCATTCCCTTTCTCCCTTTCCCCCAACCTCTAAAGACTCAGCTCAGGAACTCAGACTGAGATTAGGGCTGTTGATGTCATCATCTCCAGATCTAGTTTGACCTCCAGATTTGCAATAACTCCATGGGAGCAGGGTTAGTTCTGTGACATCCCCTTCCTCTGTATTCCTTCTCTCTCTGTGAAGGTTCTTAGCCACGGGGAGCCGTAGGCAGGAGAGTACTGATTGTTCTGATTTGGCGCTGATTTACCTTTATTTACCTGAGGTACCCAAAAAGACTAGAGGGGTCTTCAAACCGAGCTCTATTGATTGCCAGCCAATAGTAGCTGCTGCTACTATTACTACTACTACTACTACAACTATTGCTATTACTAATACTGCTACCGCTGCTACTACTTCTACTACTGCTATTGCTACTATTACTACTACTACAACTATGGCTACTACTGCTACTGCTGCTGCTGCTATTACTGCTACTACTACCATTGCTACTGCTGCTACTACTACTTACTATTGCTATATTACTATTTCTGCTGCTGCTGCTAATATTACTATTACAGCTACTACTAATATTACTAATAATTCTATTACTACAACTGCTACTGCTGCTACTACTACTGTTACTATTGCTACTGCTGCTGTTACTATTACCACTACCATTCCTCTGACTAGTGCTACTATTACTACAATTACTACCACTATTACTACTATTATTATTACAACTACTACTTCTACTACCACTACTATTACTACTACTGGGCAGCTAGGTGTCTTTGTTGGTAGAGTCCCAAGTCTGGAGTCAGGAAAAGGAGTCTTCAGTTCAAATCTCAGACACTTACTAGTCATTTAACCTAATTTACCTCAGTTTCCTCATCTGTAAAATGAACTGGAGGAGAAAATGGCAAACCACCCCAGTAACTTTGCTAAGAAAACCCCAGATGGGGTCACAAAGAGTCAGACATGGCACAACAACAACAACGACATTACTACTAGTCCTACTCTTACTACTAGAGGCTGAGTCTGCTGGATTGCTTGAGTTTGGGGGTCTGGGAGGAATAAAGCCCCCACTCAATCTGGTGCCAATGTGGTGAATCTTTGAGATTGGAGGGAGGAGGGGAACACCAGGCTGCCTCAGGAGTGGCCCAGGATGGAAATGGACCATGTCAAAGCTTTGGTGCTGACCAACAGTGATATTGAACCATAGCAGACTTCACAGTCTTCCACCCAGAGAAAGACAGAGAGACCTAGACTAGAAGAAATGAATGAATTAGACTAAATAACTTTTAAAAACTCAAGCTCTAAATCCTAGGATCTCACTTCAGAGAAGGCAGAAACACAGAGAGCCCTACTTTAGAGAGTAAATAATATTCCCCAGATCAAATTTTTACATGCTTTTCAAGAATCTTCAACTAATAGTTTTGTCCTTTTGTTCATTCATATGAACAGAGATAGAGGATGCATGGGATTTGGTCAACAAAATGAGTGATGGGAAAGTCAAGGTTGATGATGTGTCTGGTACTTTGGAGAGCTTGGGGATGAAGTTACCTGATGAAGACCTTCTAGACGTTCTAAAATTGATTCAACCTGATGGTGAGTATTTGGGCCTATTGGGTTATGTCTCCATATATGTATTTATGTGAACGTGTGTATATATGTGTGTGTGTGTGTATGTACATACACACATATATGTGCATATATATATACATACATATATATACACACACATATATGTGTATATATTTGTATGTATGTTCTTTTCGGTGAAAAAGCTAAAAATTAGACATTCTTACGATTTAGAGAATTGGGAGGAAAGTAGGGGTCAGGACAGTTGTAATAACTGACTTACCTTTAAGGGGTCCACCAATCTCTTAAAAACAGAGTGGGAAAGGGAATAGCAGCAGTTTGGGAAAGGAAGCAAACCTGCAGTTAACAGGAAATTCAATTCACTTTCTATTAAAAGCCTACTACTTACCAGGCACTCCACTTGGGTGCTGGAAATAACAAAGACAAAAATTGAGACAGCTCCTACCCTCAAGGAGCTTACATTCTACTGGAATTCTATCAGCTGCCCAGAAGTAACCTCCTTATGTCTTGATGAGCAAAGTGTTAGAGGACATTCCACACCTCAGAATGCTTATTTCTGGGTTGAATTATGCTACAGAATCCTTGACCCTTTTGCTTAGATTTTTTTTTTTTAGTGAGGCAATTGGGGTTAAGTGACTTGCCCAGAGTCACACAGCTAGGAAGTATTACATGAAGCTGAGTATCGTGTGAGGCCTCTGAGTGAGGCTGGATTTGATCTCAGGTCCTCCTGACTCCAGGGCAGGTGCTCTATACACTGAGTCACCTAGCTGCCCCCTAGATCTTCCGTTCTGCAGTGAACTCCCACTTATGTTAGTTTTTTTAAGATCCTTTTATAAGCCCAGGGTTCTTTTTTTCATCCTTGTGCCAATCAGTAATGTGTGTCCTGACTTGCTGAAAAATTGCTACCATTTAGAGACCTCTTCTGCCCTTCAGTTAAATGTAAACTGACTAACTTGAGGCCACTTATCTTCAAGAAATCACTTTGATGTTATTGAACCTCACTGAATGTATATCCTAAAGCTGAGAGAAATTTTATGAATCCAGAGGAACAGAATGGTACGGTGAGTCCTTCTTGTGCTTGGGATGCTCTTAGAGCTCTTGGAAAGAAAACTGCACACTGATTTCATTTCCTTTCTCTTTCATCCTCAGAATTCAGTTAAATTCAATAAGTATTTATTACGCCTTTACTCTCTACAGGACAATATGCTAGATGCTAGAAATACAGAGATGAAAATTAAATACTCCCTGCTCACAGGTAGCTTCCTTTTTTTTTTTTTTTTGGCTTTTTGGTGAGGCAATCAGGGTTAAGTGATTTGCCCAGGGTTACACAGCTAGCTAGTGTCATTTGTCTGAGGCTGGATTTGAACTCAGGTCCTCCTGACTCCAAGGCCAGAGCTCTATCTACTGCACCACCCAGGGGAGCTTACATTGTACTGAATACTTCTATGTATATACTTAACTAAGGGCACTAGATTGATGTGTCTATGAAATACTGTATTAATGTCTATGATTGCCCTTTTTTGCAAGTAATCTTAGGGTCAGGGTCAGGGGACCAAAGACTTTCCTCTGAGGGCATTGAATCTCTAGGAAAGCTCCAGAATTGATGTGTTCTCTTGGGAATAATTGGGAAAAAGAATGTCTTCTGTGCTACTTATATCCATTGCTTAGTATGGTACCTGGCACATAGTATTATGTGCCAACAACCATATTAATAAATGGTTGTTGATTGATATTATGTGCTGGTACCAGCTTGAAAGAAGGGTTCTTAAGCCAGATTTCATAGGCCTTCAAGAGGTCTGTGACTGTACTCTAGGGAGGGCATGAACTCGGATGGGAAAAGTTACATCCTAATTTTTAGCAATCTTGTGGTTCCTAAACTGTTAGTTGATCAGAGTTCAATAAGTCTTTCATGATTTTCTTTTTATGTTATTGGTGACAAAGCATAAATTATTCTTCTGGTCCTGCTCATTTCACTTTGCATCAACTCCTATAAGAGTTTCTGTATCTCTTTGAAATAATATTTTCCCTCACTTCTTATGACTTAATAGTATTCCATTATATCAATGTACCATCATTTGTTCAGCTATTCCCTAACTGATAGGCAACTCCCATAGTTTAAAGTTTTTTTGCTACCACAAAAAGCTGCTATAAATATTTTTGTTCATATAAGACTTTTTCTCTAATTTTTTATAATCTGTGTATTAGCCTAGCAGGGATATAGTAAAGGGTACGCCTTGCTAAGCAGTTTTTTTGTGCATAATTCTAAATTTTTTTCATCACAATCTTCACAGCTCTACCAAGAGTACATCAGTGTGCCTATTTTCCCACAGCTCCTTCAACATTTTCTTTTTTTCTCATCTTTGCTAATCTAATGGGTATGAATTAGAAGATCAGAATTGCTTTAATGTTCATTTCTTTAATTATTAGTGAATTAGAGTATTTTTTTCAAATGACTAAAGATAATCAGGATTTCTTCTCATGAGAACTGACTGTTCATATCCTTAGACCATTTATCAGTTGGGGAATGGGTCTTCTTATAATTTTGAGTAATTTCCTTATATAGCTTGGAAATGAGACCTTTAGCTAAGAAACTTCTTGTAAAGATTTTTTTTTTTGCTAGTTAACTGTTTTCCTTCTAATCAGACATACTGGGTTTGTATGTGCAAAAACATTATATATTTTGTTTTCTGTGATCTTCTCTGTCCCTTGTTTAATCATGATTATTTTGCACATCCATTGATCTGATAGGTAATTGCTCCTTATTTCTCTAAATTAAAGAATTAAATTCTCTAAAATTAGAGCTAAGTCATATATCCACTTGGAGCTTTTCTTGTTATAAGATGTGAGGTGTTGCTCTAAATCTAATTTCTACGATATTGCTATGCAGTTTTCCCAGGAACTTTAATCAATAGTGAGAATCTTTACTCCAGAAGCTGGAGCCTTTGTGTTTATTAAATGCTAAGTTACTACATCTGTTTGTTTCTTTATGTTATATCCCTAATCTGTTCTACTGATCTATGTCTCTATTTTTAAAAACAGTACCAAATTATTATGATGATTACTGCTTGGTAGTATAGTTTGAGATCTGGTCAGCTAGGGCCCCTTTATATTCATATATTTTTTCATTATTTCCTTAGTGATTCTTGACCCTTCATTCCTCTACATAGGAACTTCATTATTATTTTTTCTCATTCTATAAAGTAATCCTTTGGTAGTTCGGTATTGAATTAAATAAACAAATTTAGGCAGTATTACAATTTTTAGTTATACTAGCTCATCCTACACATGAACAACTAATATTTCTCCAGTTGTTTAGGTCTGTCTTTATTTCTATAAACAATGCTTTGTAGTTTTTTTCTTTTGTAAAAAGAAATTTGGATGTCCACTATTGGTGGACCTGTGAATTAGTCCAGGTCATTCTAGAAAACAATTTTGACCTATGTCCCCAAAGTTATTAAAACTGTACATAAAGCTGGATCCAGCTATCCCACTATTAGGCCTATCCCAAAGATATCAAAGGCAAAGGAAAAGGACCTCTATGTGCAAAAATATTTATAGCAACTATTTTCATGATAGCCCCAAACTGGAAATAAGGAAGTATCCACATATTGGGGAATAGTTGCATATGAATGTAATGAAATATTATTGTAATGTAATTGAAGGTAATTGAAATAGTGTTAATGAAATATTGAATGTAGTGAAATATTATATATCATTACAAGAAATGACAGTTTCTTGGGCAGTTTTAGAGGAAGTAGTGAAGACTTCTGTGAACTGATACAGAATGAAGTGAATAGGACTAAGAGGATAATTTATACAATGACAACTTTGAAAGACTTTAGAACTCCAATCAATGATATGCCGTGAGTCCAGAGGACTAAAGATTAATCTCGTCCACATCCTACCAAAGTGGTAATGAGCTTAAAATGCAGAATGAGATACGTACATTTTTGGATATGGACAATGTGGGAATCTATTTTGCTTGACTATGAATATTTGTTTTAAAGGTTTTGTGTTTTTTTTCTTTTTTTTCAATTAGAGGTCAAATGCATTAAAAAGGAGAGATAATAAATACTTGTAAAATACATAGAGAAAGAAAAATAAAAGAGAGAACATAAAGAGACAATGAGAGAATCATAGATGAGAGGGACAGAGAGAAGGATTAGAACCAGAGAACAGAGATGGTTCTTTTGAGGTAAACTTAGTGAAAAATGAAAACAACAACCAAAAAACTTCAGAATTGGATTTGATAGGAGTTAAACAGTCTTTTTATTGTAAGTCAAGCTCAGCTTGTAGTTTTTCTAGGTAAAATATTTTGTTGTCTGAAAGGAACAATACAAAACTATTAAGTTTATGCCTTTTATGCTTCTGAAAAGTATTATAGAATTTAAAAATATAAGACAAATGAAAGGGACTAGAAGGAGCAGATAATAAAATTAGTTTCTGGGAAGCATTTAATACAAGAAAGTTGAGGATTGTTAGTTTACCAGGTAATTGCCAATCTTCTGCTTTACTTTGTTAAGACTGACTTTAAAAGGCTGTCTTTTCTCTCTAATGGATTTTCTTTCTTTCCTTTTGTAGATGATGGATTAGTAAAAATAAAGGATGTTGTCGAGACATTAGCTAAGACTCCACAAGTTACTAGGCCTCATGGTATGAATTTTTTAAAAAGAAGAATGAATTCTCTACATTCTTGTTTTTGTTCATCTGTTGTTACCTTTTTTAAAAAAGTATGAATCTAACCTTTACCTGTTGTTCTACCAATGCTCTTTCTTCTCCATTTTAATTCTTTTGAAAATGAGAGGATGGTTTTAAATGGCAAAACAGGAATGTCTGACACCTTGCTAGATTTTTTTCTCTTTTGCTAATGAAGCTTTATTTAATCATGCTATGAGTATCACATGAGATAACGTAAATATTAAAGTGCTCTGTAAGTGTAATTTTAAAAATTCATCCAACAAGTATTGGATGCTGAAAGACACATTTCTAAGTATTATGAGTCCTATTCAGAGATCCAGAAAGCATGATCCTTACCCTAAAGAAACTTATAATTTAATTGAGGAGAAAAGACATAAAAACAGGAACATTAAATAACTGAACAAATGTTAAATACAAGCTGACACATGATAACAATGCACAAACCATACCAGTATTTGAGAAAGTTTGTGAGTGAGAACTAATATATTAAATAGCCTGATTAGTGTAATGAGTTAGGAAGTCAGTATGGTAGTGAGTGGTCTGGGAAGGCTTCATGGAGAAGAAGGACCCTAAAAGAAAAGTAAGATTTTTTTTTACATAGGAATGCCACTAATGAACCTCCAGTCTCTAGGAACTCCAGTGGTAACCGGTGGCTCAAATTTGGCTTCAGTCAAGCAAATGCTGGCATTTTGCTGCTTGTGGCATCCTCTTTAGCTGCAAGCCAATTCTTGGTCTAGAGCCCCTGGGAGCAGAGCTAATTCTGGGTAGACTATCTCCCTAGGGTAGACTTTGCCTTCTTGGAGTTTGTTAGCTCCTCTGGGCATTGTTAAATAGAAGGGTGCGCCTTGGGAGAAGGGCTCTGATTTGGTTCAGTTTACGCTGTCCTCAAGTATGAAAGCTTCAAGAGGCCCTGAACCAATATGTTTAGCCAGATATCCTTGAAACTCTGACACCCGGTACAAGATTGATCCCTTGCTACTCACTATGATCTGGAACTTGTCCTTATATCCATTTTGGTCCTAATCTGTACTCTCCAGAACATAGTGACCTTTGGAGACCCCAAAGCTGCCTTGAGGTTGTGTAAGTTTAGACAGATGGGAAGCAGCAAAAGGAATCACCTCCACTTGGTCACAAACTATTTTCTATCCTCTGAATTTTGTGGCTAGTTGAAGAACATTGGGAGACTCTCAGTAGTTTTTTCTTTTTATATAAGAAGCTAACTTTGATTGTTAATCAACCACTCAAAAAAAAAAGAGCATTTAGAAGCTTTAAATAGCCAATATGCTGTTTATTTTTGGCATAAGTTAATATTCTACCTGTAATCACTTGAAAAGTTTCATCTCATTGGTGTCTTCTCAAAAGCAGTTAGCATTTTTTATGGTGCCTGCATGGGACTTTTCAATTATTAGATAATAATAACAGCTAATAATATCTAACATTTAAATAATCTTTACCATGTGCCAGACACTCTGCTAAACATTTTACAATTATTATCTCATTTGATCCTTAAATCAGCCCTGGGAGGAGGTAATATTATCATCCTTATTTTACGGATAAGGAAACTGAGGCAAACAGAGGTTAGGGGTCTGCCTAGGGTCACACAGCTAGTAAGTACCAGTTGCATTTGAACTCAGGTCTTCCTGACTCCAGACCCCATACTCTCTCCATTGAGTAATCTTACTAGATTACTTCAGATAGGCTCTTTGGCTCTTAAAAATGAAGACAATCCCCATATCAGCTTTTACAGATTCTGTGTTTTGTTGTTGCTATCGTTGAATCAATTTATGTTTTTACTTGGATATACATATAGGATTAAAAAATGCATGGACTGTCGTCAACAGTGTCACTGATGGGAAGATCAAGATGTCTGATCTGTCCCCAGCCCTGGAGAGCTGGGGATTTGAGTTAACTGATGAAAAGCTTAAAGAGACAGTGAAATCTATGGAGTCTGTTGGTGAGTTCTTCAGATAAATGTGAGACAATATTCATTCAAAGTAAATGAGAACATGCGTCCTTTCTCATGACCAAGCTAAAATCTCAGTCATAGTTACAGGCTCAATTTCTGCCAAACTCTGTCCCAGTTTTCCCAATTGTTGTCAGATGGTGAGTTTCTTCCCTAAGTAATTTATGTTTTGGGGTTTTTCGAATACTGAGTGAAATGACTTGTTTCTATTTCTTCCTTATCCAGTCTCTTCCAATGATCTACTTTTTTTCTGTCTTATGAATACGTTTTTTTATGTTTTTGAATTTATTTTACACTTAAGTACAAAATAAGAAAAGGAAAAAACAACCATTGCCATGTACACAGAAGAACATAAGAGAGCATTCAATATAAAGCAATAAATATCCATTTCGAGAAAACCTGTATGATAAATATTGAACATTTTTTCAAAGCTGTCCAGCTTTTCTTTGCTTCCTTGTAGGTTTTTTTTTCTCTGCTCTGCACTTTTTATTTTATTTTCCCCCACTCCATCCCGCCCTCCCCTACCCAAAGAAGACTGCTATTAAGCCAATATATATGTATATATATGTGTACATATATGTACATATAATACACACATATATTATACATATACATAGATATCTATAAACATACACATCTATACACATGTACTCATACATGTATATGTAAGACCATACTATACTTATTTCTACTTGTCATCTGTTTCTCTGAAAGTGAATAGCATCTTCTTTCTTAAGTCTTTCCATGTTTTTCCTAAATCAACCAGCTCATCATTTTCTACAGCACAGCAATATTCCAACCCAATCCCATTCTATTTAAGAGACTGTCTATGAAACTTTTCCCCCCTAATTTTCTGCATTCCTTCTATTCTTGGCTGCATAGATTTTATTTATATGAGAAAATTTTAATTTAAAATAATCAAAATTATCCATTTTACACTTTAACAATGCTCTCACCTTATAATATGGTTTAAGATCTAATACTACTGGATCTGCTTCCTTTACATATTTTTTCTCCTGGTGTCTTTGAAGTTCCTGACCTTTTGTTCTTCTAAATGAACTTTGTTATAATTTTTTTTCCTAACTCAGTAAGATAATTTTTTTTCAAAATTTAATTGGGATGGCATTACATAAATATAGTTAGGTAAAATTGTCATTTTTTTTTATTATATTGGCCATACCCACACAGGAACAATAAATAATACTTCAATTATTTAAATCTGATTTCATTTGGATAAGTGTTTTATGTGTTGTTTGTATAGTTCCTGTGTCTGTTTTGGCAGTATATTCTCAGGTATTTTATACCATCTAAGTTATTTTAAGTGGTCTGAAACAATATTGAACAATATGGCTGACACAGTGTAGTTTCCCTATTTTTCTCTTTTGATTAAATGTATTTTAGCTTTAACTTTGTCTGAAATCATGATTACTACCCCTGCTTTTTTATATAATAAACTCTACTCCTGAACTTTATTTCATGTTTGTGTGTGTCTCTCATTTTTATAGCATTTCCTAAAAGCAACATATTGTTGATTTCAAATTTTTAATCTGCTATCAATTTCCATTTATGGGTAAATTAATCCCATTCACATTCTAAACTATAATTACTTGTATATTTTCCTCCTTCCTATTTTTCCTCACTATCCTTCTCATCCTAATCCTATCCCTCTTCACTTTTCTGCTTTATTTCTACACACTACCTTGCTTTCCTATTCCTTAACCTACCCATCCCTCCCTTATCCTCTCCCCTCCACCCTTGACAGTGGAAGGTCCTTCAATCTTCTTCTCAGTGGTCAGACCCCTACACCATCCTCAGAATAAAGGCTGAGGCCACCTTCCAATCCCAGTTGCCCTCAGGGTTTTGTTGATTCAGCAGAGTTAGCGAGGGTGGGGGTGGGGGTGTTTGCACTTCACTCTTGCTGAACCTCTTGCCCTTGGAGGTCAGATCTTTCCTGGGGCCTTCTTAGGTTACCTGACTTAGGAGAACAGTTACTTCACTCTGACTTTTGTTTATTTCTGAGGCTCTACTTTCCCTCTGAGACAATATTCTGTCTTTTTCTGTGGAGGAAATTTGGAGAGTGAAAAGTTTTCTGACCTACTCTGCCATCTTCCCAGAATCCTCTATCTTTTATGAATATTTTTGATCATTATTGCTTCATATTATACTTGGAGGTTAGGAAGTACCATTTCCCCCTTCATTTCTACTTTCCCTCCCCATTATATTTTTTGGGATTCTCGAACTTTTATTCCTAGAGGAATCAATATTCAAATTCAGTTCTACACCTTTTAATTTGGACCCTGTCTATACAACACAAAGGGAAACAGTTTTTCAAATAACTCAAATAGCTCTACTTTACTCGTCTCTTGTCTGTGGGAGTTTTGCCCTTTTTCTTCTGTAGAAGTGGTTTTATTGGGTCTTTTTTTTTTTAATTAGAATATCTGATTCCTTTCTCCCCCACATTTTCTTTTTGGTAGAACCGGAAAGTGTGAATTTACAAGATCTTATCAAGAAATACACTAAGGCCAAGAAATTGAGTAAGAACCAAAGTGAGTATGAATGAATCTTTCATTCCTGTTGGCAGTTATGGTTGGATTTTTATGGATGGGAATTTAACTTTTTGCAGTTTCTACTCCTTCCTTTTCTTTTCACTTTAAGTAATTGAGTTAATAGGAAAAAGATCTCATCACAAGCAGGAATATTAAACTCCTTAGCTTTCTTTTTTTATTTTTGGTGGTAAAATTTTGTGTGCATGTAACCAATCAACATAGCCTTTAAAAATAAGATTTATTAATGCAATTTCTAGATACAACGTCTTCCCCACCATCTCAGGAACTGAAACCTCCCTTGTAACAAAGAAAACCAGCAAAAGCCAAACTAACAACCAGTACAATGACTATATCTGGGAACGTATGTAACATTCTGTCTTTGTAGCCCCTTGCCTATCAAGAAGTAGGGAAGTATGGTTCCTTATTTGTTCTTTAGAACTAATATTTATATCAATATTTTTTAGCAGTTGTGTATAATGCTTTTAAGGTTGTGATTTAATATCATAAAATGTGGTCCCTGCCCTGCTCAGAGTGCTGTAATCTAGGTAAGTATACAAGGTATAAACATAGAAAAGTTAAATAACAGTTCAAGGATTAAATAATTCCCAAAGAAAAATATTCAAAATATTATAATCAGACAGTCGTGGTTGATTGTATTGTATACTAAGTTATAGATATTGAATGTTATGTCAGATTTAGTAGCTTAGATAAATGGTCACAAAATAACTTTTCATCATAGTGAAAATAGTTAAAATTTATGTACCTGTTATTAACATATATTGTTGTTTTCTAATTAAAAGTTTTTAGTCATTTAGTATTTTTAAATGATAGTTCGAAGAAGAGAAAGAAATCTGTGATCTAAAATTGATTGGGAATCTTCAATGAAGAGGACTAAATTAATCTGGGCCTCTTAAGATAGGTAGAATTTGCCACCTAGGAGTGTCATTGGTGAATCCTTCTAGGCTCCCTTATTTTAAGGTCATTTCAGGAACAAGGAAAGCAAGTGAAAGTCGAGTACTGTCTTTCTCATCATCATTGGATGTAGGTTAACTCTTGGTTTAGAATAGTTCCAAATCAACCCCACAGAATCAACCTGTGTGGGGCAGAGACCATCCACTCAAAATAAAAACAAAGACTTAGATACCTTGAAAGCAGAAAGGAGTTTATTGCTTTCTCATGAGAAAGGATACCGCCCCTAGTTGCCATTGCCCGCCAGGAGAGTATGAGTTGGGAGCCCCACCCTTGGTTTCTTATCCCCTAACTTGATGCCCCCTCCCACTCTCTTACCCCTTTCTCCTTTGACTGGGTACTCAGGGCGTACATTCCAAACTCGGCTGCTAATACCTAATAGAAGTAAACATGCCCATGTTTGGACTAGATGCATATGTGTACTAGGAAGTAGGAGCAACCAGGCACCGAGCTCCCCTACCCATGCTCACTTGGTGCTGGAGAAATAGAAGTTTATCGGGGAAAATGGAAACTTAACTCAAGGCTTTCTGGAGGAACGAAACTTAGGCCTGTGGGAACTGCACTTCAGGCCATCTCTCACACTCAGGCAGAGTGCGGGAGAGAGATAGGAGCATAGCAGGGAGGTAAGAGTGTAGCAGGGAGCTACTAATGAGGGAACTTCACTATGAGCCATCCCTCACAAACCCCATGAAATCGCTTCTCTGTGAATCCCTTCCTCTACACCTCTAGGGTTTTTAGTTACTCTAAGAATTGGGGAAAAGATTTAGTTTCATAACATAAATTGCTCCTAAAATAACAAAGAAACCTTGCGAATCCTATAATAAATGTTACTTGAATTTTAAAAAATCAACCTATTTAATCAAGGCTATCAACATTTTGACATTTATTATTGAGAGGAACCCTGAAAAGCAGCTGAGACAAAATTTGTCTCCATCTCCTTTTGGTCTTAATTTGGTCCCCAAATCTTGCTTTGAGGCTTGAGGTATCAAAATGTGGGAAGGAGAAGAAGAGAGTGTCTAACAGTCCAATGAGTATTTGGTCATAAACTACTTAGTATGCCAGCAGCTTGTGTCTAATTATGAGTTATTAGTTGCCTCCTTGAAGCATTCTCTTTACAATAAATTACCATTGATAATTAAGCAGACAAGAAAAAGGAATTCCTAGGTATCCTTCCGAATTATAATTATGGTATGGGCAAGCCAATTAACTTTGCTGTGCCTCTAAGAACTTCCTATTAAGTCACAGATGGAGGTTCTATTTTCTACAGAAAGAATTACTCATGTTCATGAAATCCCAACTTCTTCACTCTCCCCATCTCTGCCTGTTGATGGGATCATTTAGAGTGAAATCATAGAGGCTATCTCCTCCTGCCCTCATTTTGAGGATGAGGACACTGAGGCCCAGATAAGTTCAATGATTTGCCTAAGTAATAGAGGTAATGGGGCAGCTATGTTGCCCAGTGGATAGAGTATTGGGCTTGGGGTCAGGAAGACTCATCTTTCCGAGTTCAAATCTGGCTTCAAACACTTACTAGCTGTGTGACCCTGGGCAAGTCATTTAATCCTGTTTGCCTCAGTTCCCTCATGTATATATAAAAAAATAAATAAACTGGAGAAGGCCATGGCAAACCGCTCTAGTATCTTTGCCAGGAAAACTCAAAATGGGGTGATGAAGAGTCGAACATGATGAAAAATGACAGAAAAACAATACAGAGGTAAGAAGAAGGTATAGAGCTGAGGTCCTTCGCCTGAAAAGCAGTCTGCTTCCTCTTCTATCATGATGCCTCTTTTATGCACATATGGCTATGTCTGTCATACATTAGGCATGGACTTATGCTTTACTTATAATATTCTACCTATGATGATTTAATAAAAGACTGTGTAAAATCTCTTTGATGATACATTTGACCTATTGTTACTGTTTCAAACTCAAGCACTTCGTTGCGCTAAAGAATTTTAAAAATTTCCCCAGTAAGGTTTTCTTATAGATTCTTGACATTTATTAATATGCTTACAATTTAACAGAATTACAAGATGCCTGGACTGTTGTCAACGCTGTCTCAGATGGTAAAGTAAAGCCTTCTGATCTGAGATCTATACTAGAAAGCATTGGTTTGGATTTAAATCCAGAAGAAATTAAAGAAATACTGAAATATGTGCACATTGATGGTGAGTACTTTAGCTCTCTATGATTTGCCCAAGTACAATAGAATATGTCCTTCCCAAGGACGATTAAAAATTTTAATCGTCCTTGGGGATAGCTAGTTGGCACAGTGGATAGAGCGCTGGGCTTGGAGTCAGGAAGGCTCATCTTCACAAATCCAGCCTCAGACGCTTAGCTGTGTGACCCTGGGCAGGTCACTTTGCAGTGGGAGTGCAGGTTCCAAGGGTAAGAACTACCCAGAGGCCAGACTCGTTTTTCAGTGGGTGAAGCTTTATTGTCACAAAAGCAAACGGAACCTAGCACTGTCAGCAAGCTGGCTGGTTGTTAAGAAGGCCTAGGTTTCAGGTTTATATGGACCCAGGGGAGTGGATTTTTGAGGAACCTGAGGCAGATTCTAAGAAGTCCCTCCCTGGAGGAGGAACGGGAGTGGTTTTTCCTTTTATGGGGCTTCGGGGGGGTGAGGAGGCAGGTGGCTTTTTCCAAGGAGGTGTGTTTTCGCCCTGTCATCAGTCGAGTTACTCTTAGTCAAAGTGGGGCGTCACCGCGCATGCGTCAGGGAATCAGTGCGCTTGCGTACTCAGGGAACGTCCCTTAAACCACAAAGCTGATGCTAATTGGATGAGCATTTGGCAGCGCTCTGGGTGTGGGGAGAGGATGATATGATGTGGGGGAGGATAGGGTTCTGTGGAGAAGGATAAGGTCCACTCCGACTTAATCTCATTTGCCTTAGTTTCCTCATCTGTAAAATAAGCTGGAAAAAGAAATGACAAACCTCTCCAGTACCTTTGCCAAGAAAACCCCATTGGAATCACGAAAGAGTTGGGCATGACTGAAAAAATGACTGAACGACAACAAAAGTCATCCTTGCAAAGTTTAGAGTTCTAGGGTGGTTATATCAGTGGCCTTACTTTTCTGATATACGACCAACAGATTTAGAGTTAGAAAAAAAGAGATCTTAGAGAGCATTTAGTTTAATACTTTCATCTTACAGATGAGGACATTGAGGTTTGGAGAAATTATGAGGCTTTCCTAAGGTGACACAAGAATTAAGTAGTAGAGCCTGGAATTAAGCCCAGGTTTTATGATTTCAAATCTGGTGTTCTTTTAAAAAATACTTAAATTAAAAGTTTTATATAAATATATGTGTACATATATATTATGTATACATACATTACATATATAATTGATGTCATTTATCTTTACATCACAGTCATTTCTTTGGGAAGGGTCTCTATTTTTGACCATAAATTTTGTAGTATGTATATAAATTACTCTTTAAATGATAAATCTCAATCCACTGGGCCCAGGTTTTTTCCTTTGGCAGTTTATTTATTTTGATAGTTTACTTGATTTCTTTTTCTAAAATTGGGTTAAGATCATTTTTTTCTCTTTTTTTAGGTTGAGTAATTTATGTTTTTGTAGATAATCATCATTTTCATTTGAATTCTCAGTTTTTCTGGAATATGATTGTAAGTGATAGTATAAGCTACTGTTTGATCCTGGCATAGGGGGTAGTGACTCAGAAGACTCTGGGGGAAGAAACCTACCTTCTGACCTGGAGCATTCCTCAAATTCCTGGATGCCTACTTTTGACTTTGGGCTGGAACCATTGAGCACTATATAAATGTCACATATTCTTATAATATCTTTTTTCATTTTGTAGAGAATGGAACAATAAATTTAAATGATGTTATCAATAAATTGACATACTTGCAGAAATGGAATGACAGCCAAAGTGAGTACAAGGAATATTTCCTTTCTTCTGTTGTTATGTAAATTGTTCCTTTTTATAGATTGAAAGGAATTTAACTTTTTAATGGAAATCCACTTATCCTGTTTCTTCTTGGTCCTTTTGTAAATGGGAATATGATCTTACAAATCATAGCCAGGAATGTAATTCCCCTTTTTTGTATCTTCTTTTTCCATTTTGGTGGTAGCATTTTGTGTATTTTCTTAATGAGGTAACCAATATTTATTGAAAAGGTGTTATATCTCTAAGGTGATTTGTTAGACGCCAAAGTCTAAACAGAGATGTGTAAGGCATGTCCTCCCTTTAAAGATGTTAAAGTCTAGTTCTGTGGACAAAGAATGAGTTCAGAACAATTCAATAAGATCATAGGAGTTACATAAAGAAAAACATGGTTAATTGCCCATTGAGTGATGTAAATTATTAATGTGATGAAAAAAAGAACTCTCTGATCCTGATTTGTCTGAGGAAGCTTCATGGAAGAGAAGAGAATTGAGTTAGGTCTTGAAATATAGACATCATCTGATGCTGAGGAGTGCTGTTAATGAGTCCCTGGATTCCAGTAGTGGCTCACACCAGCACCAGGACAAGCAGAAAATGTCCCACAGGACAGGATAAGTTCCACAACGTGCCTTGCTCTTCTCTTTTCTTAGAGGTTCTTAGTCGCTCTGGGTAATTGGGATTAGAAGAAGATCTGGTTTGGTACAGGTGTTAATGGTTTGTAAAAGTACCTTAGGAACCGAGGAAAGCTATGGAATCTGTTTGTTTTTTTTAACCAGAGTCTTTGGATATTTGATAATTTGGGAAAATTACTTTGGATAATTTGGTAAGGACCAGAGTCTTCAAAGGCAGCTCTGAGCCAGATTTTTTCCATCTGAAACCCTAAAGGTACCTTGAGATTAAAGATACAGATGAGGTAGAAAGAAAGAAGGAAATAAACAGCGGTTTGAAAGCCCAGTGGGCTGTAAATCACTTATAACCTAACAATAAGAACCAGAGTAGTAGAGTGGGAAAAAGATTGGATCTGGACAAAGAACCTGGTTTCAAATCCACTCTTGTTTTTTTACTACCTTGTGATTATAGGCAAACCATACAATTTTCCTGGCATTCAGTTTCCTCATCTGTAATACGGAGAGTTGTCATGATTCTAGAGGACCAGTGATAAAGAATGCTACCTCTCAGTTGATAGATGTGATGGATTCAAGGTGTAGAATAAAGCATATGTTTTCAGATATGGCTAATATATGAATTTATTTTGTTTGGCTATATACATTTTTACAAAGATTTTGTTTTCCTTTCAATTTGAGGGAATTTAAGGTTGAGGGAAGTGTTGGGAGGGAGACTGGAGTTAGGGTTTCCAAAAGGAAAAAAAAAAGAAAAGGGGGTCAGTGAAACATTAAAAATATTCACAGAAGAAAATACAAAAAAGTCCAGAAAGAAACATAAATAAGTAGAATCATGTTGAAAGTTACATTTTGAGTTATAATTCTTTTAAAAATAGATTTTTATTCATATAGTTTGTTTTCACTTTGTGTATATCCCTCCCTTTCCCTCATCCCATTAAAGCCATCCTTTAAAATTTATTATATTCTTAAGAAGAAAACTAAACTGTACATGATAGTGATGCATGGTTTCCTGTACAGTCTTCTTATTTTGTTTTACTTTACATATGAAAATTCTCATTTTATTTTAAGTTCAGAATAAAAATAGATTTAAAAAAATAAAATGAAGGAGCTCAGTTCAAAGATCTTGAATCTCTCTTTGAATTCTAAATCCTAGCTTATAGCTATTTGCAGGTCATCTCAAATGGTTTTGAAGCATTTACTTTATAATAAGCTGGCATTGAATAAGTGTGGCCTCAGACAAACTGAGGCCTGGGAAAGGCCTCAATTTAGAAAGGCCAAGGTCATCCACTGCATCCTAAGCCATCTGCAGTCATCCTGACTTTTGTCTTGCTGCTGGCCTCAGATAACTCTGAGGAGAGAGTGAGGCTGATGACTTCGTGAAACTCTGTTGCACTTAAATCCAATTCACATGTAAGTCAAGACACCACCTTTGTGATATCATTGGTCCTCTTTGAGAATAAAGAACTACCACTACCACAAACTACAACAACAACAAGCTGGTATTAATCACAGACCAACCACTCATAAGAGAAAAAGAAGCTTCCGGTAATGTGCCACATTTGGCATGTCTACACTTTTGTTTTTGCCCTGAATTAATATTTATAATCTTGAGGTCATTTTTTTTTTGTTAAATTGATATCTCATCAAGAGCAATAAAGGTTTAACTTTCTCCATGGTTAACAAGTAGGAGCGTGTGGTATCTTTTAATTCAGTTCATTGAACAAGCATTGGTTCAACAAACTGCCTACTATGCCAGGCACCATGCTAAGTGCAAAGTGTTGGAGATTCAGACAATTATACCCTCAAGGAGTTTCTCTTCTATTCGATTATTCAGTTTACTTAGGTGACACCAAAAAAACCAAAAAACCCCCAAGGACCACAGCTCTATAGAATGAATATATTTCCTCTTCACCCCCCTCCCTTGGTCAGGTTCTTTATAGGTTTCTTTAAACTAGCCATTTAAAAGCTTAGCACTCTTATTCATCCCTATAGGGATACGACATGCATATATTATTGTCACTAATGTCAAGGATGGGAAAGTCAAGATGATGATCTGCCATCTACCTTGGAGAACTTGGGATTCGATTTAGATGAAGATGATATTAAAGAAGTGCTGAAATCTGCTACACCAGATGGTGAGAACTTAGGTTATTTGCAGAGGGTAAAAGAGGATTCATGTTCTAACAGCAAAACTAAAATTTTAACATTCCCAGAAGATTAAGAATTTGAGAGTGGGATTGGAATGGTTGGGGCAATGCCTTTACTTTTCCTGAGTTTTTATTTCTTCTCCTGAAAAGTAAATGGAAATGGGGAGGTTAGAGGAGTGAGATAGCCAGGTGGTGCAATGGATAGAGCACCAGGCCTAGAGTCAAGAAAACCTAAGCTCAGATCTGGTCTCAGACACTTAACTAGCTGTGTAACCTTGGGCAAGACTCTTAACCTCTGTTTCCTCAGTTTCCTTGGCTGTAAAATGGGGATAATAATAGCACCTACCTCCCAGGATTGTTATGAGGATGAAATGAGATGTGCTTGGCACTTGGTGTATAGAAATGCTAGCTGCTGAGGGTGATGATGAGGGTGATGACCAGTGAGAGAATGGTGGTGGAGGACAAGTAGTGAGAAATCCATCAAGCTCTTAGGAGCAACTTCCTTTCCCCACCATGCTCATTTTCAGCTTGTATCACTTATTCTTATCTCAGCATGTCCATTTCTGGATTCCCTGAATCTTCTCTGGCATCTCATTCTCACTATACTTGGCTTGATTTTTTTAAATGTCTGTAGCTGTTCTGTGTATATGCTGATGTGTTCTAAAACTTCTCTCCTTGCTACCCTGTCCTTCCTTAGCTGTAGCTGAACTAATGAACTTCCTTAGCTAAAGTTGTTCATCTCAATTTTGCAGGCATTTATTGAATGGTTACTGTGTGCCATACATATATACATTGTGCTAGGTGTCAGAGATACAAAGGCAAAAACGGAATAGTTTTTGCTCTTAACACACTTAAACCCTAAGAGGGGAAAACAATACATACGCAGATAAGTAAATGTTAAATACGTAAAAAGTTAGCACAAAGTGATTTCTAAGTTGGAAGAGGGAGTATTAACAATTAAGAGATAAGGGAAGGCCTGTGGTAGAAGTGGTGGTGGTTGGCCCTTGGGGACTGTGCCAATATTCAGGTTTCGCCCATATTGCCTCACTGGTACCAACGTTTGTGGTCAGGTCTCTTGTTTCAGTTCTTCATTGGTCTCTCTGACTGACTAGGGCAGAATATCAGTTATAGAATTATAAATCATTGCAGAGATTCTTTTAAAAATATGAGAAACAAGGGGAGGAAGGGCTCATTCTCAAAGTAGTTTCTGGGAGAGCTTTTGAATTTTGGGCTTGGTCTACACAACACAAAGGAAGAGGAAGGTGACCAAGTCTTCCATGTTACTTTGTACTTTATAGACCTAGCTTTAATTGTTTTTTTTTTCGTTTTATAGAAGCTGGGGAAGTAAATTTAAAGGACCTCATCAAGAAATTGACCAGTGCCAAAAAATTGAATAAGACCCAACGTGAGTATAAATGCATCTTCCTGTCCTTATATTGGTGTAAACATAATGATGTAACTTTTTTATTTAAACACGTTCAACATAAAATTAGTAACCATTAATAAAAGTGAATAATCAGCTAAGCATACAAAATAAGGGATCCAATCTCATGTAATTTATCTAGCAATTAACTTTTAAGAACATGGGTTGCTAGAGGGTCAACCCTCACCTTACTGTGCTTGTAATGTCTAAACATTTTACATAAAATCAACAGAAAATAAACAAGAAATGTGTGTATTTTGTGTCCCTGTCCAAGTCGGTCTTAACGTTTCATGTCCTTTGGCTTTTTTTTTTCTTTAACTTGTGGTCCATGTTCATAATGTTCTGGTTCCATATCAATCAATTAACAAGTATTTATAGGCATTTACTATGAGCCAGGCATTGTGCTTTAATGTCGAGGATAAAAAAAAAAGGCAGAAATGGTTCCACATGTTTCTCAGTTTACTTTTTACATGATTCAGTGATTGTCTGAGTCTGTATTTCCTCCATTTGCTTTTCATTGGCTTCTTTGTTTTATCTCGATTTTTCTTTTAGCTTTCTTCAGACCAGTTTTCTTTAGTTGCTCTAATACTTTCAACAGTCATGTTCTTTTCAAAAACAATAGGCCATCTAGAGATACCAACACTTCCAAATATTTCATGTCTACAGCTGTTTTATGCATGGAGTGGCTCCTGAGAAACACCAATCCCTCAACATTCTAAAGCCTCTTAAAGATACAGTAACAGCAGTATTTGTAGTGTCTGTGAAGAGCTATTGCAGCTGATGTTACAACTCTGACATGGGATGATGACATAATTTCCACCACCTCTCTTTATTTTTGTCATTGATTTTCGGTTATTATAGGGGAATAAACAATCACTACATAAGATAGTGTCCATAAAGCTTTTTGAAAACCTCAAAGTGCTATGTATACATGTGTCCCCTAGTAGTTACCTGTAAGTCAAGTAAAAGCATCTTTAGGGCAGGGACTGCTTTCATTTTTGCCTCTGTATCCATAGTGCCTAACTTAGTTCCTGGCACATAGTATGGCCTAATAAATGCTTTCTGAGTTGAGTTAAACTATTAATATTATTACCATCAACTTATCAGCAGCAATAGTTTCTCTTTTTATGAAGACAAGCAGATAACATGTGGAATTTTCCCCTTTTTAGAGGTTCCCAAATCCAAGATTCCTTGCTCCCAGTCTCAAATGTGTTTACTTAGATTCACCATATTATTGATATGACACTTTTATTTGCATGTACATATAGGATTAGAAAATGCACGGATTGTTGTCAGCAACGTCAGTGAGGGGAAAGTCAATATCAATGATCTAGTGTCTGCTTTGAAGAGCTTGGGAATCCATTTAACTGATGAAGATGTTGAAGAAATGATGAAATCTATTGAGATTGATGGTGAGTATTTCATCTGTTTGTCTCAGATTATTTTTTCCATTGCATATGTGTTCTTTCAAGTGGCAAGGCTGAAAATTCAGTATTTCCAACATCGATAAGGATTGGATGATAGTGGCAATGGCCTTACCTTTCAGGGGTCCGAATTTTTCCCTCTGGAAGGGGAATGGCCAAAGACTGATAAGAGAGGGGCAGAAAGCCAGGAATTCTTAACTTCCTAGATGTAGAAGTAGATTCGGTTCTGACCTAGACTATTGGTTCATATTAATTATTTGTTTCTATATGCTTATATATCTGGGTTCCTTCAGGCTTCAGACACTCTCTCTTTCATTTTTGGCTTCTACTGCTAGAAATTGGTCCCCACTAGAGACCCTTTAAATAAGTGTGCCAGGAGGGAATCCATGCTGTCTTATTGAGAAGCCATTGTTAGTGTAGTACAGAAGACAGTAAAGTTGGGATGGAGGGAAGAATCCCTAAGGAGGAAATAATATGATTATATTATATTAATAATAACATATTAAAAGAATAAAAATAAAAATACATTATTATTAATAGTATATTGACCAAGGAGGGAATACTTGTGTGAGAGCATAGGGAGGAAAATCAGCTACAAATAGAGAAAGGAGAAACATTTAATAGCCATGTAGATCTGAGGGAAGAAGCATGCCAGCTATACTCGTCTGGGGCTGCTTGCAGTTGTTAAATAAAAACTGGAAAGAGCTGAGTTTGCATTTCTGGTGAACTCTGGCCTATATGTCATTATCACAGTGGCAGGAGATTAGGGAAGTGAGTGTAAAGAGCAGCACATCTCACCCATCTCACCTGGTCCAACTCTTCTTCTAGTAGTGAAGCAATATCATCTGGATGGTTCGGTGTGTTTTTCCTTTTTTTTCCTGCAGCTGATTGCCATTCCCCTGGAAAATGCATTCAATCAACCAACGAGCATTTTTTAATCACTTATGTCAAAGTTATTCCCCCCAGCTTTACTATATTTAAGGGAGCAAATAGATAATTCTAGCCTAGGAGGGGTCCAGCCTCACCACCCCAATCTTCCGCTCCTGCCTGGAAGGAATCAGTCTCCCTTATAGAAGGGTGTGCATGTGATGTGGGGGCAAAGAGTGCCCTAGGATTAAAAATAAAATTAAGGGTTACTTTCCCAGGCCCCTGAGGGGGTTTGAGGCTCATTCTGTAGACCATCCTGTACCTTGAGATCCTGGAACTTGAAAACTTCCCAAGTCCTTTTCCCTTTATCTTGAAATGTTGTACAACTTGCTCCAAAAGAATTTGCTTTGCCTCCCTTATCCTGTGTTCCTTATTCTGTCATTTATCTTCCTCATCCTGTGTCAACCATCTTCTTCATCTTGCTTGTTCTTATCCTGTCCCTAAATTCCAACTCCCATATGAAACGCTAAAAATATACCATTATCCTACTGGCTGTATAGCTTTCTGTCTATATAAGCCTGGGTCTTTTCCTATATTGGCACCGTTTGTTTATCTCCTTGCTAACCTCAGGCCCATGAAGCTTTGATGAAATAAAGCTCCCAATGGCTACAGAGAAGGTCTAAGTGAATTCTTTCACACCTGAACCATCTCTTCTAACTCTAAACTTCAACACAGAGAAGACTAGGAATATTTATACATGCCTTCCCGTGAATCACATTTAGATAGATCCATGCAGACACACATAAACACAGGCATAACACAGACCCACATACTATGGATGATTAAAACATCTTATTTTGTGTGGAAATGGATGTTACAAAGTGACTTATGGTAATGCCTTACAAAGGGTTTGTATTTTATGGGAATCCATTTGCAATTGGAAATCGAGAGGATGCTCATCAGTTGGGGGAATGGCTGGACAAGTTGTGCTCTATGATTGTGATGAAATACTATTGTTTTTTATTTTTGAGGTACAAGCCTTCCAGAAATACTTTTTTTTATTAATTTGGATTATCCTAATCTAAGCATATATGCTTAGAGAAAGGGGGGAAACATAGATGCATACCCCACCACCCCCCACTGAAAAATCTCTAACAAACTATTTTGAAGTTACAGTTGTACTATTACTATACAATATACAAATTTCACAATGAGATAAAACATAGTTATGGCACTCATTGTAAAGTTCAGTTAACATTTTACTTCATCAAACAGAATGGTCACTTAACTTTCAATTAAATTAACTATTGGCTAACTTTCAGTTAACCATTCATTCATCTGTGACTACTCCATTTAAGGATTCTCTTTTCAAGCCAAAGATGAACTGAGGAAATATTTCTATTAGCTGAATTAATCAACTGAAAATATTAAGAAATAATATTTTTTAAACCTAAAACCTTTTTAAAACTTTTTCCATTAGGAAAGTGGATAAAACAAGGACTGAGATCCCAGGAATGAATCAAATCTAATTACTAAACTTAAATCTTGTCTAGGTAGGAGCATTGGCTCTCCATCCTATGGCACACTCCCCCCACCACCCACAATACCAAACTCCCCCCAACCCTAACACAACCCACCTAAGGGCAGTATCTTCTTTTACTTTCAAGGATTAAAATATTGATCATAGCAAGGAAGACCTTTCAGTCTTTGAGGTGAGTGGTCAAGGAAGGAATCTAGTAGTTTAAGTAAATTAAGTTCATCCAAACTGTATTTTAACATATTATGAACTTTTCCTTATTCAAGAGTCCTATAAAGGTTGATAGACATATTTGAGAGCAAGGGTGGAGGGGAAGGAACTGTGCAGTTGGAACATATTCTTCTCTTTCTCTGTCTCTGTCTTTGTCTCTCTCTCTGTCTCTGTCTCTGTCTCTCTCTCTCTGTCTCTGTCTCTCTCTCTCTGTCTCTGTCTCTCCCTCCAGAAATGGTTTATGCTTTATATATTAGATCAGCATTAAATTAAATTTAATTGTTTCTGGCAGACTTGTGCCTTAAATACAGAGTACTGTATTAGTATTTTTTTCTTCAACAAACTTGTCTGGTTATTTATCATTCAAAAACTCCTGTGGTACTCTATTACCTTCCAGGAACAGATATGAAATCCTCTTTTTTTTTTCTCTTAGTTCCTCTTACATAACTAAATAAGCCCACGTTTATGTCCTTAGCATTCCTCAACAGCCTCCACTCATTCTGATCTTCAGAGCTCCTGATAGTCTTCTCACCAAACCAAAATACTCTTTTTTTTATTCATCTTCTGATGAATAAACTGATGAAGAAATTAATTGGCCTTGTTTCCTTCTTTTATATGTGTCATTTTAAAATATGAACACAGCTATGAGTTCCTTGTACACACATATCAGACTCTTTGATGATTCTCCTTTGTCTTACTCAAAGAAATTATTTGTACCATGAGAATTTCTTTTCTTTTCTTTTTTTTTTTTGAGCTTCCCACATTTCTTGCTTGAGCTGACTTCTCTCATAAAATTTTAAGCCACTGAATCCTACCTATCATTTCTCTGGACATTGAAAAAATTTTTCCCAAAATATGTATCAGGCTATGTCCAGCTTTCTTCTTTTTCATCACGAATTCTAAAATGGAATCAGCATTTCCTCCCTAAGGTCCTTATCATTTTTACTTGTACAACAAGTTCCTCTATGTTGGTCACAATCTGACCCAGAATAGGAGTTCCATTTATTGTTTCCTCTACCTATCAAAGAATTAAAATTCAATGAATGCAAGTCAATTTATCAGCTGTTTTGCTTTTTTGCAAAGAGGGCTCTGGCAGATGACCCACTAATATATAATGCTTCATTCCCAGGTTTATGATCTGTTTCTCAGTGTTGTCATCTATTTCTTCCTTCTTTGCACCATACACTAAAGAAGGTGGTTGGCACAGTACTCCCCATGAGAATGTCATTTCTTTTTCTCCCTCTAATGACTAAATGGAAGGCAGTGTGGTAGGTATTATCACCTCTATTGCTAGTCCATCAATGTGTCCAGTTAAATGTGTTAAGATTTTGTGAAGTGCTTGCCATGTACAAGGCGCTATGCTAGGGAAGCTAGGGCCTGCATTAAAGGTAGAAGGGGAGAAGGAACAAGTACTTATTGACTTCTGCTATCTGTCAAGCACTGTGGGAAGTGCTTTCACATATTATCTTATCTGATCCTTTCAACAAAGCTGGGAAGTAGGTGCTATTATCCTCAGCTTAAAGTTGAGAAAATTGAGAAAGGGTGAAGTGACTTGCCCAGAGTCATACAGCTACTAAGTGTCTGAGGCTGGATTTGACTTTGTGACTCTATGACCATTGCTCTAATCATGGGGGCCACCCCTCTTCTTTCCACCCTACTTCTTTCCAGTCCTTCAATGAATGGTAACACCAAAAGACACCAAGATATAGATCTTGCTGCGAAGGCAAAATCTAATAGATTTTCTCCTTGCCAATCGTGAATTTGTTCATTCATTACAATACTGGAATTGTTGAATAACTGGTATAGTCCACAGCCATAGAAGAAACTTAATATGTCAGCTTTCCTAAATTGAGAAAATGATCACATATACAAATATGAATGTGTGCATGTAAATATGCAGCTATATAATCTGAATTGTGGAATATTGCAAACATCAAATTCTTCTTTAAATTATCTTCTTTGTGGACAAAAATATACTAATACAATTTCCCAGTGGAATCAAGAATTAGAGAGCAGTCATGAAAGAACAAATTGACCTTTACAGATCTACTGGTTATTAGCCTTCTCTTCCTCTCCAAATTATTTTGTGTTACATTGCATTTACTTAACTATATACATGTTGTATCCTCCTGAAGAACACAAGTTCTCTGAAAGCAAGGCCTCTTTCATTTTGGTCTTTGTATCTCCAGTCAGTTATTCAATAAATATTTACTAAGCTCCTATTATGTGCCAGGCATGTTGCTAAGCTCTGGGCATACAAAGAAAGTGTAACCCCTGTCCCAATGCCTATTGGTATGAAACTGTCTTCTCATTAGTGGAGATAAATGCCCAGCTCTGTGTGAGGGGTGGGAAGGAGATGTTGAGAGCAGTAGAGCTCTAGTCTCTTCAGTCTTCTTTGAGTTCTCTTTGTGCTTCAAGTTGCTTTGGGTGCTTCTGGCTTCCAGTGTCAGAAGAGAAGATGGATGAGGTCAATCCCATTTCAGGTTGCTGAAGGAAAAGACTTCCATCTACTGCGGGCAAAGTGGTTGGTTATGAAAGTTATAAAATTTCAGAGGCATCCAGAAGCTCCTTTCTCCATAAAAACTTCTACAACTTCCTCTCTTGGTGCATGAAATGCCTTCCACAAGAGACAAATCCTTTCATTTCATGTCCAGACAGGGATCCCTGTGGGTGCTCTGCCCAGAGGAATATAAATTTTGATGGCTGAAACTTAGCAAGATACCTTTGGAATACTATTGTGTTACAAGAAATGGAGAGCAGAATGATCTCAGAAAAAAAACCTGGGAAGACTTATGTGAACTGATCCAAAGTAAAGTGAATAGAACCAGGAGAACATTGTACACAGTAACAGCAATATTGTACAGTGATCAACTGTGAATGACTTAGGTATTCTCAGTAATACAATGATCCAAGATAATTTCAAAGGACTTATGGTTAAAAATACTATCCACCTCCAGAGAAATAACTAATGGAGTCTGAACACAGATTAAAACTTGATTTTTCTCTTCCTTTCTTCCTTCTTTTCTTCTTTCCATCCATCTTTCCTTCCTTCCTTCCTTCCTTCCTTCTTTTCTCCTTTCCTTCCTTCCTTTCTTCTTTTCTTTCTTTCCTCCTTCTTCTTTTGCAACGTGGCTAACATGGAAACATGTTTTCCATGATTTCACATGTATAATTGATATCACATTTCTTACCTTCATAGTGGATGGGGAAGGGGTTAGATGGAGGGAGAGAATTCTGAACTTGAAAATTTTTAAAAATGAATGTTAAAAATAGATAATAAAAGTTTAAAAAGACAATTGCCATTCTTCCCCCCCTCACACCTGTAATTTTGTACACCTGATTTTATAGGTTCCACTGGTCTTCTCACTTAAGCAGCTGAAATACTCCCTTTTTGCATTTTTCAGGAGAAGGCATGGTGAATTTAAAAGATATTGTCAATAAATTGGCCAAGGAGAAACAAGAAGAGGTCCAACGTGAGTATGAATGTGAATCTTCCCGTTTTTGTATATATTTTTTGACTTGAAAGAGAAAGGAATTTAACTTTTTACATGGACTTCTTCTCCACTCCCATGTTCTTCCCACCTTTAATCCTTTTAAAATGTATGTATGGCCATATATATATATATAGTAAATTGGGAATGCTAAAACTCTTACTATAATTTTTTTTTCTATTTTGGTAATGGTTTTATGCATTTTCATTACAAGGCTGTTGTGAGGAAAGGGGTTCTATAAGACATGAAGTATTAAATAAATGCGAGTTCATTATTATTTAACCAGTTAGCTGATTTCTATATATTGTTACTACTATATATAAAATACTTTGCCAGATTTTGTATGTTAGGCATACAAAAATATGTAAAAGTTTGCCCTTGTCCAGGTCCTACTACTGATGTGAGTACCAAGTATAATGGGTAAATGGGGTGTGTCTTGCATATACCCTGTATAGTAGTGCCTCCATCTCATTAAGTGGGGTGGACACTGCAACCTATCCTCATGCTGTCATTTCTAAGTTCCCATAAGAGTATCTCCATTGCTTGGTTACACTCAAATTCTCTCAAAGCTGTAGGAGTAACCCTGTTGAAGAGAGATACATTTCCTGACTCCCTTTCCAGTGCTAGGCTAAGGGCCAGGTTGTGAAGAACTTTAACTACCAAGCAAATTAACTTATATTTCAGCCAAGAGGTAATGGGGTCCATTGAAGTTTATTGAGTATCAGGGGTTTAGGGTGGGTGGGTGACATGCTTTAAGGAATCATTTTTGGAAGTGGGAGAGATTTAAGTAGAGAGATCAAATTAGAGGCTATTGTAAGTGAGTCCAGGTGATGGGGGGACTGAACTAGGGTAGGTAAATAGAAAGAAGTAAACAAATATAAGAGATGTTGTGAAGTTAGAAATGACAAGATTTGGCAACTAATTTGGAGTAGTGAAGAATGAATTGTTAAAGATGGCTCTTAGTTAACAATAGCTGGATGACTGGAAGGATGGTGGTGCCCTTGAGACAGTAAGAGGGAAGTTTGGAAGAGGGATTTTTTTTTATTTTTAAAATTTTTTATTCATTTTTAACTTAAATACAAGAAGACAAAAAAGAACATTTCCATGTACACAGCACAGCATAAAAAAGAGAATTCAATATAAAACCATGAATTTCCAATTCATACTGTTTTCCTGTTTTAAAAAACTATGTAATAAATACTATATATCATTTTTAAAGCTACCCTGCTATTTTGTGTTTCCCACTAAATTTTATTTTGCTCTCTGCTGTTCAGTTTTTTAATTTTTTTCTCCCCTACTTCCCCATCCTGCCTTAGAAACAAATATATATGTTTTTAAATATATATGTATATAAATATGTATGTGTATGTAAAACCATATTATATATGCATCTATTTATTAATTCTTTCACTAGAAGTAGATAGCATCTTACTTTGTAAGCTGGTCCTTTATAGTTGATTTGAATATTTCTGAAATAAGGATGATTTTAAGGAAGAATTGAATGAGTTGTTTTGAACATGTTGAGTGGATGCCTTTGGAACATCCAATTTCAAATATTCAGTAAGCAGTTTGTAATATGGGATTGGAGCTCAAAAGAACAGTCCAGAGATAGATATACAGGCCTCACAATCAACTGCATAGAGATGATATTTACATCCTTGGTTCCTGATGAAATTACCAAATGAGAGAGTGTACAGTAAAAAAAGAAGAGGACCCAGGCACAGCCTTGGGTTACATTCACAATTAGTATCATGATGTGGATTATTATTCATCAAATGAGACTGAGAAGTAGCCATCAGACAGGCAGGAGGAGAACCAAGAGAGAGCAGTTCCATGAAAACCCAGAGAGAAGAATTGAGAAAAGGTCATTGGACTTGACAGCTACGATATCATTAGTAACTTTGGTGAGAATAGTTTTAGTTAAGTGATGAAGTTCTAAGTCAGATTGTTTAGAAAAGGGTCTGAGGAGAAGAAATGGAGACACCCAGTCAAAGTGGCTTTTTTTCAAGGTGTTTGACTAAGAAAGGGACGAGGTATAATAATATAACTAGCAGGGATGGTGGATTCTAGTAAGGGATTTTTAAGGATGGTGAACTTGTGCTTGTTGGTATACAGCTGGGGGAAAAATAGTAGATAGGGAGAAATTAAAGATTGGAGGAGGAGGAGGAGGAGAGTAGAGGCAATCTTCTGAAGAAGATGGGAGGGGATGGAATCAAGGATGTATGCAAAAAATTGGCCATGGCAGAGGAGAAGGGTTACCTCTTCATCAGAGACTTGGGTAAAAGAGGAAATAGTGGAGGAGGATGTTAGAGTGTTGAAAATGAAGGAGGTTGTAAGATACAGAGGAGAAGGAAGTGGAAGCCTTGATTTTCTCAGTAAAATATGAAGCAACAATTATAGCTAAGGTAGCCAGCACAGAGAGAGTGCAGTGGGAGTCTAGAGGAGAGAAGAGGTTTTAAAATAGTCATATAGGGAATGGAATAGAGAATAAATTGGAAGAACAAAATGATTGCCTTGATGCAGTGAGGGCCTGGTTGAGATTAGATGACAAATTTTTCTTGGTTCTAATTGGTGTAGTTGACTGAATTCTTCCTGCTGCATTCAGCAGTGTGTGAATAGGAGCTGAGGAAGTGGATGGTGCGAATCATGCATGGTTGTGGGTTAAGAAGAGTGATAGGATAAAGGAACCCTAGGATTTTCAAGCAGAGTTGAACTAGTTCCCTAAAAGGTTGGAGGGGGGAGAAAGTAATCAGATCAGGGTTGATAGCCTTGGAAAATTACTGAGGGATGGAGGAACTAGAGATCACAGTGAGGATGAAGAATAGGCTTAGAGAAGAGTAAGGCATGAGGAGAAGAGATGGAAGCATAGGAGATTATGGTTGGATAAAGGAACTTCAGAGCTCTTGAATGTGAAAGTGGAACACTTGTGAGTGACAGCAAGATCAAGGATCTGGCCATCCTGTCTTTGTAGGTAAAGTGGGAAGAAGGAGGAGAGTGTGTGACAACTGATGACAACTGATAAGATTCCTTAATCCCCTAACTGGGAGATCAGAATATTTATTGAAGTCACCTAGCATGAGGGCAGAAGTTGAGGTAGACAGGGAGACTGTGAGTCAGGCATTGAATTCAATGAAGAAGCTGGGATAATGACTTGGAGGATTAGTAGATAGTAGCAGAGAGGATCTGGGCTGAGTGATAAATTTGGGTACAGTCAACCTCCAAGAAGGAGAGTTTTCTGAGTGATGACAATAGAGGGAGATCCTAGATGTAGTGATGGAGAGTGAGGAGCAGGGGTGTGAGAGATGATTCAGCTACCCTTGGAAATAGGCCAGGAATAGAAAGAAATTAGGTATTATTTTGAGTAAGACCTCAGAGAAATCCAGAAGGTGAAAGGAATGTGATAGCAAGATGTATAAAATGAAGGGAAAATTGATAATTGTAGAACAGGAGTTCCAGAGGGCACAGTGGAAAGAACTCAAGGTGTAGGAACAGATGGCCGATTGGCTTGGAGTCAGGAAGATCTGAGTTCAAGTATTGCCTCTGATGCTTCTCAAACAGGTTAGCTTTGTGACCCTGGGCAAGTTACATAACCTCTAGGTTTCTCAGGAAATTCCCTAGGAATTAACTACTAAATCATAAGCAAGTTATTATTTTAATTAGTAGAAGGAATTTGGGATTGGGTTCCAATCCTGGTTCTGCCATAGTTATGACCTTTGTGACCATGGGCAAATTGCTTAATCTCTCTGGTCTTCAGTTTTCTCGTATGTAAAATAAAAGCTTTGGACTAGGTGATCCCCAAGGTCCCTTTCGGCTCTCAATCTATGATCCCAGGATACGAATACATTGAGTTGGGTTTTTGTTGTTGTTGTTGTTGTTGTTGTTTTTAATGATAATAAGAAAATACATACAGATTCCTTCAGGCTCCTTCACTGAGGTCCCTACCTGAAGATTCCTTGTTCAAAGAGAATTTATTTGCCAAATAAGGTTTTATGTTCCTTTAGATTCAGTTTTTGTTTTGATTTGCATATATAGGTCTAGAAGCAGCCCTTGCTGTCACCAATGTCACAGATGGAAAAGTCAAGGTTAGTGATCTTCCACCTATCCTGGACTGTCTGGGGGCCAGTATAGGCGAGGAAGAAATTAAAGAAACATTGACATCTCTTGAGGTTGATGGTAAGTACTTCCACTACCTATCAGGTTGTTTTTCTTAGCACGTAAGAAGATGTAGATGTTCTTTCTAGTACTATAAGTAAAATTTCAGTTAGTCCTAGAAGAGTCAACAATTTTGAAGTAGGGTGACTGGCAGTGACCTTGTCTTTGAAGTACTTGTTGTTTTTTCCTTTTTGGATAGAAGTTTAAGAGAATAGAAGTGAGGTATTTGATTGACAGGGTGGGGACAGGGAGGAAGAAAAAAGAGAGAGAAGGGCTGAGATTCTACCAACTTCCCAGAAATAACCCCTTTTGTTCTGATATAGGACACCAGCTTGCATCAATCATTCTCATTTCAATCTATCCCTTTCTGGGTTCCATCAGTATGAGGGTTTTATACACTTTGTTCTTAGGTCCTTCACCCTGGCACTGATTCCTCAATGTACTTGGCTTATAGAGGTGCTTTCTATGTCTTTTGTTCTATGCTGGTGGGCTAGTTAGCATTTCATGCTGGCTTTACATAAAAGCAGCTGCTCCACACAGTCTCCCTTCATATTCAACCTAACTTTGAGCTGGTTAATTTGAGATTACCTATTTCTCAGCAGTCTCTATAGTTTGCCGGACATCTTAGTCATGTTTTGCAAGCCCAAGGAACACTAGGGGAACCCTTAGAACCAATACAAAGCTTTCAGGTGCTTCAAAGCCTTCAAAGGAATTGCTTTTGTTCTGCCTGGAGCCTTTCCCCTTCCCAAATAAGAACGGTCCTTGGATTCTTCTGTGGAATTCATCTATTGCCACAGGGCTTGTTGGCATGAGTGATGTAGTATTTTAATAGATTGTACTCCAGTAAATTAAACACACACCAAAATTTGTCCAAATTGAATTGTGTTTTCTCCCGCTTTAGAAAATGAAAGGGTTGCTCTTGAGGATTTTGTCCAGAAAGTACCCATATCTAAACTATCTTCTAAGATCCAACGTACGTATGAGCACAACTTCTTCCTTTATTGATGTATAAATTAAGATATTTTATAGATAGGAATTTACCTTTAAAAAATGACAAGCAACACCTAGTTTCTTTTTTTTTTCATAAGCATTTATTTTTATTTTTTTTCCACATGCTTTTGAGTTGAAAATTTTTTTCTCCCTTTTTCTCCCACCCCCACCCTCCCCAAGACGGTGCACAATCTGACATAGGCTTTACATTTACATACCCATTAAACATATTTTCACATTAGTGAAGTTGTAAGTAAAAATTAAAACCAATGGGAGGAACCATCAGAAAGATGAAACAAAACTCAACTGAAGGTAAAAATAAGTGAGAGTGATTCGACTTCCATAGTTCTTTCTTTGGATGTGGACAGCATTTTCCATCCCGAGGCCTCTGGAGATGTCTTAGATCCTCATAATGCTGAGAAGGGTTCAGTTTAACATTCTTAGTCATTGCATAACGTGGCTGCTATTGTATACAAAGTCCTCTTGGTTCTGCTCACTTCACTCAGCATCAGACCATATAAGTCTTCCCAGGTTTTTCTGAAGTCAGCCTGTTCACCATTTCTTATAGAACAATAGTATTCCATTACATTCATATACCACAACTTGCTCAGCCATTCCCCAATTGATGGGCATCCTCTCAATTTCCAATTCTTTGCCACCACAAAAAAGAGCTGCTATGAATATTTTTGTACATATGGGTCCTTTTCCCATTTGTTTGATCTCTTTCGGATATAGCCCTAGAAGCAACACCTAGTTTCTATCCATACCTTTTGTCTCCCTTCCAGTTTTATATAATTATATGTATTATCTTTAATAGCAAACCAAAAATGTCAAACTCTTTGCTGCTTTTGGTGTTGAAATTTTGTACTTTATATTAGCCAATCAAACAATATTTATGAAGCAGGTTCTTTGAGGGGTGTACAGCTAAGGGGCTCAGTGGAAAAAGCTTTTGGATTTGTAACAAAGAATACAAGCTCAAACCCTGCCACAGACATTCATTAGTGGTATGATCCTTTACCTCTGACAGCCTCAGTTTCCTTATCTGTAAAATGGGGAAAAGAGCATCTATCTCCCAGAGTTGTTATCAAAACTAAATGAAATAACATATGTAAAGCATCTTGTAAAATTTAAAGCACTGTATAAATCAATGCTACCTACTAAGACATGGCTCTGGATTTTCAGGAGATTACAGTCTAGTTCTGTTCATTTCAGTAATTATTTATTAAGCATTTACTATGGGATAGGCACTATGCCCAATTCTGAGGACACAAAGACAAGATAAGAGTCTCTGCCCTCAAAGAGCTTACCTTCTCTTGAGTAGAAGAAATGTATAAACAAATAAGTACAGAAGATATACAAAGTAATGTCTAGGGGGAGGGAAGAGTGCAGGCCTAATATGAATTAGCTAGAAAGACACAAACTAAATAAACATACAAGACAATATTGTATGAGCTGTTGCAAGAGAGAACAAGATTAATTACCCACCGAGTAATAGATTCATGAATAAGCAAAGAAAGAGATTTCTGTGAGCTGAAATGGATTAGAAAGGGGGAAAGGAATGAATTGGGTCATGACAGGTGGGTGGAATTTGTCCAGGAATTCCATTAGTGAGCCCCTATCCCCAAGGGACTTAGGTTCCTATTCAGGGACCCAGGTTGGGATAAGGGCAAGTAAATCAGAGTCAATCAGTGAGGAGAAATTTCCTAACAATTAAAGCTATCCCAGGGTGGAATGGGTTGCCTCCGGAAGTGATGGGCTCTCCTTTGCTGGAGGCCTTCAAGCAAAGATGACTGCTTGTAAGATGACTGTAGAAGATGGGGGACCATAAAGGCAGGCTATTGTAGACATCATGAGATGCAAGCGTTGGGTTACTTCTTGTTCAGAAATAAATTGAACTAGATGGTCTCTGAAATCCAATTCTGAGATATTCTGATTCTTTCATAAGCCGATATCTAACAGGCACTCTGTTAGGTATTGGGATACAAAGACAAAATGGAATAGTCTGTGCCCTGGGATTGATTATTAATCAACTATTCTTAAGAAAAAGAAACTTCTAAGAAGGTCCATACTTTTAATATGCCCATGGTGAGTCTAGCCTTGGGGAAGACTGGGAGGGGCATGAATTTTAACCTGTGATAATGAGGTTGTCTTATTAAACTGATATATCTCTTGCTAACCAATAAGTTTTTTTAAAAATAGTGATATAGAGGAGCGTGTAGAATTTTTCACTTCTGAAACTACTTCACTGAGGTTGTTATTACTATCTCTGTGAACTTGTGTAGACTGTTCAATGTCTCTGGGCCTCAGTCCCTCATCAATAAAATGAGGACTAGATGACCTCTCTGTCCCTTTTAGCTCTAATTCTATGATAATTAGACATACCAGTTTAGTAATATTGCTTTTTATTTGTATTTACAGAAACTCAAAATATCTCTAATGTTGTCAACAATGTCAGTGATGGAAAAATTAATATTGAGGATCTGGAACCCACTCTGGAGAGCTTAGGGATCGAATTAAAGGAGAAAGAGGTGAAAGAAACACTCAAATCTATTCAGCCTGATGGTAAGTACTTTAGCTTTTTGTCAGATGCATTGAGACCTACTTCCTTTCCCATGATTTGCTAATATTTTGGTCTTCCCCACAAAGTTGAATTGGGTCGTGTTAGTAGGGTGCTTGTGGCGATCGAATTTCCTTTCAGGGATCCCACATCTATCCATCTGGAAGCAGAATGGCATAAGAATAACCATTTGAAGGAACAGGGAGGTTGAGAGGGCTAAGGTGCGACTGGCATTTCATCAGCTTCCCAAAAAGGAGATTGCAATGTTGGAGAATTGGTTGAAAGGAGACAGGGCAGTTTAGTTTGGAAACAAGAGGATATGAAGATAGAACATGATAGCTGCTTTTAAGTATGTGAAACATTGTGTTGTGGAAGGCGGGTTCATACGTATTCTGTTTGGCCTGAGCAGATAGATCTCTAGGAGTAAATGGGTAGAAGCATCAAGAAAGATGGATTTTAATTTGATGCCTGGAATGCTCTCTCTCCTCTGCTCTGACTATTGACCTCCCTGGCTTCCTTTAAATTCCAACCAAAATCCTATCTTTTACTGGAAGCATTTCCTAACCCTTCTTAATTCTAATAATTTCCCTCCATTATTTCCTATTTATCCTGAATATTAACTTGCTTTATACGTATGTGTTTGCATATTGTTTCCCCCATTAGATCGTAAGCTCCTTGAGGTCAGGGAATGTCTTTTGCCTCTTTTTCTATCCCCAGTGTTTAACACAGTGCCTGGCACATAAAAGGTACTTAATAAATGCTTGTTGATTGACTGAACCAATGAATCATCCTTTGTATCAAAGAAAATCACTTATACGATTGACAGAGTTGGCTAAGGATACATTACAGACATGAGACACTATTTGATTTCAATTTGTGAGTCAAGTTCCTCTCGTGGCTTTTCAAATGAAAGCTTTTCTTATCCTAAACTGTACATCTCTGCTGTGTGTACCTTCTGCTTCTGAACTTAAAAACGTTGTTCCGGAATTTAAATAATGGTGTGGTGCCTCTGAAAAAGTTAAAAACCAAGGTGGAGGCAGAGGGAGTAATTGTTCATTGTCTTCTGGGGCACCTTTTAGTTTTATCTGGGGTCTACTTAACACAAAAGAGCTGGAAAGTTGGCAGTTCACCAAAATGTTGCCAACATTCTGCTTTTGCTTATTGGTATGTAGAACTAACTTTGAAGGTACCCTTGTCTTGCCATAAGAATATGTTTCTAAATTAAGGACTTTTCCCTCTTTTTATAGAAGAAGGAAATGTGGGTTTTGAGGAAGTTGTTAAGAAAGTGACTGAGAGCCTTAACTTGGCAAACACTCAACGTGAGTATTGACAAACTTTTTCACTAACATTAGGAATTTATGAAGATAGTAATTTTACTTTTTAAGAAGCAATCCCCTTTTTTCTTGATGTTGAAGTTGTTTAAAAATATTTTAAACATGGCCAGTGGGGGAATTTGTTTTGCTTGACTTTATATGTTTGTAACAAGGGTTTTGTTTTTCTTTCTTTCTCTAAGGGTGAGAAGAAGGTGGGAGGGAAAGAAGGCAGATTTTCTATGAAAAAAATTTTTTTAATGAACTGAAGAGAATAGCAAGTTCATAAAGAGTCAAATATCAAATATTTTAACTTTACACTTGATAGTTATATATGAAAATTATTACATATTTAAAAGAAAAACAAGGTATATAAACCATAGGTCTTATGGTCTCATTTCCTGTTTTGCTTTGTCTATTGAAAATGTCTGTTCCATTTAGTGTTCATTAAATCAAAATTTTTTAAAAAGTACATTTAAAAATATTTTGACCTGAACCTGTTACTTAATCTGTATTCTGTGGTTTTATTTTCAGAAAGTAATTATTTGTAATTACTATTAATATATGCTTGTAACAGGCTCTTGTATTTAGTTTTCTTTTGGATGGAGGGAATAAATACCTATTTCATACCTGAATTATTTCTTCATTGGTACTTTTGTTCATTAGGTATTAATTGTTCATTAGGTTCTAATTGTTCATTAGGTACTTTTCTACTACCTACCTTGAGAAGCCCAGACATGAGCCAAAACATAAGTTTAATTGTCTGTTCTAATAAATTCTTCTACTAATGCAGATGGGCAACTCATATAACTTACAGTTTTCTGGGGAGAATCAAAGGTCCACACAAAAACTTTGTGTATAAATTTGGTCATATTTCCCCCCATTTCTCTTTTCCCATTTTTTAACACAGTGCCAGAGAGTATTGATGATAACAATTTTGTAATGCATTTTAAAGTTGTAGAAGATAAGCCTACATCCCTCAGGTTTTTGTAGAATATCCTTGATGTTCTTATCTGTTTGTTTTTCTCATGTCAATTGTTATTTTTTCACTCCGCCATCTTTGTTCTGCCCCAATTTTGTTATTTTTTGCAGTTCTATAAAGAAATGCATAGGTATTTTGATTGATTTTGCATTAAATCTACAAATTAATTTTGGGAAAACATTCACTTTGATTAGGCTGATTTTGTCTATCTATGAATATTGACTTATCTGTCTGATGTTTTAGACTTTTTCTTATTTCTGTCAGTACAGTTTTGTAGTCATCTTTTATACAAGTCAGATATATATTTAGGTAAGTTAGTTCTCAGCTAGTTCACGTTTTGTTGAAAAAAAATTTTTTTTAGCGTCTTTTTTTCCGGTAGTTTATAAGAATGCAATGGGGAAGATGGGAGAGGGTGTCTTGTGTCTTGAAACATTGCTCAACTTATTTATTGACAAGGGTGTCATGAGGGGAGGCTTGGGCATATTTGAGAAAGTGGAGAAGGAGCCAGTACATAAGAAGAGATCAAAGATTAGAGAAAGAGAGGGGATAATTGTGCAATCTGCTGGAGAAGTTGGAAGAGGATAGGTTCAAGGGTACAAACAGAAGGGGGTTGGCTTTGGGAAGAGAAGGGATTATTTATTTTTTGAAATTCTGAAAAAACTGATCAATAAACCTTCCTGGATTATATTTCTTGGCAGATCCTGTTTGATCCATTCGTGACACTCCTTTGGCATTGGTTCATTTGAATCCCTTATTTCCTGTTGTTTTAGTTTGGTATTTATATTTTTCATTGATTTCATTTAGGTTCTTTAATAATGTATAGCTGTGTGAAATATCGGAAACTGTAACTAAGGTGATGCAAATGGTGTTTTGCTTTGGGGTACCAAAATTTAGAGAATGCTGATAGCACTTGTATTTCTTTTAAAAGGTAGAAACAATCTGAGTTTAAATACCACATCTTCTATTTATTGTGTAACCTTGAGCAAGTCATTTTAAACTTGTTTCCCCATCTACAAAATGATGAAGTGTTGAACTACATGACCTAAGAGGTCTCTTCCATCTTGAGCTTAGGACTTAGTTAGCAATAAAAATTAGTTAAAATTAGGAAGCTTCCAGATTTTGAGCTTCCTTCTCCACCCTCTGTAACTCTTTCTCAAGTCAGTCTTCTCTTTTTGTTGTTATTTGTTTCTTTGGAATCACAGACTCAGTTACTTAACACTTTTATTTTTATTTATCTATAGGAATGCAAAATGCATCTAATGTTATTTCCAACGTTGCTGATGGGAAGGTTTGTGTTGAGGATCTGCCAGGTACTCTGGAGAGCTTGGAAATTGATTTAAGTGATGAAGATATTCAAGAAACACTGAAATCTGTCGAGCCTGTTGGTGAGTACTGTAAGATTGAGACAAAGACACAGTGAACACTAGATTATTTTACTGAGATGACGTGAAAAGATGGAGCTTGAAGGAGTCAACAATTTACGACTATTACAATGCCCACTGTCTAGCGAGGTACGTGGGGCTAAAACCAATGGGGTCTGGCTCACACTACTATTCCAATGGCTCTTCGGCTTCAAGGTTCTTGACTATCTCCACTGAGGTTTGAGAGGACATGGAACTATGTGATTTGATTCACTTGACACAGGAATCTTCATTTTAATCCTCCATGAATCTTCATGGTTCAGTTATATTTCTTGTAAACAATATATCATTGGATTCTGTTTTTTAATTTATTTTGGTACTCTTCTACATTGTATATATGAGTTCATTCTCATTCCCATTCATGGTTATGACCATTAATTGTGTTTTTCTTTCTATCATATATATTTATAATATATCCTTTATTTGCCAACTATCTCTTTTATGAAAAAAAAAAAGAAGACTGTGAAAGAAAAAGCATGGTATCAACATTAGTCATCTATAATTAAAGTAGCCTCACACTTCTTCTCTCTTTATGCAGCCTAGACCCTAATGACTGATTCTTATACTTTCTCTCATTTTAAGCCCCTTATTTATGATCTGCCATGTGAAGTTGAAATTTAACTTGTGACTATTCTAGGAATTCTGTCTATTTCAATGAAATTTCAGGTCCACTCCCTATTCTAGTTCCTGTCCCTAAACAGACACCAATTCCAGATTGTAGAGTATACATTTTATACTTTCAAATTAGCTGTTAATAAAATGAAAGTATTTACTTATAAGTGAGTTTTGAAAACACTAAAAACAAAGGGATAGAAGAGAGTAATTCTTAAATCAATTTCCAAGACAGTTTTTTAGTTTGTGGTAGTCTTTACAAATATAAAATAGCAGATTGGTAATTTATCAGCCATCAGTCTCCACTTTGCCTTGTGCATTGGAGACTTAGCTTTGTATAATCCACTTACCTTGTCACTGGAATATCTAAAATGTTTGTTTCTTCTTTGGCAGAAGATGGAAAGCTGAAATTAAAGGATGCTATCAATAAATTAGTTGAGACCCAAAACAGAAAAAAGAAGGAACGTGAGTATTGAGAAAGACCCTGTTACTACATTAGTACATATACTATCACACACACACACACACACACACACACACACACACACACACCCCACACTTTTTTTTTACTGTTTCTAGACACTCTCTTTTTCTGAATTTTAACAAGTTAAAAATGACAAATATAACATTCCAGACTTCTTGCTATACTTTTTGTATTTTAGCGGTAAAATTTGTGGATTTAATCATTCAATTAATGAATATTTATGGTGTGGCTACTAAGTATTAGGTACTTTGATAAGTGCTGTGGGACAAAAAAATATTTGTAAGATGTGTCATTAGCCTTCAGAGAGAGACCATACTCTTCAAGGGTCATTTTTTGTTGATGTTGTTAATTTTTTAAAAAGATATTTTATTTTTTCTAATTACATGCAAAAACAATATTTACATTTGTTTTTAACATGTTGAGTTCCAACTTCTCTTCTTTACTCTCTGGTCTTCCTCCTCATTGAGAAAGCAAACAATTTGATATAGATTGTAAATGTGTAGTCATGCAAAAATATTTCCATTTTTCTCATGTTGTGAAAGAAAACAGATCCCCCCCCAAAAAAAAAACCCAAGAAAAATAAAGGAAGTTTTTTTAAAAGTAAGCTTTGATTTGCGTTTGGTCTGTGAGTTCTTTCTCTGGAGGTGGATAGTAATTTTCTTCATAAGTCCTTTGGAATTGTCTTGGATGATTTTGTTGCTGAGAATAGCTTAGTCATTCACAGTTAGTTGATCATGGCACAGTATTGCTGTCACTGTGTATGCTGTTCTCCTGGTTCTATTCACTTCACTTTGCATCAGTTCATGTAAGTCTTTCCAGGTTTTTCTGAAAGCATCTTCCTTTTCATTTCTTATAGCACAACTATATATATTATATGTATATAAACACAATTATATACCTTAGCCATTGTTCAGCCATTCTTCTATTGATGGGGAGCCCCTCAATTTCCAATTCTTTGGCACTGCAAAATGATCTGCTACAAATATTTTTAAATCCAAAGACTCCAGCTTCTGGGATGAGAACTCACTGTTTAACAAAAACTTCTCTGAAAGCTGGAAAATAGTATGGCAGAAACTAGGCATAGACCAACATCTTACACTGTATACCAAGATAAAATCAAAATGGTTACATGATTTAGATGTAAAGACAGATACTATAAGCAAACTAGGGTAACAAGAAATAGTTTACCTCCCAGATCTATGAAGAAGGGAAGAATTTATGGCCAAACAAGAGATAGAGAACATTATGAAATGCAAAACAGATAACTTTGATTACATTTAATTGAAAAGCTTTTGCACAAAGCCAATGCAACCAAGATTAGAAGGGAAGCAGAAAACTGGAAAACAATTTTTACAGCCAGTGTCTCTGATAAAAGCCTTATTTCTAAAATATATACAGCTGAGTCAAATTTATGAGAATGCAAGTCATTCCCCAATTGATAAATGGTCAAAGAATATGAACAGGCAGTTTTCAGATGAAGAAATTAAAGATATCCATAGTCACATGAAAAAATGCTCTCAATCATTATTGATTAGAGAAATGCAAATCAAAACGACTCTGAGATACCACATCACACCTATCAGATTGGATAATATGACAAAACAGGAAAATAGTAAATGTTGGAGAAGATGTGGGAAAATTGGAACACTAATGCATTGTTGGTGGAATTGTGAACTGCTCTGAAGAGCAATTTGGAACTATGCCCAAAGGGCCATAAAAATGTGCATACCCTTTGACCCAGCAATACCACTTCTAGGTCTGTATCCCAAAGGCATCATAAAAATGGTAAAAGGACCCACATGTACAAAAATATTTATAGCAGTTCTTTCTGTGATGGCCAAGAATTGGAAATTGAGGGGATGCCAATCAATTGGGGAATGGCCGAACAAGCTGTGGTATATAAATGTAATGGAATACTATTGTGCTATAAGAAAAGATGAGCAGATGGACTTCAGAAAAACCTGGAAAGACTTATATGAACTAATGCTGAGTGAAGTGAGCAGAACCAGGAAAACATTACACATAGTAACAGCCACACTGTGCAATGACTGACTTTGACAGACTGAGCTCTTCTCAGCAGTGCAAGGATCTAAAACAACTCCAAAAGACTTGTGATGGAAAATGTTCTCCACATCTATGGAAAGAACTGTGGAGTCTGAAAGCAGATCAAAACATATTATTTTCACTTTTTTTCCTTTCTCCTAGTTTTTCTCTTTTGTTCTGATTCTTCTTTCACAACATGACTAATGTGGAAATATGATTAATATGATTGTATATATATATATATATATATATATATATATATATATATATATATATATATATATATATATATATATAACCTACATCAGATTGTTTGCTGTCTTGGGGAGAGAAAGGATGGAGAAAAAATTGGAACCCAAAATCTTATATAAGTGAATGTTGAAAACTATCTTTATATGTAATTGGAAAAAAAAATAAAATACTAGTAAGTGGGAAAAAAAGAACTTCTGATCTTCAGTGGATTTTTGTATATCTTTTTCCGTTTGGTCAGTTCTCCTTTTCAATGCATTCTTCTCATTATTGGACTTTTGTGCCTCTTTTACCATTTGGCCTATTCAAATTTTTTAGGTGTTATTTTATTCAGCCTTTTTTGTGCCTCCTTTACCAAGCTATTGACTCTTTTTTCATTCTTTTCTTGCATACTCATTTCTTTTCCCAATTTTTCTTATATTTTTCTTATTTCATTTTTAAAGCCTTTTTGAGCTCTTCCAGGAATTCTTGTTTTGGGCCTGAGACCAATTCACATCTTTTCTTTCAGGCTTTGCATGTAACTTGTTTGATTTTCTTGTCTAATTCTGGGTTTGTGTTTTGATCTTCCCTGTCACCATAGTAACTTTCTATGGTCTAGTTCTTTTTTGTTGTTTTCTCATTTTTCCAGCCATTTCTTGACTGTTAAAGTTGGGCTCTGCTCCAAGGGTGAGGAAGCACTGTCCCAAGCTTCACATTTTTTGAGTTGCTGTTTTCAGAATTAGTTCTGGATGTCTGTAAATTTTTGGTTCTTCTAAGGTGGTATGATCTAAGGAGAAGTATGGTCACTCCTCTACTGTCCTGTGCTATGATCTGTGAGTGACTACAAGCACTCTTTTCCACCCTGGAACTATGACCAAAGTCCCTGCTCCCCTGTGGGTACAGGCTCTAGTGTGCTCCTTGCCCTAGCACTGTGCATGGGCAGTGCAACAGATTCCTGCTCCCAGTGCCAGCAAAGAGTCCCCTGTAATTCCCTTCTGACCAATAGTCTAAACTCAATACTGTCTGTGGGCTGAGAGCTCTGGAAGCCACCTCCACTGATTCAGTTGCCCCCCTCCAAGGCCTCTTGTTGGCTTGCTAGGGCACAGCCTAAGCTGGACTGCATGCACTCCACTCTTACCATAGTTAGATCTTTCCTGCCAAACTTCTAAATTATCTTGGGCTGGAAAATTATTTCAGTCCATCTTTTATTGGTTCTGCCATTCCAGAATTCATTTTTAAGGCATTATTTTAAAGTTGTTTGGAGGGGAATTTGGGATGATCTTTACTTGGCCATCTTGGCTCCACTATCCCAAGGGTCTTTTAAAGGAACTGTTTAGTGCTTAATGAAGATGTTTAAGCAGAAGAAGAGATGACAGATTAGCTGTTCCCAAGAAGGATTATAGGCTATAAGAGGGGCAGCTAGGTGCCACAGTGCTGGGCCTGAAGTTAGGAAGACCTGAGTTCAAATCCAGCCTCAAGCACTTATTTGCTGGGCAACCCACATAATCTCTCTTGGTCCAAGTTTCCTCATTTGTAAAATGGGGGTAATAATAGCACCTACCTCCCAGGATTGTTGTGAGGATCAAATGAGATAATATTTGTGAAGGTCTTAGCCCAGTATCTGGCACACAGTAAGTTTTATGTAAATGTTAGCTATTATTAGATTAATTTTAAATGAAAAATGAGGAGCCATGGGTAAAATTTGCTGAGAGGAAGATTTTGTTTCATTCTAAGGAATAACTTTCTGGTTTCAATGAAAGTATCTTAAAGTGGAATGGGTTGCCCACCATGGGAGGTGCCTGATTTTCCCCTTTGTCCCTCTTCCTCAAAGTTGTAGAGGGCATCCCTGTTTAGGTATGGTAGGAACAAGGCCTCTGAGTTATCTTCCAACTAGGACATATTCTGCAAGTCTGTGGCTCAGTTCTCAATGAGGCCAGGAAGTGCTCTCCTAAAACATAAATGCATGCCACAGTCCAAGTTTCCATATATTTCTTTAGACTCACAAACTTAATAGTTTTACGTTTTGATTACGTGTACCCACAGGAATTGCGATTGCATCAAATATTGTCAGCAGTGTGACAACTGATAAAAAAATAAAAGCAGAAGATCTACCACCTGCCCTGATGACTTTGGGGTTCCAATTAAGTGAAGAAAATATTAAAGAAATACTGAACTCCATGGAACCTGACGGTGAGTACTTAAGTTATCTTTTAGGTCAATTGTTTATAGTATATGAAGATTCACACTCTTTTCTCAGCACAGCTAAAATTTCAATCACTCCTGAGGTGGAGTATGGTGATTGTGACAAGGGCCCTGTCTTATGGAATTATAGGTTGCTCCTTCTGTAAGTGTAATGGTGAGAGTATAGTGTTAGGGGAAATGAGTATAGGAAGAGAGATAGAGGTGTAAGGCATGCTTTGAGTCTCTCTCTCTCTCTCTCTCTCTGTGTCTCTCTCAACACCCTACTGTCCTCTCTGTCTCTTTCCCCCTTCCCATTCTCTTCCCCTTCCCCTCTTTTCCCCTCTCTTCCTCTCCCTCTCTCCCCTACTGGGGAAATAAAGTTTAGGTTTGGCTTGTGTCTAGAATCTACACAAAAGCGGGAAATAGAAAGATTCAATTATAGGATACTTATTATCTTCACTACACAAACAAAATGCTTAGCCCAAGAGACTTACAAGTGCACATTGACAAAAGACTTAAGCAACAGCCATTAACGTAAGTACTATTGAGGTTGAGACTTAAACATCAAAACATGTGGAAGCAGTTTTAGGGGTTGCTAAATTAGTTTTTCATATTTGACCTTGGCTCTACAATTTCTTTCTTTTTTTAAGGTTATGTCTATACTTAATGTTCTTTTCTTTGAAAATTTGGAGATTCAAATTCTCTCCCTTCCTCCCACCCACTGAGAAGGCAAGAAATATGATATCAATTATACACGTAAAATCATGTAAAACATATTTTTACTTTACACATATTACAAAACAGCATGAAAAATTAAAGAAAATTATGTTTCATTTTGCAAAGTTCGTCATTTCTCTCCCTGGATGTGGATGGCATTTTTTCACCATGAGTTCTTTGGAATTGTCTTAGATATTGTATTGAACAGAGTAGCCAAGTCTTTCACAGTTGATCAACATTACAACATTGCTGTTACTGTACACATTGATTTCCCAGTCCTTCTCACTCCAATTCTGTTTCTTAAGGTGTTATTTTCTTCGGTATTTTTTGTGCCTCTTTTACCAAGCTATTAATTCTCTTTTCATAGTTTTCTTGCATTACTCTTATTTCTTTTCCCATTTTTTCATCTGCCTCTCTTATCTCTTTTTTAGCTCTTCTAGGAATTTTTGTTGGGCTTGGGTCCAATTAGTATTTTTCTTTAGGCTTTGCTTGTAGGTGTTTTCATGTTATTGTCTTCTTCGTTTATATATGTTGTCTTCCCTGCCACCATAGTAGGTTTTTTTATGGTCAAGTTCTTTTTCTCTTGTTTGCTCAGTTTTCCAGTCTATTTTTTAACTCTGAACTTTACGTTAAAGTTGGGTTCTGCTCACCAAGGGGTGGGGACACCCAGTTCCAAGCTTAAGGCTTTTTCATGCTATTGTCTTCAGAGCTTGTTCTGGAGGTCTGCAAGTTTTTGGTGCTTCCCTAGTGGTGTGATCCAGGGAAAGGTGTGGTTACTAATCCCCTGGTCTGAATTCTGGTCTTTACCTAGGAAGGGCCCTTGCTCTCTTACAGCTGCCCTGGAACTGAAACTAGGTCCCCTGCTCCCTTATGACCAATCTCTAGCACTTCTTTCTGCTCTGGAACTACAACCCAGAACTCCTTATGGATAATAGAGTTGCCAATCACAGCCACCTGCACTCAATACCAGCAAAAGGTGTCCTGTGGTCTCGTTCTGATCACCTGTCTGATGACCCCCTACCACCAGCTCCTAAAGCTGCTGCTGCTGCCACCACTCTTTTGGCCTCCTCCAAGGCCCACTACTGGTGCTGCCACTATGTACTCTTCAGACCAATCTCTACCCTGGTGTCATAGACCTTTCTTACCAACCTCCTAAGTTTTCTTAGTCTGGAAAAAATATTTCACTTTGACCTTTTTTTTTTTGACTCTACCACTCCAAAATTGATTTGAAGAGTGATTTTAAAGTTATTTTGAGGGGAATGTTAAGAGATTTCAGCTGGACTGCTGCCTCTAATCCGCCATCTTGGTTGCTCTACTTAGCTCTGCACTTTCTCAACTATTCCCCCAAGGTGCATGTCTTATGGCAATCCAGTCTAGGGCACGAGCTTTTTCTTGTGTCAGTGGTCATCCTTTCAAATGCAGAGATTCTTCCTGATACATTAGCTCTGAGAGTCCCGGGATCTTTGGCACTCTCAGATCCCCAGTGTTGTTTCCAAGGCTGGAAACATCCATTTCAGGGTCATTGCTTAATCTCTTATGCTCGGGGGTGGGGGTGGGGGAAACACACACACACACACACACACACACACACACACACACACACACACCCAGAAGAAGCAACCAACAGAAAAGGCCCAGGCTTATATTCAGGATCTCCTGAACATATACTAACACATATACTTTAGCTGTCATGGACTTGCAATTTGTAATTTCTACTTAGGCAGGAAGAAGGAAATTTCTTCCCTCACCCCTCACGGGAAACTCAGGAAGGGAGAGATACTTGCTACCTGCTGAGCCAAAGGAAGGGGGAAGAGAGACAAATCAACTCCCTTTTAAAAATCTACTGAGTCATCTAGTCTTGCTCAGTAACCAAAAAAGAGATTGCTTGGGAGGGCAATCTCATGATGTAAGCCTTTCAGTGTTGAGCCGCATATGGATCCATAAGTTGCCAGGGGAATTTGGCTCACTATCCATAGGATAGAGTCCGGAGAAGCAATTTTTTCACTCATAATTATAGAAATTCCCAAATGGTGTTGGAACACTGCAACATGATTTTACGCTGTGCCCCACATCATGAAAGGTTAAGAAATTTTTTTGCAAGATAGAGATAAATAAATATGCTTGAATAGCCTGGGAGCTCACCTGATTTAATACCTAGCATTTATATAGTACCTACTGGTGCCAGGTATTGCTAAGTGCTTTACAAATATTGCAGTTATTATCCCTGTTTTGCAGTTGAGGAAATGGAAGCAAATGGAATTTAAGGTCACACAACTAGAAATATGTCTTAGGCTAGATTTGAGCTCGGGTCTTCCTGACTCAAGGGCAGCCCTCTATCCACTTCACTACCTAACTGAAAGACTATGAACTATAATCAAGGCTAGACTTGGAAAAATGGATTGTACTCAATCTTCAGTGTAATAAAACTGTGGTTTTATGATTATCACTTTGAGGAAACAGTTTCAATTGAATTATGAGATCAGGGAAGCCAGACTGCAAAGGGGAGAGTGAGAGAACTGAAGACAGCAAATGCAGATAGCTTTTACACAGAGTTTGGCTGATAAAGGGCAGAGAAATATAGGAAATGGCAGTATAAAGGAAAGGTTTTTAAGAATTAGGGGAACTTGGGCATATTTAAAGGCTGTTAGGATGGAATTAGTAGATAGGGAGAGTTTGAAGATTAGTAATCAGGGAGATGATTAAAGGGACAGTCTACTGGACAGTAGGATCAGAGACATGAGTACAAGAGTTGCCTTTGGCAGAGAGAGGAGTTACTTCATTATCAGGCCCTGGAGGAAAAGAGGAGAAAATGGGACATCTTATCCAAGGAGTTTAGAGATAAAGAGAAATGAGAACTTAGAAAAAAAATACCTCAATTTTTTTTTTCAGTAAAGAAGCTGAAAGAGTATGGGAAGAGGCTGGGGTAAGGCATAGAATTTTGAGGAGAGAAGAAAGGGTTCGGAGCAGCTTCTGTGGGGATTGGTATAGGTCTATAGGAAATCATTAGGGAGACTTCCTTTACTGTAGTGAGGACCCAGTTGGGGTTAGATAATATAAATTTGTAGTATACCCAGTAATCTGGGTTGTGGGACTTCCTCTAGCTCTATTTAGTAGCACATGAATGGAAATGGAGGAGGTGAGCAGATTTGATGTTTGAGAAAGGAGTGAAAGGGATTAAAACATGGAGGTAAAGGATTTGAGCATAGAGGACAGTGCAGTGTTAAAGTGATTTAACTATAGGATTGAGGTTGAGAAGGGCAGAAAATGAAGTCAGAACAGAGGTAATGGGCTGAGAAAGTATCGATAGATGGAGAAACTGGAGGTCATGATGAGGGCAAAGAGTAGGTATAGGAGGTCTAAGACATGGGTAGAAATGGAATGCTGGGAGATTATGATCAGATAAAGAGAGATGTTAGAGTTGTTGATCACAGAAAGAGAATAATGGTTAGATCCAGGCTATATGTGTCTATTTAAAAAAAATTTTTTTGGTAATTTTTAACATGTGTTTTTAAAACTTTGGGTTACAAGTTTTCTCCCTTCTTCCCTCCCCACGCACCCTCACTGAAAAGGCAAGCATCTTGATACAGGTTATAGATGTGTAGTCATGCAAAACACTTTCATAGTAGTCATGTTATGAAAAACTAAGTGTATTTCCCTTCATCCTATCCTACCCCAATTTATTCTATTCTCTCTTTTGACCCTGTCCCTCCTCAGAAGTGTTTGCTTCTGATTATCCACTCCCCAATCTGCCCTTCCCTCTGTCAACCCCCTGCTCTCTTGTCCCCTTCCCCCCTTATTTTCCTGTAGGGTAAGATAGATTTCCATACCCCATTGTGTATGTTATTCCCTCCTTAAGCCAAATCCTATGAGAATAAGATTCACTCATTCCCTCTCACTTTCTCCCATTTCCCCTCCACTGTAAAAGCCTTTTCTTGTCTGTTTTATGTGAGATAATTTACCCCATTCTACCTCTCCCTTTCTCCTTCTCCCAGTATAATCCTCTCTCACCCCTTAATTTTATTTTCCAGATATCACCCCTTCATCTTCAACTCGCCCTGTGCCCTCTATCTATCTACCTATCTATCTGTCTATCTATCTATCTATACATATATATAATTTTTTCGCTCCCACTACCCTAATACCGACAAAGAACTCATGAGTTACAAATATCATCTTTCCATGCAGGAATGTAAACAGTTAAATCTTAATAAGTCTCTTATGATTTCTCTTTCCTGTTTACCTCCTCCTTGTTTCACTTGAGTCTTGTATTTGAAAGTCAAATTTTATATTCAGGTCTGGTCTTTTCCTTAGGAATGCTTGAAAGTCCCCTATTTCATTGAATGACCATTTTTTCCCCTGAAGGATTATACTCAGTTTTGCTGGGTAGGTGATTCTTGATTGTAATCCTATTTCCTTTGCCTTCTGGAATATCATACTCTGTGCCCTACAGTCCCTTACTGTAGAAGCAGCTAAATCTTGTGTTATCCTGATTGTGTTTCCACAGTACTTGAATTGTTTCTTTCTAGCTTCCTGCAATATTTTCTTCTTGGCCTGGGAATTCTGGAATTTGGCTACAATATTCCTAGGAGTTTTCCTTTGGGGATCTCTTTCAGGAGGTGATCGTTGGATTCTTTTCCATTTCTGTTTTGCCTTCTGGTTCTAAAATATCAGGGCAGTTTTCCTTGATAATTTCTTGAAAGATGATGTCTAGGCTCTTTTTTTGATCATGACTTTCAGATAGTCCAATAATTTTTAAATTCTCTCCCTGGATCTATTTTCCATGTCAGTGGTTTTCCCAATGAGATATTTCATATTCTCTTCTATTTTTTCATTCTTTTGGATTAGTTTTACAGTGCCTTGATTTCTCATATGGTTACTAGCTTCCAATTGCTCCATTCTAATTTTTTTTTTCAAGGTGCAACAGGGTTTATTTCACATTAATATATTAACTGGATTTTTGTTCAAATAAATAGGGAATTCTCTTTTAAATAATGATCTTCTCATACTCTGGCCAGTCCAAGAGGAAATCAAAGGAAATTAGTGCATCCAGGGGACAGTCACCAATCAGGCATGAAGCTTAAAGTGAAGAGATGATAACTGAATTGGGACTGACAATATACACCCTTTTACTAAGGACTAAGCCAGGCCCCAAGATTCATGCATGGAACACTTGGCCCCAGGTACACCTGATTTCCACCTAGTGAGCTCCATTCTAATTTTTAAGGAAGTATTTTCTTCAGTAAGCTTTTGGGCTTCCTTTTCCATTTGGCCAATTTTGCTTTTTAGGGCATTCTTCTCCTTATTGGCTTTTTGGACCTCTTTTGCCATTTGGGTTAGGCTATTTTTTAAGGTGTTATTTTCTTCAGTATTTTTTTGGGTCTCCTTTAGCATCACTCTCAGTTTTTCCTCTACTTCTCTTACATGTTTGTCAAAATCCTTTTTGAACTCTTCCATGGCCTGGGACCAATTCATATTTTTCTTGGAGGCTTTGGATGTAGGAGCTTTGGCTTCATTGTCTTTTTCTGGTTGTATGTTTTGATCTTCTTTGTCACCAAAGTAAGATAATATAGTCTGACTCTTTTTTGTGCTGCCTGCTCATGATCCTGGCTAATTACTTGAGTTATAAACTCTTTGTTAAGGTAGGGGTCTGTTTCCAGTGTGGAGAATGTACTGTTCCAAGCTTCAGGGGTTTTGTGCAGCTGTTTTCAGAGATACTTCTAGGGATCTATAAATTTTCAGTTCTTCCAAGGGCAAGGTGTTTACTCCTTTCCTCTCCTGTGCTCTGCTCTATAAGTGACCACAAGCACTCTTCTCTATCTTGGAACTGTGAGGAGGATTTCTTCTTCACAGCCACTACAAGCTGCACCATGCTAGTGCTTCTCCTTGCCCCAGGACTGCCACCCAGAACTGTGACCCAGATCCAAGCGCAGGCAAAGCAAGAGAATCCTGCACCAGCAGAGAGATCCCTGCAATCCCCCTCTGATTAGCCACTTGATTCCCCCTCAGTCTGTGGGCCAGAAACTCAGGAGGCAGCCACCGCCCTGGGGCCAACCTCGAGGAATGGGGCTGGTACCCCATGCTTCTCACTCACCGCAGAAACAGACTTTTCCCACTGACCTTCTAAGTTGTCTTTGGCATTCGTGGGTTGAGAAGTCTGGAAACCACCACAGCTGGCTGCAATTCAGTCCCCTGAGGCCTGCTTCAGGTTTGCTGTGGCCTGAGTGCCCATGTCATGCTGCGTTCCTCTACCAGCTTGACGCGATATACCTTTCTGATCAACCATCCAGGTTGTCTTGGGCTGGAAATTTGTTTCACTTTGTCTTTTTGTGGGTTCTGCTGCTTTAGAATTTGTTTAGATCCATTTTTATAGGTACTTGGAGGGGTCTGGGGGAGAGCTGAAGCAAGTCACTGCTTTTACTCTGCCATGTTGGTTCCACTCCCTGGATCTGTAGGTGTCTATTAATCTTGAGACTTAGGTCAGTAAAAAACATTATTATCTGTTTACTGACCCAAAGCTTTAAGAATCCTTCCCTATAACCAATTGGCTCCCATCTCTATAAACATAACTCTTCTGAACAAGGCAAAAGGAAAAAAATGCTTTTGCTGAGATAGTGCCCTGGCATTTGTAGTGTGTAATTCCTAGGCTTCTCCCTGAGTGTAAATTGCCTTACCAAGTCTTCCAGAGAGGCAGGGGAAGGAAGGATACTTTCCATTGTCATTTGAAAGTTATATTTCAGGTTTTCAAGTATGCCCTTCAGGTGATAGAGTAGTGTGAGAATAATTATCCTTTCAAAAATGCAGCCTGGGCTGCATCTGAATGCATTTATTATCACATATTTTGCCCTTACTTGAAAACTGACCCCATTCAGTATCATTATGGGGGAGGGGAAGTATCAGGTGTGGTCATAGTTTACAAGATGGTCAGGGAATGAAAACAGAGACATAATACCACCTATCTCCTGTCTTACTTTTAGTCAGTCGGCATATAGGGGAAGCACACAGAGAAATGCCAGTATCAGGAAAATTTCCTAGCAAACCAAGACAATGTGGTCATGTGGCCTTGTTAATCAACAACCATTGACCCCATCAGGTAGGACCAAGGAGAATCTACCTCAGCCGTTGCCTGTGCACTTTCTCCTCTCCCTATGTCTTGCTCAAGGAATGATAATCAAATCAGCAGTTGTAGAAGAACAAGACAATTTACGATCTTATGTCTCCATTCAGAATCCATGTGATTCAGAGTTTCTACAGGCTGCTTGAGTATGTGTAGATTTGGCAAACTTTATATAGATCAGAAGTATAGGGCCATAGGGCAAGCGCTTGAGGGAGAAGAAAACTAGCATAGAAGGGAAGAAAAGTGGGAGAGGGAAAAAAAAGAAAAAGAGGGAAAGGGGGAGAGGGAGCAGAGCCAAGATAGAGATAATTTAAGAAAGGCACTAATCAAATTGTTAGGAGGAAATGACTGTCAGATTATTTCCTGGGATACCTTTTCCACTTTATCCTGTTTGTAAGGTCTACCTGTATCTCCAGTGGACTATCTTGTGTTTCCTCCCTTTTATAGATGAAGGAAAAATAGAATTTAAAGACTTTACTAAGAAATTGATGAAGACTGAAGACTTTGCAAAGAGCCACCGTGAGTATAACTGTTTCCTTTTCTCTGTATTGGGGCATATATTAACAATTTTATACAGATGGGGAAAACATTTTATGGAGCTTTCATCATCTCCACTTCTTCTCAGTATTAGACTTTTCATAATGGGCTTATAATCTTACATGAAAAACTATGAATGCTAGGTGTCTTGCTATACATTCTTTATTTTAATGATGAATTTTAGGTTATTCACAGTGCCTACCTAGTGCCTGGCTCGAACATCCTTGTTGATTTATTGGTTCAGTCAATCAATTGAACAATATTCACTGAACAAATATTGTGTAAATGGTACCTTACTAGGGAGTGTAGAAGATGTATCAGAAATGTTTCCTGCCCTCAAGGAGCTTACATTCTAGTTAGAGAGGCAAGGCATAAACCCAGAAAAGTTAAAGAACAGTAAAAGAATCAAATAAGTGTATAAAATGAAGTTACAAGAATTATTACAAGGCTAATTGTCTAATGAGTGATATAGACCAAAAGTGAAATCTCTTTAAGTGGGAATGAACTGAGAAGATTTCATGGTGGAGGAGGTAATTGATTTGGGCCTTGAAGCATAGCCCAGATTTGCTAATTAAAGTCTGTTATTCCTAAACCACCAAGAGGATTCAAGGGCCAACTTAGTTCAGACTGGGACCGGGATAAGCAAAGCTGTTTTGTTTTTTATGTCTTCATCTGTGTTCTCAAGACTTGCTGTGGAGGATCCCCATGGCAATGAGGTCAATTTAATGATGTCTCATGGCTGATGTGCATCACTGTACCTTAGAGTTTCTTATCTATTCTAGTTCATGAGGGGAGAGTATCTAGTCTGGTTTTAAGATTTTGGCTTTGTTTTAGCCTGGTTTAGATTTACAGTGTTCCTTAAATAGTAAAGAAATCTAGGCCCAGGAACCAATCTTTTCTTTTCTTTTTTTGAAAATGTTTTTATTGACGCCTTTTTTCCCCACATTACCTAAATTTCTTCCCAGTATTGCTTCCCAGAGAGTTACCCTATCTAACAAAGAATTTTTTTAAAGAAAAAAGAGAAAAAAAAATCAGCAAAACTGATCAGTATATTGAAAGTCTGAAAATACGTACAATGTTCCATATCCATTGAGTTCTTACCTCTGCTAAAGAGTGGGAAGCATAGCTGTGTGACCCTGGGCAAGTCACTTAACCCTAACTGCCCATCAAAAAGAAAAAAAAAGAAAAAAAAAGGAGTGGGAAGCAGTCTCTTCTCATATCTTTTCTTTGGCACCATTCTTGTTCTTTAAAATTCTGCAACAGTAACTTTCAGCAACCAGCCTTTTCAATTAAGCCCTGGAAATTATGTCAGTTGGCCAAGAATGGATCCTGTAAAGGAAGCCAATGAGCTAAAGCTTGGCTATCCATATAAGCCTGGCTCTTACCTAAACTCCCAGAGTAGGGCCACCTCAGGAGATCCTTGAAGTTAAAAGCGTAGACAGATTGCAAGGGGGAGAAAGTGCTGTCCAATGGCCTACAATTCACACTGGACCATAAAACATTTGAAGTAGGTCAGCTTACTACTAATTGAATGTCATGGGAATCTCTTTGTAAGCATTTAGTTTACAACTGGCATTGATAAGCCGCTCTGGAGAGCTAAGGAGCTTTTAGGCATACTCCATATTTTGAATGTTCCATGCCCTATTATTGTTGGTCTGGATTAACATTATTCTTGTGACAGTGATTAATTGATTAATTTGATATTTCATTAAAAAACAGTGATTTTTTTTTAGTGCTACACAGCTGGAGCACGTGAGCTATTTAGGTAATATACTTTATTGAAGTCCAGATTTGCCCTACTCCACAAATTAGGGGTTTCTTTAGGCTCATCAACCAACTAGTTTTACACCTTGATTTTTATATCCACATAGGAATACAAAATGCACAAAGTATTGTTACTAACATCGTTGATGAGAAAGTCAACATTGCTGATGTGATGCCTACCCTGGAGAGCATGGGGGTTGAGTTAAGTAAAGAAAAGCTTACAGAGACTATAAAATCCATTAAACCTGATGGTGAGTATTTTAGCTAAATCTCAGGTTGTTTGTGTAAAACATGTATATTCTTTCAGCTAGAATAATTAAAGTTACAGTCATCCCAACAAGGTTAAGAGTTGGGTGTTGGGTGATTGTGGCTCTATGTTTATATTTCTTCATCTTGGAATGGGTAGTAGGAAGACAGTATGCCAATATCAGGAGGTAGGGAGAAGGGGACGAGGGGGAGGAAGTTGATGAAGTTTTCCACTCTTTCCCACCCTGATGTATAAAACACCATCTCACAGGCATACACCACCAAATGTCTTTAATTAGCTAGACAAGATCACAATGCTAGGTGAAATAATCTTTCATGGAGTGGGACAATGAATTCCATAGGCGTAATACTCTAAATGTGTGTGAGTGTACAAATGATAATACAGCAAGGTCTGTGACTTTAAAATGGAATGCAGTTATAATGCAGTAACAATGTTACTGGGTAATAATGGTTGGTTGTGAAATCTTGTGAATTGAATTAAAACAATTTTTAAAAAGCAGTTAGGTGGCACAATGGATAGAGTGCCAGGCCTGAAGTCAGAAAGACTCATCTTCCTGAGTTCAGATCTGGCCTCAGACACTTACTAGTAGGGTTGTTAGTGTGACTGTGGGCAAGTCACTTAACCCTCAGTTTCCTCATCTGTCAAATGAGCTGGAGAAGGAAAGGCAAACCACTTCAGTATCTTTGCCAAGAAAACCCCAAATGAGGTCATGAAGAATTGGACATGACTGAAACAATCAAACAAGACACAATACATCTTCTTTAATGTTCATTTAATATATTATACAACTCATCTTCTTTAATGTCATTAATAAAACCTTTTTGTCTTCTGATATTGAACCATTTGATGATGCTTCAAAAACTTGAGTTACAAGGATTTTCTTTTCTGGGTCTTCATTAACTGTGGCCTCTGAGGAGGTGGTGATTACAGTACATCAGAGGAAGTTGCCAGGTCTCACCTCCACAGGGGTTATGTCCCTGAACTATGGCTGCAGGAGCCAGGCTGGAAACAAGGCTGGAGGTCTGGGAGTGCTGAATTCTCAAAGCTCTTAGGCTCTGTATCTTGGTATGCCTCCATGGAGTCTGAGGGGAGATCGTGATTTAAATAGCTGTACCCGCCCAGAACATGTTGCCTCCTGTCTCTTCCTCAGGGTACCTTACTATATACGTTAGGTAGACTGACTCATATTCCCAGTTGGTGGCAGTTGGACAGAGTTGGTATTGGTGGAGTGAAGGATGGTGAGCCCCTTCTCCACCAGAATTGTTCCTTTTAATGGTGATTGCAAAGACCAACTTGGAAACAGGGCTGGTGGCCTCTGTGTGTGTGTGTGTGTGTGTGTGTGTGTGTGTGTGTGTGTGTGTGTGAAGGCATGCTATTCCCAGGACTCTTGGGCTCAGGGTACTAGTCTATCTCCACCAGGGCCTAAGGGATAAATCTTGAGATCTCTCAATAGGGAGTCACCATCTGCCAAGACTTGTCTCTGACCTGTGTCCAGTGTTGTCCCTTGGAAGCATTTGTAAATCATTATCATCATTCCTTGGAGCATCTAACCTGTTACATAGCATCCTCCCTTAAAGCTCTTACAGTCCAGACATCCTGCTTTTCCCCTATCTCATCACATTCTTCCACCCTTCAAAATCATGACAGCTTGAGATTTCTGTCTCTCCTCATATTATTCTTTGTTTTTCTTTTAAAGGATTTCTTCCTTTCTTTCAAATAGCACTTCATTTTGACAATCTAGTGGGAGAGTTGTGAGTTGCTTTTCCTGTCCTTGACCAATCTGTACTTTCCAAATGTGTAGATTTCCAAAATAAAGCACATTCTTTTCATGCTTTACTCTTTTCATTACAATCCCTTCAGGTCTCCGGTGCATTCCCCCCGCCCTCTATTCTTGCTAAAGTACATATCCTCAGAAGTCTGTTGTTCTTGCTAACCATTGCTGCCAACTGCCGTGGAAAACAGCCCTAGTTAGCTCTGCTGTTCTCTGGGCCAGGAACCCCGATGCCATCCCCAGAGAGAGAGGGACTTTTCTGTCTGTTTTCTCTTGTCTAACACAGACTTTTATCTAGTGCATACTTTTAGTCTGCAATTGGAAGAATTCTGGTAAACCCTAAATATAACAGTAACTGTACTCTCCTCTTTGTGAAAAACTTTACTGAAGAATTTTAACTTTTGGTCACTTCATTTCCTTCCCTCACTGTCATTCAGAAGCTCTTTACTTAGATTTTGCCCCTGTTGAATCACTATCTTGTCATTTTAAAAATAAAATATATTTGACAGTTTACTTTTTCTATTCGCTTCACACACACACACACACACACACACACACACACACACACACACACCCCTTCTCTCATCCTCACCCTTGCAGGAGGGAATCTAGAATCCCATTCCACTCACCCTAAAGCAAAATTCTTACTGTCCTCTACCGTCCCCCTCCCCCAAGCTGCTTACCTTGACTGAATGAGCCTGGGAGTCATCAACTACAATCCTTCCAGGAAGATGGTGGATCACCAGGCTTTCACATTTGCTCTATTCCTGTCCTCTGGACTTAAGGAGCATCCATCCTGCTTCTATGTGTCATGTCCCCCAGTAAGAGTATGAGCTGCTAAACTGGAAAATAGTATGGCAAAAACTGGGCACAGACCGACATCTTATAGTCTCAGTCAAAATGGGTATAGGATTTAGATATAAAGACTGAGACTATAAGCAAACTAGGAGAGCAAGGAATAGTTTACCTGTCAGGTTTATGGAGAACAGAAGAATTTATGACCAAACAGGAGATAGAGAACATTATGAAATGCAAAATGGATAATTTTGATTACATTAAATTGAAAATTTTTTGCACAAACAAAGCCTATGCATCCAAGATTAGGAGGGAAGCAGAAAACTGGGAAAGAATTTTTACAACCAGTGTCTCTGATAAAGGCCTCATTTCCCAAATATATATAGAATTGAGTCAAATTTATGAGAATGGAAGTCATTCCCCAATTGATAAATGGTCAAAGAATATGAATGGGCAGTTTTCAGAGGAAGAAATTAAAGCTATCTATAGTCATGTGAAAAAAATGCTCTAAATCACTATTGATTAGAGAAATGCAAATCAAAACGACTCTGAGGTACCACATCACACTTAGCAGATTGGCCAACATGACAAAACAGAACAATGATAAATGTTGGAGAAGATGTGGGAAAATTGGAACACTAATGCATTGTTGGTGGAGTTGTGAACTGATCAAAACATTCTGGAGAGCAATTTGGAACTATGCCCAAAGGGCTGTAAAGCTGTGCATACCCTTTGACCCAGAAATACCACTTCTAGGGCTGTATTCCAAAGAGATCATAAAAATGGGAAAAAGACCCACATGTACAAAAATACCCTTAGCAGCTCTTTCTGTGGTGTCAAAGAATTGGAAATTGAGAGGATGCCCATCAATTGGGGAATGGCTGAACAACTTGTGGTATATGAATGTAATGGAATACTATTGTGCTATAAGAAATGGTGAGCAGGTAGACTTCAGAAAAACCTGGAAAGACTTATATGAACAGATACTGAGTGAAATGAGCAGAATCAGGAGAACATTGCGCATAGTAACAGCCACACTGTGCAATGACCAACTTTGATAGACTTGGATATTCTCAGCAACGCAAGGATCTAAGACAACTCCAAGAGACTCACAATGGAAAATGCTATCTGCATCCAGAGAAAGAACTGTGGAGTCTGAATACAGATAGAAGCATACTGTTTGCTCTCTTTTTCCTTTGTTGTTTTGTTTTATTGCTTCATTCTCATGACTCCTCCCATGAGTTCTAATTGTTCTTTACATCATGACTAATGGGAAAATATGCTTAATGTGAATGTCTAAGTAGAGCCTATATCAGATTTCACACTGTCTTAGGGAACAGGGAGGGGGGAAAATTTAAAATTCAAAATCTTGTGGAAGTGAGTGTTGAAAACCAAAAAATAAATAAATAAGCAAACAAACAAACAAATAAATAAATGAATGAGTGAATGAATGAATGGATGGATGAATGGATGAATGAATGAATAAATAAATAAATAATGATAAATGATCAAATAAATAAATAAATGGATGGATGAATGAATGTAAATAAATAAATCAAGTATTTTTAAAAAGAGTATGGCCTGCTTTGAGAGCAGAACACTTGCTCAGCAGTATTTGGCACATTTTGTTGTTGTTCAGCCATTTTTCAGTTGTGTTGGACTCTTCATGACCCCATTTGGGGATTTTCTTGGCAAAGTTACTAGAGTTGTTTGCCATTTTCTTCTCCAATTTATTTTATAGATGAGGATGAAACAAATAGAATTAAGTGACTTGTCCAGGGTCACACAGCTAGTAGGTATCTGAGGCCAGATTTGAACTCAGGTCCTCCTGACTCCAGGCCCAGTGTCCTACCCACTGAGCTACTCAGCTGTCCCTTTCCAACTCATTTTGTGATTCTGTCGATTCACTAATATGAAAATATAAATGACTGAGGAGTGATTAAAAATGTAAAAAAAAAACTGAGGTGGTGAGAGATGATGATCATTCTCAAGTTAGTTTCTGTGATAAATTTCTTTGGGCTGCTTATATAGAACACAAAGAAAAGTTGTTTTATAGAGAAGGAAAGAAATGAGCTAGGCAATTTGCTTCCTCGTAATACCAGTGATGGACCTTCAGGGACTCTAGGGCCATATTGGGACCTAGGAAGTCTTTGCTGCCTGGATCTTCAACAGTATTCCTAGGCCAAAGTTTGTTCGGCAGGATTGCCCATAAGAATGAGGGGAGTTCTATAACATGGTTCGTTCATACCTTTTCCCTTCCTTAGAGGCTGTTAGACACATTGACCAGTGGGGAGAGGATCTAGTGTGGTTCAAACTTAGAATATTCCTAAAGTACCTCAGGCAGTTCGCAGGACAAATGCCAGTCTTCTACCTTACAGTGTACTGTGTGGGGCAGGTTTATGGAGTATACCTGTCTCTCCATAGTCTAAATTGTTTTTGTTTTTTCCCCTTTTCTAGAAAAGGGAAATGTGAAGTTTCAGGACATAGTCAACAACTTGATTTCAAGCAAAGATGCATTAAAGGGCCAACGTGAGTATTAATGAACCTTCTCATTTTTGTATTCGTACACACACTGTGACCTTAAATGGGAATTTAACTTTATATATATTTTCCACAACTCCTCATTCCCCTCACTTTCAGCCCTTCTAAACATGGGAATGTTCTCTTACATGGAAATCTAGGAATGTCAAATTCCTTGCTAATTTAAAAAAATACTTTGCTGGTGAACCAAATTGGTCAAACAAATTTTTTGCATAGCTCCTGTATATAGAATGATTTGGTTGATGGATGAATTGTGGTCCTTGCCCTAAAGGATCATTGCTCAAGAGAATAAGGGATAGATTCAGAAAAGTTAACTTTTCAGGAATTAAATAACTATATAAGATAATGTTACCAGAAATCTCACAAGGCAATGTAAGGGAGTATTAGGAGAAAAATTGCCCAGTGAGTTGTATAAACAATAATAAGTATTTTTCATAGAGAGCCTTGAAAATGAAAGGAGAAGATGGGAGGGAAAGAAAGGGAAAGCATTAAAGATTTGGGGAGTCCAAATTTCAAAGAATTCAGAGAAAAAATAGGAGCTTATGGTCTAAAGTTCTTCAGGGGAATTTAGCTCAGTGAGAGATGGTAAATTTTCATGAATGAAATTCTGAACAGAGAAAAAGGAAGAATATGTGGGTAGTCGCTATCAGCAATCATCATGATGGCTGAGCTGGCTGTTACCATCAATGACACAAGTAGTATCCTATGGTGGTGACAGTCAGATCAGCCAACTTTGATGGTCAGTGACAGTGAGTACCTGATTGTCTATCAAGTCATATACTCATATGTATGAGGATATATGTTATTTCCACTGACAAATCTATAACTTCATTTATCCTGACTTTTTAGGACTCTAGGTCCTTACCAAAAAAAATGAGATTTCTGTGGGATGAAGTGATTTAGGAAGGGCTTAATAGAGGAAGGAGTTTTAACTAGACCTTGAAAAATGGACAAAATTTATTGTCCACTCATTAGTTTGGGCCAGGTATGCAGAACAGAAAGAAAGAGAAATAGTTTTATAGAAGGGGGAGAAGATGAGCTAGGCTTTGAAGGATGAGTAAAATTTGCTGCTTAGTAATGCCATTCATAGACTTTCAGGGATTGTAGAGCCAATTTAGGGACTCAGATTAAGACCAGGGAAAATAATGAGAAGTTTTTCCTGTCTGGGTCATCATATACATTCCTAGGCCAAGGTACATTCTGGAGGAACTCCATGGGAATTAGGTCTATTTCATAACTTACTTTATTTGTACTTTTCGCCATTCTTTACAGGTATTTAGCCACACTGGACAGTGGAGAAAAGACTGGTGTGGTTCATACTTGAAATACTTATAAAATATCTCAGAATCCTTAGGAGGCCTTGAAAAGCCATAGGTTTTAACCAGGCTCCCTAAAATCTTGCTAGCATGGATATGCTGTGAACCAAGGCTTATTCTACTTACTATTCAATCTTGTTTCTAACTTGGAAACAGGGAAGTCTGTAGCTCTTCCATTTCTTAAGGTTCATAGTCTAATCAAGGGGGAAAGGGAGAAAGTATCCCAATCACCCCAAAACCCACACAACCACACTGGGCCACAAGGCCTTTGAAATCTATTTGTGAATAATCAGAGATTATCATGAAACTCTTTGCAGCATTCACTTTGTAACTAGCTGGAATTGGTTGTTAACCAACCAGTCTCAAGAGAAAAAAAGAGATTTCATGGAATCATAAGATTCCATGATGAAAAATCATACATCTGTCCCACTATTTAATGGCATGAATTATGACAATGAGGTCATGTATTACTCTAATGATATCTTATCAGAAGGAATGAATATTGTTATTTGATATGATACCTTCAGGTGCTAATATTTTACTCTTCTGTAATTCTAAGTAGAAGTTTGGGAAACCTTTTAGTTCTCAAACTACTTTGATATAGCCTCAAACCCAAAAATCATGGATTTAGAAAATGAATATATTTTCCATCTCAAGATGTTTTTTCTTTAGACTTCTTTGTCTGAAGACTCAATGACTTAATATGTTTACACTCAGATTTTTATTTACCTGTAGAAATAGAAAATGCGCGTACAATTCTTTCCAATGTCACTGATGGGAAAGTTGCTCCTGAAGACTTGTCACCTACCATGGAATCCTTGGGGATTGAGTTAACTGATGAAGCTCTCAGAGAAACACTACAATTGGTTGAACCCAATGGTAAGTACTTCATTTGTCTATCAAGTTAATATGTATAAAATATGTACAAAACCCACATTAATTCCATTTTCTAAGCCTCAGTTTCCTCATTTTTGAAATGGAGATGATAATACTATCTACTTCCTGAGCTTGTTGTGAGGATCAAATGAGAGAGATATGTAAAGTGTTTTGCAAATCTTTAAGTTTTATTTAAATGCTAGCTGTTATTATTATGCTAGATATTATGGGCAAAACTATGATTGCCCTCATCTCCACAATTCAGGACAAGAAGTCCTACAAGAAGTACAGGCATTGCAGTTATGTGGCGCAGTGGATAGAGCACTGGCCCTGGAGTCAGGAGGACCTGAGTTCAAATCTGGCCTCAGACACATATACTCACTAGCTGTGTGACTAGGAAGTCACTTAACCCCAATTGCCTCACAAAAAAAAGAAGAAGAAGAAGGAGGAGGAGGAGAAGGAGGAGAAGGAGGAGGAGGAGGAGGAGGAGGAGGAGGAGGAGAAGAAGAAGAGAAGAAGAAGAAGAAGTAGTAGTAGTAGTAGTAGTAGTAGTAGTAGTAGTAGTAGTAGTAGTAGTAGTAGTAGTAGTAGTAGTAGTAGTAGTAGTACAATGATAAGAGAATAGTTATGGGGGAGGAAATCATATGGGAGAGGGGAAGAGAAGGAATATGAAGATGGAGTATGGGGTGTCACTGCCATCAGTTTCCCAGAAATAACTCTATCCTATATCTTATCTCAGTATACCTTTTTCTGGGTTCCAGCAGCATATAAAGTTTTCTGTCTTATGCCTCCCTGGTATTTACTCTTCACCATGCTTAGTTTTTTATGCCCATGTTTAAGCCCAGGTAATATGTGTGATTTTTTTGTTGTGTGATTGCCACAGAAAGTCTCTTGCTGCCCTGAAGTTGCTGTCAGCCAGATTACTTTAATCGTTTGTCAGTTTTTGGTTGTTGGACACCTTAGAAATTCATCTAGCATCCTAGGGAAGGTTTTGATCATCTAGTACCCCACCAGGAATTTGAATTGTCTGTAAAGAACAGCTAGATGGCCCAGCAGATAGAGTACCAGGCTTGGAATCAGGAAGATTCAGCTCCTAAGTTCAAATCTAGCCTCAGATAGCTGTGTGACCTTGGGCAAGTCACTTGGCCCTGTTTGCTTCAGTGTCCTCATTTGTAAAACGAGCTTCAGAAGGAAATGGCAAACCATTCCAGTATCTCTGCCAAGAGAACCCCAAATAGGGCCACAAAGAGTCAAACATGACTGAAATGACTTAACAACAGTAAAGAGACCCATCCCATAATATAAACTCCTAGATGGCAAGGATTATGGTTGAATTGGTCCAGAAGTTCCAGAAGAACCTGTGTATGGTATGTAGGTTTTAATTCCCTATTCCTTTGCACTGTTTCTGTTTTCCTTCTTACATACTTGTATCTAAATATCTAAAGGGTCACATAGACATCAGGGTACCCATGGCATCTCTACTTGGAGGACTCCAGAGAAAAGATGGCATCTCTCCACATGGAGGATGCCAGGGGATTGCTTCCAGGAGAATTGTGAATGATGTGTAATGTGAATTCCTTGTAGAGACTAATGGCAGACATTCTGTAACTGGTGCTGGTCCGCTAACCTGTGTATTGAAGAAGAGGCTCTTTGATTGCTTGTGGAGGCATTCAAAATATCCTATCAACTTCAGTTATGGTCTTTGAGCCTCAGTGCTCTTCAGGGAGCCTGGCAAGAGGTGAAGGGAATAGTGCCTATGGTGTTGTGAGTTCAAAAGATCTAGAAGGGTTACTTAGCCACCCATCATTCTGGAGTTTGGGTTTCACATTGAGCACAACATTGATAACTTAGAAGTAAGGAGCAATTTTGGGGAGTGATCAGTCTTCAGGAACTTAGCCCAGTAGGAGATAAGATGCAAGCCCATCAGGCAGCCATGTGCATCTGGACATAAACATGGTGAGACAAATGTTCTGTAGGAACTGGGTTAAGTTTTGAGCTTAATCGACCCCCACCTATGGTTAAGGTGGTATAGGCAGGATTATGCCCTCAATGTGTTACAAAATATATTTGTATTTTGTTCTGGCTGTGTCTTTGAAGTAAATATTCCTTTGTAAAAGGTTCCTGGTGCTCAGTGGTTAAATGGAACAAGGGGGGATTATTGGCCTCCTAAAATGGAGGTAACACTGCCAGTTGGGGCTTGAGGGGATAGCCAAAGAGAAAAACATAACAACAAACTCCAAAGGGTGCCCCAAAGCCTTTAGGGGATGATGTAAGCCTTGAGAGCCACAGACTTGGCTCTGTGAAAAGGGGTGGGGCAAGAGCTTTTAAGTTACACATAGAATATAATGCATAATACCATGTTATTTTGGTATTGAGAGCACTAATACCACTTTTATGGTAACTATCATGTATATAGTCACATTTTAGGATAGATAATGTCACCTATAGTATGTTCAGTCAGACCCAAAAAGCATTTATTAAGCACTTTCTCTATGTGAGGTACTATGCTAGGCTCTAGGGAATGCAAAGACAAACAAACGAATAAAAAGTCCATGCCTTCAAAAAGCTTACATTTTCCTGGGTAGATACAACATGTAAATGGATAAGCATGTTCATGATATTTTGAGAAGTTGAGGAGGAGGGGGCAAAAGAGAGTGCTGACTACTAAGGGGATCAGCAAAGGAGATGACACATGCATTGAGCCTTGAAGGTAAGATGGAGATTTTTAGAGGCAGAAGGGAGACCATTCAAATTGTTAGAAGAGGAAACCATGTTATATGTGATTGGCTACTCTACTACCATGGTTAACTCTCATATTTGGAGAGGAGAATTGAACTGCTTTACTTCCAACTAGTGACTAGATGTGGCCAAATGCAGGGTCTATCCGAATAGGCTGTAATGAACAGCAAAGAGGTGATTTGTGAGTTTTGAACATTATCATTTGTGTACAAATGGCTACCACTGGAGTGCTTGATAGCAATTCTGTTAAGAAAGGGGGACAAGTCATGGGAGTTAATTTAATTGGTGAAGAATTATGGATAACTGATGATAACTTCTCTCTCTTTTTTGGGGGGGAGGGGGGAGTTGAGGCAATTGGGATTAAGTGACTTGCCCAGGGTCACACAGCTAGTAAGTGTCAAATGTCTGAGGCCAGGATAACTGGTCTCTTCTCTCTTAATAGCTAATTCTCTCTTTAGCTAAGGACATTATAAGATATGTCCTTAAATTCAGAATTTTTTTAGAAAAATGAAACCTAGAACCAGATGTATTGGAAGTTTCCTTTGTATATGAAAAAATTCACCCTGTGGCTTTTTTAGGTGGCAGTTTTTATTATTCTAAATATGGAGCAATTCCAGACTGTATTGCATGTACCTTTACTGTTATTGTACTATAACTCATTGTTGAGTAGGAGTTCTTAACGCGGGGTTTGTAGAGTTTTTTTTTTAATACTTTGATAATTGTATTTCAATATAATGGGTTTCTTTTGTAATGCTCTGAATTTTATTTTATGCTTTTAAAATATTGTTCTGAATGGGGGTCCATAAGTTTTACCAGCCAGGCAAAAGGGACCTTATAGAGTGATTTTTTTAAATTCACAGACCAAATGGTGAGTGGGAGTGATTCTGAAATGATTTTCCATGACAATTCTCAGTTTGAAATTAGATTATTAATTAAGTTCCATTTTAGGTCTCTAAGAGATAGCTTGAAACAAGAGGTGAACAATCATTTCCCTTCATATTATTTCTTCCACTAAGTGTCAGATGCCTCTGGAAATGAGTGATTTTGTGATAAATCAGTGTCCCCTCTAGGGAAGGAAAAAGAGAACACAAAAAAACATATTGAAGGATATTCTTCATCATCAACAGAGGCTTCAGTGGGCCGCAAGTCCTGAGTGGGACCTGGGGCAGGAGGGAATTGGGACAGCAATAAAGATGGCTTCCCAACTTTCTCCATTGTACAAGAAAGATCCCATCTCTGCTGTGAGTGCTGTTTCACTCATGTCCATTACTTCTCAGAGGCTTTAGGATGGTGATTGCCTCCAGACCTATTCTTTGGGGGCAGGGATGGAGGTGAAGATCTTTAAACATTGTAGTTGGTTGAGAGGGCAAAGGCAGGTATAAAAGAGTCTGAGTCATGCCTGGCTGACTTTGTAAATGTTTGGGGCTTGTTCTCAGAGAGAGAGAGGCCTGTTCTCATGGCCTTAATTCTAGTCTGAAACTTCCTTAGAGTCCAGGGGCTCACTCCTGTATGAGTGGGCATTGTTCATAAGGGGCCTCATGGAAGAATAAAGAACAAAAATAATTAAGTTTGTTCATTGCCTGAATTTATGACTTGACTCTTAACTTCCCTGAGCTATTTGCCATAGATTCTAAACATGCTATAGATGCAGCAAATAAATTGATTTTCATTAGGGACCCTTTGCTTCAAACTTTATATATTGGGGTAGCTTGTATCTGTGATATGAACTAGCTGGCAGTTACTTGGAGCTAGAATAAATTCCAACACCTCTGTTTACACAACAGTAAAAGAAGTTCCTCTGAAAATTATTCATTTTTAATTTACTTTATAGATTTAATTTTGGAGGGTCTGCTTGTCTGTCCACTAAAATGTAAATTATGTTTTTCTCTTTTACAGATGATGGTAAAATAGATTTCAAGGACACTATCAAGGAATTCATTAAGCAAAGGAAGTCACAAGCAGCCCAACGTGAGTAATATCAGTGAGCCTTTTTATTTCTGTATTGCTGCATAAATTATGATTTTTTTCTGCTTTTCCAACAATATAATTTTATCTCATTTTTAGTTTTTTTATAAGTGGAAATATAGTCTGAAGTGGAATACCAGGAATGCCAAACTTTTTTTCTGTATTTAAAAAAATTGGTGGTAAACTTTTAGTTGTTTAAACAGTCAGTCAACCAATATTTATTTTATGATTGTTGTATATACCAGATGCAGTGTGCCATAATAGATAGAGTGGGGGAAGCCCCGTTTTCAAATCCTAACTCTGACACTTATTAGGTCTATGACTGTAAGCAAGTCACACTCAAAAAATCTCTAAGACTTATCTACTGAATTATATAGAGGGATTATGATATGATTGGTATTCCACTTATCTCTGATATATACCTATATTCACAAACAATGTGGTTGCTGTTTGGAGAGATGCTATGGTGTATCAGAGAAGCTAGTTAAGAGAGTGAGTTTCAGTGTAAATACAAGAAGTTTTGTCAATTTGTAAGAGTTAAATAAATGTCTAAGATAACAATGTAAGAGATATTACAAGGTAGTATAAGGCAAGCCAATTCTTATTCTGGACAGTCCTAATAAGAGCTAGATGAATTTCAGGGCATCCTTCCCCACTTAATTCTTTAACCCTGCTACCCCATGTGAGTATTCTTAGCTTCTCTGGAGAGGATCTGAAATATCCATAGTTTGGTTCAGACTTACTTTGCTCCTAAGGCATCATAAGGAAGCCTGGGTGCTAACCAATCTATTTAACCAAGGTCTTTAAAACTTTGGTAATTGAGCCTGAATTGATCTACTGAATGTAGCTGTGAGCCAAAGTTTCCTCTATATTCAGTTCTGATCATAATCTGGTTCCCTCAGGAAAAGAAAATCTAAATCTATCTTAAAGTTCAAATGGTAGACTGGAGTAATGGGTCAAACAGGGAGTGTCTAGTGGCCAAAAATGCCAAGTGGACATAAACCACTTGCACTCATAACAGCCAGTGGCTGACACAGCATTCTCTTTACAGTAATCTGGCATTGGTTACTAATCAATCACTCTCAAGAAATAGATGGTTTTATGACTCATCCAAATTTTAAGTATGGGATATTTATCCTTTTATATTTTGGCATGAATTAATCCCCCTCCCCAATGAAGTTGTTTCATAAAAACACCAGCTACTTGATATTTCATCCCAAAGAAGTAAACTGTAAGTAATTTGTTTTACTAATTCACTCAACAATCCATCATCTTCCACATAATGCCAAACTGATGTTTCTAAAGCATTGGTCAGACCACGTAACTCCTGTGCTCAAGAAGCATCAGTGTTTTCTCATTTCCTGTAGTAAAAGACAAACTCCTATGTTTGGCGTTTAAAGCCCTTTATGATCTACTTCTAACCTATCTCTCCAAAGCCCCTCACATGCTATATACACTTACATCAAAATGGTTTCATTCCATATCCTCTGTCCTTCATGTCGGAACATTTTTTCCTCTAGTCTTCTACCTATTGGAACTTCTTTTGCCTTTTAAGACTCAACTTAACAGCCATGTGCTATAGTTGATAAGGCACTGGAATTGGTGTCAATCAATATAGCAATGAGCATTTATTAAGTGCCTACTGTATTGCCAGCCACTGTGCTAAGTGCTAGGGATTTAAAAAAGAGGCTAAACACAGTCCCTGACCTCAAGGAGTGATTCAGCATTTAAACAAATATATATAACACAAGCTTAAGTTAAATAATTAACCGAGAGAAGGCAATGGAATTAAAAAGGGTTACTGAAGGCTTCTTGTAGAAGGTGGGATTTTAGTTGGGTCTTAAAGGAAGGTCGGGGAGGTCAGTAGTTGGAGTGGAGGAGTGAGAAGGTTCCAGGCATGGGAAACAGTCAGAGAAAGTGACTGGAGCCAAGAGATGAAGTATCTTGTTTGTGGAACAGCCAGGAGGCCAATATTTTATTGGATCAAAGAGTACATGTTGGGGAGCAAGGTGTAAAAAAACTGGAAACATAGGAGGGGCTAGGTTTTGAAGGGCTTTGAATGCCAAATACAGTATTTTGTATTTGCTTCTGGAGGCAATAGAGAGCTGCTGGAGTTTATTGAGTAGGGGTTAGGGGAATGACATGATCAAACCCACATTTTAGGAAAATGACTTTAGTGGCTGAATGGAGAAGGTTTGAAGGGGGAGAGACTTGAGACAGTCAGACCTACCAGCAGGCTATTGTAATGGTCCAGATGTGAGGTGATGAGGGCCTCCACTAGAGTGGTGGCAGTGATGGAAAGAGAGAAGAGGGTGTATTCTAGAGATGCTGCAAAGATGAAATCAAAAGCCTTGGCAACAGATTGGTTATGGGGTGGGAGGGGATGAGAGAATGAGAACTCCAATATGACTCGTATATTGTGAGCCTGAGAGACTGGGAGGATGATATTATTCTTTACAGCAATAAGGAAGGTAGAAGGAGGGGAGGGTTTGAGGAAAAAATAATGAGTTCTGTTTTAGACATAAAGAGTTTAAGATGTCTACTGGACATCAAATTTGAAATGTCTGAAAGGCAATTAGAGATGAGAAATTGGAGGTCAGCAGAGAGTTTGAGGCAGAATAGGTAGATTTGAGAATCATCAACATGGAGATGGTAATTCAATCCATGGGAGCTGCTGAGATCACCAAGTGAAGTGGTATAGAAAGAAAAGAGAAGAGGGCCCAGGACAAAATCATGGGAGACACCTACAGTTAGAGAGTGTGATCTGAATCCAGCAAAAGAGACAGAGAAGGAGTGGTCAGAGAGGTAGGAGGAAAACCAGGAGAAAATGGTGACCTGAAAACCTAGAGAGAAGAGAGTATTAAGGATAAGAGAGTGGTCAATAGTGTCAAAGGCTACAGAGAGGTCAAGGAGAATGAGAATTGAGAAACAGCCATTGGATTTGTCAACAAAGAGATCATTAGTAACTTTGGAGGGAGAGTTTTGGTGGAATGATATGGTTGGAAGTGAAGACCTGAGTTCATATTTGTCCTTAGTCACTTATTAGCTGTGCTACCCTGGGAAAGTCACTTAATTTCTCACATCTTCAGTTTCCTCATCTCTGAAATGGGGATAATAATAGCATCTAGGTCTTTTGTAAGGATCAAATGAAATAATATTTGCAAAGCATTTAATACAACACCTACTATGTAGTAAGAACTTAATAATGGTTGCTTCCTTCCTTCACCTCTTCATCTCCTTCAAGGGGTCTTTCTGGAGTCTTCCAGTTGTTAAACCCTGCCCCCAATCACAATGTACTTATTATGTTATTTACTTAATTTATATGTGAATGTGTTTTATCCCTTTAATAGAATATAAGATCTTTGAGGACTGTCTCACTAATTCGTTTTCCCAGCCCTAGCACTTAATAAAGGGCTGTTCATCAATGGTTTTCATGGAGTAACTAACTTAAGACATGGAAACAGAAGACATGATTCTGCATTCCATACTGCTATTAACTATCTATGTGACCTTGCCCGTGGTGCTTGACCATTCTAATCTCCCTTATCTCCAAAAGAGAATTTTGGTTAGATGACATCTAAGGTTCCTTCCATCTCTATCATAGAGGTTTTTAGTTATCTACTTGGGTGACAGCAGATATCCAAGAACTTCTGCATTAGAAAATGAATAAATACTTCAACTCAAGTTTTTACACATTTCTTTAGATTGATATACTTAATGATTTTAATCTTTGATTTTTGTACACAAATAGAAATACAAAAAGCACAGAATATTGTCTCCACTGTATCCAGTGGGATGGTCCATGTTGATGATTTATCACCTACCCTCAAAAGCTTTGGAATCGAACTAACAGATGACATGCTTAAGGAGACCCTGGAATCTGTTGGAACTGATGGTAAGTACAATGTTCTCTCAGGTTATTTACATAGTATATATGAAAATATATGTTCTTTCCGGGGGAAAAGCTAAAATTCCAGTCCCTTGCTAAAAAAGGTAAAATGGGGGATAAAGTAAGGTGGTCTAGGCAATCACCTTTCCTTTTAGAAGTGTCTTTACCCCTTTTTGGAAAGGAAAGTTGTGTGAATAGTGGTGGGAGTAGAGGTACAGTAACAAAAAATGCAATAAACCTCTTACAAACAGCTCCCTAAATCCTGATACATCACTTTTAGTGTATTCAAGTTATACTTATAATTTTGTGTATAATTGGACATTTCATGCTTACGAATAGGAGAAGAGTCATAAAGAGGATTACAGGACATAAAATCAGTAATTTTGATTACATAAAATTGAAGATGTTCTGTACAAACAAAAGCAATGTAGTTAGAATCAGAAGGGAAACATTTAACTGGGTAAAATCTTTACAAAAATTTTACTGATAAATATATGATATATAAGAAATATATGGAAGTGATCCAAATATATAACAAAAAGAGAATTTCCTAATAGCTAAATAGTCAAAAGATATGAAGAGATAGGTTTCAAAATAAGAAATGCAAGCTATCAGCAATCAAATGAAAACTCCTCCAAATCACCAATAATAATAAAAATGCAAATTTAAAAAATTCTGGTGGTCTCACTTTATACTCATCAGATTGACAAAGATGACAAATAAGGAAAGTGTTAATGGTCAGAGGATCTATGAATGGACAGGCACATTGAAACACTCTTATTGAAATGTGAATTGATCCACACTTTTTGGGGCTATACCCTCAAAGTCTCTGAGCTGTACATACTCTTGATTCCAGTGATACAACTAGGTGCATGCCCTAAAGAGATCAAAGTCAGAGGGAAAAGACCTGTATATACAAAGCTATTTATAGCACTGACATTTTGTTGTAAAGAAATGCAAATTAGGTGCCCATCAATTGGGGAATGAATGAACAAATCATGTTATAATAAAACAGAGTATGATTGCTCTGAAAGAAAAAATGAAAAGGACAAATTCAGAGTAAGCTGGGAAATTTTGTATGAACTTCAGAGTGAAATGAGCAGAATTAGGGGAACTATTTGTATAATGACCGCAACATTACAAAGAAAAACAACTTCCAAATACTTAAGAACTCTGATCAATGCCAAGGCTAACGATTTTGGAAGAATGATCATGAAGCATGGCCTTCGTTTTGTGGTGGAAAACAGTAGTTGCAGGACAAGACATGCATAGAGTCAAAAGAGAGCTCTCTGAGCTTCATTTCCTCATAGATAAAATGTTGCTATTAATACTTTAAAATGCCTACTTTACTGGATTGTTATAAGGAAAACTATATAAAATGCAAAGAGCTATAGAAAGTGAAAATTTTTGTTGTTCAGTTGTTTTTTAGTCATGTCTGACTCTTTTTTTAATATAAATTTATTTATTTTTAGTTTTCAACATTCATTCCACAAGTTTTTGAGTTCCAAACTTTCACCCCATCTCCCCCTTCCCCCCCCACCCTAAGATGGCATGCATTCTGAATATCCCTTCCCGTAGTCTGTCCTCTCTTCTATCTCTCTCCCCTTGTCTTATCCCCTTCCCCTTCTATTTTCCTGTAGGGCAGGATAGACTTGTGTATCCCATTTCCTGTATTTCTTATTTCCCAGTAGCATGTGAAAACATTTTTTTAAACATATGTTTTTAAAACTTTAGGTGCTAATTTTCTCTCTTCCTCCCTCCCCACCCACCCTCATTGAAAAGGCAAGCAACTCAATATAGGTTGTACATGTGCAGTTATGCAAAACACATCCATAGTAGACATGTTGTGAAAAACTAACTCTATTTCCCTTAATCCTATCCTGCCCTCCCATTTATTCTATTCTTTCTTTTGACCCTGTCCCTCCTCAGAAGTATTTACTTCTGATTACCCCCTTTCCCAATCTGCCATCCTCTCTGTCATCCCCCTGCTCTTGTCCCCTTCTCCCCTATTTTCCTGTAGGGTAAGACAGATTTCCATACCCAATTGAATGTGTATGTTATTCCCTCCTTAAGCCAAATCCTATGAGAATAAGATTCACTCATTCCCTCTCACCTTCCCCATCCCCTCCACTGTAAGAGATTTTCTTTTCTGTTTTTTTGTGAGATAATTTACCCCATTCTACCTCTCCCTTTCTTCTCTGAGTATAATCCTCTCTCATCCCTTAATTTTATTCTCCAGATATGACCCCTTAATCTTCAACTCACCCTGTGCCCTCTATCTATCTATCTACATATACATACATATAATTTTTTCCTCCAACTACCCTAATACTGACAAAGGTCTCATGAGTTATAAATATCATCTTTCCATGCAGGAATGTAAACAGTTCAATCTTAATAAGTCTCTTATGATTTCTCTTTCCTGTTTACCTCTTCATGTTCCACTTGAGTCCTGTATTTGAAAGTCAAATTTTCTATTCAGCTCTGGTCTTTTCATCAAGAATGCTTGAAAGTCCTCTATTTCACTGAATGACCATTTTTTCCCCTGAAGGATTATACTCAGTTTTGCTGGGTAGGTGATTCTTGGTTGTAATCCTATCTCCTTTGCCCTCTGGAATATTATATTCCATGCCCTGTGTTCCTTTAATGTAGAAGCTGCTAAATCTTGTGTTATCCTGATTGTGTTTCCACAGTACTTGAATTGTTTCCTTCTGGCAGCTTGTAATTTTCTCCTTGACCTGGGAACTCTGGAATTTGGCTATAATATTCCTAGGAGTTTTCCTTTGGGGATCTCTTTCAGGAGGAGATCTGTGGATTCTTTCAATTTCTATTTTGCCCTCTGGTTCTAATATATCAGGGCAGTTTTCCTTGATAATTTCTTGAAAGATGATGTCTAGGCTCTTTTTTTGATCATGGCTTTCAGATAGTCCAATAATTTTTAAATTCTCTCTCCTGGATCTATTTTCCAGGTCAGTTGTTTTTCCAATGAGATATTTCACATTGTTTTCTAATTTTTCATTCTTTTGGATTTGTTTTACAGTGTCTTGATTTCTCATAAAGTCACTATCTTCCAATTGCTCTATTCTAATTTTTAAGGAAGTATTTTCTTCAGTAATCTTTTGGACTTCCTTTTCCATTTGGCCAATTTTGCTTTTTAGGGCATTCTTCCCCTCATTGGCTTTTTGGACCTCTTTTGCCATTTGGGTTAGGCTATTTTTAAGGTGTTATTTTCTTCAGTTTTTTTGGGTCTCCTTTAGCAAGCTGTTGACTTGTTTTTCATGATTTTCTTGCATCACTCTCAGCTTTTCCTCTACTTTCCTTACTTGCTTCTCAAAATCCCTTTTGAGCTCTTCCAAGGCCTGGGACTGATTCATATTTTTCTTGGAGGCTTTGGATGTAGGAGCTTTGACTTTGTTGTCTTTTTCTGGTTGTATATTTTGATCTTCTTTTTCACCAAAGTAAGATTCTATAGTCTGACTCTTTTTGTGCTGCTTGCTCATGATCCTGTCCAATTATTTGAGTTTTAAACTCTTTGTTAAGGTAAGAGTCTGCTTCCAATGTGGAGAGTGTACTGTCCCAAGCTTCAGGGGTTTGTATAGCTGTTTTCAGAGATACTTGTAAGGACCTGTAAATTTTCAGTTCTTGCAAGGTGGTATGATAAGGGGTGAGGTGTTTACTCCTTTCCTGGCCTGTGACCACAAATACTCCTTTCTGTCCTGTAACTGTGAGAAGGGGTTCCTCTTCACAGCCACTACAAGCTCCACCACACCAGTGTTCCTCCTCACCCCAGGACTGCCACCCAGAACTGTGACCCAGATCCAAACACAGGTAAAGTAAGAGATTCCTGCCTCAGCACTGGCAAAGAGATACCTGCAATCCCTCTCTGATCAGCCACTGGATTCCTCCTCAGTCTGTGGGCTGGAACCTTGGGAAGCAGCTGCCCCCCCCAGGGCCACGCTTTTGGGGAATGGAGCTGAAACCCCACCTTCCTGTCTCAGCACTGCAGAAACAGACTTTTCCCACTGACCTTCTAAGTTGTCTTTGGCACTCGTGGATTGAGGAGTCTGGAAACCTCCACAGCTGCCCACAATTCAGTCCTCTGAGGCCTGCTCCAGGTTCGCTGTGGCCTGTGTGCCCATGCTGCGCTGTACTGTGCTCCCAGCCCAGTGCGATACACCTTTCTGATCAATCATCCAGGTTGTCTTGGGCTGGAAATTTGTTTCACTCTGTCTTTTTGTGGGTTCTGCTGCTTCAGAATTTGTTTAGAGACATTTTTTATGAGTATTCGGAGGGGTTTGGAGAACTCAAGCAAGTCACTGCTTTCACTCTGCCATCTTTGCTCCACCCCCGCCCCCATGTCTGACTCTTTGTGACACCACTTGGGATTTTCTTGTCGAAGGTATTAGAGTGATTTTCCATTTCCTTCTCCAGCTAATTTGACAGATGAGAACTGAGAGTTAAGTAACTTGAACAGGGTCACACAGCTAGTAAGTGTCTGTGACCAGATTTGAATTCGTGAAGATGAGTCTTCCTAACTCCAGGCCTGGTGCTCTATTTAGCTGCCCTAGATTGCTATTATTATTAATAACAACAAACCATGTTATACCATTTGCAACAGCATTCCAAGATGCTTTGAAAGGAGAATATAATTGCTTGATTTTCTTCAACTAATAGCCAATTAAATTTAATAAGCTTTATCTGTTATGTTTTAATTATAGTAAACACATTTAAATTATTTTGAGCAAATGGCTGCTACTGAAATGCTTGATAATAGGTTTTTTATTTTTATGTCATAAAAATATTGAACAGAACAGAACCAATGATAAAGCCAGTAATCAGTTAATAAACATTTATTAAACACCTGTTATATGCAGGGCACTGTGCTAAGCATTAAGGAAATGAATAAGGGCAACCCATATAATCTAATGGGGGAAACTGAAAACTAGGAGGGTTGGAGCAGAGAGGAGAGGGTCCTTGGCTGAGAGGGATGGGGATGATGAAGTCCAAAAGAGTACAGTTACTGGGAAATGATAAGATGGCTGTTCTGGGCACCTTCCTTAAAAGGAGAATCTGGGAGAAACTCACCATTGTCCATCCTCTGTGCTCTCCAGTCAGAGGCAGGGAGGGACCTCAGGGTTAGGGGGAACTGAGGAGATGTGAGAACACACACTTGGTTGTTATTAGTTGAATCCATACTCTCATATTTAGTTATTTTACCAGTTCTAACTTATCATGGAAAAGCATTTATCTTAAAAAACAAACAAAACACAGCACAATACTCTGAAAACAGCTATCTTAATGCCATAATTTTCATTTAAGACTAGTATGATGTGTTTTTTAACTAAATTTATATGAAGTTAACTGGTCATATATAAGTGCTTTTTAGTTTTTTGCACATTTAAATGTAGAATTAAACAAAAGTTTATTCTCCATTTTGAATCATCCTTGTGACTTTTCTAGGCAGATTTTTTGTTACATCAACAAAGAACAACTATAGAATAGTAGAATTAGGAGGAAATTTGCATTCTATAAATGAGTAAACTAAGGCCCAGATAAAAATGACCCACCCATGTTAAATTCAGCTAGTTAGCCATAGAGATGGTATGTTCTAAGTTTAACTTTTCTCTCTATTGAAATTTCTCAATTGACTTCTTCCTCCCTTTTGCAACTGATGGAACAGTGGATTTAAGGAAATTTGTGAGAAAAATATCTAATGATGATGAATTCACAAAGGATGAAAGTGAGTATGAATTTAAAAATTGTGATTAATGACAACCATTCTGGAATATAAATTTTGACATTTTTGTAAATTATGACTTTCTAGATTTAAGAATTTGACTTCTTACTGAACTTCCTTCTATCCCCTCTCCACTCACTTTCCATCCTTTATTAATTTGTACCATTGTCTTAAATAACAATTCACCCCTTGCTTCAATATTTGGTGAGTAAAGTTTAACCAATCTAGGTTATAACCAAACTAGGTTGTTATATGATGTAGAAAGATGCCCCCAACATGGAAATATTTAATAATATTTTCCCAATTACATGTAAATACAATTTTAAACATTCATTTTTTTAAATTTTGAGTTCCAGATTTTCTCCCTCCTTACCTTGCCTCTCTTTTCTCCTCCCTCCCTGAGATGGTAAGCAAGTTGATATAGGTTATACGTGTGTAATTGTGCAAAATTTTTCCATATTAGTCATGTTGTGAAAGACACAGACCAAGATAAAAAAAATGATAAAATTAAAGTGAAAATAGTATGCTTTGATCTGCATTCAGACTCCATCAGTTCTTTCTCTAGAGGTGGATAGTGTTTTCCATCATGAGTCCTTTGGAATTATTTTGAATCGTATTGCTGAGAATAGTGAAGTCATTCACAGTTGATCATTGTATAATATTGCTGTTACTGTGTTCAGTGTTATAGATAGGAAATAATATGAGTTCAGAGAAGGGAGAGATCTCTGTGAACTATGATGAACTAACTGGGAAGGCTTCACAGACTTGGGCTAGTCTTTGAAGAATGGGTCAAAATTGCTGCGCAAGGGTGAATTCAGAAACTTCCTGTTTCCAGTGATCCCAAAGCCAATATATGGCTCAGATCAAAATTCAACCAAGCAAGTCAAAATCTTCTGCTGCCTTTGTTATCATCTCCAGTTACCCAATGAAAGTGTATGCATAGATCTAGTCATGTCATTCCTCTACTCCAAACCCTGTCGTGTTTCCCTGTTTAAAGTTCATTAGATAGCATTCAAAGCCTTCCATAATTTGGTACCATACTACTTTTGTATCTCATACTGCTCTATTCCATGCATATTATGCTCCAGCCAAAGGAAGGGTCTAGAAGTGGCAAAAAGAGAACCTGTGTTCTCAGGTTATTTTAGCAAGGACAAAAACTGAAGGCAATCATAGTGGATAAAGAGGCAGCTTCAGAATCAGGGATACCTGGGTTCAAATCCCATCTCTGACAAATAGTGGTGGCTGTATGACCCTAGGAAAGTCACCTAACCTCCTAGTGGCCCCTGGCAACTCTAAGACTATTGTTTGCAAAGCAATTACTGATCCCCATTAGTAAAGGGAGTTTTCTTCTAAGAGTTCTTTACACTAATGAAATCAGAAGAACCACTCTTCCTAAAAATTGGTATGTTAGCTAAAGCAAGCTCTTAGGCTTCTTTAAACACAATAATAATTTTGCTCTTTGATTTGTTCATATATAGAGACAGAAGAAGCATTAAATGCTATCACCAGCTTCGCTGAGGGGAAAGTCAAGATCTCTGATATGCCTTCTACCCTGGAGAGCTTAGGGGTCAAGTTAACTAAACAAGACATTCAAGAAACATTGAAAACCGTAGAGACTGATGGTAAGTGTTTCAGCTTTTTGTTGTTGTTTAGTCATTTTCCAGTCATGTCTAAGTCTCCATGACCCCATTTAGGATTTTCTTGGCTGAGATACTGGAGTGGTTTGCCATTTCCTTCTCCAGCTCATTTTACAGATGGAGAAACTGAGACAAACAGCATTAAGTGACTTGCCCAGAGTCACACAGCTAGTAAGTGTCTGAGCTGAATTTGAACTTAGGTCCTCCTGGCTCCCGAGCTGGCACTCTATCCACTGTGCCACCTAGCTGCCCTTTTCAGCTATTTATCTTTTAATTTATTTATTTTTAGTTTTCAACATTCACTTCCACAAGATTTTGAGTTCCATATTTTCTCACCATCTTGTCCCTCTCCCCATTCCAAGATGGTGTGCATTCTGAATACCTCTTCCCCTAATCTGGTGTCTCTTCTGTCTCCCCTCTTCTCTTATTCCCTTCCCCTTCTGTTTTCCTGTAGGGCAGAATAGATTTCTATACCCCATTGCCTGTATATCTTATCAGCTATTTATCAAGGTGTTTAATTGTCGACCCAACTAAGTGTTGCATCAGACAGAGGAGTGTGCAATGAAGAGAAGTGGGCCAGGTGGGTCAGTGAAAGACTGAGCCATTTGTTATTCTGAAGGTCTGGGTTATATAGTGAAAGCTAACAATCATCCCCGGGAAGTTCCCAGGACTCTTACCTGACTAATCCCAGCCCTTATGCGCATTCTTAATTGTTCGCACCTGCTTGCCATAAAGGTTCAAGGGGCAGAGTATTCTAACACCTTCCAGGCACGGGAAATTGGTGAGCCAAATATTCTGAATAAATAAGTCCTTATGGGTAGGAAAAGGAAAGAGTCAAGCTCTAACCTAAATTCCTTATCCCATATTAGACTCTTCAGCTCTGGCACTTAACATTTAATTACATTATATATAATATGTTCTTTCTGGTGGGAAATCTTACATTTTAGTCATTTCTGTTGGGGCAGATGGGTTGGGGGTGGGAGATAGTTAATTTGAAAATAACTTTAGCTTTTAGAATAGTGAGGGGAGGCATGCTTCTTTTCCTAGATAGGAGTGGGAAGCAACTCTTCTTGGGAAAAGAGAATAGGAAGAGTGAGCAGTATCAATTGGTATTGGGGGAGGAGGAGGAATGACAGTGATTGGGTATTCCATAATTCTCCTAGTAGCAGCTCCCTGTGTCCTGATGCAATGACAGTATGAAGTGATACCCCAGTGTACTCATTTTCTGTTGGCCTGTGGAGGCCCCCACTTTTATTCTTTTTAAATTGTATTGCTAGATTTTGCTTTTACATCACAGTTATTGCTGGACATGTCCCTCTCCTCCTCCCTGATTTGAGCTTTCCATTTCCCAAAGCTAGGCACTAAGTCAGTTACTTAGTGACTTAGTCTGACAGCATATGATGAAAGTGTCTTCTCCTTCATTCTTTGTCTTCCCAGCCTTCCCAGAGCATTGGCTCTGCATCACACTCTGTTTACAGGATTCCTTTCTATATTACTGTGGTTCTTCTGGGTTGGTGTACCAGTATGTGTTGGCCTACTGCCAAGTGATTAATAGACACATAAAATCTCAACTATGTAAGGTCCTTAGAGATCTGATCTAATCTTTAGCTGTGTAAGAAGACTCTGTACATCATCGAGGGATCCTCTAGCCTCTGCTTAAAGACTGACCATCATGGGGAACTCATCACCTTATGGAACAGCCAGTCTACTTTGAGACAAATCTAATCATTAAAAAAATTTCTCCTTATGTAGAACAAATTCTGTATTCATCATTTCCACTTATTATTCCTAGTTCTGCCTTCTGAGGCCAAACAGAACAAGCCTAATCCCTCTTCAATATAGCAGCCCTTCAGATACCTGAAGGTATCTAGCATATGGTCAGGAAGACGTGAATTCAATCCTACCTCAGAGAGTTACTAGCTATGTGACTCTAGGCAAGTCATTCAATCTCTTTGTTCCTTGGTGTCTTCGTTTGTAAAAATCAGCTCTTAATCTATGATCCTATAATTCTTCAGTCTTGTCTCCAAGCTAAACATTCTCCTCCCCTTCCATGTGATACTTCTGTGAAAAGAATGATTTTGTATGGTCACACACACACACACACACACACACACACAAAACACAATTTTGTATTCTGTATATCTATATTGATTGGCCCATATAATCAAGAGTTAGAACAAGGCATTTTTGTGTAGCACCTCTTCTGGGCTACTCCTCCAATTTGCTTTCACGCTTAAAGGTTTTGTCCCTAGACAGGTAAATACTTTCAGGTTCTAGGAGTAACCTTGTGCCTCTGCATTTCTAAGACTATGCTCATTAGCCCCTACTAGTATGCTTTCCATTAATAGCCGATAGACATATAAGAAAAAGGCTATAAGAAAAAGTATTCACTGAAATGACATAGTAAAAAACAGTAGGTTTTTGTGAGCAAAAAACATTGTACTCATGAATCTGAGATGCTCCATATCACAAATGCAGCATCTGTTGGAAAAATGGCACAAACTTAGGGTACACATAGGGCATACATGTAGGGAACATGTGTGGTCAAAGAAAGTCTTCTCTCCTAGAACTGTCAGGACTGTAAGTCCTTTCTCATCTGTAGACTCCTCACAAAGCTCCCCCTGGAGCTAGCATCACTGTTGGTGGACTTCTTAGCAGCTGGGCTTCCAGGATCCGCTCCACTATGCAGGAATTTCTTGCATCCACAGATGGTTTCTCTCTCTCTATTCCAGAGATCCCAGTCCTGGAAGCTTTTTCCTCCCTAGACAAAATACTTTTCTGTATCCATGTCTGTCTGGAGTGTGTATACATCTCTGATCCCCCAGTGTACTCGGTATCTCAAGTACTTTCCTTTTCAGAGGTACATGGTCAGTGGGGGCAAGGAGAGAAGAAGATAAATCACCTCCTCCCTCTCTGCAGGAGGAAGTGGGTAATCTTCTTTATTATGTACTCTGCAGAACTGCCAATTTTCTTCTAGAACTTAGCTATTTAAAGGCCTTCAAAGGCAAATCCAATTTTTCTTAGTCAAATGAAGTTGTTCTCTTTAATTCTGTCAGAGAAAGGTGTTCACACTTTACAAAGGGATTACCCCATATCAACACCTCATTGCCACTGTTTTCTATTTTTTCCTTTCTATGAAATAATCAACTTTATGGAGAAGAGTGGGAAGCCAATGCAAATTTGATGAGAGGTTTTAAAATTTCACTTTTCTGCTCTAGGATTTAAAAGTTGTTCTTTTTATATGTTACTGTCCACATAATACCTTGAACCGTCATTAATAACACATGTGACCTGCCTTTGTAATATAAAGAATTCTGAGCCATGTAGAGCAGATCAAATGAAATAATATAGGTAAAAAGTACTTTTTAAACTTTATATAAACGTTGTAATTCTTTTTACTCTTTTAGCATCAAAACTTGCATTTATTGAAATTAATGATATTTCAACTCCCCAAAAGTATTAAAAATTGAGAAGGATCTCTTTTTGTGCCCCCCAGCATCTCGCTTTAGTCTAGTCCTAGCTCTGGTGCATCCTAATAGTCAGTTAGTTGTTGTAAAATGGCATCACTATATTGGGGTCAAGGGACGGTATCCTAACTGTGGCTGATCAGACCAACATGAGCTCAGAAGCTCTGCCACAAATCGGGCACAAATAGTCCATATGAACATTTGGAGTGGAGATGTCTCTAAATTTGCACATCTCATTTTTTTTTTTGAGCTGCTTAAGTTCTGCTTTACTTATGGAGTAGAGCACCTTCTTTGATGGAGGCACGCCATGCTGGGTGGTCCTGTACCAGTGTCTCCCATGTCACACAATTGATTCCAAAGTTCTTCAGAGAGACCTTGAGAATGTTCTTGTATCTTTTCTTTCTGACTTCCATATGAGTGTATAATAAGAATACAACAGTGGATTATTTACTATTTTTTGAAAGGAGCGTTAATTGTTTTAATTATATTCACCTAATGGCTGGTAATATAAACTGATCAATACAGGTCCTATTCAATGTGCTTTAACAAATAGAAAGCAGGTTGTTGTGGGCAAATGAGTGAGGCTTGTAGCACTTTTGATGGTTGTCCTCTTAAGTAAAGGGTTACTTGACTTTAGGAGTCCCTTTAAAACTCATAAAGGAAATAATAAAGAAAGGCAGTAATGGAGTTGATGTTACATATGTATGTCTCCATGAAATTTTCTCCTGAATTAATTTTGGTCCTGTAAATGTGCTTGTTTTCTTACACCTCTCTTTGACAGGAATTTAATGCTTTGCATTTTGAGTTAGGCTCATCTTTTGGCTTTTTTGGTGAATGTTTATACTTTTCAAAACAAAGGATAATTTGAGTATATAGTTTCCACCTTCTGCTTTTGGATTTCGCGGTTACAGAATTGTAAATAATTATAAAGAGGCAGTTAGGTAGCACAGTGGATAGAGCACCAACCTAGGAGTCAGGAAGACCTGAGTTAATCTGGCCTCAGACACTTGGCACTCGCTGTGTGACCCTAGGCAAGTCACTTAACCTTACCAAAAAAAAAGGAAATAATTATAAAAATAAGTTTTTAAAATGACAAACTAAAGGGGTAGGATGAAATAATTCTCTAATTTATGCAGTGGTTTTAAGTTTGGTCCTGGTCTCCTTACTACAAAGTGAAGAGGAGGAGGCTTGGAAGTTCAATTCAGTTCAACAAGCATTTTAACAGCCTCATGACTGTAATAAGGACTGGGAACGTAAAGATCAAAACAACAAAAAGAAGAAATTCTCTGGCCTCAAGGAGCATATGGTCTTTTCATGTTTGCCATATAACTGCCACACTCCCATTTTACTTTTCAATTAGTAGATCTGGCTCTAGTTTCACTTTTCCGAAATGTCTAATTTTTTTTCTCTCCTTTCCTTTTGTACTAGATGGACTGGTGAATTTGAAGACCTTTGTTGATAAATTAGGTACTGTTGAACAATTTCCTGAATGCCAACGTAAGTACAAACTTCAAATTGAGTATGATTGAAACTTTCCTTTTTCTGTGTGGGGACAAATTGTGTGACTTTAAAAATCTAGACATATGTAATTTTTATAGGATCTCCTCAATCCCCATCTTTTTACTCCTTTATTAAGTTGCAGTCTGGTCTTTTTTGGTAAAATAGGAATACCAACCCTCTTGCTCCATATTTTTCTATTTTGGGGTGAAGTTTTGTCCATTGAACTATTCATCCGATACTTACCAGGCACCTGCTGTGTGTGCCAAAGTTCCTGTGGGTGATACATAAATGTATCAGACGTGCTCACTAACTGAAAGGACCTTATAATATAAATGAGGAGGCAAGGTATGGAAGTTTACAGAGAAGAGCTAAGTAAAATTACAAGATCATCCTTCCAAAATAGCTGTACAAGGAAAATTACAAGGGAATAGTTCACTTTCACGCCAGCAGCCTTCCCACCCTGAAGAAACCTCACCCCTAAGTGGCTATTCTCTTAACTTGTGACTCCCTAGCCTGGACCACCATTTAATGAAGAACTCCAGCCTTGTTTACTTCACTTCCAGCTCAACTCGAGAGTTCTTCCCTACCTCTTCACCAGCAACCTGTTCCCACCTAGTGTGCTCTTCTCCTCCACCCTCAGCTTTCCAATTCCCCTTTATGCATTGTCTCCCATTATGTAAATATAAGCTTCCTGAGGGTAGGACCAATTTTTTTGTGTGCTTGTATTTCTATCCTCAGCAGTTTATACAGTGTTTGTAATAGTAAGCATTTATTCTCTCTCTCTCTCTCTCTCTCTCTCTCTCTCTCTCTCTCTCTCTCTCTCTCTCTCTCTCTCTCTCTCTCTCTCTCTCTCTCTTTCTCTCTCTCTCCCTCCGTGTCTGTCTCTGTGTGTCAAGGATCAGGAAGATTCATCTTCCTGAGTTCAAATCTGGCCTCAGACACTTACTAGCTGGTTTTCCCCCAACCATGTCTTTCTTTGCTTCTCTCTTTGTCTTTCTCTGTGTCTCTGTCTCTCTCTCTTTCTCTCTCCAGACTCTTCCTCTACCACTATCATTCAGTGAACTCTCCTTTTTGAGGTTCCCACTATTTCTTTATATCACTGTATTCCAATGTTGGCAGTTATTATCTACCAGGAGATAATAGGATGTTCTTCTTTCTTCCTCATGTGTTCTACGTAGATCACAGTTTTCCTCTCCATCTCCATCTCTATCCTCACAGTTGAAGGCTTTTTAAAAAATTTTCATAACATTACATTAGTCATGCTGTAAAGAAGAATTAGGACCAATGGGAAGAACCACGAGAAAAGAAATAAATCAACAACAAAAAAGAGAGCAAATAGTATGCTCACAGTCGAAAACTTTAATAGACATGTTGATATCTCCTCAAATATCCCAGCTTCCCCTTACTTCTCTGTCTTTTAAGGGATAAAGTTATTGGTAAGGTAAAACCGAGAATGTATTCACTGCTTTGGTTTTAGAAGTGAAAGAGATCCTAAAATGTGTCTTCATATATTTTCTAAATATATCTTCTCACCCCTTTATCTTCGTTAAATTGCATGTAATAATCTATAGGACTAGTATCTACCACTAGACCCTGCCTCAGTATAGCAGAATTGTGGTCCATTTGCTGATCTTCTCATCTTTCCCTCCATTTGGTTGGGTGCTCTCTGTTGCTTCTTTTTCTCCTGCAATTGATCCTCACCTAATTGTTCTCAACTAAAATTTTCTCCCTCTGATTTGTGGATTTGCTAAGTAGATGTTTTTCATATACAATGCTGCCCTATCACCCTTTATACTGAGTCTCTTTTTCACAAGGGATAGCTTTTCCTTTCAGATTCTAACTGTGAATCACAGTCTCAATCAATCAAGTCTCAGTGATACCAATGAGATTGAATTTGCCCTCCTCTATTTGTGTATAAACCTTGGAGACACAGGGCTTTTATTTTTATTCTCTCTAGAAAATTCCTAGTCATCACTGATATTCTTCCTATGTCATGCCTACTACTCTCTATTATTATTATGACTTGGGTGATATATATATGGATATTTTTCTCTCTCCCTCCAGCTTAAAGGCCTCCTAGTCACATTGGCAGCCTGGTTTGATTACACGTCTTCCCCTGTCCATATCGGAAGCTGTATCAGAAGCAATTGTCCAAAATTGGACCAATGGTCCAAAAATCCCATTCTCAGATATCATCTTCTCAACCAGTTCTATGAAATCCTTTCAACTGAACTCTTTCCCTCTCCTTGGCCATCCTTAACCACTTTAGGAATTAGAGCAGGGTTCAGAGGAATGAGACAGGAAGAAATCTGATATAGTTCAGATTTGAATTGTTCCTAAAGTACTTCAGAAGTTTCTAGAGACCACAGAACTAACCTGTTCCACTCGAAACTTGGGCACCTTACCCAAAGATGGTCTGTAGAGATCAGATATAGAGCTCATGCCTCTTCCTTTGCCCTTTGTGTTACTAATTTGGATCCCCAGAACAGAGCAGCCTCTGGAAAAACCAAAGAAGCTTTGAGGTTCAAATGTAGGTAGGTAAATAGGCGGTGATAAAATGGAAGAAGTCCAAAAGCCAGGCATGAGTCATAAGCCATGTGCAATCAGACAGCTTATTGCAAATTTTTAACAGATATCTCTTTATAGTATTTTCTTTATAACCAGACGTTTACTGCTGATCCATTGTTATCTAGGAAAAGGAGCTCCACACATCAAGCATGACATGTCCATCTTTTTTCTTCATGGATTTGTTTTTAACTTATGATAATATAGTCAAATACCACCTCGTTGATATCTCATCAAATGCAGTGATTCTTTTCTTTTTATGGTACGAAGGATAAGTAAGTGGTTCTCAGGTCAGTTAATTGTAGCCAAAACCTTAAGAACCCTTGCTCTAGAAAATGTACACATCCTCCTCTCCTCCAAAAAACCTAAATCAGGCTAGAGTACATTTCTTTAGATTCGGCAAGTTAATGGTTTTGTTCTTTTGGGTTGGCATATACACAACAAACAGGAATAGAAGATGTATATAATGTCGTCACAAACATCATTGATGGCGGGAAGGTAAAAGTTGATGAGCTGATGCCTACCCTGCAGCACTTGGGAATCAAGGTAGCTGATGACCACATTCAAGAAACGCTGAAAACGGTGACACCTGATGGTGAGTACATTAGCCTTCAACTGGGTTATTTGCTCAGATTATGCTCCCCCAACCATTAGCAAAGCTACAACTCCAGTAGGAAAGGAAGAGGGGAAAGGAATAAGCATTTATATAGTACCTACTATGTGTCAGGCACCGTGTTAAAGACTACAAATATTATTTCATTTGATCCTCACAACAACCATAAGAGGGAGGGTGTTTTTATTATCCCCATTTTACAGTTGACGAAACTAAGGCACACAATGGCTAAGTTACTTGCTCAGGGTCACATAGCTAGTCAGTGTCTGAGGCTGGATTTGAACCCAGCTTTCTGTTGGCTAAGCCACCTTTGACAGTAGAAGCATTGGCCTAACTTTCCAGAAGCACAGATTTCTTCTCCTGGAAGATAATGACAGCGACTAATTATATAGTTTTTAAAGTTGGCAGAGTGCTATCCACACGTTATCTCTTTTGATCTCCACAAGAACCCTGTGAAAGGTAGGTACTGTTACCACCTCCATTTGACAGTTGGGGAACCTGAGGTGAAGAGAGGTTAAATGTTTTGTCTAGGGTCACGTGGTTAAGTAAGTTTCCAAAGCAAGGTATAAATTTGGGAGTTTCTGACTCCAAATCTAGCACTTTTACCCAGGATTATATTGGGAGCAGACGGAAATAATCATCATCAGCTTTTCTATATATAATCAACAAAACCCAGCAGGAAGAAACAGAGAAGTTTAATTTAAAATAACCATAGAATGTATATAATACTTGGGAATCTACCTACCAACATACACATACTCAGAAACTTTATGAACCCAAGTACAAAATACTCTTTATAGAAATAAAAATAGATCTAAATAATTGGAGATGTATTAATTCTGCTGGGTAGGCTGTCCAATGTAACAACAATAATAATACTACATAAATTAATTTATTTATTCAGTGACATGCTTCACCAACTACCAAGGATTACTTTATAGAGCTAGAGAAAAAATTCATGCAAAGAAACTAGAGATCAAGAATCTCAGCTCAAATTAACAACATAGCCAATAGCTCACAAATGTTCAGATTCCTTAAGTGTCTGGCCAATGTGGTGGATCTTTAATAAACCTTGTCTTTGGCTGAAAAAAAAAAAAGAATCTCAAGGGAAATTATGGGGAAAGTAAGAGGGAAAGGAACCTAAAAAAACAGATTTTAAACCATACTACAAAGAAATAATCATCAAAATGATCTGGTACTGGTTAAAAAATAGGTAGGTCAGTGACACAAATTAGGTATACAACATAAAAAAGCAAACAAACCTAATAGTCTAGTGTTTGATAAAACCAAAAATTCTAGCTCCTGGAATTAGGACTTAACTATTCAACAAAAACTGCTGAGGAAATGGAAAAGAAGACTGGCAAGAATTATATGCAAAAAGTGACTAAATGGTGTATGTCCTTTGACCCAGCAATGCCACTGTTAGACCTATATCCAAAAAAGATCAGTGCCTCATATCATATACCATGATTAGTTTCAAATGCATATGTGACTTAGATTTTTTTTAAAAAGCCACATTATAGGGGCAGCTAGGTGGCGCAGTGGATAGAGCACCGGCCCTGAAGTCAGGAGGACCTGAGTTCAAATCCGGCCTCAGTCCAAACACTTGACATTTCCTAGCTGTGTGATCCTGGGCAAGTCACTTAACCCCAATTGCCTAAAAGCAAAAAAAAAAAAAAAAGACACATCATAAACAAATTAGAGGAACAAGGAGGAAATCTGTCTTTCAGTCTAAGGGATTTATTCAAATATATAAGAATAAGAGTCTTTACTCTATTGATAAATGATCAAAGGATATTAACATGTAGTTTTTGAAGGAAGAAATTCAAGCTATCAACAACCATATTTTTTAAAGGCTCCAAAATCACTAATAACTAGAAAAGCACAAATTAAAAAAACTCTGAGGTTCTACTTCACAACCCTCAGATTGGCAAAGATGACAAAAAAGAAAATGATAAATGTTGATGAGGCTTTGGAAAAATAGGCATATTTTACACTGTTAATGGATCCGTGAATTGGTATAACCATTCTGGAAAGCAATTTGGAATCATATGCAAAAGTGACTAAATAGTATATGCTTTTTAAAAAAAGAATAAATTTGTTTATTTATTTTTAGTTTTCAACATTTACTTCCATAAGATTTTGAGTTCCAAATTTTCTCCCCATCTCTCACCTCCCCCCACCCCAAGATGGCATGTAAATTGATATAGGTTCAACATAGTATATGCCTTTTGACTCGGCAATACCATTCTTAGACCTGTATCCAAAAGAGATCAAAGAAAGGAAAAATGTATTTTGTGTAAAAAAAAATATAGAGGCACTTTTTTGTGGTGGCAAAGACTGGAAACTAAAGGTATCCTTATCAGTTGAAGAATAGCTTGGATAAGTTGTAGTATATGAATGTCTTACAACACTGTTGTATTGTAAGAATAAGTAAATAGATGATTTCAGAATGGCACAGGAAGACTTCTATGAAGTGATGGAGAATGAAGTGAACAGAACCAGAACAATCTATATATCATTTATATATTAATATTATAAAAATAAATGATTTAAGGAGGACTTTTATAAACTGATGAAGAATGAAATAATCAGAATTAGAACAATTTTTACTATAACAACTATGCTATAAAAACACATACCTTTGAAAGCTATAAGAGTTTTGATGAATGCAATGACAATTCATGATTCTAGAGGACCTATGATGATGACACAACTATCCATTAGGGAAGAAGTGATGAATTTAGGGTACAGAATAATATAGATATAGATATAGGTATAGATATATATGCATACATAATTCTATATATATGGGTATAATCACTGCAGAAATTTATTTTACTTGATTATGTGTATCTATAGCAAGAAATTTGCTTTTTTCTTTTATTTTTTCAATGAGGGTAAGAAGGAAAAATATATTTATGTTAATTTTTTTTAAATAGAAGAGGATACTACAGGTGTAAAATATTAGGTGCACTTTCAGATGACATCACCTTAGTATCAGTTTTGCTTCACCATTTTGTTATGAGATCTTTAATAATGTGGGAGTAATCTGTAAATATATATAATGTAAAAAAAAATCAATAAAACCAAAAATTAACAAATAGCTAGTTAGTTAGCCAGCTAGAACTAATTTTTAAAATAGTTAAGGCATTAATTCAGAGAAAACTGGGAAGACTTGTATGAATTTTAGAGTGAAGTGAGCAAAACCAGGAGAACAATTTACACAATAATAGCATAAAGACAAACAAATTTGAAAAGCTTAGGAACTCTGATCAGTGCAATGACCAACCATGAGTCCAGAAGACTAATGATGGAATGTGTTGCCTATATCCTGACAGGGAGGTGATGGACTCAGAATGCTGAATGAAACATAAATTTCTGGATATGACTAATGTGGGAATTTATTTTGTTTATCTATTTATATTTAGAAGAGTTTTGTTATAAGGGTTTTCTTTTTCTTTTTTTTTCCAGTGGAAGAAATGGGAGCAAGAAAATAAATGCTTGTTAATTGAAAAAAAAATACCTTTTTTTAAAAAATAAGAAAAACATTGAGGATTTAAGGAGTCTAGGATGAGCTAGAATGAGAGGGGAGGCATAATAGGAAACTCTCTAGTTCTCTCAGAAGTAGCTTCCTATTCTTTGATGTACAACATTATTTTCTTTATGTGTCATCATCTTAATCTAACTATTCCTGGTTTCCATCAGCCTGAAAGAACTCCGACCGTCATCATTCTTCCCTCTTCCTTATTATTGTCTTGCTTTTATGCCTAGGGTTCTGTATTAGTGTGTCAATAGGTAAGTATTCAATTCAGGTCAGCCTCAATAAGGACATTACATATATCCAGGCTATCATTTTCTCTGCAATTTGAAATGAGGCCGGCATAACACTTTTTTCTGTATGAAATATTCATCCTATTCGTTGATCATATAAATATACTTGTTTTATTGCAAAGGGAAGTCTAGAATTGTATTAGACAGGATCTTATTCTTAATTTTGTGAGGTTAGAGCATCTTGGTGACACAGTGGGTAGAGTGCTAGGCTTGAGATCAGGAAGACCTGAGTATGAATCCTGCTTCAGACAGTTACTAACTTTGTGACCCTAGGCAAGGCACTTAACTTCTATCTGCCTCAGTTTCCCCATATATAAAATGGAGGTTATAATAGCATCTACCTTATAATAGGGTTGTTAGGAGGATCAAATGAGATAACATATTTAAAGTGCCTGTTTGTGACTGTTAAAGTGTTATATAAATGCTTATTATCATCATCATCATCATTGTCTCTCTGGTGTTTATAAGTGCAAACATAGTTAATTGAATAGAACAATTCGACTGTGTACGCTTGTCGTTTCTTTTTATGGAATTCACTGTTACCAAATAACAAGTGCTTATAGAATGATTTAAAATACAATGAACTAAGGAGGTGGGAGGGAAGTGATGATGAAATTTGTTTCTAATTGTTTTAAATTTGGATCAGGTCGCATAAGAGAAATGAAAGTGAAAGATTGGAAGCTGACCAGACTTTCTAATATCCCATTTTGTAATCTTTATGTATATCTTTTTTGAGAGTTCATTTGTCCCTCTGCTAGATTATCTATATGTATGTATTTACATATGTATACACACACTTATTTTCCTATTTTGTAGATGATGAAGCAGTGAATTTACAGGAATTTATGGACACTTTGGCTAAATCTGAACCATTTAGTGATATTCAGCGTGAGTACAAAATTCAAAATTATTGTATTTGAAACTTTTCTCTTTTATTGCTTGGTAATGTGTGACTTTTAAAACATGAATTTAATATTCCATTGCCAGTGAGTATTGTAATTTGTCTTCTTTTAACCCTTTCTTACATTGGAGATATAGTTTTAAATGACAAATTATTAATGCAAAACTTCTAGCTATGTATATTTTTCCCACTTAGGGGTGAAGTTTTATGCATTAAATTGGTTAAACAACCAATTTTTGTCTTTGTTGATACTATTTAAAAGATATTTTATTATTTGTAGGGTATAGAAAGATATGTCAATTAACATATATTAAGAGTCTACTGTCTACTACTGTGCTGAATGCTGGGAATATGAACACAGAAGTAAAATAGTTGCTTAAGAAACGCTACAAAATGGCAAAAATTAAGGGAGAAGCCAGTGTGGTACAAAGCACTGATTCTGGAGTCAGAAAACCTAGTTCAAAATCCTACCTTACTACATATGTGATCTTGAAGAAGTCATCAGACTTCCTGGCATTTCATTTTTCCCATCTGTGAAATGAATGAATTGGACTATATGGCTTCTGAGGTCTCTTTCAGCTCTTAATCTATGACCTACCATCAGTAATTTCTCCCCAAGTGATAAAAAGCTATAAGATATGGTAAGTCCAGAGAAGAGAAAAACTTTTGTGGGCTGAAATGGTCCAGGAAGACCATGGAAAAGGAAGACCTTGAGCTTGGCCTTGAAAGATGGCCATTAGTGACCCCTGTGTCTCCAGGTAGTCAAATCAGAGCATGTACTATTTTTCCTTTCTATGTCCCATCCCTAAACCCAGGGCAACTCCTGTTTCACAGGGGTGCTATGGTTATCTCTCTCCCTAGAACGTCTCCCTCCCTCCAACATTTTCCCCTTCTCCACAGTTTCTTTGCTACTAGGGGAAGAACAGGGTAGGTGAGATTTGGTTCAGACTTGTAATTCTACTAATATACTTCAGAGCCTCAAATAATAATTGGAACCAGCCTATCACAAGAAGGTCTTAAAAATATCTGTAGCAAAGTCCCAAGTGCTCTTTCTAGGACAGCTGTGAAGTAACCCTTTATCTTCACCCCTTCCCTGAGAGCAGAAGTTTCTCTGGAGGTGCTCAGAGCTGTCTGTGTAGAGAGCAGAAGGGAGGATTCAACAACCACACGATCCTCATTGGGCCACAAATCACTTAAAGTCTGATTGCTTGTGGTTAATTTCATGTAATTGTCAGAGCTTTTTGTTTGCTGTTTTCTTTTCCTTCTTTCTTTCTTTTTTTGGTGGCAGTTGGGGTTAAGTGATTTGCCTAGGGTCACACATGTAGCTAGTAAGTGTCTGAGGCTGGATTTGAACTCAGGTTCTCTTGACTCCAGGACTATATCACCTAGATGCCCTGTTTGTTTTCAACCATTATTTTATAGCAGTGTTGATAGTCAGTATGACCTGAGTTCAAATCCTACCACTGACATTTATTTATTAGTTGTTTAACCATAGGCAGGTTATGCAACTTTGAGGAATTCCAATTTTCTTATCTATAAAATTGGGATAAATTCGGTACCTGCTTCACAGAATGGTTGTGAAACCTATAAGGGATAATTCATATGAAGTGATTTGAAAGTGTTAAAATGCTATAGAAATGTCAACTGTATTATGGCTGTTGAATGGGTTTGGATGGTTTGTTGTTTGGTTGTTTCAATTGCGTCTCTTTGTGAACCCATTTGGGGGGTTCTTGGCTAAGATACTCCAGCAGTTTGCCATTTCCTTCTCCTGTTTATTTTACAGCTAAGAAAACTGAGGCAAAGAGAGGGTTAATTGACTTGCCCAGGGTCACATAAGTTTCTGAGGCTGGATTTGAACTCAGGTCCTGATTTCAGGGCTGGCACCACTTAGCTGCCCTGGATTGGATGGTATTGATTATTAATCAATTGCTTTCAAGAAGGAAGGTACTTCTGGGAGCTTCCCCACTTTAAATATGGCTTCATTCCCCCTTTAAGTATCATACTATCACAGATCTATGGAGGAAATGGAAGAGACTTTAGAAGTCATCTGCTCTAACCCTCTCATTTTATTGCTGAGGAAACTGAGACCTAGAGAAATTAAATCAGTAATCTATATAACTCATGTGGTATAGGCAGAGCAAGGAATTACATCCAGGTCTTCTGACCCAAACACATCATGCTATCCACTGTACCATGGGGCCTCCCTTTTGGGAGAAACAGTAATATTATATTTGTGACAATGTTATAAAGCTTCACCTCATTATTATTTTCTTAAACGCAGTCAGTTTTTTTTTATAATGACTAACAGAACATATGGGGTCTTTCAGTTCTTGGGTCACTTTAGTGAGGTTCCAAACTTATGCCAAAAATAAATGCGTCTTCCTCCCACAACAAATTGTGGGTATACACACACATGCACACACACGTATATAGTATATATACATATATCTACATGTATGTACACACACATTGTGTGTGTATCTATACAAACACACACACATATATATGTATATATGTACACATGTACATATACTTTTATTAAGCTCCTACTATGTGCCAGGCACTCTGCTTAGCACTTTACAAATATTATCTTATTTAATCCGCACAACAGCCCTGGGAGCTAGGTGCTGTAATTATCCTCATTTTATAGCTAAGAAAACTGAGGCAGACAGAGATTAGGTGAATTTACTCAGGGTTACACAGCTAGTAAATATCTGAGGCCACATTTGAACTCAAGTTTTCCTGACTCCAGGCCTAGTGCTCTATCTACTGCACCACCTAACTGCCTACACACATGCACACACACACACACACACACCTACTTATATCTATATCTAATCCGACACAGTCTTATACTTTGATTTCTATGTATGTATAGGAATGGAAAATGCATGTAAGTTTGTCAGCAGTACCAAGGACGGGAAAGTGAAGATGGATGATTTGTCACCTACTTTGGAGACATTGGGAGTGAATTTAACATCTGAGGAGATTAAGGAAACTCTGAAATCAGTCCAGCCTGCAAGTGAGTACTGCAGTCTCAGTAGCATATTAGAGGATAGGCTTTCTTTTCATCGTCACAGCTATCTTCACAAGGTTAAGATTTGGGGATGGGGAAGTGAGGCAGTATTGCTGTGTTGATATTCTATGAACCTAACAAAACTTGGTCCTAATAGGGCATCCAGGTCCATATTGCTGTGTTGATATTCTATGAACCTAACAAAACTTGGTCCTAATAGGGCATCCAGGTCCATTAAGTGATTTTTCCATGTGCCCCATTTATGTAACTTAGTTCAACAAAAATTTATTAAGCGCCTAATATATGCAACGCACAGTGCCTATAAAGATTAAAAGAAAAAAGACCTTATCTTTACTCTCAAGGACCTTATGGTCTAGTGGTGCGTTTGTGGAGAGGGGTGGGGTGGGAACTGTTAAATATTGCTGAAGAAAAGAATCTACAGCTTGTGTTTTTGCTTTTTAAAAAGCATCAGAGATACATTTATCATTTTACAAGCAGGGAGAGAAGCTGCTTAACAAGAGTCTCCCCTCTGTCCTATCCCTTCCTCCCCTAAATGAGAATCTTTCTAACTTAAGCAATCACATTTTATAGTAATCATGAATAAAAAGATGAAGAAATTCCATAACAACAAAAGGACACAGCTACATAGTTTTCAGTCACAATTTTTAAAATTATACTTAACAGTGGGAACACTGATATATGGGTTACACCCTTGGAGAAAATTTTGCCTTGGAGAAAAATTTTCTATATGCAGATATAGAAAAAGTCTATTTCATATATATATATATATATATATATATATATATATATATATATATATATATATATACACAGATAAAATTTTTCTCTATACATATATTTACATTTTTCATTTTCTGTATGTTTTTATTTTCTTTGTTTCTATCTGTCAGATAGATAGATAGATAGATAGATAGATAGATAGATAGATAGATAAGATAGATGATAGATAGAAAATGAATCCTGTTTTTAACCTAGGTTAAGAGAAGTAGAAAATGAATCCTGTTCTTGACCTGGGTAAGTCTAGGTTCTTAGCCTGGGATCCAAAGGGTCTGGGCTGAGGAGGTCTGTGAACTTGGATGGGGGAAAATATTACATCTTTATTTTCACAAACCTCAAAATGAAATTCCCTTCAATTATTTAAAAACATTGTTCTGAGAAGAGGTCCAAACTTCAGCAGACTGCCAAAGGGGGGTCCATGACACAGAGAAGGTTAAATAATCTCTGTCTTAAAATGTCATAGGAATCCATTTACCTAAAGAAGGAAACTTTAGTAATAACTAGGGGAAAGAGTCCTGGCTTTGGAGTTAAAGGACCTTGAATTGAATCCTGATTCTGCCAATTTAGTACCTGTGTGACCTTAGGAAGTCACTTAATCCCTCTGGGCTTCATCTGTAAAATGAGGAAGTTGGATTATATGACTCCTTTTCGATCTCCAAATGTATAATCATCCCCTATGATCCTATGACTGCTGCAATGTTGAGGTCAGATGAACACCTCTATATGAATTTTTTCTTTGTTTATGTGATCATCCTCCCCTGAAGTCCTGTTCTTATGCCTCATTCTCAGATTAGTTTGTGACACAACTCTTAGTCTGAACCTAGTTTACCATAATTTCTCATATCTGACTTTACTCTGTATATTATTGTAGGATGGCATTATAGGGTAAACTGTCTCTTCTTTGGAAATATCTAAATAGATTTTTGTTCCCTTTTGTAGAGGATAGAGCTGTGAATTTAAAGGATATTTTCGAGAAACTGGCTAAAACGGAAAAATTTCAGAGGTGTAAACGTGAGTATGAATTTCCAAAGGAAGATGTTTATAACCTCCCTTTTCTTCTGCCAATAGTATTTGAATTAAAATATCCATGTCTCTTCCAGTAACCTCCTTTGTCCCCATTTCCTGTTTCATTCCTTTGTTAAATAGGAGGATAATCTTAAATGATAAACCAGGAATGCCCAAACCTTTATATGTGTATATATGTATGTATGTATGTGAATATGTGTATGTATGTATATACATGTTGGCAGTGAAATTCTGTGTGTTTAGTCAATCAACTGATATTTAATATTGATAATAATAGACTATTTAGGGTAATGTTTTAAAATTTGCAAACCATTTTCATACCTTATTTCAGCCTCATAATAATCCTTTAAGGCATGTATTATAGGTATTTTAAATGTCCATTTTATGGATAAGGAAACTGAGGTAGAAAGCATTTAAATAACTTGCTAGTCACAAAGCTAATGAGTATCAGAACAGGATTAAACCCAGGTTTTCCTGACTCCAGGTGCAGCACTTTATCCAGTCTTGCACATTGCCCCTCATAAAGTATCTACTGCATCCAATGGGGTATCTAGGTGGTACAATGAATACAGTACCAGGCCTGGAATCAGGAGATCTGAGTTCAAATGTGGCTTCAAACATTTACTAGCTATGTGACCCTGCACAAGTCATAACCCAATTTGCCACAGTTTCCTTATCTGTAAAATGGGTTGGAGAAGGAAATGGCAAACCAGTCCTGTATCTTTGCCAAGAAAACCCCCAGTGGAGTCACAAAGAGGTGGACACAACTGAAAAATGACTAAACAAAACATTTAACTAATAGCTACTGGCCCTATGGTGATGTATCAGGCATGGTTCTGGCTTTCAGGGAGCTGAGGTTGGGAGGCAAGGCATAAGTGTTAAAGAAGAAAAGTTGTGTCAATTTGTGTTAAATAATTACAAAACAACTATGAATAAATTGCCACCAAAGGAAAAAGATGATGTGCAGAATTCTGTGGACTGGAATGAGCTTTTAAAAATCTTTATATAGGAGGTAAGACATGAGCTAGATAGGTTTTACTTGAAGGATGGATAAAGTTATTGTCCAGGATTATCATTAGCAATTTGGAATGTGAATAGAACCAGCAAAGAGGAAGTCTTCTGCAGCCTATGTTTTCATCTCCACATTCAGGCCAATTCATGTCCTAGAAGAACCCAAGGGGAACGTTGTTAAGTTCCATGATGTCTTTCTTTCTGTATCACCTTCTATTCTGGAGGTTTTTAACTTCTCCTTCCCCCTGGCCAATGAGAGAAGAAGTAGCTGGGAGATGAGGAGGGGTTATGGTAAGCTCTGGTTAGTTTCAGTCCAACAATAATCCTAAAGTATCTAAAAATCCTTGTTAGGACCTGAAATCTTATCTGTTCAACCAGAGACCTCAAGACAGTGGAAACTGTAAATCCCTTAAGGGCTATCATGAGTCAAAACTTCTCTTTGCCCATCATTATCCATCCTTATATGAATTCCAAGAGCAGAGCAAGCTCTGAATGAACCAAAATTGCTTTGAGATCTAAGATGTAGATGGGGGTAAGGGGCAAAACAGAAAATTCAGCAGCTGATGACCGTATGGAAAGATTGTACTTAATTCCAAGTTATTCGAATTTCTATAATAATTGTAATAATCTCTTATATGAGAATAAGCTAACATTTATTGCCAACCTATTATAATCGAGGAAGAAATTCCAGGAATTCTAGGAAAATATGTTCCATGAATCATTTCTATCTTCTCATTTTGTGCATTAATTATTCAGTCAAACAAGCATGCATTTATTAAGGACCTACTCCATGCCAGACCCTGTATTAGATGCTTAGGAAGCAAAGGATGGAACAATATCAATTCAGAAGGTGCTTAGAGCCTAACATGGCGTAAGTTAGTACTCTACTTGTGATTATTTAATAAAGCATGGCCTCTTTAGCATGTTGTCATATGCCATTAATAGCTTTTAGGTTGCCAGACGTGGAGGAGCTTAGATTTCAGACTACTTCATTGAGTGCCCAGGCCCAAGAGCAGCAGTTTTAAGGAAACAAATTTGTTCTCAGCATCACGTGTTAAATATTTCTCTAAAACCCACCAAATTACTAATTTTGCAATTTGATTTATTGTATACATATAGGACTACAACATGCATGTGATGTTTTTGCCAGCCTCCTTGATGGGAACGTCAACGTTAGTCAGCTCACACCTGCAATGGAGAATTTGGGGGTTTCTCTGAATCAAGATGAGCTCAATGAGGCATTGAAATCTGTGGAGGTTGATGGTGAGTGATACACCAAGTTACTTACTCCGAGTATGTGAGTACTGAGGGTATACATGTGTGTATACACATATACACATGTATGTATATATACTAAGAGTACACATATATACACTCATATATACTCACATGACTACATTTATATATCTATATCTATCTGGGGCATCTAAGTGGCACAGTAAATAGAGTCCTGGCCCTGGAGTCAGGATGACCTGAGTTCAAATGCAGCCTCAGACACTTACTATCTTTGTGACCCTGGGTAAGTCACTTTTAACCCTGTTTGCCTCAGTTCCTCATCTGTAAAATGAATTAGAGAAGAAAATGGCAAACCACTTCAGTGTCTTTGCCAAGAAAACCCCAAATGGGGTCACAGAAAGTCAGACATGACTTAAACAACTATCCATCTATCTATCTATCTATCTATCTATCTATCTATCTATCTATCTATCTATCTATCTATCTATCTATCTATCTATTTGCTATTTCCCATGTTATAACCAAAATTCCTATCTTTGGATCACAATTATGAGATTTTTTTTGTTAGAATTTTAAGATGTTCAAAGTGCTTTATATGATATATTATCTTATTTGGTCAACCAATCAACAAATATGTATTTAAAATGCCTGCTATGTACCAGGCACTGTGCTAGGTGCTGGTGATGCAAAAACAAATGTGAAATAGTCGCTGACCTCAAGGAGCTTACATTCTAACAAGGAGTCCACATCCATATCCACAGATTTATACATAATACAAACCAAGCAGATACAAAGGTAACCTGGGAAGGGTGAGGATGGAAGGAAGATTGTAGCAGCTGGGAAGACAATGAAAAGCTTCCTTATCCACATCACAGCCTTACGAGGTACTATATGTACTACAGATATCAATCATCCTCACTTTTCAGATGAGCAAACTAAAGCCAAGAAAGCTAAATGAACTTGTGCATTGTCATATGGCTAAAAAAAGTTAGAAGCAGGATTTAAACCCAGGTTTTGCCTTAGTCAACATCCAGCGTTTTGTGATCTGACTACGTTATCAGTCCCCTGCTTAAGAAGCTCAACTGGCTGTCTTGCCTCTAGGATAAAATATAAACTCCTGTGTTTGGCTTTTAAAGCCCTTCACAGTTTAGCTCCACATTTCTTCCCAGGCTAATTGATTACACATTGCTCCCCTTTACCAGCTCTCAATGTTCCTGTCAAAATGGGCTACTTCCCATTCCCCATATGTGACATTTGACAGGCTCACCTCTCGCTTCTCAATCCACTTGTCTCTTCTCGCCTCTGCAGCTTGGAATTGCTAAGCTGTCTTCCCTGTCTCTAAGACTCCACCTCCTTCAAGAGGCCTTTCTTTTCTGATTCCCTGCTTTGTGTTCAGAGAGGGAGATTGGTTCTATGGCATAGGTTCTGCCATTTTCACAAGCATGTGCTCATGCTTGTCCTCGGCCACCACCACACTTCCATGAGGCTACGATGGCTCCTTATCCCTCATCCTCCAGAAGGAGTCTGGGAGACTGAGCCGCTTCTCCATGTAACTAGAAAAAATGACTCCCAAAACTTCTGCCATCTTCTCATTTGATGTCAGTGGCATCTGAGCATTCTGGTTCATCTTTCCCAGATCCAGTCCTTAGGCCACTGGAACCCAGGGAATTATGGGTAGCAGCTCTTGACCAGCTGGCAGGTCCCTTCTCTGAAAGAAAGGTCTCTGTGGCCATGCCTCTGTGGGGATGGCAGAAGGGGTGGAAGTTACATAGACATGATAAATCCATGGTTTATGAAGAAGAGATTTCTCAAATTGATTTCATGGACAGACTTTATTCTAGGGGTGATCGATCATTAGAAGTGCAGCCTGAAGGGAGGGCAGAGGTCATCTAGTTTCCACATTCTTTGTTTTGCAGATGTAGAAGCCAAGGCCCCAAGAAGTTAGTGTCTTACCCAAGGTCACTCAGTTGGGAAATAGAAGAACAGGCATCTGAACCCAGGTCCAATGACTTCATATTTACTGCTCTTTTTAGTAGACTACCACTACTGGGTATATAAAAGACAAAAGGAAATAAAGGCATAGCAGTTCACCAGCCTCTCACTTTACTTTGTTATTGATAGACTTTATTTTATAGCTTTCCTTCTCTGAATTGTGTTTTTACTCTCTTTTATAGAACACGAAGGAGTTAACTTAAAGGACTTTGTCAATGTTTTATCTAAAACTGAAAATTTTTTGGAAGGTCAACGTGAGTATGAATTTCAAAGCAAGGATGATTGAAATCTTTCCATTCTTGTATTAGTGCACCTTTGTGACTTTTTAAATATATGAATTTAACTTTTTAAAAGGGTTTTTACTAACCTCTTTCTTTTCAATTTGACCACTTTATTAGTCCGTAAACATTTTCTAAATACCTACTATGTGCCAGGCACTATGCTAAGCACTGAGGATACAAATGTGAAGAAAGTTTATAATCTAATGAGAGGAGACAACACACAAAAAGAAGCTGAAAAGGTGGGGGGGCTAAGGGGACACCCAGCATAAGGGCATAGTGGAGGAGTCAAATATTATTATTAAATAGAAAGATAGTTTTAAATGGCAATTCAGAAACTCTAAACTATTTGTTTCATTTTTTAAACTTTGTAAAGTTTTGCAAATTTAATTAGTCCACAACTTTTAACTGAGTAGCTTCTATATATATTTTGCTTTTTATTAGGAGGTATGTATATTAAATCAAATCAGATCTAAATCCTCAATAAACTTAAAGTATAATTGGGAAGGCAACACATAGTTAATGAAGATAATGCAGAAGTTTAAAAAGATTGTCCATGTTAAATAAATACAACATAGTAAAACAAGAAATGTTACTAGATATAGTAGAAGATTTATTACATAAGTGGCAAAGGCAATAAGTACAATTGAATTCAGAGAAGAAAGATCTCTCTGTTGGCCAGAGTGATATAGAAAGGGTTCATGAAGAGTAAAATGTTTGACCTAAACTTTGAAGTATGAGTAGGAATTTTGCCCATGATTGCTCCTGGCAAATCTTTAGAGTTCACATTTAGGGGACCAGGAGGGGGACAAGCCTTATAATGTCTATGTCATTTTTCCAGATCGAAATCAATTTCCCACCTAAAGGAAAAATTTTACAGGGGTCATGACAGAACCATCCTATCCCCATCCCACCTAAGACCTCCTTCCCCTTCTTGCATTTCTTAGCCATCCTGGATAGTTTGTGTGCGTGCATGTGAATAGGTACACATGTGTGAGGAAGGGCAGGAAGGTGGTTGGTCTGGCTTGGTTTAGAATCGAGTGCTCTTAAAGTGAAATTTAAGGAGGTCCTGGAGCCAGCCTTGTCCACTAGAACCGACAAAACTATTTTAACTGACCCAGAGTGCATTCCTTTAGTGCAGCCATGAGCAAAGCCTGTCCCTATATCCAACGCAATACTAATCTGGATCCCCAGAGCAGAGTAACATCGGAAGACCTCATAGTGCTTTAACTTTCAAAGTTCAAATAGGTGAGAAGGAACATAAAGGAATATCCAACAGATAAAAACAGCCCTGGCCCGTGTAGCCCTTGAAGTCAAAGAGCTTGTGGTAAATTGTAAATACTTCACAATTATCTCATTTTGAGAACGAAGGACAAACCACAACCATGCTGATTGTTCATGAAACACTAGCAAGGAAAAGGAGGTTCTGGTTCTAGACCACACCCTTAATTATGAAATGTGTGCCCTTTTATTGTTATCATGAATTAGTATTATACTTTTTTCTGCTTAATAAAAAATAATTTTATTGCTATTTCATCCAAAGTAGCTTTTTTTTATGGATGCAGATAGCAACACATGGAGTCTTTCAGTGCCCCAGACTAAGGAGCTCCTGCTCTAGAAAACAAATGCATTCATCAAATTAGTATTTTATATGTTTCTTTAGACTCACCAACCTGATCATTTTCCATTTTGATTTATATGTACATGTAGGATTAGAACATGCAGGTGATGTTATCTCAAAAATCACTGATGGGAAAGTCATGGTCAGTGATCTGGCCCCTACCCTGGAGAGCTTGGGAGTCAAGGTCACTAAAGAAGACATTAGCATGGTATTGCCAGCTGTCAAGATTGATAGTAAGTACTCCAGGTTTCTCTTGGGTTATATTTATTATAAAAGTATCTCTGTTCATTCCAAAGGCAAAGCTAAATTTCCAGGTGTTCTCCACAAGGTTCAGGTTTGAGGGAAGGATACAGTAATGGTGAAATGGGAAGGAAAGGAATGAGTATTTATTAAGTGCTTACTGTGTGCCAAGCACAGTGCTAAGTGCTTTACAAATATTATCTCATTTGATCCTCACACTTTGTGAGGAAGGTGCTGTCTCTTTCAGTTGAGAAACCAGGTATACACAGGTTAAGTGACTTGCTCAGGAAGTATCTGAGGCAAGATGTGAACTCAAGTCTTCTGAGTCCAGCATTCTATCCACTGCACCACCTAGCTGCCTCAGGAACAGTCTTCAGGGATTCGTGTTTTTTTCTCTTGAAGTAGAATATGGTGGGGAATAGCAATGAGTTGGTTATTAGGGGGTATGCAACAGAGGGGACATATTAAGGCAAGGCTGTCAAGAAATGTGTGACAGGAATTCTGTGTAACTGCCCAAAGTAACATCCTATGCCCTGAAGCACAGTCTGAGTGTCAGTGTGCCTGTTTATTTCTATTGTTGGTTACTCACTATGCCCAGTTTGCAAGGACCTGGCTTTTCCCTATGATCCTTTTATTTATTTATTTGTGCCAAGAGAGAATTCTTATACTGGGTTTCCACACCGATCTCCCTTCTGAGGGAAGCAGAGGACTGGTCTTGGACTCAGGAAGACCTAAGTTCATATCTGGTCTCAGACACTTCCTAGCTGTGTGACCCTGAACAAGTCACTTGACCTCTGTGTGCTTCAGCTTCCTCAACTGTAAAATTGGGACAGTAATAGCACCTACTTCCCAGAGGTCAAATGGATCAGATGAGATAATGTGTGTAAAGCTCTTGGCACAGTGCCTGACACATGTTTTGTTGTTGTCATTGAGTCACTTCAGTCATCTATGACTCTCTGTGACCCCTTTTGGGGGTTGTCTTGGCTAAGATACTGGAGTGGTTTGCCATTTTCTTTTCCAGCTCATTTTACAGATGAGGAACTGAGGCAGTTGGGGTTAAGTGACTTGCCCAGGGTCACACCTCTAGTAAGTGTCTAAGGCCAGATTTGAACTCATGAAGTTGAGTATTTCTGATTCCAAGGCCAGGCTCTATCCACTGTAGCACCTAGCTGCACAGCCGGCACATAGTAGATAATTAATAAATACTTACTCTCTTCTTATGTCATGAAGTTAGTTGTAAGCTGATTATCTTGAGGTCATTATCACCTACTGCCTCTTATTAGAGCGCCAGATACTCCAAATATACCCTGTAACTCAAGAAAAGCATAGGAGCGCCCATGACCATAAAACAAAAGTTTGAATTCAGAATGGTTATTAAAACCAATAGACCTAAGGAGACACGTTCCACTGAAGTCCTACTTGGCTATCTTGTGGTGGCATCGAGCTGACCCTGCATTTTCCCAGGCTATGCCAATGAGATACAAGGTCTGACAGATACTGCCAAGCTGGAGGGTTTAAAGTTTGGCCCAATGATGAACTACAGATCTGTTTCCTGAGGGCCAGCCTTGCTTATAGAAGCTCATCACCAGGATGGCCAGAGCAATCTCTTGAAAATTATTTACCAAGATGTAGAAAGGACAACAAGAGCACTCATATCTCTTTTGCCAGCAATGCTGAACAAGTGTCTCTTGCCAAGTCCACTGGTTATAGAGCCCCCAGATTCTATTTGGGGTTCTATTCTCCTTTCTCATTTTAACCTTTCTAATTTGGTAATCATACCAGCTACCAAAGAATCAATGAACTTCTCTATGAAGATGATTCCCCTATGTATATATCTCTCCCTAGTTCTTCTCCTAAACTTTATTCATGCATCACCAGCTGCCTGTTGGGCATTTCTAAATGAATGTTCCACAGGCATCTCATATTCAGCGTATCCAAAACAGAATTCACTATCTTTCCCCCAAAACCCTTTGCTCTTCTGAACTTCTCTATTCCTATTGAGGACATTAGTTTCCTCCTAGAAACCTAAGTTCACAACCACATTGCTGTCCTTGACTCTTTATTCTCCTTCACTTTATATATTTAATCCATTGACAAGTGTCATTTCTACTTCTCTTATATGTGGACCCCTTTCTCTGTATTCATACAACCATCACCCTAGTTCATGCCCTCCTTAATCTCTTGCCAGAACTACTTCAATAGCCTTCTAATCGGTCTCCTTGCCTAAAGTCTCTCCCTACTCCAATCCGCCCTACATTCAGTTTATTGAAGTAATTTCTCTACAGCCTAGGTCTGACCATATCATTCTCCTACTCAAAAAATTCCATTGGCTCCATAGTAACCTCTAGGTTCTGGTATTTAAAACTTTTCACAATATGGTCCCTTCCTACTTTCCAGTCTTCTTATATTTTATTCCCTTCTGTGATCTAGCAACATTGGCCTATTTGACATGTCAAGCAAAAACATAATGAAGTATGGGACAGATATTTATTTCCCACATGCAAAGAAAAACAACAACAAAAAAAGATTCGTGGCATTCATTGACAGAATTTCTTAAAACAAGATACAGTAACAGTTGATAACTACTGTTCCAAAAACTGCAATCATCTTTTTTATTATACTATGTTATGGGAATGTTTTCATTCCATAAATTAAAAATAAAATTAAAAATTAGTCTTTTGGAAGACATTTAAATGTCATCTAGACATAAAGAAGTTTGCAAGACGGTAATGAAGTATTTTAAATTTTTCTTCAGCCTTGCAACTGTGTCTGTCAGATTCTGTGTCTTCTAGCAAGCCAGACCAGGGCTTGGATCAGTCCTGTCATTGTTGGTTGCCTTCTAGGGCACTAGGGTAATTGTCTGGAAGTTCCTTCCCAGGCAACTGCCAGGTAGCTCCAACCACAGAGATCAAAGATGTCTAGATCTCTCAAACTCGTAAGGTAGCCCTTGAGCCTGGACACATCCACCTTGTGAATTACTTCAAATTACTTACTCATCAAATTTTTAAAAAAGCGTAAAAGACAGCTAAGGAAGGGTCCAGATGCAAGTTCACCTGGTTGACTTTGTTACACTTGGGAGTGAAGTAGAAAGACACTACCTGTTCCTCTCTCAAAAGAAGAGAATTGGTAGGAAGCTACTTGCTTTCTAACTGATGAAGCACCCCATCCTCTCACCCCAAGTCACTGTCTTTGGGCAGGGGGAGGACTCAAGATTTGTGACATCATACCCAAAATTCAAGTCCTTCCAGTGCTGATTTATCACATACCAGAAGTCTGACATGGCAAAATGCTAAGTCACACATGTAGTTGGTCAGAAGCAGGAAAGGCAACTTTGTGCATATTCCATGGGATGGCCCTGATTACATGTATAATATAAAATGTGTGTGTGTGTGTGTGTGTGTGTGTGTGTGTGAAAGAGAGAGGAGAGAGAGAGAGAGAGAGAGAGAGAGAGAGAGAGAGAGAGAGAGAGAGAGAGAGAGGCAGAGACAAACAAAAACACACAAAAAGAGACAGACAGACAAAGCAGTAGTAATGGGGACAGACGAAGCAAAAATGGAAAAGCATATTTGATAGAGAGCGAGTCTTGGAGCCAGGAAAACTGAGGTTCAAGGCCCACCTCTGACTCATGTCATGTGTGTGACTCTGAATAAGTTGCTTAACTCAGTGACCCAAGGCCACTCTTTAAGTGTTAGTTGCAAAGAAGATTCTGATCCACATTGGTACACGAATTTTTCTTATCGGGAATTCCCTATACCAATGAAGTCACAGTTCTAGTTCTCTGCCCCACCCCACAAATATCCGTATGTGTGTGTGTGTGTGTGTGTGTGTGTGTGTGTGTGTGTGTATGAAGAATGGTAGAAAAGGTAGAAAACTTTGTTCCAAACTTTCCTCTGCCACATACAAGTCTATATGACCCTGGGAAGTCACTTGACCCCTCAAATATCCCCCAGTCAATTCTCTAAGACTTAAAGTTGAATAATAGTTGCTAATCTGCTTTGGTCTAAAGACAGTTACCTCACAAGGAGTTCCTAATAGCATTGAAATCACAGGTCCAGATAAAACAAACACACACACACACACACACACACACCCCCCACACCCCTTCAGAATGTCATACATAAGGGTATTTGTGTAGAAACAGACTCATTGGAAATCCAATGCTTGGTGGATAACCATATTGTACTTCAGAGCATGGGAAATTTGGGTAGTCACATGAAATTTCTCTTACTCAGATTCCTCACTGCCTTAATAAGCCATCTTCTCTCCACTCCCTGATCTTTCTTTTTGCCTTGCAAACAGTTAACTGAATCAAAATTCCACATTGTAATGTACATTATGTTGGCCTCCACAGAAACACATTATCAACAGTAGTGATTTCCAAAGTTTTAAGTATCAGTTAAATGACTTCCTGTGGCATGTGACCCTTTCTTAAAGGAACTGCTATCAGGCAGAGTATCCATTTGCACACAAAGAATAAAATAGTCTGAATCAGAGGTTCTTTTTAAAATAATAATATTTTATGTTTTCCTCAGTTACATGTAAACACAATTTTAACATTCATTGGTTTTTTTAAAGTTTTGAATTCCAAATTCTATCCCTCTGTCCTTTCCCAGTAAGCAATCTGATATAGGTTATACATGTACAGTCATGTAAAACTTTTCCATATTAGTCATTTTGTGCAAGAAAACTCAAACAAAAAAGAAAGGAAGGAAGAATGGATGGGAGGAAAGAAAGAAAGAAGAAAGGAAGGGAAAGGAAGAAAGAGAAAGAAATATAATATGCTTCAGCCTGTATTCAGATGACACCAGTTCTTTATCTGGAGCTGGGAGAGTATGTTTCATCATGAGTCCTTTAGTATTGTCTTGGATCATTGTATTGCTGAGAATAGTGAAGTCATTCATAGTCCTTTATCATACGATATTGCTGTTACTGTATACAATGTTCTCCTGGTTCTGCTCACTTCACTTTGTTTCAGTTCATGTAAGTCTTCTCAGGTTTTTCTGAAATTATCCTGCTTGTCATTTCTTCTAGCACGATAACATTCCATCACAATCATATACCACGACTTGTTCAGCCATTCCCCAATTGATGGATATTCCCTCAATTTCCAATTCCTTGCCACCACAAAAACAGCTGCTACTAATTAAATCAGAGGTTCTTAACCTAAGATATATGAGTTTGGTTACATCTTGATAACTATTTAAATAGAAATAGTTTTCTTTGTTATCCTATGTAATTTATTATATGCATTTAAAAACATTCTGAGAAAGTGAGCTTATAGGCTTAATCAGTTTGCCAAAAAGGGAGTCCATGACACAAAAAAGTTAAGAACCCCTGTTCTAAATAATACATAGATATAAAATATACGTAATGAATATGTGTTATACAATATCTACTTTGTTTTATTTTCTTTCCAGTAGAAGTATAGCACTGTATTTCAATCAATCAACAAGCATTTGTTAACAGCCTACCATGTGTCAGGATGTGTTAGACACTGAGGGTACAGAACCACAGAGTAAAACGATCCCTACTACTTCTCAAGGAGCTTCCATTCTATCATTATTCCTCTCATCTCTAGTCAAGATCATCATGTGGCTTTTTCATTTTAATAATATTACTGGTTTAAATAAAGAGCAGTTTGCATCTATGCTCTTTGTTTCTTCCACTTTGGGAATTCTCTAATGCAAAAAAAAAAAAGTAATTAAATTTTTGTTAAGTCAGTGGAGTAGGGGGAAGCAAAGCTTGTATTAGTTTCTGAGACAAACTTGTAGTTTCAATGTAATGTAAAACACGAGGAAATGGGTGGAAGTTAGTCTACACTTTACCTTGGTAATCTGATTTTACCTTGCTTTGTAGATCTGATTTTAATAAGAGCTACTTGTGTTCCACTGGACATTTTATTTGTTTGTCCTTTTTTTTTTTTTAGCTGATGGAGCTGTAGATTTAAAGAGCTTTGTTGATAATTTGGCTAAAAAGCAACAATCGAAGGAGGCAATACGTGAGTATGAATTTCAAAAGAGCAGTGACCTAAACTTCCTATTCCTATGTTGGTGCATTTCTTATAACTTTTTACAAATATTCATTTAACTCTTTACTGAAGCGCTACCATCCATCCCTACTTTCTTCTCATTTTTAGCCATTTACCAAATGGGAGTTTGCTCTTAGACAGAATGTTAAAAAAAAAAGTGACTTTCTATTTGGATAAGATTTTGTGCTTTAAACTGTGCAAGGCATTGTGTTGTTAAATATTTTTATAATTAATCAACCAGTATTTGTTGATTGTTTTTTTTATGTCATGTTGTTCGTTGCTTTTGTATAGACAAATATGTGACAGACATGGTCCCATATGTAAAGAGCCCAATTTATTCTTGATGTGAGGAGGAACTTCTTAAAAATTAGAATTGTTCAAAGGTAGAATGGACTGCCTGGAGAGAAGGCGGGTTCCTTCTCACTGCAGAGCTCTCTGCAGAAGCTGGCCAGCTACTTGTCACTTATGTTAGAATGGGGCTTCCTTTCATGTCTAGACTTGGGCTAGAGAGCTGCTAAAGTCCCTACCAACTCAAATTCTGTGATTCAAGAAGTTCACAACCCAGAAAATGAGATAAAACAAACATTAGTGCAGAAAAGATAAATATCTGCACCAGAATTAAATAGTCCTGCAAGATAACTATATAAGAGATGTTACAAGGCAGCCAGAGTTATTTACTTGCTGAGACAATGTGTGCCTTGAATTCAGAGGGGCTAAGAATTTTCTAGGCCAACTAGTTAGGGATGGCTGGCTTCCTGGAAAGGGAAAGAAACCCTTGGAAGATAGATAAGATTTATCAAGTCAACAAGCATTTGTTAAATGCCTACTATGTTACTACTATTATTAAATGCATACTGTGTGTTAAGAGTTGAAAATACAAAGAAAGGCAAAAAACCAGTTCTTCCCCTCAAGGAGCTAGAGGCAGAAGGTGTTCATAGAGACAACATGCAAATAACTATGTATAAACAAGATATATATGGAATAAATTGGACATAATCTCAGAGGAAAAGCACTACAATTAAGGAAGACCAGGAAGGGTATCTTGCAGAAGGCAAGATTTTGGCTGAGATTTGAAGGAAGCTTCTTTTTTTCTGCCTAGAATTACCGTCATTGAACCCTTAGAATTTCAGAGACTTGAGAAATGACACAGCAACTAAGATTAGGACTAGGGGAAGTGGTGTGGAGCTTTTGCCAGGATGATCACCTGGTCTGCAGAAGTCCTAATAGTTCCATGATATCCCTCCTTACCATACCTCTTCCCCTCTTTTGGGTTCCTAGACACACTAAGCAATGGGGTAAGAATCCAGACAATACTAGGGAAGGAAATATGGTTTGGTTGAGATTTACAACACTTTTAAGTTGCCTAGTTAGGTGCTAGAACCAACATATTTAACCAGAATGCTCACAACTATGACGTCTTTTATAGAATGGCTCACATTGTCCTTTGGGGGAACCGGAATCTGTCCTTGCCTTCAAGAGAATTCAAGAATTCAAGAGAATCTCTCTTGAAGGCTTATCTAGGGCTCAGGATCAGGAAACCCCTGAAAAACCTAAAGCTTCTTTGTGGTCCTACTTACAGAAAGGTGAAAAGGGCCAGAAGGGTGTGTCCAGTAGGCTAGTTCAAGAAAGTTCCAAGCTCATAAACTTCTGCTCTAGAAATTAATAATAACAATTAATATAACTACAGTAGTACATTGACATTTATATAACACTTTAAAGTTTGCAAAGCACTTTTACATACATTATCTGATTTAAGTCTCACTATAACCCCATGAGGAAGCATCATCAGTATTACTATCCCCACATTGAAGGTAAGGCTTGAGGCTCAGAGAAATTAGGTGATTTGTCCATGGCTGTAAAAAAAATAAGCATCAGAGGAAAGATTTGAACCCAAGTCCTCTTGTTTCCAATCTCCAAAGTTAGCACTTTTTTATTCCATACTGCTTCTCTAGATATTCTCTATACATCCTCCAAATCAAGATTTGTGTATTTCTTTAACCTCATCAGTTTAATATTTTATACTTTGATATGTGTATGCATACAGGAATGGAACAGACAAATAATATTGTCAGCCATGTCATTGATGGAAAAGTTACACTTGCTGAATTGGAATCTGCCCTGGAGAACTTGGGGGTTGAGGTAACTGAGAAGGAGCTGGAAGAAATATTAAAAACAATTGAGATTGATGGTGAGTACTTTGGACTGTCTATTGAGTTTTTGCTCGGAGTATATGTTTGTTTTTCATATTAGCAAAACTAAAACTTCCGTCATCCACACACAAGGTAAAGCACTGGAAGTGTAGCTGGAGTAATTTTCACATTAATCTTGCTTTTTAAGAGTCCATGATGCTCATACTGGAAAGGGATCCATTAAAGAATAGTGGGAGCAGTGGAAGGAGTTAGAGAATAGCATGAAGGTGAGGAATAACAAGATATAGCAAGGGTAAAGAGGAAAGCAGGGAGGAACCAAGTAGCAGGTAATTCATTGACTTTCACAGAAGTAGGGTCCTTCATCCTGATGTGCTGATGCATCAGTTTATGAAGTGTTAGAATCTCAATGTGCTCTTCTTCTAGTCTTTGTTAGAGAGATCTCTACCTCTCTTTAATTCTTCTCCCTGATGGTGGCTGCCAACTAGGCTCAGTTTATAGAAAATCTTTATGAACTTGGGTTCTTCTCTGTTGGTGTGGCACTGAAGACTTTGTACTAGCTTTTTTTGGAAGTGGTTGCTATAGAGATCGTTTTTCTTTGTGGTTACCTGTAAGCTTGGCTAACTTGAGGCTACCGAATCATTCATAAGTCAGTTATATGGTATAGTTATCCCTTCCACATAGCAGGAGTTAGGGGCACAGTGCCCCTGCTATCTGGAAAAACCACGTGAAATTTTTGGCCCTCCCTTTGTACCAAAGAAGAAGTCTGAATTATTATGGTATTAAAAGATAAAATATGTTGATAGTATGCAATACTATACATATATTTTATACATTTCTGAATTACTAAACTTTTTCTGTTATCTGCTGGCCTTTACCTGTCATCTGCAGCTTCTACAAAACTCTCCAAAAACTCCCATTTAATTTCTTATGCCAGCCTGCAATATATCAAAACCACAATGGGGAAAGTCGTGCTGTGGAAGGGATAACTGTACTTGGTACCCTAATGTCCTGGAAAATTTGGTAGTGTCCTAAAATACAGCAAGGGTTTGAACTCAGAATAACATGGAAGATCCTTTCTCTTTGTGGGCTGACCTACAAACTGAATAAAACTATGCAGAACATGTTCATTTTATAATCTCTGCTCCTGCTTTTAACATGCTTCTATATCCAAATAAATGTACTAATTTTCAGCTCCAGATTGATTTGAGGGTCTTGTAGACAGGATGTAATAGTCCAGGAGGGGCAGAGCCACAGGCAGTCCAGTTTTGGATCATACAGATGAATATGGCGTCTTCCAAGGGTCTAGCTTCTGTTGGGAATTCTTTGCTGAAGGGGAGCCGAAGATTGGAAAGTGCTAAATTCAACAAGGGATAATATGAAGAGCATGATTCAAGACCTAGGGCCAATGAAATCTAGAGGCGAGAAAGAGTTATAGAAGAAAATAAAGCAGCCCACTCCGAACAGCAAATTGTTGGGGGATGGAGGAATATCTAAAACATAGAAAATTGAGAGCCGAGTATAATCTTAAAACAGAGAGAAGTCATTTACAGAAGGATTTAGAAATCTAGTTCTGTATTGAGAATGATAGTTTGCGTGCTCATCATTTCATCAATTATGGGTTGCTCTTATGCATTAGTACAATCCCTACCCATCAGTTCTACAATCTTCTATACCTCTCCTACGATGGTCGTTATATTATCTGCTCTTCTAAATGGCCTCCCGAGGTCACAGGGTCAGAGCTCATATGGGTGTTTGAGGCAGAAGGTTCCATGTTCTTAACTATATTCTTCTGGCCCACAGCCTTCCCAGTCCACACAGTTTTGTAGTTTCTCTGTCTGATGTCAGGAGGTCAAAGCCGCCTTGGCCATGATTCATCTTCTGCAGTGGGCCATGGGTTCTAAGTCTGAAAACCAGAGTTTTCATGGATTTTCTAGAGCAGTAAGTTATAGAAGCTTGGTTTGATTCAAGAGAATGAGAAACCAGGAATCAAACACAAGGACAAAACTCAAAGCAATATTCAAGACATAGGCCCTGGTATCACCAGTGGGGGACAGTTAGTGTGCTCTATGTTTCTTCCCCTTCCTGGTGTTTTTATTTGAAGTACTACCACTACAATGCAAGGCAGGATCCAGACACTATCACCTCCTCCTGGGAAGCCTCTCTGGGTCACCAGAAATAGAAGAATTTATGTGGACCACACATACTCAATAGTAAATATTTCATTAGAGGCCAGAATAACATATGCATTTCTCTGTGGAATTTAAGAAGTGTGCTTTGTGATTTTGTTTTCTTTTCAAAAGGAAACACAACTACATTTGATGGGAGTTTATTCTTTTGATTTTGAGTCAAGTCCATCTAAGTGAAACTTTCCACTTGTCTAATATATTATAGAAAAGTTTGATTCTGTGAATGAGGCATTTTGTGCTTCTGGAATTTAATATTAAAGAATTATAAATGAGTATAAGTGATTAAAACAAAATGATAAATTCAGGACACAGAATGTAGTCATGGGTGTCACTGGAGCCAGTTCTAATCTAGCATCTTGTTAAATTTTCATTGTGACCTCAAAAATCAGCAATAGCTTCAAATTAGGGCTTGATTTATTGTTTTGTTGATTGTCTAAACTTGGGAAAATATTAATAATTCAGATTAAATTTATGTGTGCATAACTCGCATTTACATAGCACTTTTAAGGTTTGACAAGTACTTTGCATCCACTATCTCATTTAACCACCTTACAAGATGGATGAAGTGATTGTCAAATTAGTTTCCAGGATAAATTTTTAGCCAGGGCCTGATTAACACAACAGAAATAGAAGTGGAAGGTTGGCAGTTCCCTAGATAGTTTCAGACTACCCTTCCTTTTATTTGTTACTTGTATACCTGAATTTCAGACTACCCTTCCTTTTATTTGTTACTTGTATACCTCAGTTTCCACTGAGCTATCTTTTTTTTCTCCTCTCTATCATAGAAGATGGAGCAGTGGATTTAAAAACCTTCATGAAGGCTTTGGCTAAAACACAAGAATTTCATGAGTGCCAACGTGAGTATGAATTTTGAAATAGGAATGATTAAGCCTTTCCCTCACCCCATTCCTGAATTGGTGAATGCTTTGTTGAGTTTAAAATATTTAAATTTAACTTTATATAGGGTTTTCAGCAGCCCACATTTTTTCTTGCTTTCAGAACTTTGTTTAATTGAAGTCTGTTCTATAATGACAAATTAAGAGCGTTCAGCCATTTGCTGTTCTTTTGGTATCTCAGGAGTAAAGTTTTGGACGTGCAATCAGTTAAGTGACACACATTAAGACATTTTTTTCTAATTGCCGTGGAGCACATAAATTTGAGCCAGAAAATGTCCCTGTTGTCAAGGATCTTAAATCTAATTGGAGAGACCAAGACATAAACATTAGTGCAATAAAAATGAATGCTGAAGAGCTAAATAACAATAAATTATTTACTTTGATAAAGATTTAATTTGATGAATGTGAACACTGTCTCTACTCCAGTGAGAGAAGAAGCATGGCATAGTGGATAGAGTGCTAGATTTGGACTTGGGAAGACCTGGGTTTGGATCTTGCCTCTAAAACTTACTCCTTATGTGTCCCTGGGCAAGTCACTCATCCTCTCTCAGCCTCAGTTTTCTGGTCTGTAAAATGAAAAGGTTGGACTCAATGATCTTCGAGGCCCTCCTTGCTCTAAGTCTGACATTCTATAATTCTAATGAAGACCACAGCCCTTTCATTTCATGTCTTTCCATAAATCCCTGATGGGACAGAAGTAGCTTGAACTTGGCCTTGAAAAATGGGTAGAATTTGCAATGCAAGAGTGACATTAATGAACTTTCATACAGCAGGAGCTTTCCAAGAGGATATAATTGGAATATTAGAGGAATTCTTTGATGGTCAATGTCATAGTCCCCAGACCTAAACCAATTTCTGATCCAGAGCTTTATAGTAGCAAGGTTAATTCTATAACATCAATCCCTTAGAATCTTTTTTTCTTCCTCATGAGTTCTTAGGTACCCTGGGTAAGGGGAAGGCAGATCAGAGAATTACACATTTGGAAGTATCACTAATACTTTGCAACTTACTTGGCCCAAGTGAAATTTAAATTTATTGATATGTAATAAGCCTTTCATCTTTTTATATGCCTATATGTTGCTTAATATGCAATATGTCCTGTTTAGGCTGCAATCACAGCAAGCCAACAAAACCAAATTTGAGTTTGCAAGATTATGACACATACTCTTTAATTTTTCCTCATGATACCACACTTTTATCACATTGGCTATCTTAAGTTTACCTTTGACAGTCTTGATTCTAACCCATAGATTTTTCTTTTTTAGGTTTTTTTTAAAATTGTATTTTTATTTTTTCTCCCAAGGCAAGAAATATAATACCCATTATACATGTGAAGTCATATAAAACATTTCCACATTAGCCAACCCGTAGATTTTTTCAATGGGGTTTAAATGAAGTGATTTCTCAGGCCATTGAAATATGTTTACCTTCTCTTAAAATTTCCTAACCTTTCATGACATGTAGCATTGAAGAAGTTCGTATTCTATTTACACCTGAGAATTTCTATAATTCCAGAACAATTCTGTTTCTCAGTAAATTGAGTTCATTCTCTCAATGGGGACAAATCTTCCTTTTTGAGGAATTAGTGTCTTATAGTCTGATGAAGATGCCCAGATCTTACAGACTTCCATGGACTTCTCATAATGGTTTAGTATGTCTAGAATGAAAAAAAAAATTAGTTTCATCAATAAAAATTATCTTTTGCCAGAGTCTTCAGTACTGTGGTCTTTGTGCTGTCTTGCCTACAACAAGCAACTGATCTTATTTCACTACTATTGAAGTAAATGGATCCCTAACAGGTGTTATCCATCCTGTTCTTGGAGACCTTCTGAAATGAGGAATTTACATCTGGATTTGCATCTCTGCTACATTCACTTATTTCACATTAAGGGCAAACAAAAAAGCATAATCCCTTTCTAATTGACATGTCTTAAGTAGTGAAAAGAACATTGAAAGAATTATCATGCTGCCCTTGAATCTTATCTTCTGAAGGCTAAATGTCTCTAGTACTGTCAGCCAATTTTTGCATGATATGGTTTCCAGTCTACTTATCATCCTGGTTCATTTCTGGTCTCCAACTTGTCACTATCCATCCCAGAACCATACACAGGACTCCAGATGTAACTAGCTATAATATAGTTACACTGTTGTTATTGTTGTTTGGCCTTTTTAGTTGTGTTTGACTCTTCACGACCCCATTTGGGTTTTCTTGGCAAAGATACTGAAGTGGTTTGCCATTTCCTTCTCTAGCCCATTTTACATATGGGTCACACAGCTATTAAGTATCTAAGAATGAATTTGAACTCAGATCCTCCTGACTCTAGGCTTGGTGCTCTATTCACTGTGCCACCTAGTCATCCCTCCACATTGTGCTTGCAGCACATTAAAGTACCAGATCTTTTTCACATAATATGTAGTCTATGCCTTTCTCGCAGTTTGTGCAAATTATTATTAATGGTGACCTGTAACAGTCTTCCACAACAGCATATCTTGTATTTCCCCCTCCTTTTATTTTCATCTAAATATCCTTTACCATGAAGTTCCTCACAGGAACATATCTTCTCTCATCCCTTTTAAGATGGCATAGTAATGTGAGTAGAGTGCTGAATTCAGAGCCAGGAAGACATGTTCAAATCCTAGCTCTGAACATTTTTAGTTCTGTGTGTACACGGACAAATCACTTACCCTTTCTGACCCTCAGTTCCTTCATCTGTAAAAATGGGGACCATAATACCAGTATTACTTATCTCAAAGGGCTGCTATGAGTTCAAATGAGATAATTTATGAAACTAACTTGTGGCTCAAAGGCCGTTTGCATAAGACTCTCCTCACTGGTGGAGATTGATTTCCCAGTGTTCCCCATTTATATTAGGGGAAGAGTTGGTGAGAACCTGAGTGGAGAGAGACCCTGGTCTTTAGGCTTACAGCTTTGAGAGAGAAACTGCGTGGTTCCATACTCTCTTCAGGTCCCGGGACAGAGAGAAAGACTCGGGGAAGAAGCTGACATGTAGAGGAGCTCAATCACACCTCTATCTCCAGCTTACTACACTAGAGATTTGGGGGAATTTCCTATTGGGTGAGATCTGAGACACTCTCTCTTGGTTAAGCTGAGTTATCTCATTCCCATTGGAAGAGTCCATTCACTCTGTGTATTGTCTGATAATATAATATATATATATATATATATATATATATATATATATATATGTATAATATATATATATACATATATATATATATTCTCATCTGTATGTATTTCTCTGATTTCTATTTGCTAACAGTTTAGAAAAAATTGTTTTATTTTCTGTTCAGTATGTGGGCTCATTGTGGAAATGGAATTTGCTAGGAAGAAAGTCAGACGCTGTATATATAGTCTCAAGTATTCCTTCCTCATAAAGGAACAGTGATCAAGAATGTAGCTTGAACTTAAAGTTTATTTCCCCTAGACTAACAATATTTAAGGGAGCAAAGAGATGTAATTCTAGACTAGCACCCCTACTTTGGGGAAGCAGAATGGCCAGCCTCTGATCTCAACCTCCTCCTTCCCCTCCTGGAAGCAATCGAAACCTACCTTGGAGAAAGGTTGGGTGGAGGAGATTCTCAAGATTCCTATTCATGCCTCCCCCAGAGGCACATCTAGACAGATTCATGTAAATATGCATATCCCCATATGGGCAAAATAGCACAACACAACACATCCCATACATAAAAAGATTTGAAAATTTTAAAGTATGGCATATATGTAAATGTATACATACATTTATATATTAAATGATAAATGATATTTATATAATGCTTTATGTAATATAAATAATATTTATATATTATATAATATGTAATTATGTACATATACACATATATAATTTATTATTATTGTGAACTATTCAATTTGAATATGGTATACCTCTTCCACTTCTATTCTAGTCATGAGGTGACTATATTATACTACCACTACATTAGAAGTAGGATTAAGACCTTTAGTTCATTTTGTTACCCAAATTCTGTTTGTGTATAGACATATAAAGCCATGAACATTAGTCTGGGCTTCTTCCTAGATATATTTTCTCATTTTCAATTTAATTTTAACAAAAGGGTAAACTGAGGCAGATCTCCCAGAAAGATAAATAATATTTATTAGCAGGGGCATTCTACCTGCCAATAAATAGGTCAGTGGATTGCCTCAATTAATACCAAAGACCCCTAACAAGAGGACAGTTCTCTTTACGTAGGGTTTTGGGAAGCACAGAACAAAGAATAGAGCAGGGTAATGACATCATGAAATTAAGGGCAACATGTTTGGTTACAGAGCTGAGATGCAGGGAACAACATGATTGGTTGGAAATTTGGTAATGAGGCTAGCAATGACCCTCTTCTTCTTCTCTCATGAGACTAAGAAGGGCTCTTTGAGTCCAGGTGAGAGATAGTGGGCCAGACTTTTGGGCAGCAAACCAGACATCCCTGAATGACAACTTTGTGGAGTAAAGATATCAGGCCTAAACTCTCTTGCTTTCTCACACATTCCCCAAGGTCAGTTAAATACCTTGAGGCAAGAATAGATGGATTTTTAAATTTAACCCATTACAGGCCAGCTGAACTCTGAACTAAATTCAGAGACAAAAAATCATGACATAAGCAGTTACAGTACAAAATCAATTGTTTGTAAATAGGATCAATAGGAAAATCATACCAGATCAATTTTAATCTTTTCACCTAGGAATTACTGTGCTTCTCCATTGCTATTCTTATAACTACAACCCTCTGTAATATCTCACTTAGCTGTGGTACTTGAGTAGTTTTTTCTTTCTTTGTCTATTTTAAGTGCAAATCCCTCATTTAAATCAAATACAGGCTTTCTTACTCTCAGTAAATGTATTCCATCCAAGACTACGAATACATCATTCCTGTATGTTGAACCCTGGTGACAAATCCAAATCTTAGTCTTTAACACCATCTTCTCAACCAGCTTTTCAAAATCCATTGTCTCTTCTTTTTCTTGAAGCCCTCACCTTCAAATGGCAGCACTCATGAAAATACCACATGTACCCAATGTCCTCAATTTCCTGCCTAAGACTTCATGATCATAATGTGATCTATTCTTTCAGGAAGTATTATTCCATACCCTGTGCATACCACAAATCAATAGAAATGGATATTATTTGTTGAAGTTGACAAGTCTTCGAGCTTTCTTCTACATCCTAGATGCCTATCTGTGAAAGATAGGTTACTTCTAGATTGTTCATAAGAGATCAGAAAATGATCTTCATGAAACCTCTTGACAGAGAGCCACAAAGACTTATCTTTTATTGATATGACTAGAGGTCAATATTTGCTTTCCAGGCAGAATCTATGGGTCCTTATCATCTTCCATGGATCATGGAAACAACTTCTTACTCAAAAGCTCAGCTCTAATCTATTTGGAAAGAGCTTTGTTATGTAACTTTAATGGCTAAGGTTTCCCATACTTCTTTTTGTCACATTCTTCTACTCTCCAATCTTCTGATCCAGAATTATTCAGTTGTCTCTGATAAGCCAAAAACTTAGAGAGTCTTTTCCTAGCAGTGTATGAGTATTACTTGGCTCCTGAAGAGATATAGACAATGCGATCTCTCTAAGTCTCTAGAACATGCCCTTGACCTCCCTACCTGCTGAAACCAAGGCCTTCACTTCTTCCTCACTCTTGTGCTAACTTTTGTGGAAAACTGCTTGTGTCACACCTGTTCTCTGTGCTTGGTGCTTTCTTTTCTTAGGAAATGGGGTAGAGGAGAGAAGATAGTTTTCCTAAGCAAGGTTTTAAAATAACATTTCCCTCTGCTTTTTTCTGGACCTTTCCCATATTTCCTACTCGTCTTGTACTTGATCTATAATTAGTAACCATCTATTGTCTGTGTGAATAACCTTTGGAGAAACCCTCATTCCAGCCCCTCATGTCCTTTATGTGGTGTAATATGAATGTAACAGTGAACTATTAATTAGACCTCAGATCCTGCCTTCCTGCATCCCACCTCTTCACTCACTGCTAAGCAACAGGATAGTTATTTGAATCCCAATTACTTTGTTTCTTAGCTTTCTAACAAAACAACCCATAAACAAACCTTTGACCCATATTCTCAAAATCTTGGCAACTGGTCTAAAGTAAATTCTTGTGGGGTCCCTGTGAATCAAAGCATGGGGCCACAGTAGTAATTCTTATCTGGAATCTTTGGGATACTCACCCTCGAAAGATCTTAAAGCCCACTTCAGGTTCATTTCAATTCCACAAGTATCTTTGAAGCCCCTTCTATGTGCAAAGCATTAGGGTGATCAAAGACAAAACCATAAGAGTCCTTGGAGGAATATAATAAGTACATAAATAAGTAAACACAAAGTAATTTCAAAGGTATATAAAAATACTAAGGCTAGGACTCAATGTAAATCACTTGAAGTGTCAGGCAGCCGGTAGCAGCTCCCCCTTAGTCATCTTTGCAGCATTCATTTTCCAGTTAGTGTTCTTTGGAGGTAGCTAGGTGACACAAAGACTAGAGAGCTGGACATGGGATCAAGAAGACCTGAGTTTAAGGATATGAACAGGCAGTTTTCAGATAAACCAAAGCTATCCATAGTCATATAAAAATGCTCTAAATCACCGTTGATTAGAGAAATGAAAATTTAAACAACTCTGAGGTACCACCTCACACCTATCAGGTTGGCTAATATGACAGAAAAAGAAAATGTTACATGTTGGAGAGGATGTAGGAAAATCGGGTTTCTATGAACTGATCCAACCATTGTGGAGAGCAATTTGGAACTATGCCCAAAGGGCAATCAAACTGTGCATACCCTTTGATCCAGCAATACCACTACTAGGTCTGTATCCCAAAGAGACCATAAAAAGGGTAAAGGGGCTACACGTACAAAAAATATTTAGAGCAGCTCTTTTTGTGGTGGCAAAGAATTTGAAATTGAAGGAAAGTTCATCAATTGGGGCATGGCTGAACAAGTTGTGGTATAGGAATGTAGTGGAATACTATTGTACTATGAGAAATTATGAGCAGGCAAATTTCAGGCAAAGCTGGAAAGACCTACATGAACGGATGCAAAGTGAAATGAATAGAACCAAGAGAACGTTGTATACAGTAACAGCAACATTGTATCAACTATGAATAACTTAGCTCTTCTCAGCAATACAATGGTCTGAAACAATTCCAGAGGACTCATGATGGGAAATGCTATCCACATCGAGAGAAAGAACTAATATAGTCTGAATGCAGATCAAAGCATACTATTTTTATTTTCTTTATTTTTTTATTGTTTTTTTTCCCTTTTTGGTCTGTTTCTTCTTTTACAACATTACTAATGTGGAAATATGTTTTATAAAGTATGGAAATATGTTTTACATGACCACACATATATTACATATCAAATTGCTTACCATTCATTTTAGGGCAGAGGAAGGAAAATAAGGGAGGGAGAAAATTTGGAACACAAGATTTTTTAAAATGAATGTTAAAAATTGTCTTTATGTGTAATTGGAAAAAATGAGATACTATTTTTAAAAAAGACCTAAGTTCAAATCTGACTGTGTGACCCTGGACAAGTCACTTAACATCTGTCTGCCCCAGTTTCCTCACCTGTAAATTGAGGGAAATAATAGAACCTATGGCCCAGGGTTGTTGTGAGGATCAAATGAGATAGCATTGTAAAGTATTTTGCAATTAGATGCAATTAAAGTATTATATAAATGCTATTATTTTCTTTGCTAATTGTTCCCTCTCCAAAAAAAATATTCTTAGAGCATGCACATTTTAAAATAAAGCATTTAATTCCTTTAATTTTGATGCATATTCATACTAGATTTATGATTATTTAATAAAAACATCAATTCCATGGTATCTTTTCAAAAACACTGACTTTTTTTAATGGTAACAAAAACGATGTCTAAGTTTTATGGCTAATCCAATGAAACCAAAAAGCCCAAGAACTCCTCCTCTAGAAAAAAATATATTTCCCCAAACACAATTATATAAGTGCCTTTAAACTCACCAACTAAATATTTTTGCTATTTGATTTGTACGTTCAGGAATCAAAAATACCTGTAACATTATCACCAACATCACTGATGGGAAAATCAAGAAGGATGATGTCCCACAAACCATGCAGAGCTTTGGAGTTGAGTTAACCAAGAAAGAGCTTGAAGAAGCCTTGAAAACAACGGTCCTTGATGGTGGGTGAGGCCTTTGTCATGTTTTTTGCTTAGAGTATATAAGTACATATGTTCTCTTTAGTATAGGGCCTCCATGTCCATGAACTTATTTTTTAAAATATTTTGATGGCTGTTTTTCAGTATAATTGGTTTCCTTTGTAGTACTGTGTGTTTTACTTGGGCAACTAGATAAAGCAGACTTGGTGTTAGGAAGGCCTAAATTTGAATCCTGCCTCAGAAATTTATTAGCTGTGTAACCTTGGGCAAGTCACTGAACTATTCTGTGCCCCAGTTTCCTCATCTGTAAAATGGGGATGATAATAATAACACCTTCCTTCCAGGGTTGTTATGAGGATCAAATGAGATAATAATTGTAAAGCACTTTGCACAGTGCCTGGCACATTGTAAGCACTGTATAAATGTTAACTATTATTATTGTTATTGTTATTACTATCTTCACCAGACTGCCAAAGGGAAGGGACCATGACACAAAAAAGTTAACCCTTGCTTAGTGGCAAAACTAACATTTCAGTCATATCTTCAAATCTGAGAGACTTTATGCATAAAGTCTTCCTAGGGCTTATCTACTAAGTCATAGAAAGGCATAATCAGTGATGGGAGAGGGAGTTTCCACACCAAGAGTTCCTTGCTTGGACAGCTCTTTCCTATACTTGGGTTTCTACAAAGTTGGAGGTTTGAAGAGGGTGACTTATAAATATAGTTCAGGTGTCCTTGTTTTTCCTCTTGCCAAGGAAAGGTCATGTAAAATGAATGAAGAGGAAAGTTCTGTGGGAGCCCTGGTAAAGAACAGGGTGAAGGAGTGACAGAGGTGAAGTCACAGGGGGACATTGATAGGAAAGTAGCTACCTCTACCCTGACACCTATAAGACACCAGAATATCCTGCAAATGTTAATGCCTTACTGGAACCTTTTCTAGTTTCAATCAGCCTACAATACTTGAATTATTAGTTATCAACTTTAAGTCATTTATCACTGTTCATTTGCTTTTAGGTATTCAGTCCCTACAGTTGTATCTCAAAGCTAAGGGAATTTGAGGAAGGGGTAGGACCACATAAGCTTTTGAGCTAGGAATGACATTGTGAGTCCTTCCTGGGCTTAAACTAGTCTAGAAAGTTTAAGAGAATTTATAGAGTGAGGTTTGGCTTTGTTTTTTCTGTTCTCTCCTATTACTAGGCTCTTTCTCTCTCCTTGCTGTTTCTGTCTCTTTCTGTCTCTGCCTCTATCTCTCTGTCTCTGTCTGTCTCTCTGTCTGTCTCTCTGTCTCTCTCTGTCTTTCTGTCTCTCTGTCTCTTTCTTTCTGTCTCTCTTTCTCTCTGTCTCTGTCTCTGTCTCTGTCTCTCTTTCTCTCTCTTTCTCTCTCCCCCCTCACCCCTGTCAATTAACTGAAGTCAGCCAGTGAGCATTTCTTCATTGCTTGCTGTATACATGACATTTTTCTAGGCACTGGTGATACAGAGATAACAATCAGATCCTGCCCTCAAGGAGCTTACATTTAATTGGGGAAAAGACAGTTATGCATAGAAAGTCTAATATGGAATGTATAAAAAAACAACTAATTCCACCAAGTCATCTTATAAAGAATCTAAGGGTTATCTATCCCATTGGACCCCCTAGAATTCTGCTCTAGTGACTTGGAAAACTGTATATTTGTTCTGCTCAGTTGATAGGCACTGGAGGAGGGGATTGTCTTCTGAGTGACTTCGGCAAAGTTAATTTTTTTAGTGAATTAAATGCATTCTTATGACATGTAAAACTTTCTTGTTAGCTATTAACTGAAAATAAAGTTCTTACATTCTCTTTTTAAAGTAAAGTGTACATATTTGGATAGAACATGGGTCAAGTCATGTCGAAAATTAAACAGATATATAATACTCTGATTTAAAAGCCCTTATCAAATGCCCCCACCACAAAATACTTATACTGTTAATAAGGTGCTATAGACTGTATTTTCTGGTCCAAGTTTTGTACTACTTAATGTAACTTTTCCTCTAAATTTGTCTTAATTAGTGAAATTTCATTGCATATCTACTGTATACAAAAGAACTATTATGGTCTAATCAATAATTGCCACCCCAAAGAGAGCCACCATATTTGTAATATATGGTGGTTCTTTCCCTTTGTTCTCCTTAGAGTATAAACCTAGTATAGCCCTTTGAGCATGGTTCTAAATTGCTTTCCAAAGTGGTTGGACTAGTTTACGGCTCCACCAACAGTGCATTAGTGTTCCTATTTTCCTGTGTCATCTCCAGCATTTGTTTCCTTTTCTATCATCTTAGTCAACCTGGTGGGTGTGAGGAGGCATATTGGAGTTGTTTGAATTTTCATTTAGCTAATTATTAGTGATTTGGAGCATTTTTAAGTGACTATTGATAGCTTTGACTTCTTCCTGTTCTTATCATTTGCTTATTTGTTCATAGGAGAATGGCTCCTATTTTTATGAATTTGGCACAGTTAGCTACATATTTAAGAAATGAGACCTTTGCCAGAAAAATTTGCTGCAAAAACTTTTTCCCAGTTTCCTGCTTTTCTTCTAATTTTGACTGAATTGGTTTTGTTTGTGCAAAAAAAACCAGCTTTTAATTTAGATTTGTTCTATACAACTCAAAGGAAAGTGAAGGATTTAATAGTCACAAGATAATTGCCAGTCCCCTAATTCCTGTAGCTTGTTTTATAGGGTCTATTTATTTATTTATTATTTTGGCTAGGCAATGGGGTTAAGTGACTTACCCAGGGTCACACAAGCTGGTAAGTGTTATGTGTCTGAGGCCGGATTTGGACTCAGGTCCTCCTGAATCCAAGCCAGTGCTCTATCTACTGCGCCACCCAGCTGCCCCTATAAGGTCTATTTATAATCTCTCCATTGTAATACATTATCGTTTTCCCTTTTGCAGAAAATGACATGTTGCATTTAAAGACCTTTATTGAGACTTTGACCAAAAATCTAGAGTCTAATGAGAAACAACGTGAGTATGATTTTCAAAAAAGAGATAATTTATACCTAGATAGTCCCTTATCCCCTTTCTCTGCAGTTAAATGACTATTCAACTACTTATTAAATGAGAATTTAGCATAAATAGCAACCACTTTTTATACCTTTTTTCTGTTTTAGAATGAATTTTGAGATAATCAGTATTAATTGATCAATTACTTTGTGTGAGACATTTTGTTAGCTGCTATTAGGAATATATAGATATATCTAGCTTGGTCTCCTCAAGAAGCTTATAGTCTAGCTATGAAGGCATGGCATAAATACAGAAGAGTTAATTAATGGTATAGTTAAATAATCATCCTGCTACAAGAGAGCACGTGACTATTTCCCAAAAGGGAGCAATAATAAGTGTTATGAGTTGAGAGAAGAAAAGGGATCTCTCTGAGTTAGAGAAGTCTAAGAAAGCTTCTTGGAAGAAGAGGGGACATGAGCTGGGCTTAAAGGCTGATAAGATTTGCTGGCTCAGGCTCTAGGGATGATAGGTCCAATTCGGTGAGTCAGATGATGATCAGAACAAGCTAGGAAAAATTATTTACTGGCTAAACTATTGCTTCCAGTCCTAAGCCAACCCAGAGTCATTTAAATAATGGCCCACTTTTTTCTTCTTCCTTAGAATTTTTTTTAGTTACTCTGAGCAATGGGTATGAAGTCAAAGGGGAGGGATGAGTGACAAAGAAAAGGATTTGGTTCACATTCGCCATGCTTCTAAAATGCCTGGATACACTTTGAGAGGCTCTGAAGCCAGCCTGTTTAATTTGGCCACTGTGAACTTTGACAGTTGAGCTTGTCCTTGTTTCCCACCTGGTTATAATCCGAACCCTAGGAAGCTGGGATAATATCTTGAGTCCCCAGTACTTCATTTGAACTTCATGATATAGATATAGATAGACAGACAGAAAAAAGCACAAAAGAATGTCCAGCCCTGGGCTACAAACCATATGTAGTCTGGGAGCTTGTGGCTAAATGCCTAGCCTCAAATCTTATGGTTACATTGTAAATGGTTATCTTCCACTAATTGTCAATCAGTTAATCTCAAGAAAAGGAGACTTGGCTTAAGGTCCCAGAGATGCTCATCCTGGAGAAGAGAAGGTTGGAAGAAAGGGAAGGGAGCAGATAGAAGATAGAATATGATAGCTCTTGTCAAGTCATCAAGTATTTGAAGGGCTGTAATGGGAGTGAAAGATTAGACTTGCTTTGTTTGGCCCCCAGGGGACAGAATGAGGAAGAATGGGTACAAGTTGTGAAGAAGCAAATTTAGAGTTGATGTCAAGAAAAACTAACAATTAATGCTATTCACAAATGGAAACCAACTGCCTTGGGAGATAAGTTTCCCCTGCACTGGAGGCCTACAAACAGACTGTGGATGACCACTTATTGTCTAGGCTGTAGTGAGGATTCCTATGTGAGTGTGAGTTAGACGAGATCATCCCCGAGGTTCCTTCTGTCTCTAAAATTCTGTCATTCTGTGGAGTCTCTGAGAAAAGTCCACACTTTAAATACAGCTTTGCGTATCTTTTTTTTTTGGGGGGGGAGAGCAGGATTAATTGCTGTTTCATTTATGATAACTTAATAAAATATCACCCCAGTGGTGAATCACCAGAAGAGATGAGTGTGCATGTGTGCATATGCATACACATACACACATATAAATACACACGTATATGTGTGATACATATTTTATGGCAAACAACAGTATATACACATACATATATGTACATATGTGTGTATGCATATTCTATCAGCCTGAAGGCTAGTTCAGGCAGGTCCAAAATTCAGTAACTCCCCCTCTAAGCTTTTTTATGTTTGTTTAGGTTCACCCACTTAGCCAGATATGGTGGTATATAGCTGTAGTCCATGCTACTGGGAAAGCTGATGCTGGTAAATCTTTTGAGTTCAGGAGTTCCAAGCTGCAGAGGGGGCTAAAGTTGAATGGGTGTTCACACTAAGTCTGGCACCAATATGGTGGATCTCTGGGAGCTAGGGGACTACCAGGTGGGGCAAGTTGACAGGTCAGAAACAAAAGAGGTCAAAGTTTACATACTGATTTGCAATTGTATAGGGCCCCCTGAGTGACCACTGCACTTCCAGCCTGATAGGGAGACCCAGCTCCAAAAAAGTATTCACTAACTCAATAATTTTACCTTTTGATTTGTATGCACATATAGGATTAGGAAGTGCTTGTAACATTATCAACAGTATCATGGATGGGAAAATCAAAGTTAGTAAACTGGCATCTGTTCTTGAGAGTTTAGGAATCATTTTAACGTTTGAAGAGATTAAAGAAGCATTGAAAAACATTGAAATTGATGGTGAGTATTTTAGCTTTGTCTCAGCATATATAAGTATGTGTGTTTTTTTCCAGGGGCACTACAAAAATTTCAGTCATTCCTCCAAGGTCTTTAATAATTAGACTGTGGAGGGGTGACTGTGACAGGTAGGAATGTCATTTTTATCTTGTTTGTTGTGTTAAAGTTTTATCGATGCCTTTTATTTTTATATCACTGCCATTTCTAGATATGTCCCTGATTCCACCACTACCAGTGAGTTTTGTAACAAGGAAAAAAACAGTTAAGAAAAACCAGATAGCTCAGTGACCCCTAAATGATGGTGTATGCAACAGTACATATCAAGAGGCCCCAACTTCTCTAACAAAAGGAGAGAGGAGGCCCATTTCTTTATTTCTTTTCTAGGGCCAAGATTCATCTTTATAGTTATACAATGTTTAGCTTCATTTTATTGTTTTTTTATTTGCATTATTTAGTCATTGCATATATTGTTTTCCTGGTTCTGCTTACTCAACTTTTCCTAGAACCTGTATGGCAAGAACATGGTGCAGTTCAGCATTCATGATGGCACTGTTGCTATCCTTGTCAAAAACTCACAGCCCCTCCACAAAGTTTTCACAGGTTCCCTGGACCTTGTTGCAAGAGCTGTGCTGCAGGATGGGCAAGAATGTCTCAAAGTCCAGCATTTTGATATTCATTACTTCAAGGAAATGGATTAGGGGAAGAGAGGAAGACAGGAGTTAAGGTCAGCAGCAGGGAAAGTCCACAGCAAATAGAGACTTTATCACCAGCTCTACCAAGCCAGGAACTAACCTAACCATAGGCAAATGACAATGCCACACCGACAGAAAGAGGCCACCTCTAGGGCAGAGACATAGAGATAGTGACCCTGCAGAATATACTAAAGCCAGATGAGGCAACTGGGAATAGGGGCCTCTGATAGTGGGAAATGTGGAAGAGGGATTAGATCCAGATTCCAAAAGGACACCCATGTTCCCATCTTCATAACACCAACTCACTCCCTGCCTCAGTAGATATGCCTAGTAGAAATGACATCAAGGGGCAGGTAGGTGGCGTCAGACCTAAAGTCAGGAGTACCTGAGTTCAAATCTGGCCTCAGACCAAACACTTGACACTTACTAGCTGTGTGACCTTGGGCAAATCACTTAACCCCAGTTGCCTTAAAAAAAAATGACATCAGTATGTCATACATCAAAGGTTCCCAAACTTATTTGACCTACTGCCCCCTTTAAAAAAAATTACTTAGCACCGCTCTAGAAATCTACTTTCTTTAACTCTAACTTTTTTTATGTCATTTCAAAAAAGTATTTTATATTTATATATATTTATGTAAAATATTTTTGAAATGATATCTTAAATTTAATAACTTATTGTAAATTTGTGGGGTTTTTTCCTGCATTGAAATTTTGATGATGCAGTATTATGTCATGTAACCATATAGTATCATATTGTAAACAAGTCATCACATGCATATATTTCTGCCAATGCATGCTGGACTTCCTGCCAACATGCAACACACTTGCCTGCCAACACTTACTTGTTAAGACCTGTTGGTGGACTTGACCACTGATCTGTTATAACTTGCATTTTGTGTGTCTATTTGAAAAATAATGTAATTACTACAACTTTAACTCTGTTATACAACAGATAAAACATGTACAAATGATTTTTTGAAATTTTCTTATCTTCTTTTCTTTCCTTATGTTTCCACTGCCCCCTTATTTTTATTCAATACCTCCCAGTTATACTTGAGGCTACTACTGCCCCCCATCTTTCCAGCATCCCCAAGGGGGTGGTGTCTCCTGCTTTGGGAACCTCTGTATAGACAAACTCCCAGTCCCCACAGCTCTCTCCTCTTTATAGCCCCTCAGCCCTTGCTAAATTTTCTTGAAGGGTCAATTGATATTAAAGTCAGAGTGAAAGAGGGAGGTAGACAACTAGAGGAACAAGAAGGGGAGAGGGAAGAGGGTCTGGAGAAAGATGCTAGTTTTACCCTGATATTGTTGAATGGGGGAGTTGGGTGGAGGCAGTGGTTTTTCCACCTGCTGCAAGGATCTGGGACTGAAGTAGATATTGTTTTGGAGAAGATTTAAAGTGTGCAGGAATCATTGGTTATTTAACAAGGTTTCATGGAATGTCTACAGTGTTCACAATCTTATATTAAAATTGGGACACTAATACATTGTTGGTGGAGTTGTGAACTAATCCAACCATTCTGAAGAACAATTTGGAACTATGCCCAAAGGGCAGTCAAACTGCATACCCTTTGATGCAGCAATACTGCAATTCTGTACTAAACCTTTTAGGTCAAGTTCAAGGTAGACAAACTCTGACCTCATAATTTTACATTCTAATTGGTGGTCCAAACCAATAAAACTACTTGGGAACAATTCCAGCAACTTGTAATTAAGTGGGAAATCATAGGGTGCAAATTAGAGAAGTATTTGTGTGTTAGAGAGACATATAGGTCTTTAGGTTTAGGGAATACCCACTAATGGAAGGACAGAAATGAGATGGAGGCTTGTGGTATAGACCAGAAAAGGATTCTTAAAGAAAGTGAGTGATGATCTAATTCTTAAAGGGAATGGAAGGAAGGGGAGAGAAAGGAAAGTCCAGATGGGAGGGACTGGTTTGTGCAAAGGAGCAGCTGTTCAATGCCTGGTGTAGTCTGGATATGGGAAGGCAGCAGAAGAACTGGAGTTTTGATATCCTTGGCCTTGATTTTGACCTTGATCTTTAGGCTTGGATTTACCCACTACATAGAGAACCTTGGCATTGGCAAGATTTTTACTCAGGGCACGTAGCATATACTTGTACTTGCCTAGATGTGATCTTCACCTCTTCATTTGGTGTCCAGTAAAACTGTGAGAAAGTCTCTTTGAATTCAGCATAGAAAGGGCATAGCTAGAACCATTCTTGTACCAAATGGAGGATCATAGGACCATAGGTCTCATTGGCTCATAGATCGAGAGGTTAAAGGAGCCTCATCTAGCCCAACCCTCTCATTTTATACATGGGAATATAGAGGCTCAGGACAGTTCAGTTAGTTGTTGTCACAAAGGTAATTATTATCAGTGGTGGACTTCCTCTGACTCCAGAGGCAATGATGCTCTTTCTTCTCTAACCCCATGGTCCAGGTCTTACTACCAAAGTGGTCAATAGTCAATCTTATAATTCCCATACTCCTTACACTTGGGGTTGGTTATGTAAGAGCCACAACTACCTGAGTGGTAGATGATAACTCTCTTGATTGATTAGGACCCCATGGGCTGCTCTGAGTCTGTGGGTCCTTGAGTTAATTCCCTTAACCTCTATAGATGTTAATGTCATCTGTAAAATGGACCAAATAATCTCTTAAGTGCACTTTCAACTCTTAACGTCATCACCCTATGAGTAATTCTCACATTATTTTTATTCTCACTTGATTTATCTATTTATTCATCCACTTATTTATTCATTCATTTACTTGTTTATTTGTTTGTTGTTCATTCTCACATATTTTCTCAAACAGCTCTTAATTTGAGCTAGTCTCTGTACTACAAAGGGAAGTAGAGGATTGGCAATAAGGCAGTCTCTGCTTTACTTTTTAAGCTGTTGACCTAAATTTTCAAGATCCACTTGCCTCTCCATTGGGATGGCTGAACTGTGATGTTTTCTCTCCTTTTGTAGACAATGATATGGTGCATTTTAAGGACTTTATCAAAGAACTGGCTGAGGATGATCTATTTTGCCCTTATGAAAGTGAGTATTAATATAAAACTGGGTTGATTTAAATCTTCCCATTCCTTTATTGGTGGAGACTTTATGGTTGATGTAATTTATAAAGTAAAAATTTTATAAGAATTCCACCAATGCCATTAAAGGCATTTTATTAAATGGGAAGATGGTCTTATATGGTAAGCTAGGAACTCTGAAACCTTTGCTAGACTTTTTTCCATATTTTTGTGTTAATGTTTTCTTCATTTAACCAATCTAATATTTATTGATAGCCTGGAAAACATAAGCTATTCTGCTAGGTACTATGGGGGCTACATATATAAAGTTCCATCAGACATGAACCCTGCCCTCAGGGAGCTTACAATCTAATTGAACAGACAAAAGTAGGAAGAGTTAGTGCAGGAAAGTTACATGACTCTTCAAAAGAAGATAATGATAATGCAAGATAATGCTTTTAAATGATATACAGCAGTATGTAATTAATTTCCTAATTCTTTTTGTTTGTTTGTTTTGTTTTGTTTTGTTTTTGGTGAGGCAATTGAGGTTAAGTGACTTGCTTAGAGTCACACAGCTAGTAAGTGTTATGTGTCCGAGGCCAGATTTGAACTCAGGTCCTCCTGACTCCAGGGCCAGTGCTCTATCCACTGCACCACCTAGCTGCCCCAATTTCCTAATTCTTAATGACTGGTATGGATAATAAATACTATGGGTTCTGAAAAAGGAGAGATCTCCGTGGGCTGGTGTATTTTTGGAAAGCTTCATTAAGGGAGGAATTAGTCCTTGAAGGAATCTAAAAGTAGAACTGTCCATAAAGAACTTGAAGGCTGGCACTTCATGTTTAACTCTAGATTATTTTGCATTGCTGCACAGTATTCATTTTTAAATAAGTTGATATAAGTACTAATCAATCATTCTAAGAGGAAGAACATGTGTGAATTCTTACACTTTAAACATGGCAGATCCATTCTTACGGAAGAAGCACTGGCTTTTAAGTTAGAAGAACTGAGTTCATATCCTAGCTCTGATCATTACTTGCTTTGTAACTCTGTCATCACTTTAAAAAAACTATCTGTATCTCAATTTCCTCATCTGTAAAATGGAGAACATGACCTCCTTCACAGGGTTATACTGAGAATGGCTTATAAACCTTAAGATATTATATGAATGTGAGCTATTGGTTATATTAAAATAATGCTTTCATTAGTATCTTCTTGAAAACAATGACATTTTATTATAACAATGATATCTAACATTTATATACTACTTTAAGGTTTACAAAGCACTTTACAGATGGTATCTCACTTTATTCTCATCTTGACTCTGGAAGGTAGATGTTATCATTATTTCTACTTTAGTCATGAGGAAACGAAGGTTAAGTGGTTTGCTTAGGTTCATGCAGTTAGGAAGTGTCTGAAGGAAAGATTTGAAATCAGGTCTTTCTGATTTCAGGTCCGGTACTCTGTATCTACTACTGTACCACCTAGCTGGTACCAAGCAGGTGCATGTGGTATCTTTCAGTTCCTGGGTTACCTGAGGCCCCACACCCAAGAATCCCTCCCATAGAAAAATTGATATATTCCCCAAACAGGGATTTTTGTGGCTTTTTTCCCTTAAGACTCATCATCTTCTTTGTTTTACACTTTGATTTGAACACGCACATAGAAATAGAATGTGTCTGCGAGGTAGTCTCCAATGTCACTGATGGGAAAATTAAGATGTCTGAACTGCTACCTACCCTAGAAAGCTTCGGGATTCACATACCTGAAGATGAGCTTAAAAGAACACTGAATTCTATGGGTATTAAAGGTGAGTGAAACTAACAGTGATTTGTTCAGAGTATAGAAGAGGTATACAATATGCTTTCTCATGACAAAACTAATCTTTTAGTCATATGTTTGAGTTGTGAGGGGAGGAATGTGATGGAGAGAGAGAGAGAGAGAGATGATAGATGGATGGATAGATAGATAGATAGATAGATAGATAGATAGATAGATAGATAGATAGTAGATAGATAGATAGGATAGATAGATAGATAGATAGATAGATAGATAGATAGATAGATAGATAGATAGATAGATAGATAGACAGACAGACAGACAGACAGACAGACAGATAAACAGATAGATAGACTGATGTGCTTTGGGCCAAGCACTGCAGATATACATATAAGCAAGCAGGACTGTCCTGGCCTTCAAAGACCTTAGATTTCAAAGGGGAATCTAGTGTGGAAAGAGAATTCATAAAGGGGAGCTAGAAAGGGTGGAACAGATTGTTGAAATGGACCGGTTCCTCTTTTAGAAAACGGAGTGGAGAGTATTACGCTCTGCAGCCACCTTCTCTGACAACATGCCCCTCGTATTCAACTTTTTGATTCAATTTGATTCAATGACAAACATTTATTAAGCACCTACTATGTGTTAGACACTGTAATAGGTACTGGGGATATAGTCTCTGCTCTCAAGGAGTTTATGTTCCTGTAGGGAATCTTTGCTAACTTACTGCAAAATGTCACACAGATTCCTCCCTCTTCTCTGCTTTAGCTGTGAGCTGTCTTACCTGAGGCCATTTATCACCCACACAGCTTCTTTGAATCTGAAAACTAGGCATGTTTGAGAGATCTTTAGAACCACAGTAAAAGTTTTAGTTCTGGACAGCACAATGGGACCTTTCAGGACTTGGCTGGTTTAGAAAATCTGGAATGAGCCCATGGAGCACAAGTTGGTTTTAGCTCCTCTGTTCTCCATCCCATATTCTACCAAGCCTAGGTGCCTTCTTGCACACACTTGAGGGTGATCCATCCACATGTGCTTTGAAGGTCAGAGAGGCTGCAGGGTACCTCAAGAACCCAACTCCATTCTGATGACTCAGAATCCCCAAGAAGATTTGGAAATGCTCTGCTTTTCTGATTGCTAAGGAAAGGGATTAACTTCTGTATTTAGAGCTGTCCTCTGCTAAAAACAAAACAAAAAACCCTGGAAACTAAGGGGGTGTGTTAATTAAGGAATGGCTAAACAAATTGCAGCATATGACTGTAATGAGATGTTATTGTTCCATAAGAAAGGATGAAATGGACAATTTCAGAGGAAATTGGTCAGACCTCTGTGAACAAATGTAGAGTGAAGTGAGCAAAACTAGAACAATTTTCACAATGATAACAACATTATGGAGAAAAAGACTTTAGAACTCTGATCAATTTAGTAAACCACAAATACAAAAGACTTTCTGCCAGAACATGATGCACTTAAAATCCAGAATGAGACACATAGTTTTGGACATGGCCAATGTGGGAATTTGTTTTGCTAGACTATGTATATGTGTTGTTTTGTAAAGGTGGAGGGAGGGAGGTCCAGTGGGAGGAAGAGATAATAATTGCCTGAAAGAAGGAAGAAGGGAAAATGAAAAGGAAGGAAGGAAAATGGAAAGAAAATTATCATATAAGCCCCAGAAGTAGTCCTAAAGGCTTTTGGGTTGCTTTGGGTGGAGGCTGATGAAACCTTCCATCCCCGGCACTATCTAAATTCAAAATATGTGTCCAAGAATGCCAGCTTTTATTGTAGAACTAACTGGGAGGAAAACTCATGTGAAGTATTGATAAACTTGAGAAAAGCAAGGTATAGTAGAAAAAAAACAGCGTGTAAAGTCAAAGGACCTGAGTTCAAATCCAAGGTCTGCACTTACCAGCTCTGTGTCCTAGTTCCTCAGGTGGCTAATCAATTAGAATCTTTTTATACAATGGGTACCATGCCTTGTGCTACGGGGATAAAAAACAAAAACTCACAGTGTTGTCCTTAAGGAATTTGTAGTTAATTAATTACATCCTGTGGGCAGTCAGGTGGCACAGTGGATAGAGCACCATTAGCCTTGGATTCAGGAGTACCTGAGTTCAAATGTGACCTCACACACTTACTTAGCTGTGTGACCTGGGCAAGTCACTTTTAACCATTTGCCTCAGTTTCCTCATCTATAAAATGAGCAGGAGAAGAAGATGGCAAACCACTTCAGTATCTTTTCCAAGAAAATCCCAATAGGGTCACAGACAGTCAGATAGAACTGAAAAAAAATGACTCAACAACAACATTCTACTCTGTCATTCTCATCCATGAAATGAGGGAGTTGGACAAGATGTTTCTATGGTCTCTTGTATGTCTAATTTCTAGGGATTTTATGGCTTTATGATGATCAAACTTCAGCACTAAAAGAGACTTGGGAGCTATCTAGTCCAACCCTCATTTTACAGAAAAAGAGATTGGGCCGGGGAGGTAAAGGCATTTATTTGATTCTACATACCTATTTAATGGCAAGCCTAGGAGTCAAATCCAGCTCTCCTGATATGTAAGCTGCCGCTAGGAAAAAGAACTAACCCATATTGTACTGTTATATCAGGTCTTTGTGGGTAGACAGAGATAGATAGAGAGATAGAGAAATAGACAGACAGAGAGATAGAGAAATAGACAGACAGACAGATAGGTAGATAGACAGATAGGCAGACAGACAGACAGATAGATAGGTAGATAGATAGACAGACAGATAGGTAGACAGACAGATAGGTAGACAGATAGATAGATAGATAGATAGATAGATAGATAGACAGACAGACAGACAGACAGACAGACAGACAGACAGACAGATAGATAGACAGACAGATAGGTAGATAGACAAACAGACAGATAGGTAGACAGACAGACAGAAAGGTAGATAGATAGATAGATAGATAGATAGATAGATAGATAGATAGATAGATAGATAGATAGATAGATAGATAGGATTTCAGGATCCATAACTTGATCATGACTCCAGTGGTATGCTGAAGCCAGCTTGAATCAGCTCTCAAGAGATGATTGTTAAATGTAATCATTTGCACTTCAGAAAATGGCAAATGCTACAGATCAAGACTTGATTATTGTTGTTTATTTGTAGACTCAAGAAAGTATTTATAATGTAGGGGAAAGCTAGGTGACACAGTGGATAGAGCACTGGCCCTGGAGTCAGGAGGACCTGAGTTCAAATTTGGCCTCAGACACTTGACACTTACTGGCTGTGTGACCCTGGGCAAGTCACTTAACACCATTGCCTAGCAAAACAAAAAAAAAAAAGAAAGTTTTAATAATGCAGATTAAAGTTAAAAGTATATAGTGGTATGTTTACTTTTTTTGGAGAGCCAGTGGTTAAGCATTGACCTACCAACATATTCTGGGTATACCCAAACCCATATAATAGCAATCTGTGTTGTACTACATTTCAAAAGGAAAATTTAATTGCTTCAATTATTTTTGATGAATGACTACTACTTATTGCTAAGCACAGGCTCTATTTGATGCTCTGTATTGAAAAAGAAAAAACTACCCCCCCTTCCTTTAAAAAAAAAAAAGTCATTCAAGTCCCTTTATAAGCTGCCTTCTCTCCCTTTTCAATCTTCTTGCATCCCAGTCACAGTAACCTCCTTGATGTTCTGAACAGGACACTTCATTTGCTGGCTCCAGGCAATTTGTCTGGCTGTCCCTCATGCATGGAATACTCTCCCTCTTCATGTCTGCCTCCTGGTTTCCCTGGCTTCCTTTAATTTCCAGTTAAAGTCTCACTTTTGATAGGAAGCCTTTCTAAATCCCTCCTAATTCTAGTACCTTTCCTCTGTTGATTTTTTTTCTTATTTATTCTGTATATAGTTGGGTTTTTTTTTTAACATGTTTGTTTGCATGTTGTTTCCTCCACCAGATTGCGAGTTCCTTGAGGGCCAGGAACTATCTTTTACCTTTCTTTGTATCTCTAGCATTTAACACAGTTACCTGGCACATAGTGACACTTAATAAATGCTTATTAACTGACTGATTGATTAACTGTTATGGAGCTGTGAAATGAGTTAACCATTCTGTAAAGCAATTAAGAATTACGTGAAGAAAGATACCAAAATGTCAGTACGCTTTGCCCTAATACTTCACTGCTAGGTATATTCCCTCTGAATCTGTGTGTGTCTGTCTATTATCCCTCTGTGTTCAATTTTATTTTAGTTTTAGTTCTGAATTATCTCCTCCCCTCCCCTACTCATTGACAAAGCAAGAAAAATAAAACCCATTACCAATATGCATAGTTTTGCAATATGAATTCCTGTATTAGCCATATCCAAAAAATAAAGAAAAAGAAAGAGAAGAAAATATGACTCATTCTGCTATGTTCATCAGCTCTGTTTGAAAGTAGATCACATGTTTAGTTGTAGTAATTTGGAATTGTGATTGTTCATTGTGCTGATCAGAGTTACTAAGTCAAAAATGGTTATCTTTATAATATTGCTGTTATTGTATAAATTGTTCTCCTAATTTGCCCACTTCACTTTGCATCAGTACGTATGAGTCTTCCCAGATTTTTCTGAAACCATCCCCTTCATCATTTTGTGTAAAAGTTGTATGTTGTTCACATTCCCCTAAGTAAATACACACACACACACACACACACACACACACACACACACACATACTTCTAGTCAGTATAGTAAGTATAGTAAGTAGCCAATATAAAGGGACAATAGCAAGAAATAAGATTGCAAAGGGGAACCTTGAAAGTCACATACAAACCATCCCAAAGATCAAAGGAGCATAGTTTGTAAATTGTACCATATATTAACCAAAATTCACGTCCTGGTAATATGCGCTGAATTAGGGGAAGCCATTTAGGCACTGCTATTGGGGTTTCTGGTCCTATGATATGTAAATACCAGGCAAATTCCAGACCTTTACAGTTCCAGACTAGTAGAACATCATAACTGTTTAAAACATTGACATGACAACTTTAAAAGTTTTTTTCACCTCTTTGAAATTTTGAAAAATATTTTAATTAAATGTAGAAACAGTTTTAACATTTATTTTTAAAATTTTGAGTTCCAAATTCTCTTCCTCACTCTCTCCCTTCTCCACTCATTGAGAAGACAAGCACTTTGATATACTTAACATGTGTAGGCATGCAAAACATATTTCCATATTAGTCATGTTGTGAAAGAAAACATGAACCAAAAAAAAAAAACAAGAAAAATTTTTTAAGAATTAGAAGTAGGATTCAATCTACATTTAGATTCCATCAGTTCTTTCTCTGGAGTTGGATAGCATTTTTCATCATGTCTTTCGAAATTGTCTTGGATCATTGTGTTGCTGAAATAGCCAAGTCAGTCATAGTTGATCATTGTACACTATTGCTGTTACTGTGTACTCAGGTCACCTGGTTTTGCTCACCTCACTTTGTATCCGTTCACATGGAAAGTCCAGGATTTTCTGTATGCATCCTGCTCGTCATTTCTTATAGCACAATAGCATTCCTTCACAAACATATACCACAACTTGTTCAGCCATTCCTGGATTGATGGGAATCCCATCAATTTCCAATCATTTGCTCCTACAAAAAGAGCTGCTACAAATTTTTTTACACATAGGTCCTTTCCCTTTTTCTTTGATCTCTTTGGGATAGTGGTCACATTGCTGGGTCAAAGGATATACATGGTTTTGTAGGCCTGTGGGCATAGTTCCAAATTACCCTCCAGGGTGGCTGGATCACAACTCCACCAACAACGCTTTAGTGTCTCAATTTTCTCCTCTCCCCTCCAAGATTTGTCATTTTCCTTTTCTGTTGTATTGGCCAATCTGATAGGTGTGAGGTGGTACTCAGAGTCATTTTAATTTGCATTTCTCCAGTCAATAGTGATTTAGAGTATTTTTTCGTATGACTACAGATAGCTTTGATTACTATATCTGAAAACTTCCTGTTCTTCTGACCAGCCTCCTCCAATAAGCCCTCCCTTTTGTTTGCCCCTTCCCCTTTGTCGTATCTCCTTCCCTTCCTGCTTTCCTGTAGTGTAAGATGGATTTCTGTTACCAACTGAGTGTGTATATTATTCCCTCTTTGAGCCAATTCCTATGAGAGTAAGGTTCAGACATCATCCACCCTCCCCCCATTCTTCTTCTCCACTGTAAAAGGTCTTTCCACATCTTTTATGTGAGACAATTTTTCTCCCTTTTTTTTTCCCCTTCTCCGAGTGTATCCCTCTTTTTTTCCTTTTCTTTTTTCTCATGCATTTTCTAGATTGTTGTGCAGGTATGTTTCCTCTCTTTGCCATCTTGACTCTGCCCCCTAGGTATATTCTCTAAGGAAATCACTGACAAAAAGAAAGGCCTCATATGCACCAAAAAAAAATTTATAGTAGTACTTCCTGTAGTAGCAAAGAACTAGAACCAAAGTAGAGCAAACTCATTGACTGGGGAATGGCTAGACAGGTTGTGCTGCATGAATGTAATATTACTGTTCTTCAAGAAACAATGTGATGAATACAGAGAACCACGGGAAGACTCATATGAACTGTTGCAAAGTGAAGTAAATAGAACAAGGAAAACAATATACACAGTGACTACAACAATGCAAATAAAAAGAACAACAAAACCACCAGAGCCGGATGCTGCAAAATTATAGTAACCAAATTTGGCTCCAAAGCAGAGACCAGCACACTTTCTTTGTAGACTTGGGTGACTAAGTGTATGGAATACTATATATAATGTCATATTTTAATATTATGTTGGTTAGCTCTGCTGAACTCCTTTTCCTCCTTCTTTGTAAGTTCTTTGTTATAAAGCATGGTTGTCTAGGAGGGAGGTGATATAAAAACAAAAGATATCAATAAAAACATACTTTAACATTTCTAAGTGACTTATAATTAACATTTAACTTATATATGCAAATAGGTATTATTGAAGTATTTGACTTAAGTTCCTTAAGTAAGGGTTATATATTTTGGTAATCATTTAACTGATAAAAGATAATTTTTTTTGAGACAGCACCTCCTAATGATACATATTTTAATGGAGGTCATATATGTACATATATACACATATATACACACATGTGTGTATGTAGAATCTTTTTGTCAGCAACTATATATGTAATATATGTGTAAATATGTGTAGATATGTGTGTATCTCTATAACATACACATACATATACATATATATACATATACATATATACATATATATGTGTCTTTGAAAGGAGTTTCTACTCAATTACTTGGTCTCTTATGTGCATTTCTTACAATAGGAAATATAAAAGAGTATTTGACAGGAGCTCTTATGTTAGTTGTGGGTCAAGCACATGCTGTCACTTTTCTAAATGGCAGCTTTCATTTCTCTGAACAATAATATAATTTGTGTCTATGAGATATGAGTGTGCACATTCTGCTTATGGAATTTAATGTTATAAAATTTCAAATGATATTAGAGTGATTAAGGAGATAACAAACCAAGAAATTGGAAGTAAATAATTATCAAATTTTTTTCTGGTTAGGTTTTCATTTGGAATTGCTCTATCCAAATGAAAGGGATATTGAACGTCGAATTCATCAATTAATTAACAATTTCCCACTTTAGCTTGTGCATTGTATACTTGGCTTTATAGAATCTCCAATGGATTCTTCTATGGTTTTTTCCCTTTTTTTATAGATGATGGAATAGTAGACTTATGTCAGTTTATTCATTTGTTTATCAATGACAAGATAGAAGAGACCCCACGTAAGTATGAATTTCAAAACTAGTATCACTGAGGTCAGGTTTGGGAGAGCAGTTCAGGTGTGAAAGAATTCACTTAGATCAAGTTCTCTTAGCCATTCATCGGGAGCTTAATTTAATGTGTAAGCAACACAGGCCTTCCTTAGCAAGAAAGCTAAGTGATATTTGGCGGAATTATGCTTATATGATGTTCAGGATGATGATGTATTTTTAGGGTTCTGTAGTGGTTAAAGATAAATACAGGATAAGGAAGACAGGCAAATTTAATGACACAGGATGAGGGAGTTGGTTGCTTACAAGATAATGAGGAATTTATGACACAGAATGAGGGGAAAATGACTTTAGGACACTCTCAAGTTACAGGATGGGCTATAGAATAAGCCCCACTCCCGCCCCCTCAAGAGGATCTTCACAAAGTACTGGAAAAGCAACCCTTAATATTCTTTTTAACCCTTAGGGCACCATATGCTATATCCACATCAGTATTGGAGAGCTAAAGTTGGAGATAATCTTTAAAGTTATCCAATATGGCCCAAAATCACACAGGGAATACATGGCAGATCATTCAACTCCACAATGTCTCTCACATCGATTGAAGCCTTCCCATACCTGTTGTGTACAAGGGTCACTTGATCCTCTAAATGCCAGCATTCTCTGGTGGAAGCATACTCACAAAAAGGGGAAAGACCTATGAAAATGTTGTTAAGGATGTAGCCATCATTGACTTGGTGACTGAGAGTAATCACTGCCCAAGCCTTTTGGTATGTTGTACATACATAGACCTCCAGCTTCTTAATGTACAGTCTAATACACAAAATTCTCCCCAGGGACAGCCACAATAAAATGTAGCTCAACCACAGATGTACTCAGAGAACCTGTGGCCCAGCATCACCCACAAGACATCCATCTCTCCCCTTTGGCAACTTCCTTCCAGAGGTTTTTACTCACTGTGGGGAATGGGAGAATCACCCCAATTGTATGGTTTAGTTTGGATTTACATTGATTTTTAAAGGAAGGATCTTCTAGGAATCTTCTGTTCTTTATTTATGCCTATCTTTTTATTTTCAAGGAAGAAATACTTTAACTATGGTAATTTAATGATACTTCACCTGATTGCTATATTGGCAAAAATTGCACAAAGTTTTTGCAATTGAAAACTAAAGCATATACAGAAATCAGTTCTCAGAGTACCCCAGAATGATGTCCCCAACCCAAGAAAATTGTTCTAGAAAATGAGTGCATGCCTGAAATCACTTCTATAGATTTATTCAACCTCACCAACTCCATAGCTTTATCCTCTTGTTTACACATGTATAAAGGAATAGAAGATATATGTGAAAAGATTTCAAATATTACTGAAGGAAAAGTCCACACTGTTGAAGTTCCATCTACCCTGGAGGTTTTGGGGTTCAACATATCTGATGAAGATGTTCAAGAAGCTATGAAAGGTCTTAACCCTGATGGTGAGTACTTAACTCTCTCTTAGTCTATTTACTTAGAATACATAAGGATGAGTGTTCTTTCTAGTAGCAAAGCTAAAATCTCATCATTCTGATAAGGACAAAAAGAGATGGATGGGCTGACTATAGAAGTGGGCTTAACTTGGACCATGTTTCTTCTTCCAAAAGGGGAATGGGAGGAAATATCTTGGGGAAGCTCTGAGGGCTGTAGTGATTGAGAGTTCAATCAATGGCCCAGAAGTTGCCCCCATGTTATAATATAAAGAATTAGTGTAAATCTTGTATATTAATATGCTTTTTTTTCTGTGTTCCATTAGTTCTTGGAGGCCTCCATCTTTGATTTGTTTTAAAATCATCATCCTTAATGATTTTCTTCTCTGGTTTTCTACATTGGTGTGCGATTCTGTGATGTTTTATTACTAAATTACTTCCCCACAGAGCTCCTAATGACATGAAATTTGCTATTTCTAACTTGAGGTTGTTTCATTTCATACATCACTTTATGGGTACTGAACACCCCAAAATGTACTTTTAAGTCCAGGGAAGCACAGAGATATACTTTTGAATTGTGTTAATGAGATTATTCCCAGCCTTCCAGGTGCCACTATAATTTCTAAAATCATGCTGCTTGTCTAATTCTGCCATAAAATTAATATTATAACATTTTGACAGACTATCCCCCAATAAATAACAAATAGACATTTCTCATGGAAAACAGGTAGTCCCTTTATTGAACACAGATATCTGAAATATATATATATATATATATGTATGTTAATATATTTATATATGATAAAAATAAATTTTATGACATATTTTATATAAAATTTATAAATTCATAAAAATATAAATGTTATAATCATATATATATACATATATATATATATATATATATGTATGTATATTTTGCATTGCCTGGCCCAGTGAATGGAAAATAGACTCCTCATCTGACCCAACACCCCTAGCCACATACAGGCATTAGAATTACAGGGAATACTGATGTTTTTGAGAACCATCTGGACAGTGAGCCATTTGCTAAGAGATAGATGATATCATTGTTCATGATTTCTGTACAGTTGTGGAAGAGTCTTGCTCTCTGAAACATGGCTAATTTCTTCCTTCTATTTTTAGACAGGATAATGGGCTTGATTATTCAATGATCATAGGTAATTTCATGCTAGGATAAAACTTTCTGTATTAGCGCGTTTTACATAGAGATAGAAAATTTAGTGGATAACTAAATTAGTATATTTAAAAGATTATCCTATAATAAAGCGATTAAGACTTTTGTGGGGCAGCTAGGTGGCATATTGGATAGAGCACTGGCCCTGAAGTCAGGAGGACCTGAGTTCAAATCCGGCCTCAGACCAAACACTTGACACTTACTAGCGGTATGACCCTGGGAAGTCACTTAACCCCAATTGCCTAACAAACAAACAAACAAATTTTTTGCTTGTCTCAGGGAGATAGATATAGGATCAATAGATGAAAGTTACAGTGAGGTAGGTTTTGACTCAACATAAGCAAAAGAGCTTCCTTACAATCAAAATCACTCCAAAATGGAATGGGTCACTTTGGAAAGTATTGCCTGTCACTCAAAGTGTTCAAGTAGAAAGAGGTTGGATGACCAGTTGTTCATAGTATTGTAGGTAAAGTACAACTATACCTTTGTTAAGGCTGGTAACTAATAACCTCTGAGGTCCCCTATAACTCTCAAAGAGAATTGAGTATAGTCTAATTTTGAAAAAGAAAAAAGTATATAAAGCAAGGGAATAGGAAGATTGGCACCTAAATTAATTTGAGGAATAGTTGTTTAGAGATTTGTCTACACAGAACAAAAAAAATCATTGTAAGTGTTCTATTTTACCTTGTACATTGGAGAATAGGCTTTTTAAAGACCATTTCTTACTACACGGGAATATCTGAATTTGGAGATTTTATTTTTTCACTTTTGCAGAACAAGGACATCTTGATTTAAGGACATTGGTAAAGAGAATATCTCTAAATGCCGATCCTGAGGGAAACGAAGGTAAGTATAAATTTCTTTCTATCTTCCTTCCTTTGTTCTTTCCTTTCTTTTTCTTGCTCTTTTCTTCTTTCCTTCCTTCTTTCTCCTTCCCTCCTTCCTTTTCTTTCTTCTGTTTCCCTCTTTCCTTTCTTCCTTCCTTCCTTTTTTCCTTTCTTTCTCCAGACCTATGAATCCATTGGTTTATGGACCTCCCCAGTGAGAAAATTCCTTCTTCCAATGTGGAACGACACCTGTTCAGTAACTTCATAGTCTTAAATAATTGCCTGCAGTACAAGAGGGACTTGCTGAGGATAACACAATTGTTACATTTCAGAGGTTTTCCTAACTCCAAGGCCAGTTCTCTCAGTGTCACTGGAACACAGAATACATAGGGATGGGAAGGGTAAGGTATAAGAAGACTAGAAATGTAGGAAGGGATCAAATTATGAAAGGCTTTAAAATCCAAACAGAGAATTATATATTTTATCCTGGAGGTGATACAGAGCAACTGCAGTTTATTGAATAAAGGAATGACATGGTCAGAACTGTGCTTTAGGAATATCACTTTGGCAACTGAGTACAGGGTGGATTGGAATGAGCAAAGACTTGAGGCCAAGACAACAGAAGCCCATTGCGTAGTTTAGGCATGGAATGATGAGGGCTTATACCAGTATGTTGGCAGTGTCAGAGCAGAGAAGGGGGTGTATGGGAGAGCTGCTAGAGTAGAATCTATAAGCCTTGGATACACATTGTATATGGAAAGTAAGACAAAATGAGAAGCTGAAGATGATGACCCCAAGCATGAACCTTGAGTGACTGAAGGATAGTGGTGCCTTCAACAGTTATAGAGAAATTAGGAGTAGGGAAGGGTTATAGGGAAAAGATAATTAGTTCTATTTTGGACATGTTGAGTTTAAGGACTACAGGACTACAGTTAATGTCTACAGGACATCCAGTTTGAGAAAGCCAACAGGCAGTTGGAGATAAGAACCTCGATGACAACAGAGAGTTTAGGGCTCGATAAATAGTTCTGAGAATCATCTGCATAGATATTTTCATTGAATCCATGGGAGCTGGTGAGATCACCAAATGAAATAGTATAGAGAGAGAAGGAAAGAGGGCTCAAGAGAGAGCTTGGGGAATGCCCACATTTAGTAGATGTAACCTGAGTAAAGATCCAACAAAGGAGACTGAGCAGGAGAGGTAGGAAGAGAACCAGAGAACCGGGAGAGCAGAGTGTCATGAAACCCCAGGGAGAAGAGAATGTCAAGGGAAAGAAGGTGACCGATAGTGTCAAAGGCTACAGAGAGGTCAAGAAGGATGAAGATTGGGAAAAGTCCATTAGATTTACCAGTTAAGAGATCACTGGGAACTTTGGAGAGCACAGTTTCAGTTGAATGATGAGATCAGAAGCCAGGCTATAGAGAATTAAGAAGAAGGTGAGAGAAAAGGAAGTGGAGGCACTGATTATAGACAGCCTTCTCAAGAAGTTTAGTCATAAATACTACTATTAATAATGGCTAAACATTTATATAGCACATACTTTGTGCCAGACACTCTGCTAATCTCTTTACTATTATTATCTCGTTTGATCCTCATAGCAACCCTAGGATATAGGTGAGGAAACAGAAGTTAAATAACATTCCTGGAGTCCCACAGCTAGTAAGTGCTGGAGGTCACATTTGAACTCAGGTCTTCCTGACTCCAAGCTCAGAATCCTATCGATTGCACCTCCTAGCTGCCCCCAGAAAGAAAGAGAGAAGAGATATAGGACAATAGCCAACATGGATGGATGGATGGTTGGGTGGATGGATGCTTGGAGTAAGGAGGGTTTTTTTGAGGATGAGGAGACATAGCCAGGTTTATAGGCAGCAGGAAAGTAGCCAGTACATAAAGATTTGAGATGAGTAAGAGAGTAAGGGTGGTAGAGGGGACAATCTGCTGGAGAATCAATCAATCGATAGACATTTATTAAGTATCTCCTATGTTCCAGGAATTGTGCTAAGCCTTAGAGATACAAAAAGAGGCAAAAGACAGTCCCTGCGGTCAGGGAGCTCAGAATCTAATGGGGGGGGGTGTTTTGCATGATTTCACATGAATAATTGCTATTATATATTATCTGCCTTTTCAGTGTGTGGAGGAGTAGGAGGGGGAGAGAGAATCTGGAACTCAAAATTTAAAAAGAAAAGAACATTAAAAAGAAATATTTTTTAAAAATAATCTAATGAGGAGAAAATGAATATGTACAAACCAACTACATATAAGATAAATAGAAAATATTTAACAGAGGGAGGGCAGTAGAATTAAGAGAGATTGGGAAAGACTCTTTGTGAATGGCCTCAATTGTTTTCAGTAAAATATGAGAGAAGGAGCAGAAGAGAGTGTTCCATAGAGGGGGAAAAACCAACCCAGCATTGACCATCGAATGATATATTAGTCTGGTAACTTTCAGTTCATTACAAATCAACAGAAACCTTTTTGTAGTGTTCACTTTAAAACTGGGTAACATGGATTGTTGATCATTGAATGTCAAGAAAAAGGGGCTTCTAGGATCCAATGAGTTCACATACATAAAACGCTTTGTGATCCTTATTTGTTGTTGTTGAGTCATTTTCAGTCATGTCTGACTCTTCATGAATCAATTTGAGGTTTTCTTGGCAAAGATACTGGAGTGGTTTGCCATTTCATTCTTCAGCTCATTTGACAGATGAGGAAACTGAGACAAACAGGGTTAAGTGACTTGTCCAGGGTCACACAACTAGTAAGTGTCTAAGGCTGGATTTGAACTCAGAAGGATGAGTCTTCCTGTCTTCAGGCCCAGCACTCTATCCACTGCGCCACCTAGCTGTCCCTTTGTGAACCTTAAAGTGCTATATAAATGCAGGTTATTATTATTATTAATCATCATCATCATTAAGTGTGGCATGTGTAGGGTATTTATGACTGCTAAGTGGGATAGTGGACAGAGTGCTGATCTTAGAGTCAGGAAGACTTGAACTCCAATCCCACCTCAGACACTTAGTAGCTATGTGACCCTGAGCAAGTCACTCAACCTCTCTTAGTCTCAGTATTCTCATCCACAAAATGGATCAACAGGATTGTGGTGAGGATCAAAGGAGATAATATGTGTAAAGCTCTTTGCAAACCGTAAAGCTTAGCTATTATCTATACATGCATCTTTCCAAATGCAAGCTTTTTTTATGATGAAAAGTAGGAATGTGTGGAATCTTTCAACTTTCATAGACTACTTCCATGAGAAACGATTATATTTTATACAGGCTCTTGTATATTTCTTTAAAGCCATCAACTTAAGAGTTTTACCTTTTTTGTTTTGTGTACGTGTAGGAATAAAAAATGCATGGCAATATGTCATCAATGTCGATGACAACAAAGTCAACGTCCGTGATATTACACCTACAATGGAAAGCTTAGGAATTGAATTAAGTAATGAAGAGCTAAATAAAATATTGGTATCTCATCCAGCTGATGGTGAGCATTTCCAATTTCTATTAGGCTGTTTGCTCAGATTATAATATGATCTTTCTAGTGACATCACTTTAAACCAGTCATCCCAACAAGGCTGAGAATGATTGGACTGGGTAAGGTATAGGAATAAACATAACACTTTATCAGTGACTTAAATGAAGGCATTGAGGGCATGCTTATCATTTTAGGAGATAATATAATACAATGGACAACAGAGAGACATAGGATAATTGGAAAGGATATAACCAATTCACTGGACAGCAGAGGCCAGAAAGATCTCAACAGGCTCAGATGATAGATTGAATCTAATAAAATGAAGTTAAATAAGGGTAAAAGTCCTACATTTGAGTTTACAAACAAAATCAGTTGCATAAATACAAGATTAGAAAGATGTGAACTTATAGCTGTTTATAGGAAAAATTCATAGAGTTTATAGTGAACTGCTCTCCTTCATTTCATGGAATGGTTGTCTAGTGATATCAAAATGTCATTCAGACATTATCACTATAAAATTCTTAATATATTCCAAAGAAAGATAGGCAGAAAGCATTAAGCTTGAATCTAGAGTTTGCAGTGAACCAGCAGATAAAAGTAATAACTACAAATACTTTGGTTTTCACTCCCCGCCTCCAGCAAGGCATATAAAGTATAAAAATAACAAAAAGTAGGCTATGAATAAATATTGTTGTTCAGTCATTTTTCAGTCATTTCTTTGTGACCCTATTTGGGATTTTCTTAGCAAAGATACTGGAATGATTTACCATTTCCTTCTCCAGTTCATTTTACAGATAAGGAAACTGGGGTAAACAGGGTCAAGTAACTTGCCTAGGGTCACCCAGCTAGTAAGTGTCTAAGGCCCCATTTGAACTTGCAAAGATGAGACTTCCTGACTCTAGGCCTGGTGCTCTATCTACCATGCCACCCTTGATGGCATCCTGAAATCAAAACTGAATAGGGAGAACACATTTAAATCAATTAAATGCAATACAAGTCTTAATGTAAATTTCCTAAACTATAAAATGAACCATAACAGATTTGGGAAGTAGCCCAATAAAAATCCATACAATATTAACAAAACACAGGGACCCATCACTCTGAGGAAATATAGAAATGATTAATACTTACTCCCCCAAAAGAAGGAAGAGAATTGATAGATATTCTCAGAGCAGTTGAGAAACAAGTCAAAATTCTATACAAATACTTTTGCAAAAAGTGAATATTGTCTCACTGAGCAATAGTCAAAACTGAAAACAGGCGCACACCACTGGATTTGTCTCATGTGGCGGAAGGTAGTTTACCTCTGAATAGTTACTATGAGATCTCTAAGATCCAAGAATGGAATCAAAAAGTCTCCCATGAGTGAGTTCTGCATAAATTCACCCAACGATGTGTCAACAAAGAATCATAGAACAAATGGCAGAATCACAAGGGGTTTATTTATGGAAATAGAGGGGTTTATGACAGCATTTTAACATGAAGTCATTGCCAACAGAAATCATAAAAGGCTTATCCTTCTGGGGCCTGAACTTAATGATCCAAATCTATTATGCAAGGGAATGATGGGAACTGTGCAACACATCACTGAAGGTTTTAAAAGTTCAGCACCTACCAGATACTTTGTGGTAACTAGAATTATACATCAGAAGCTTGGTATCTTTCAAGGCATGACAGATAACAAATCACTACACCACAACTATAACAATCTTCCAGGAATAACATTTGCCACAAGTGAAATTCAACAAAGGTAGACTGAGGCACATTTTCACTGAGCAAGATAATAGTTAATTCACAAGGGGACTACCTGTTAATAAAGCAGGTCAATAGCTGCTCCAGTTTAAGCCAGAGACCCTAAGCAGAAGCACAGCTCCCCTTTTACAGTTGTGGGGGAGTACAGAACAAAGAAGGACTTCATAGGCAAGGAAAGAATACAATTTAGTTATAGGGTTGGCAGCATCGTAGGGTTTAGGACAACATGATTGGTTACAGAACTGAGGTATGGGGGACAATTTGATTAGTTGGAAATTGGGAATGAGGGGCTAGCAACAGCTGCCCTCCTTCCCTCCTATGACTAAGAGAAGTTTATTGTTTGAGTCTACTTGCAAGGTTAAAGATAGTGAACCAGCCTTTTTTTGGATAGCAAACTTTGAAGGATAGCTTGGTCACATAAACATACTAGACCAGATTCTCCGGTGTTCACCTGCATCCCCCAAGGACAGAAGTTTTCCTTGAGGCTAGAGTAAAACAGTGATTAGATGAAGAAGTGGGTTTCTAAACTTAACTCTACCAGGCCAACTGAGATTCTGAACTAAGTTCAGAGGCAAAGAGCAATATCTTAGACAGGTATAGGACAAAATCAACAAATTATAAATTTTTGTTGTTGTTCAATCTTTTCAGTTGTGTTCAGTTCTTCATGACCCCATTTGGAGTTTTCTTGGCAAAGATACTGGAGTGGTTTGCCAATTCCTTCTTCAGCTCATTTTACATATAAGGAAACTGAGACAAACAGGGTTAAATGACTTGCCCAGTAAGTCTCTAAGGCCAAATATGAACTCAGGTCTTCCTGACTCCAGGGCCAGTGCTCTATCCACTGCACCACGTAGCTGAATCAAATTGTAAATAGGATCAATTAAAAGTGATACAAAATCAATTTAATCTTCTCACACCTATCCATTAAGCTCAAAAATCCTTCTTAATGGATTTTTGCCACACTCAATACACAGATCTCCAGCTTTCAAAATATAGAAGCTGATCAAGATAAAAAATATGTTGAAATAAGGGGTAGTGTATATAAACCCTGTTCTATCTGCTATTGGAGTCATACTAAGAAAGTTATGGTGAGTCTACAGTGGATGAGCTTACATCCTAGTACATTTAAATACCCAATCAATCAATCAATACCTACTATGTGCTAGGCACACTGTACAAAAAGAAGATATTTTTATCTACCTGCACAGTCCATGTGACATGAAATGTAAAATAATAATAGTGGGATAATAACATGGTCCTGGATTGCTTCTCGTTTAGTCCCATTGAAAAGAGGATTAGAATAATTAGATAATGATGATGATGATGATGATGGTCAGTCAATCAATAAATACTTATTAAGCACCTGCTATGTAACAGGCACTGTGCTAAGTGATGGGATACAAAAAGAGGCAAAAGACAGTCCTTGCTCTCAAGGAGCTTACAGTCTAATAAAGATGATGATGATATCATCAACAACAATGTCCCTAAAGTCCAGTCTATCATCCATGTTGTATGTGCAGGCTAGGGAGGAGGGCACAACAAACAACACGGTAATGGAACACCAGCAGCAGTTGTTGTCATTCGAGGACCAAAATAACATCGCTATGTTAGAGTCAAGTTACAGTATGTGTAACTGTGGCTAATCAGACCTATACGAGTTCAGAAGGCTCTACTACAAATAGTCCATGTGAACGTTAGGGAGGGGATTCCCAAAATTTTTCACATATTGCATTCCTTTTTAGCTACTTCAGTTCTGCTTTGCTCAGAATACACCTCCGATGAGGGTACACCATCCTGGGTGGTCCCATGCCGGTGTCTCCCATGTCACACAATCAATTCCAAAGTTCTTAAGAGAGACTTTGAGAGTGTCTTTGTATCACTTTTTCTGGCCACCATGTGAGTTCTATAAAAAATAGTCTTTTGGGCAAGTATATGTTTGGCATTTAAACAGCATGGCCAGCCCATTGGAGTTGGGCTCTCTGCAGCAGTTTGAATGCTTGGCAGTTTAGTTCGAGAAAGTACACTTCAATGTCTGGGGTCTTATGCTGCCATGTGATGGCCAGCGGTGTAGAGACTCTGTATAGTAGAGACTTTCTATGACATCCTGGCAGGAATCCTAAAATACTAACCAGTTGGCTGCTAATTGGGTCAGCATTAAAGCCAGTGTAATAGAACTGCTCTATGTATCTAAAAACTAGAGAGGCATAGACTGTCCATCCTCAAAACCATTATGATATGGAGGAGAGTAGTGCAATGCACTTTCACCTTTTAGCATCAAAGGAAGGCAAGATGCATCAGAACATCCTAATACCCTGCCTTGAAAAATGCTTCTGTTTAACATGGTGCTGATCACTAAAGTAGACAATTCCAAACTAAGCATGGTCTTGAGCTTCATACCTCTCTTTGTTAATGGTACTCTCAGTTCCAAATCATACAACAATATACTTCTGACAAGGGCAGGGCTCGCATTTGCACTTTGCATTCATATAATGCTTTATATATGTTATCTCATTTAGTCCTCACAACAACTCCTTGAAGCAGGTGCTAATATCATCCCTATTTTATAAAGAAACTGAGGCTGAGAAAGGTTAAATGACTGCCCAAGGTCATAGGAGCAGTGTATCAGAGAAATCCCAGCCCTCACCAGATACTTTTAATGTCTAAACTGTGTGGAATGGAAAGATTTCCAAGTCTGGAAACCTATGAAGTACAAATCATTCCTGTCATTCATCCTGTCTGCTACTGGAGTTGGTCCTAGCTTTGCCTTCAGAGCCTACAAATGTTGAACTGACTTCTATTCAGTTACAAAAGGCAATCATTTCATCCATACATACAATAGTACAATGAACATTAAACATCAAAAAACTGAATAAACATGTCCCAGGATTATTTCTATCCAAATGCCATGAAACAGGGATGTGAAGACTGATATAACAAAAAAGACAATAACAATAAATCTGAGCCATGAAATGTTTGGCATGATTGCACATGTATGACTTACATGAAATTGAGGGGAAGAGAAAAGAGGAAGGGAGAGAGGAATAGAATTTGGAACTCAAAATTTTTTTAAATGAATGTTAAAAATTGTCTTTACATGTAATTGATGAAAAATAAAAGATTATTCGATGAAAAAAAAAATTTGAGCCATGTAGTATTACCTGCTTCAGGAAATCACTGCTGTAGAATTAGAAATTACTTTAGTGTCATTATACAAATGGTTGGCCATATAAGGAAGCATGGATGGGTCATTCCCTGCATCATTGGAGAATATACTCACATCAGTAAAATCACAGATTCATCAAAATATCAAAAAAGTATCAAATGCTAAATAAATATGACAATCCAAAGGGGAGGGAGTGGCTATCAGAATAACTTATGAGAATCACTTTTAGTTATCTGGTCTACAGTACAAGTGTCATAGATGATTGTGGAACTGGCTTTATGGGTTCATTTCTTCACTGGAATATCTGAATTGTATATTTCCCCTTCTGTAGAAAAGGGAGCTGTTAATCTAAAGAATTTTGTTAAGGCATTGTGTCTGAGTGAAAAATGCCCTGATTTCGTAGGTAAGTATTTATCTGGGTAAGTATCCAAAATGGGATAAATGAAACTTTTCATTCCTGCTTTTGGTGCCCACATTGTTACTTTTAATGTGTATGACTTCAGCTTCTTATGGGGGTTCTACCCAAACCCCATGTTCAATTTAATTCAACAATAAACATTTACCATCTATGTAATTCTTCTTTCAACCCTTCTAAAATGGGGAAATTGTCTTAGCTGTGTAACTGGGAATTTCTGTTGCTTTTTTTCTTCTGTTGCTGATGTTTTATGCATTCATCTAAATAATCAATTTTTACGGAGCGCTGGTACAATTTAAAAGATACTTTTCTAGGGGTTGCCTGGCATACACATTTTTATAAGATTTTACCCTAATCTTCAGGGAACTTAAAATCTATCAGGGGAAGCAGCACACACCTAAAGGAAAATAAAATAAGAAAAATTAAATAACCATATAAGGTAACAATTGGAGTCCTTATAAGACAGTATATGTTTAATTGCCCATCAGCTGATGTGATCAGAGTGCTGTGAGTTTAGAAAAAGGAGTTTGGGATTAGAGTGACTTGGGAAGGTTTCATGGAAGAAATAAAGACTTAAATAGGACTTTGAAAGGTAGAATCCATCAGTTAATAAACATTTATTAAGTATCTAGTAGGTGGCAGTCACTGTGCTAAGCACTGGGGATACAAAGAATGCCAACAAACAGTCCTTGCTGTGAAGGATCTTACAATCTAGTGGGGGAGACAATAGACAAAACAGCTGTGTGCAAACAAACTCTATACAGGATAATTTGGAAGTAATCAACCAAGGTGAAGCACTACAGTTGGGGAGATCAGGAAAAGTTTAATGTAGATGGTGAGATTTTATCTATAACTTGAAGAAAGCTAAGGAAGCCCAGAGGCCGAAATGAGGGAGAGCATTCCAGGCATGAGGAACAGTGAAAATACAGTGAGATCCCTTATGGACCCCCAATTTTGAGGGATGTTTAAGGCTAACTCAGTGACTCAGATTGGGTGCTATACCATTTGAAAATAATTCCCCTAAGAATGTTAAAATGTCTCCCTAATACCCACCCACTGCCAGCACTACCACCATAGTATTAAATATAGTATTGAATAATTCTATTATTTCATTGATATGGGTTTTCCCTTCAATATTGTAGCCTATAACCCATCCCTCCAGCTCATGTTACGCAACTTTTGTCCATTCCCTTCCATAAGTCTGCTACAGTGAACCACAATCTTTAATTTTCAGACTATGTCCAAATTAATGTGTTTGCTAAATTAGCTGAGATTAAATAAAATTTCACTATTATGAGTGGGTCAGAAATTGTCAGTATTTCTTTATGCTTTGGGCTTGGTACTAGTGCTACCATTTGAGTAATGTCTCATTTATACTTATATAACTTTTTTAGGAATGTCAGGATGCTCTAAGGAAAGGTTAGCTAAGGCTTTCTAAAGGGGCCAAAGTAAGGAAAGATATCAGCTTTGGTTGAATTTGCGGGTGAAGTAAGAATATACAACACTAAGGGGTGGAGAGGTGAGGGTGTCTGTAACAAATGGTACAGAAATATTCAAAATCTTAATATGCTGAAGCTAAGAAGTAGGAATTGGGGGCAGCTAGGTGGCACAGTGAATAGAGCTCTGGCCTTGGAGTCAGGAGGACCTGAGTTCAAATCCAGCCTCAGATGCTTAACACCTACTAGCTGTGTGACCTTAGGCAAGTCATTTAACCCTGATCGCCTCATCAAAAAGCAGGGAAAAAAAAAAAAAAGAAGTAGGAATTGAAGGGCTTAGCTGCTTCTGGAAGAGTTGAGGGAAATAGTGATTATAAAAAATATACTAAAGGATTTCTTACTATGAAATGATAGGCAATTTTCTGAATTGGGATTTACAGTAATAGGTTTCTAGGGCCTTAATTTCAGGAAAACTAGGGCTGAGGTTCTTTGCCTTATGCATCAACCATTTTCTTTATGTTCATGCTTTTTTTCTTGTGCTACAATATGCAGTAGGAATAACATGAAAATATCTCTGCACGTCACCTCCTTTCAACAAGCAAGAAATCTGTTATGGACAAATTATGTCCACTTATTTTGTCTTCTGTCTCTCTTTTTTACCTTTAAAACATCTTAAAGAAAGAAAACCTAATCAATGACTATGACTGCTTTCTAGTGTCATTAGGATTTCTGAATGCCTGCTATGAGTTACAGTGGTTCACTAGACTCGGTAGGAAGGATATGGAGAAATTTATCACGTGGTCCTTGACCTTAATGAACTTCAATCTCTTTTTTTTTTATTTTGCAGATAAAAAGATATCTTTAAAAGAGAAAATTGCCACATTGAATAGAACCATACCAAAAACTGGAGGTAAATATAGTTCCAAAACTCAGCAACTCTTGTTCAAGTAGGACAAGAGTAATGAAATTACAAGAATCTAAGAGTTGGAAAAAGACCTCAGAGGCTATTTAGGCCAATCTGTACTTGACCAGGAATCCATTCTGTAACCAGCTCAGTGAATGGGCACACAACCTGTGTTGAAGACCTCCAGTATGAGGGGGAACCCACTACCTCCCACCTCCCTGAGAAGTACATTTCATTTTGGGTCAGATGTAATTTGTAGACATACACATATACATAATGCACACATATACACATATATTGTCTTTGTTGTTTCCTTTCAGTCGTGTCCGACTTTTCCTGACCTCATCTGAGGTTTTCTTGGCAAAGATACTGGAGTGATTTGCCATTTCCTTCACCAGCTCATTTTACAGACTAGGAAATTGAGGCAAACAGGGTTAAGTGACTTGCCCAGGGTCACACAGCTAGTAAGTGTCTGAGGCCAGATTTGAACTCCCAAAGATGGGTCTTCCTGACTCCAGGCCCAGCACTCTATCCACTGTACCCCCTAGCTGCCTATATGCAGAAATACATGTATGTATATATACATACATACACACATTAATAAATTGAACCATATATGTATATGTATTCTGATATTTTGAATCAGATATAATTCTAATATGTATAAATAGATACATCGATTCATATATGTATGTGTGTGTATATATATAGGGTCATATAGAGATAGATCTGTGTGTATATATACTTTCTGTATTCATTTTTAGTTTAGTCTAAACCAAGGGTTCTTGACCTTGAGTTCACAGACAGATACCTAGAAGACCCATGGATAGATTTCAGAAGGTCCATGAACTTCGATGGGAAAAAAATTGCGTATTTATTTTTATTAACCTCTAATTGAAACTTAGCACTTCTCTCAATTAAGAATTTAAAACAACATTCTTATTTTGAGAAGGGATCTGTAGGCTTCACCTGACTGCTAGAAGGGCCCGTAGCACAAAAAAAGGTTAAAAAACTCTGATCCAAACCTAGTTTCTGCCAAACTGTTCTCCAATTTTACTAGCAATACTTGTCAAATTTGGAGTAACTCCCCATGCAATTTGTTTGTGGGTTTATTGAACCACTGAGTTATTGAGGTAGGTTGTTTCTGACTGTTCCTTAACTTCTCTGTTCTACTGAACAATTTTTCTATGTTTTTAACCAGCATCAAATAGTTTTGATTGTTACTTTATTGTATAGTAAAGTTTAAAATTGCTATGATCCTTTTGTATTTACTTTATTTCTTTATTTCTCTTGGGATTCCAGATCTTTTGTCTTCCAAACAAATATTATTATTTTGCCTAACCCTATAAAGCATCCCTTTAGTAGTCTGATTAGCATAGCAGTAAGTCTATAAACTAATTGTAGTACTATTATAATTTTTTAAAATATTGACACAACTCATCTATGATCACTGACTATCACTTCAATTAAGTTGTTCTTTATTCCTTAAACAACATTTTAGAATTGATCTATACAAGTCTTGAGTGTACTTAGTGATGACTCCCACATATTTTATATATTTTATAGTTATTTTGAATAAAATTTCCCATTCTACTATTTCTTCCTGGACTTTGTTCATTTCTATAAGGAAAAGCTATTGATTGTGTGAGTATATCTTATATCCTGCTTCTTTATTGAAGCTGCTAATTGTTTCAATTAAATTTCTTTGCTAGCTCTCTAAGAATTTTGTTAAGCCATCTTGTCATCAGCAAATAGGGATCATTTTGTCTCCTCCTTGCCTATATTTAAGTTTTTAATTTCTTTCCCTTTACTTACTGCCATCACTAGCATTTCTAGAACCATATCAAGTAATAGTGGGGGAAAGGGGCATTCTTGCTTTACCTCTATATTTGTTGGGAAAACTTCTAATGTTTTCCCATGGCATACCATGCTAGCTTTTGGTTCTAAACATAAACTTTTAAATCATTTTAAAAAAATAATCCTTCTCTGCATGCATGTCTTTTAAAACTCAAGGCTATCTCAACCAAGAAGTAGTGGTCTACAGGCACGTAATGAATGATGCATAAATTTTCAGGTACCGCTAAGGTGTTGTTTTGCTTTACTTTGTTATAAAGAATGGTTTTACTGGCATAGATAGGAGTCCTAGAATCAGTAAGAAATGATGGTGCTGGGGGCAGGTAGGTGGCACAGTGGATAGAGCACCGGCCCTGGATTCAGGAAGACCTGAGTTGAAATCCGGCCTCAGACACATAACATTTACTAGCCCTGTGACCCTGGGCAAGTCACTTAACCCCATTGCCTAGCACCCCCCCCAAAAAAAAATGATGGTGCTGCAAAAAAAAAAAAAGAAGAAAGTGCATCAGTAATATATTTTTAATAGAAGAAAAAAAAAAGACACAGGACTAGACCAGGCATGCACTTAGCCTATAGCAGAGGCAGTGACCACTCCCTAACTCTTCAGAGTCCCACAGTAATAAAAGTCCCATACAGGGTCTGCTCCAACTTCATCATCTGTTTGCCTTTCTTCATGTATTTATAGAACTGCATAAAGTAACCAGAGCTGACAGCAAGCTCAGAAAAGATAAGATATCTTTTGGTGAACTAAAGCCAACCTTGAACACCATTTGCATTATACCAACCAAAAAAAAAAATCGCTCCACGCAGCACTGAATAGAACTTCTCTTGATAGTGAAAATTTTACCATAGCAGGTGGTGTTGACCTTAATGGGAGGCCTCATTTTACTATACATTTGTACTATTGCATTATATCTGCATTTCAGAGATTTAAAGTAGGTAGACATAGAGCTTACATTAGAAATTTTTTCATCTGGAGCAAAAGTAGTTGATGGACACGGAAAGACAGCCCCCCACTACATTGGTGAACAGTTCAGTCAGACCTCTAGTGAAGTCATTCCTGAAGAGCAGCAGTGGTGGCTGGCAGAGATGGGAGAGAAGTTGAGACTAGGAGAAGGGTACCATTTTGAGCATGAGCTCTGTGTGTGTCAGATGGCTATGTGAGTCAGTGGTAGACTTTGGGACCACGTAACAGCAGAGTATACTCTGTTGGCTAGGAAATAAGTGGCCTTGCACTCTAAGGGGAACCTGCGTCCACCTCTGGGCACTGAAGTACATAAGTGTTATGCATACTTTATTTTCATAACTGAAATTTATATATCATTGATTGCCTCTTCTCTATTCCTAAAAATAGAATATATTTACAAGAGTCAACTGCTCTTTCCTTAGAGTCAAATCTGAGAAATATATATATATACATAAATGTTTCCATACAGCTAAATTAACTTATTCAAGAACAACATTACTCTTGTTCCTGTGAGGAAAAATACAGGGCAGAGTGTTTTAAATCAATTGTATATCTTTCTTCATTCTCATACTAGTATTCATAATCAGCTGACTTTCTTTCACACCATTCATTTTGAGTGTTTTTGCATTTTACATATAGTCAAACTTTCCTTTGCAGATGAGGAGCCTCTGAGCACCAAAGAAGACCTAATTGAGAAACAGAAAGGTGAGTGAATATGCAAATGAATTACAACACTCTAGGATGTGTTTCAAAAGTAGACATACTTACTCTGGCAGTAGAATATCATTGAGGAGCACAGAGCAAGTGTTTTGAACATTGACAGCATAGTCTTTAACAGATATGCTATTAAAAACCTTTTTGTCAGTTTTAACAAAGTCATTCAAGATCTCTATTTCAAGGCTTTGGCTACAGAGGCACAGCCATGAATTTATTAGTTTTATTTTATTAAACAACCATCTTTACCAGAAGGCATAAACCACCAGGTTAGACTTCGGATTCTCATTGGCAAATATGTATAAATATTAATCCTGACCATGTAACAAGAAATGAGAATGAATGTGCTTAAGTTCAGAATTTTTAAACATGGTATAAGTATTTTAAAAGTGAAGACAATGAATATGCAAAATAGGGATCCTAATGAGAATCTTCTAGAGAGAATGATAGAGATTATCATGATATGTTTTCCTTTGAAATTAATGCAGAGTGACTAATTTTGTTAAGCTTTTAATAAAGCATTTTTTTAAAAAAAGATTTATGATTGCCTAGTTATACTAAATTACCAAGTAATCCTTCTCAGTGCGTGATTGCCATTTGGAGTATATATTTTTATGTCTTATTTTGCAGATAATTTATTGTGCTTTTAAAGAAAGTGCTGTATACTCTCGGTTGCACTGTGCCAAAAGGTGAAAAAAATCCTTGGTTTCCACAAAGCATATTTTACCCTGTCTTCTTTACTACCTAGACTTCATTCTTTTTATATTTCTACTCTATATGTACATAGATATACTTCTTGTCTACCTAATAGAATGTAAGCTCTCTGATAGGAGGGATTATTTTTTTTTTTTTGCATTTGTATTCCTACCACCTAACACAGAGCCTGGCCCCTTGGAGGTGTCAGTCAGCACTTATTTATTAAGTGTTTACTATGTGCCAGGTATTGTGCTAAGTGCTGGAGGTTTAAAGAAAGGTAGAAACATGGTCCCTGCCCCCAAGGAGCTCAATTTCTAAGGGGGGAGACAACATGCAAATAGCTATGTATATACAAGATATATGCAGGATAAATATGAGATACTCTCAGAGGGAAGACATTAGCAACTGGGGGCAGGTGGTGAAGGAGGTGGGAGGGGGAACTAGGAAAGGCCTCCTGAAGAAGGTGGAATTTGAGGCAAGTTATGGAGGAAACCAGAAGGTGGGAATGAGGAGGGAAAGCATTCCAGGGATGGGAGATAAATAGTGAAAAGGTTTGAATTTGTGACATGGACGTCCTTGTTCAAGGAACAGCAAGAAGGCCAGTCTTGCTGGATTTTAGAGTATGTAAAGATCCTGCATTGATACTGTACCTGGCACAAGACTAGCTTTCTTCTCTAGATGCAAAAAATCCATTTCCTGCAGTAATTGCCAAGCAAAGCTGGGAGAAGTGGTTGGTCAGATATATCAACAAAGATCTTGGTGCTGATTCATGTAGCCTCAGGCTTACTATTTTTCTATATAGCAGTAACTGTTCGAGGATATGGACACAGATGAACTCTCTGTAAGGCTGATTACAGCTAAACATATATCTTTATCCCTGTATCCCTAGGGTTTTTTCAATTGAACTGACAGGTGTGAACTATGAAGGTCCTTAGGCCTTGGCAATGAAGTTTCTTCTAGTTCTATGATTCAGGGTTTCTTTTTCTTTCAAGTAGATTTTTAATAGATTTTGTTTTGTATCATCATAATTTTTCCCAGTATCTTTTTCCCTCCTCCTCCCAGAGAGCCATCCCATATAATAAGTGATATTTTTAGAGAGAGGAAAAAAAAAGAAAAGCAGAGGGGAAAAATCAGTATAAATGAGCAATACATGAAAAAAAGCCTAAATTTTGAAGTCTGGATTCTTTGTGGGATGGCCATAGTGGCTGTGACAGCATTAAAACAATTTTAGTCAATTCTAGTAAGTTTTACTCTTTTTAATTCCATGAAGAAAATCCATCAAACTGTTTCTTGGGCATAACTGAGACAAAAATTCAATCTCACAAGCATTTATAAGGTGCTAGGTGCTGGGGATACAAAGACAAAAACAAAATGGCCCCTTGCCTTCAAGAGTCTTACATTCTGCTGGAGTATGTGACATGTACACAGATAAGTAAACACAAAATATACATGAAATAAAAACAAAGTAATTTCGAGGGGTTGATTCATTGCATTTTAAAGACTTTATAGTGGCTTTAGTATTTATAGAGATAGTATTAATTTGTGGGATGGTGAATTTAGATCTAGAAAGAAATATCTAGTCCAACCTTCTTATTTTATAGATAAGGAAACCGAGGCCTACAGCCATTACAAGTGGCTGGCTAAAGGTCACAAAGGTAATATGTGGTAGAGTCAGGATTTGAGACCAGGTCTTCTGACTTTTTATTCATTGCCTTTTCCATTGTCCCACATTTGCACAAGTCTATATAGCAAGCAAAATTAAGAGTATGTTGTTTTTTAGGGAGAATGTTAAAAATACTTTCTTGCTAAAATGGTCTCTGAAATTATTGGAATTAAGCAGAGCCACATTGCATAATATATGAAATTATTTGATGTCTTTATTAAATTAAGCATATTTTGAAAATGCAACATTCACTGCCTTTTGGATTCTTTGATTATATCCAGCCATAAAAGAGGCCCTTGATGATCTAAGCTTGAAAAAAGATAGGAAGATCCATGCTGATGACTTGAAAACCTTGTTTGATGATTTCAATCTTAATGTAAGATCTGATGTTGTCAAGAGTATATTGCGAAGAGTATCTGTTGATGGTAAGTATTTCATGGTGCATTAGTTTTCCTAATTGAAAGACAGTACTATCATTCCTTTTACATTTTTTCTAAAGGTGATTAGATATGTCAGATTCCCACTGTCTCCACTGCAAGGGGGTTCTTCCTGACTAAAGCCAAGTCTCCCTTCATTCTCCAAAGGGGGGGGGAATATTCTAACAGGAGAAAAATCTCTTGAGACTACAAGCCTGTTTAAGTAGAAATCCTTTATAAGTAGTAACTTTTTAAAAAATTAATTTATTCATCTTTAGTTTTCAACATTCACCTCAATAAAATTTTGAGTTTTTAATGTTCTCTCCCTCCTCCCTCCCCAAGACATCATGCAATCTGATATGGGCTTTTCATATACATTCCTATTAAACATTTTTCATATTAGTCATATTGTAAAGAAGAATTAGAACCAATAGGAGGAATCACGAGAAAGAATAAACATGTAAGTAGGAACTTTTAAAAAAAATTTATTTCACCTAAGTTAAAACTTTCAATCATAGATCTCTTATAGGGCATCTAGTCTCATCTCTCATTTTGCAGATGAGGAAATTGAGACTGAAAGAGGGTGAGTGACTTTCCCCAGGTCACACAGGTAGTATTGGAGGTAGAATTTAAACCCAGGACATCTGACTCCAGATCAGTCTTCCACTGTACTGAGATGCCTATAAGTAATAAGATTTATTTTTGTGTGCCTTAGAGTCAATCTGATCTCTATCATCATACTTTTACTTTATCATTATATCTCAAATAATAAGTAATATCTGCTGCTAGTTCAACCAAAAGCATTTCTTGATCACTCCCTGTGCAATGTAAAAATCTAATATGGTGTCTGAAATGATTAAAGTTGAGTTGAGTTATATTGTATAACATGAGAAAAGAATAGAGTAAAAAATTGCCATGGGAGGCACGCCACCAACAGTAATCTTCTGGATTGAAGGGGAGAATCTACTGAAACTGTCTTGAAGCTCTTAGAAGGTGGTCCCAGTTTTTTTTTAAATTATCTACGTAATATCTGTTATTAACTTGTTTAGTTAGTTTCAATCCGAGTTTAATTTTGCTACTTCATGAAATCAATGTATGCTATGTATTGACATTTTTTTGAGGACTTCCCATGGGCAAAAGAACATGCTTATATCTATAAAAAAAGAAAATGTTAGGAGAGATAGTTCTGCCCTCAAGGAACTTGCAGTCCACTTGAAGGCATGAGACATCAGAACATATAAATTTAAATAACCATTTAAAACAACAATATAAGACATTTTGTTGTTCAGTCTTTTTTTTAATAAATGCATGTTTCCTTTGTTCCTTCCATCTCTCTTCACAACATCTCTCTACTACAACTTTTTCTTTGTTTGATAATTAATTTATTTATTTTTAGTTTTCAAAATTCACTTCCATAAGATTTTGAGTTTTAAATTTTCTCCTCCTCCCTCTCCCCACCCAAGATGGTGTACAATCTGATATAGGCTCTACTTGTACATTCATAATAAGCACATTTTCACATTAGTCATGATGCAAAGAACAGTTAGAACTAATGGGGAAAATCATGAGAAGGAAGCAATAAAACAAAACAACAAGGAAAAGGAGAGCAAGTAGTATGATTCCGTCTGCATTCAGACTCCATAGTTCTTTCTCTGGATGTGGATAACATTTCCCATCATATTTTCAGTCATTTCTGACCCCATTTGGGGTTTTCTTGGCAGAGATACTAGAATGGTTTGTCATTCTTCTCCAGCTCATTTTACAGATGAGGAAACTGAGACAAACAAGGTTAAGTGACTTGCCCAGGGTCATATAGCTAGTATGTATCTGAGGCCAGATTTGAACTGAGGAAGAGGAGTCTTCCTGACTCCAGGCCCACCACTCTATCCACCGGACCACCTAGCTGCCTCTAACATAAGACACAGATGATTAATTGGTAAATGAAGGGTTTGGACGCTAAAGGCTTTAGTAGTTCAAAGAAGAGAGAGGTCAGTGTGGGCTGAAGTAGTCTAGAAAGCTCTCATAAAAGAGGGGAAGTGTTTTAGCTGCGTTTTAGAAGATAGGACGCAGGGTATGCATTATTATCGTAGCTCATATTTGTGTAACTCTTTAAAGTTTGGCAAAGTGCTTCACATATAGTCAGTCAATCAATAAACATCTATTAAGCACCTACTAGAGGCCATGATAAGCAGTGAGAAAATTAAGCAAAAAGAAAAAGAAAAAGGAATCTCTGCCGGCAGGTAACCTGCGTTCTAATGGAGGACAACACACACACACACACACACACACACACACACACACACACACACACACACACCCCTACATATATGTGTATATACAGAAAAGATGCAGAAGACATCAAGGATTCTTAACATTTTTTTGTGTAATGGAACCCTTTGGCAGTCTGATGAAAACTATGAACCCCTTCTCCAAATGATGTTTTCAAACGCATGCAATAAAATTCATAGGATTACAAAGGAAAATAAGTATATTTTTAAAAAAACAACTTCTTGCAACCCAAGTATAAAATTCCTGGAGTCAATGGTAACCCTAGATGGGAAAGCCCCATCAGCAATGGATACCGGGAAATGCTTTCAGAAGAAGTGATATATAAGCTGAGTCTTAAAGGAGCCAGAGATTCTGCAAGTTATAGATGAAGAGGAAGAGCATTCCAGATATCATCACATTTTATCTTCACAACAACCCTATTTAGTAGGACCACAGTCTTAGAGCCAGAAGGCATCTTAGAGATCATCTAGTGCAAAGCCCTCATTTTACATCTGAGGAAACAGGCCAGAGATTAAGTGACCTGCCTAAGGCCACAGGAGTAGTAAATGAGAGCTGTGATTTGCATATAGGCCTTCTAACTCCAAATCCAGCTCCTCTTTCACTAGAAATAGTATGAGCAAAAGATCAGAGGTTAAAAAAAAAAGGCATAAAGCACATTCAAGGCTTATTTTGCCTTGAAGGAGGACAGGGTAGCATAGACCAGTAGTTGAAGTCAGTAGGCTGAAAAGGTAGTCTGGGGCCAGATTTTGAGCTGTCCTTGTATTGCCATTGATATCTATTAATGAATCTCTTAATATTTTCCTATCTTTGTAGAAGATGGAAATGTGTCTGCCAAAGAGGCTTTCTTGGCATTGAACAGCATAGAGAGACTTTCAGATTTTAAAGGTAAGGAAAAAAAGTTTTACATGCAACTTAATATTACAAAAGAGAAGTCAAATAAGGAAAATGTAAATATAACATCAGAACTGTTTATTCTATGAAAAAAAATAACAGACACTGTCTAAAGATGACCTGTGTAGTCTATAGAATGAAAAGTTGTTGGGGTTTTTTTTTAATTTATCAGAGAAGGTTGTGTTTAGTAAAACAGTATACCCAGTTCTGAACCACATTTTGAATATCTTCATCATCCCTGAACTTGGGTCCCCCTTTCAATATCTCAAAGATGAGAAAATCAGAATGTGTAAGAGCAGGACTGTATGGCAGATAGTACAAATAATAATTACTACTATTATTATTATTTATTATAATAATGACTAACAATAATATCATCATCATCATCCCGTCTGCTACTAGAATTGTCCCAAAGAAACTTTCAATTACATTACAAAACAAAAACTCATACTCCAATACTTTTATTCAATTACCAAAAAAAAAAAATCAGTTACATTATCTGGTTACACAGAAATCCCCAGAACATTAAATTTAAAAGAATGATAGCAGGATAGTGACTTGTCCCAGGACAATTTCTATCTGAGTTCCATCAAAAAAAATGAAAGGAGTCATATTACTGTCATTACTACTATTACTACTACTATTATTATTATTACTATTATTGTTGAACAAAGGGATTTATGATGGTAATTCAGAGCCAGGTCATTGCCAGAATTACTAGGTTCATTATCCTTAATGTGCCTAGACAGCATTCAATGTAGATTATGGGAGGAAGTAGTAGAAACTGTACAACATTAGCTGTTGTTCACTTGTTTCAGTCCTGAGCAACTCTTCATCACCCCATTTGGGATTTTCTTGGCAAAGATATTGGAGTGGTTTGCCATTTCCTTCTCTAGCTCATTTTATAGATGAGGAAACCGGGACAAACAGGGTTAAGTGACTTGCCCAGGGTCCCACAGCTAGCAAGTGTCTGAGGCCAGATTTGAACTCAGGAAAGTGAGTCTTTCTGACTCTAAGCCCAGCATCAACTGTACCACCTAGCTGCCTCTCTGACACATAGTTGGTACTTAATAAATGCTTGTTGACTATGGACATTTTATATCAAAAATTTTTACATATAAATAGTCATGTGTTTAATTCCCTTTGTTAAGAATACCTCAAAGGATCAAGGTGTATCAACTAATTAATTGCCTTTGCACATACTAGAGAAAACAGATGGAAATTTTTATTTCAAAGTAAAATTATAATATCTGATTATAAATATATTTATTTAAAGTGATTTGCCTGGTCAGGAAAAATTATAGTAAAGTTACAAAAAGCGTTTAAAAACTTATTTAAAAGTCTTGTATCAATTGATAATTGACACTCTTCGTTCTTCTAGTGTTAAAAGGGTACAACCAGTTGTTTGGTTAAAATAAATTTTAGAAGACAAGACAATATATAATTAATAACTAACTGGCAGATAAGTGCTATAAGTTAGCTAGAATAAGGAGAGACAAATGTGGGTCAGAGTCACAATGGAAAGTAAACTTCATCAAGAAGGTGGAAGATTTGAATAGAGCTTTATAGTCTAAGAACAACTAGAATAGGAAGAAGGGAAAACAGGACATCTTAAGAACAGAGCCTCGGAGAGAATTAGTAAAGCAGAGACTAGAGGAAATGGCAAAGACAAACTCCTCCTTGACCTTGTCTGAGACTGCCTGGGGTTTCCTTCATTTGCTTTTTTTTCCTTAATCCATGCCTGCCCTCAACACTGGCAGGTGCTCAGGGCAGTTTGTTCTACCATGTGATCATTAAATGAAAGGTGTTCGGTACGTACAATGTTTTATCAGAACCTATTGAGTTGTTTTTAAAGTGATTTTAAAATTTTTTTTTAATTTTCCATTTTTAAAAGTAAATTTTAAAGTAATTTTCTGAAATCGTTATGGGTATTTAAAACAATAGCATTTATTCCCCTTTCTAGAACGAGAGCAGCTGGTCACTTCTCTTAACAAATCACCGAGAAGGACATTAGTATGGATGATTTGCAATCCATGCTGCAGGGCATTGGGGTTACTGTACCCGTGCAAGAAATCCAGGAAGCAGTAAAAAGTATCCCTGCTAGTGGTGAGTGGTCCTATTTCCCCAATTCATTTACCTGAAGTGGAAAAATAGATTTTACTGAAATAATAATAATAATAAATATTTACATATCACTTTAAGGTTTGCAAAGTATTTTACATATGACAGTAAAGCCTATTCTCATGTATTCAAAAAGAGAGTCCTGTCTCTTCATTTTATAGATGAAGAAGCTGAGGGGCAGCGAAAGGCAATAAGTAGGCCAAGAGTGGCAAAGTCCAGCTTTCAACTGATTCCAGATCCAACACTCTATCTACTATATCACATTGACCCAAGCCTGTTAGAATGAGAGGTAACACTGGGAATCAACCTTTTTATTCCTAGAAACCCCAGGGCTTGACAGGGGCTCCTGGGACTAGTGCAACATTCAGCTTTCAGTTGTTTCAGTCGTGACCCCATTTGGGGTTTTCTTGGTAGAGATGGTGGAGTGCTTTGCCATTTCCTTCTCCAGCTCATTTTACAGATGAGGAAACTGAGGCAAACAGAGTTAAGTGATTTGCCCGGGGTCATACATCCAGTAAGTGTCTGAGGTTAGATTTGAACTCAGGAAGATGAGTCTTCCTGACTCCAGGCCTGGCACTCTACACACTATGGCGCCACCTAGCTGCCCCAACATTCAGCTTACCCCATTTGATAAAAGGTCTAAGACCTAAAGCAAGAAGAGACCCTAAGAGGCTATCTAGTTCAATCCCCTCATTTTCCAGGTGAGGAAACTGAGGCACAAGCAGGGACTAAGTGACTAAGCCCAAGGTTATACTTGTAGTAAGCATGAGGGAGCACATTTGCACCCAGGCCTCTGAATCCAGAGTGTCACATACGCTGCCTCCTCGTTATTGATAATTTCTTCTAGTCACGTAAATAATAAGCACAAACCTGGTACGGACCATGAGGCCCCACAACCACTTAAATTTCCCAATATTTCTTTTATATTGGAATCAATTTAACAGGCAACCTAGACTAGTTCTTTAAAAAAGCCCTTATCCTGAATATCATAGGGAGATCAAGTTTATTTCTCTCCTTGAAAGGGAGCATTTCCCATTCATTTCTCTACATTCCCCCCACCCCATAATGCTTAGCTTAGTGCCCTGCAGCCATACAGTCTCAAATATTTATTGAACAAATACATACATTAGGCCTGGACTTTACACAGTGTAGCACAAGCAACCCCCATATCTAGAGAAAAGTCCGTCTCTGTTCACATGGCATCCATTCAACTATATAGTCCGGTTAAGTCACCTCCTCTTAAATATGAAGTTGGTTTATACTTTTCCTCCTGCTGTGTGTAAGGTTGTCTTTGCATGAACCCCATCTATGCAGTGCTTGCAAATTAAACAAACTTGAAGGAGTAAGTATAAGATTGGGAAGGGAAAGGAAAAGGGAATAAACATTTATTAAGTACCTACATCTTCTAGTCACTTTACAAATATTATCTCATTTGACTCCCAACAACCCTGAGAGGTAAATGCTATTTTATTGCTGTTGAGTCATTTTCAGTCATGTCTGATTCTTCATGATCTCATTTGGGGTTTTTTTGGCAAAGATGCTGGAGTGGTTTGCCATTTCCTTCTCCAGCTCATTTTACAGATGAGGAAACTGAGGCAAATAGACTTGCCCAAAGTCACCCAGCTAGTAGGTGTCTGAGGCTCTATTTGAACTCAAGTCTTCCAGATTCCAGGACCAGTGCTCTATCCACTGTACCACCTAGCTGCCCCATTTTACAGTTGAGGGAACTGAGATAGGCAAAGGTTAAGTGACTTGCCCAGGATCACACAGCTGGTAAATGTCTGAAGCCAGCTTTGAACTCAGCTCTTCTTGACCCAAGACCCAGTACTCTTATCAGCCAGGCAATGAAATTTATGAAAGAGGGAGACATCTGTGTGGGATCCACACATTTCTCATTGCTGCTCTCTTAATCCATAATTGTTAAGCTGGATAAGTCAGATTACTAAAATCATACCCACCGACAGGGCCTTCTGCCCCATCACTGAACACTGCAGGGACCAGAGAAGACATCACAAAATGACAAATTTAGAGCTAGGAGGAGCTATAGAAGTCATAAGATTATAGATCCAATCCCCTCGATTTACAAGTGGGAAACTTGACGCCCTAAGAGAGGTTAAAGGACTTGATTACATAGGAAGTAAATGTTAGGGTCATAATTTAAATTCAGGTCTTCCAACTCCAAATCCATTGTCTTTCCCCTGCACTGTGCCACACTTTAGAGTTATGATCCTTTCCAAGTGAGCCTCAGAGTTACGTAGTAGATGTAGATGCAGAGGATGCAGATGCAGAGATGAAGATGCAATGCACAGTAGACTCTGATGCCATTATTTTGTCCAGTTAATGAAATCATCCATCTTTTTGGTTTTCTTTTTCAGATGACAGAAAGGTCAAAGTAAAAGAGTTCATGACAGCATTGACAACAACTCCATTTTTTACTAAAGCTTCAGGTAAGCAAAATTTTGTAGTGAATAAAAGTTAGTGATAGAAGAGTTTTATGAATTTTTAAAATTTTCTGGAAAATATGTATGTATATTTTTCTGATGTTATGAACCTCTCTAGGTGCTAAAATGCATTTTAGGGAAAGAAGTTAGAGAGGGTTATAACCGTGACTATTTCTGGAGTTGAGATATTTATGATCACTGAAATAGCTTTGAAAATGAAACATTTGGAGGTTAGTTAGCTCCTCTAAGGGCAGATGTTCTTAATCCACTGTCTATGAATTGGTTTTTTGCTTTGTTATTTTTGGTTCTTTGCTAACTGTATTTCAATATAGTTTTGCTTTGTGACCCTATGTAATTTCATTTTTTGCATTTTAAAACACCACAAGAGGTCTTTCCAACATTCTGGAGGCCTTTCTCTTCTTCTCCTGACATCATGAGCATACCCAGACAATACTCAGGCTATCCACACATCGTCATCCTCTTCCCTCAACATATGACCAACCCATCTTTTCTTCTTGTTGTACATTTCCCCAATGACCTCTTCTTTTCTTCCATAAATTTGCTCATTGGTTATGTATTCCAGCCTACTTGTACACACTATTGTGACTCTCCATTGCCCTCTGTGTGAAATTCCTCTCTGTGATTGTATATGTCTCCCGTATACACAGAAAATTTTTAGTTCAGAAAATGTTTACTATCTGTAAAATTTAAGATCTGTTCTCCTATGGGATTAATGTATTAAGTATGACAGTAACCACTTGCATTTTTGTCAAGAATAAAAAACATTACATTTTAAATTTTAATATTAGTATTAATAATTAATATTACTTTTAAATTTTAATATTACTTTAATATTAATTAATATTTTAATGTTATCTTATAAGTTTCACAACTGGAAGGGATCTTAAAAATATCTAGTTCAATTAACTTATTTTATGGATAAGAGAACTGAAAACCAGAAGGGAAAGTGGTTCGATAGATAATTAAGTAGCAAAGTCAAAATTCAGCCCAAGATATCTGACTCTAAATCCAGAGCTTTTACAGCGTTCCTGAAGTTTATGTCAGATTAAGACAGCTCAGGAAATAGTTATAGAGATGAGGCCCTTTGTTACTATATTTAGAGTAATTAAAGATGCAAGAGTCCTGGATTTGAGGTCAGAGGACCTGGGTTCAAATACTGGCCCTTCTACACATGACTGCCTGTAATTACTCCCTTTTATTGGTATCACATAAAAAATCAGTGCCACTCTTTCCCTTAATTCTAGTCAGGATATTTGTTTGCTTTGAGGTGTCAAGAGGTTTATAGACTTTTTTAAAATCAAGAAGTGGTAGTTGTTTTTTATTAGCTCACAGCATCAGCCATTTTTTTTTCCTCCCTACAGAGATAGAACATCCTTTGGACATCCTTACCTCCATCCGGAGTAATGAAGTTCCTGTTAAGGACCTCACCACCATTATAAAAAACATGGGGATTCGTTTAACACCCAAAGAGCTTGACAGCATCCTGCAGATTGTGCCTTTGAAGGGTAAAAAATTAAAATATGTCATCTTAATCAAAATCCAGACTTTGGGGCATAAACTCCATTCTTATACCTTTCAATCAATCTAGTAATAAGTAGTTAGCAAGTTCCCACTATAACATAAACATAAAATGAATAAATACAAATTACTTAAATACAGGGAAGGGCACTGACAGTTGAGGGATCAGCAAAGGGTTAGCAGAAGATGGTGTCTCTTAGAGGGAGAAAGGACCTCCAAGGCAAAGGTAAGAAGGCAGTTGTTTTTGTATCCCCTGCATCCTGCACAATGCCTAACACATAATAGTCACTTAATAAATGTCACCTAATGTGTCATTTAAAAAGTCACTTAATGGTCATTTAATAAATGCTTATTGATTATTTATCTAAACTTTTTATCTCCCCCCTCCACACTTAGTACAGCATTCTGGCCACTTAATAAATGTTTGCTGAACTAATAAATGGATGCCTCAAGGGAAAATTTTAGGATACGATTGATGCTTCTGTAGAGATTGATACAGAGTGGAAATGGAGGAAGAAGCTAAGATGAGGTTTAGGGATACAAGTGGGCAAAAATGATTTGGAGAGTCTATGGAAAGATGATATGAACTCCAAATGCATGAAATAAGAGTGGAAAGTGATAAAGTACTTTAGAAGTGGTACTAAATAGGGTACAAGGGGAAGGCTGACACTCACAGCTCCCGTAAAGTTGGAGTCAGAGAAAAATGGGGTCTCTCTACTGAATGGAAGAGTGGTGGAAGTTTCAGTATCTAACCCATTACTAAAGCAGAGTCCCCTCTATAGAATTTCCAAAAAAAATTCTTCCAGAAATAGTTTTACTCAAAACATAATTACATCAAGAAAGAGAATTCAGAGCAACCTCAACACCCCTTTTGGCATAGTGGTTCCATTAGTCCAATATTTGCTGATGCGGCATGAGTAGAGTAGAGTAACTACTCTGTGTTTAATGCCTCTAGAGAGTAGCTTTTTTAGCTCTTGGTCGACTGGATTGGGGGCCCCTCATTCCATGCCAACTTCTGGGTCACTATAAGGTTTTTTGGTGTCATGGGTTGTTAGGAGTAGCAAAGTTTCATTGTGTGTCCTTGAACCTAATTTTCCCTCATTTAGAGAATCTTGGCTGCATGGGCCTGATTATGCTGTCACTTGGACTTCCTAGTATATTTTAACATTCATTTTTTTCTATGTTCTCTAAAAAACATTTGTTTTCTTACAGAGGGTGAGAAGGTGGATTTACAAAAATTCATGGAAATTGTGTCTAAGATGAAGTCCTTAGTCCAAGATGAAAGTAAGTCAAAATTTCCTAATAAATAAATGATGATGACTTAAGGAACCTGGTGACTTAGAGAATAACCTTAGGTTTAGTAGGCAGATAGAACTTTCTAGTGTATCATGTATTCATAGCCTCAGGTAACAAAGAAAACAGAGGGAGAATGGTTTATTAGTGATGATCAGCATTTGAAATTGACCTTTGTTAACAATGAAGATGAGTCAAGAGGAAATTGCTTTTAGGACAGCTATGACTAGGAATTATTGTCAATCAAGGGATAAGGCTGCCCAACAAAGCACAGTACACAACCAAAGATTCAGTCATACAAGAAGAGGGGTCAGACTATTCCCTAGGTGCAGCCTTCATCCCCAGAGCGATGGAGAGAATGTGGGCCCTGGGACCAAGGTGCCACACAGTAGGATCCTGGCAGCTGGGGAGCCTCTGCTCTGCACGGTGTTATGGACTGGAAGAGAACCTCAGGGGATGGGGACATCTATGACTGTCACTGTGGAGAGAAAGTACACGCACGGTCCTGCCCTGCACCCACGGCAGTGTGCTGGGAGAAAGCCTCATTCACTCCAAAGTAGTTATCGCTCTGAAAGGAAGATTTAGGTTAGATAAGAAAAAAGTCCAGGCATAAAAGTTTTGGGGCTCTAAATGTGCTATAAAGGGGGGTTATTATAGGAATTTTTCTCAGGATTTTAAATAGCTGCTTTTCTAGGATTAATATATGGAACTGCAGTGTTTACATGGATTCTTTAAAAAACAATCTTGGGGGCAGCTAGGTGGTGCAGTGGATAGAGCACCAGCCCTGAAGTCAGGAGGACCTGAGTTCAAATCTGACCTGAGACCAAGCACTTGACACTAACTATGTGACCCTGGGCAAGTCACTTAACCCCAATTGTCTAAAAAAAATTGAAAAAAAAAAAATAAATCTTGGGTCACATTAATAGTAGCATACAAAGATGGAGAGTTAATAATCCTATTCTACTCTCTGCTGATCAGAGCATGTCTGAAATATTATGTTCCATTCTGAGTACTCTATATTTAAAAGTTTATTTACAAACAAGAAAGCATTCATACTTGGGCAACAAGATGCTAAGATATTTAAAATACATGCTGTATTAGAAACCACTGAAGGAACAAGGTTGTATAATCAAGGGAAGAAGAGACTTGGGGGGACGTGATCAGTTGTTCAGTTGTTTTTTTAGTCATGTCCAACTCTTCACGATCCCATTTGGGGTTTTCTTGGCAAAGGTACTGGAGTGGTTTGCCATTTCCTTCTCCAGCTCATCTTACAGATGAGGAAACTGGGACAAACCGGGTTAAGTGACTTTGCCAGGGTCACACAGTTAGTAAGTGCCTATGGCCGGATTTGAACTCAGGAAGATGTCTTCCTGACTTTAGGCCTGGCACTCTATCCACCGTGCCACCTAGCTACCCCTAAGAGGGACATGATAGCTTTCTTCAAATACTTGAAGGCATGCCATATAAAAAGGAGATTTATTTTCCATTTCTCCAGAGGACAGAGCTAGAGTAAGTGAACAGAAATTATTAATAGGTAGATTTTAACTCAATAGTGAAAAAAAAACTTACAATAGTTAGAGATCTAAATGTGATAAACTGACTCATGAAATAATGAATCCCTAACTATTGGAAGTAATCAATCAAATGTTAGATGATAATCTGCCAAGGATATTGTAGAAAAGGATTCTTTCTTATGATGTGGAAGACTAGACTAGATAACTTTTAAATTGTTGTCCGACTCTTAAGACTTATGTAATTTTTATGGTTCTAAGCAAAGAAACAATGAAAGTTATTCAAGAGTGAATCATATAAGGTGTAGTAATTTCCTTTTAAAAGTTCAAAGGTTTTTTTCCTGATTTATAAGACTAATTTCAAAATAGTTGTTGAGGAGACATAGCATAGAATGTTTCTTTTGGTTAAATTGAATATAAAAATATCTAATTATGTTACTAATAAACATTATTTATATATAGCACTATACATTGTATGTCACAAGATGTACTAGGTAAGTAAAATAAAATATAGATAGGAACAGATAAGCCATCACTTAGAATTTTTAGATCTAGAAGGAACTCAAGAGATTATCTAGTATAATCCCTTTATTTTTTATAAAAGCTGAAATTTGGATTACCTTTCCATCAGACAGAGATTCCCCTTGCTTCGAAATGCATTTTAGCTTGGCATGGTGACACATGCTTATAATTCGTTCTACTTGAGGCTGCAGAAGCTAGTGGATCATTTGAGCTCTGGATTTCTGAGCTGCAGTAGGGCTAAAATTCTATTGGGTATCTTTGCTAAATTCAGTACCAGTATTGAATATGGTAAGCCCCCAGAATCCAGAGCCCACCAGGCTACCTAAGGAGGAGCAATAGTCCAGGTCAGAAACAGAATAGGTTAAAGCTTCTATGAAGTGGGCGATGGCCCACGAGTAGCCACTGCACTTCTAGTCTGAACAAAAGAGGGAGACCCAGTTTCAATACAATAAAATGTGTTTTAAAATACCAAGCCTACAGCCAATTATTCAATAGTAACATCTAAAACATAGAGTGTTCTAATTCAGCAAGATATATATTGGGCATTTTATAATTTCTTTATACTTTCCCCATTTTAGATAATATGATTGAAGTTGCAAACTTAAGTGCCATTCTGGATAGCATGGGTATGCATTTGACCCCAGAAGAGATCCAGAAGGCAATGAAGCTTGTCACAGTGGATGGTAAGTATTTCATATAGTCTTGAACTGTTCAGTTATTAGAGTTTCTCTAGTTTTCTTTTCTGAGCAATGCTTCCTTTTGCTTAGGGGGCTGGTGGTTAGGAAATGGATCTTATTTTGGGGAAAAAAATGTATATAAATCAGTAGTAACTAAGTTAGTAAGTGAGGACTCAAAAAATACATTCATTTTTCTAATTTCATTCTTATTAAGGAGAAAAAGGGAAAGAGACAAATAGCTAATTCTAATTGTATTATTTCTTACGTGACTCATTGAATTGTGTTCCAATTTGCAACGACTTTGCCATGTGACATTTGCCGAGAAGTGGGCCATACCTTAACCCTGGATAATAAAACAGGAATTACCTAGAATGGAACCCCCGGGGAGCCTAAAACAATTCTGAAGAATCTTTTTGGACACTGTTCAAGTAGTGAGATACAACTACTAAATGAGAACCTTGGTTCTAGAATCCTTATCACTATCGTACTAGATCACTGGTGGGTACTGATTATATACAACCTGATCCACTTATGGTATCTCCATACTTCTAGAGCAATCCCAGATTCAAGCAAGAACCCTAGGATTTTATTCTGGCTATCATCCCTCCCCTCATGTATCTTCAGTTTTTCCTTCTCCATTGATCGTTTCCCCTTCCCTTACAAACATGCTGAAATATTCCTATTCCTTTAAAAATAAAATAAAAGGCATGCTCATCAACTTTTACCTTCTGGTCTACTTCATAGCAAAACTCAGAAAAGCAGTCTGCTTCTGATACCTCCTTTCCTTCAGCATTTCTTACCTCCTTAACACAGGTGTAGGGAACCTGTGTCCTCGAGGCTACATGTGGCCTTCTAGGTCCTTGGTTGAGGCCTTTTGACTGAGTCCAAGTTTTACAAAACAAATCCTTTTATTAAAGGAATTTGTTTTGTGAAATTTGTATTCAGTCCAAAGGCCACACTTGGGGACCTAGAGGGCCACATATGGTCTTGAGGCTGCAGATTCCCCACCCCTGCCTTAACTTCTCTCAACCTCCTTCAATCCCCAGCACTTTACTTCCTAATTAGGGATTGGGATTGGACCTGTAATTTCATTGGTGTAAGGAGCTCCTGTTGAAATAACTCTTTCTATCAATGTAGGTCAGCACCTTCTTTGCAACTTCCACTCTTAGAGAATTGTCTAAAACACTGTGAGATTAAATTATTTACCCTGGATCACATAGCAATTTCCTAATTGCTAAATCTAGTACATTTAGTCCTAATCCTTTTATAGCAATGAAAATGCTAAGTGCTTAATAAATGTTTGTTGACTGATCATCCCCCATACAGGATACTCTTTCTTCCTTTGGATTTCAAGATACCATTCCTCCTCTCTCTCCTACAATGACTCCTCTTCCTGATCCTTTGAAGTGACTATTCCCCTAAAGTTTTGACCTTAGCCTTTTTCTCTTTTCTTTATATTTACTCTCTCCTTCAAAGCCGCTTCTATGTGTATGACTCCCAAATCTATGTCTCCAGTTCTAACCTTTATCTAGAATCTCAGACCTACATTTCCAACTTTCTATAGGACATTTCCACCTAGATGGATCAACAATGGACCAAATATGTCCAAAATCAAGCTGATTATCTTTCTTCCTAAATCTATTCCTCCTTTTGACTTCATCACTTCTGTCAGTTGCATCACCTACTCTTCCGTGTTCCAAACATTGGTGTTATCTTTGATGATCAAAGTTGTTTTCATTTACAATATTGTAATCATTGTATAAATTGCTCTCCTACTTCTGCTCACTGACATCAATTGATGAAAGTCCTCTCAGGTTTCACTGAGTAGGTTCCATTCAGCATTTCTTATGATGCTACAATATTCCATTACATTCATATGTCATCATTTATACAACCATTCTCCAGATGAAAAATTTTTGCCCAACAAAATCAACAGAGTTAGAATTATGAGGGAAACAGCTAACTGTGAAAAAATCTTTGCAGGAAATTTCTTTGACACAGATCTGCTATCCAAGGATTGATACAAATATATAAAACTGACATAGAAGATTGATATAAATATAAAAGAACAAGATGAATTCTTCAGTTGATGAATGGTCAAAGTGTATGAACAGGCAGTTCTCAAGGGGAAAATCCAAGTTGTCAACAACCATATGAAAGCATGCTCCAAACCACTAACAAGAGAAAAATGAACTAAAGCAATTCTCATGTTCTCCCTCATAACCATCTTCTTGGCAAAAATGACAAAAAAGGAAAATGACAATTGTTTGAGAGACCGTGGAAGGACAGGCAAACTAATGCATTGTTGGTGTTCTGAATTGGCTCTACAATTTTTAAAATCAATTTTCTGAATAAAAAATGCATTTAAGAATCAAAAAACTATACCCAAAAATATCCCTTTGATCTAGTTATACCACTACTAGGCATTAATCTCAAAGAGACTGAAGAAAAAGATAAAGGATCCATACACGCAAAACTATTTAAAAGAATACTTTTGTTGTAGCAAAAAAAACTGGAAACCAATTGGGTGCCCATCAGATTTATTGTTTACTGTTATATATTATATATATGGGAATAATAATATGCTAGCTTTTATTTTATTTTATTATATTTTATTTATTATTATTCCCACATCTAGTATAGACACATCTAACTCCAAAAACCTACTTTTTTATTTTTAACAATGAATTGGACTTTATCTTTCAGATAATGGAAAAGTGGATTTGAACAAATTTATGAATTCAGCACAATATAATCAGAAATACTCTCAACTTGAAGGTAAGAAGATTTTAGCTAAGGTGGCTTAAAAGATTTTCACTGTCCTCTCTATCCAACTCTTCCCCTTTAAGAAAAATGTGTTTTTTAAAAGCATCCCCAAAAGGAGCTCTCAACCAGCAGCTATTTCCACCATAGAAAATGCTAACTAGCTACATATTTCCTGTATGACAACACTAAAGTAAAAAACACAGTCTGTCTGTCAGATGATATGATTTAGTGGTACAAATGCCAGCTGACATTGCTTGATCCAAATTGAAATGGAATGCCTAAGTTACCTCAGTAGAGAGCCATAACCTAGTTAAAAGGTAGATTCAAGATTAGACAACTGAAAGTAAATATAGTAATAAAAAAAAGTCTTTAGAACTGTCAACTACAACCATCTTTTAGGCACATAGTGGGTTAGTGACCTACTGAATCATGAGATCTAAGAGCTGGAAAGAGGGACCTCAGAGGTAATCTAGTCCAATGTGAATATCATGAATAACATGATCATCATACTTAACAAATGGTCATCCAGCTTTTGCAGGATAAGGCTTCCAGTGAGAGGGAAAACTATTCCCTCCTAAGGCAGCAGCCCATTTGTCCTTCAGGGAGCTGGAGTCATGAGGAAGTTAATGCTTTGTCACTTTGCAACTTCCAACTATTGTTTCACTGCCAGTTTTGACCTCTGGAAACAAGCAGAATACATTTTATCCCTCTTCCATGAGACAGAAAATACTTGAAGATAACTGCCATGTTCCCTCGGGTCTTCTCTTTTGTTTAAACATCCACAGTTATTTCATTCAGTCTTCACATGTCATGAACTCAAGGCCCTTCGCTATCTTAGTTGCCTTCTGGATGCATTAGCTTATTTTTGTCTTTCCTACAATGTGGCACCCAGACCTAAGCATAATACAACAGATGTGGCCTGACTAGAACAGAGGAAAGCAGGATCACTTCTCTAAGATTAGATGTCATAGCTTTCATAAATTGCATTAGCTATGTTTGTTGCTATACCCCAGCTTGGCCTCATATTGTCTTTGAGGTCCACTAAGACCCCCAGATCTTTTTAGTTAAACTGCCATCGAGCCACACTTGCTCCTGCCTTGTACTTACAATTTTTTTTCCTTTAACCTAAATGTAACTCAGAGACCCCAGTAGCCTCCAGATAGCCAGTGTCATATTGCCACTCTCCTCTTCACCTATCCCCATACCAACATTACTAATGAGACAAAATTAAATCATTCCTAGATTCAGCTTTATTATAGTACTTCCTTCTACATGGGTTCCTTCTATATGAAAAGTCAACATCTTTGAGTTATGGGAACAACCTTGTAAAGTCCTTTTATTACAGGAAAATGCTTTCTGAGCAACCAGATGAGTAAAATTAAATACCTTTTCAATTTGGAGGTAAAAGAAAAAAGAAAGAAAAGAATTTATTAATCTGTCTTCCTTATTGACATTAGACACAGCACCTGAGACAGGAAGGAGCTGAAGTAATGAAAATAGCATCTCACAGAGGTTTTATGTTGGAGGAGGCTATAAAATGTCTACAGCAGAAAGTCTTAAGCCATTTAATTCCTGGACCAAACACAAAGCAATGTTGAATCTATGCCAGCAGATAGATCTGCTGTGGGCTTCCTCACCAACGTATTACTCTTGCAGATGGTAGCACCTGACACTGTTCCTTTATTTTTAGAAATCCATTGTAGTTCCAGGCACCTGAAACATAGTATGTAAGGAGGAGGTCAGGGAGAAAAAGGTGAGGGGGGAAAACCGTTATACTCTCCTCACTATCAGAAAGTTCTTTTGAGATGTTGAATTGTAGGCAGCATTCTACTGCAAGAAGTATAAAGATACAGTTTCTGCCCCCCAGGATCTAATCATGTAGATCTAACAACACTGATGGGGGAGACCCCAAGCTACATAGGACATGGAGTACAACTTTTAAAAATTAGAGTAATTACATGGATAATACAGTATTTATAACATATACAAGTCAAGGGTCAGCACATTGCAATCAGAAGAATAATTGAAGAATCAGACATGACAAAAATCATCAGCATCTCCCAGAGCTAAATCATTTAACTGTAGAATGCAACGACCTGTCAGCTGCTGTCAGAGCTGGAGGAATATTGGCCCTGGTGGTAATCTGCTGAAGAATTAGGTCTTCAGAAAAATACCCTCACATTTGTTATTATTCTTGGCTCATCCAGTGAGGAATAAAGTCATATTACTTTTGCATTTGCTTTTTCAACATATCACAGGAGAGTTGGTCAATTTCAAGAAATTGCGGGCTTTCCTAAACAACTCAGGAATCCACCTAACTGAGCAAGAAACCCAGGAGATACTGAAGCATGTTCCTATTGACGGTGAGCCCTTGGGTATCCCCATGCTCTGTTTGTATGTGGGTTACAACTTTGTCAGGAGGCTTGGGGATTAGCATGTATGTTTAAAAAGTGTTTCTGATCAGAGCCTCATATAATAGTCTCTTTAATCATGTTGCTAGCCATCGCCTTCATTCTTATTTCCCATAGCTTGTGCAAATCATTTATCATCCAAGAGAATGTAAGCTTCCTCAGGGCAAAGACATTTCCTTTTTGTCTTTCTAACTCCAATGCCTAGCACAGTACCTGGCACCTCGTGGCATTTGTTGAATTCAAATTTCCAGTCTTGGCAAAATAAAATAAAATTGTATCTCTGGTTTTAAAAACTCATGTCAAGCTTCTATAACTTAAAACTTTATGGTCAAATATATGGAAGGGTTGAGATATGTATACTTCCTAAAGTTCTTGAGGCAATAATTTATGACTTTATGAGCCTAATAGTTACTGTGCTAAGAACACACATTAGAAAACATGAACTTGATTCAAGAGACCTTGGCAGAATCCAGTCCAATTCAATAAATATTTACTAAGTGTCTAATATGTGCCAGGCACTGTGCTAAGAGCTGGGGATATAATTAATAAAAAACAAAGGCAGTTCTTGCCCTCAAAGAGTTTATAGTCTAATGGGGGAAATTCCCACAGAAGGTAGGAAAGTGGAGGCGAGGGATCCTAGGAAGCACTCCCTCGGGGAGTATCTTGAAACCAGGCAGAGTAGCAGATGCAGAGTGGAGTGGAGTGAGTATAATAGGTAGGCAACTGTGCTGGAAACACTGGTAGACAAGTAGATTTTTCTTTCCCTCCCCCATTTTCTTTGTACCTTCACATTCAGCCCTTCTGCCTTTGGGAAGAGACATTTTAGGTATGGAGAAGCAAGGATAAGGAGGACCATCACAGACTGCCCATTTATCTGTCCTGCTTCCTCCATCCCCCTAGTATGAAGCATCCATGAATCTCCTTCCTACCCCCAAATTAATATGATAGCTTGTGTAATGTGAGTAAATCAAGCAAAGCTATCCTTAGAGTATACTGAAATGAGCAGTTTATGCTGCTTCCAAAACAAGGCAATTGAGCAGGGATTCATGTAGCCAAGTGGGAAAGGAGGTAGTGTGCTGGCTGGTATTAAAAATTCATCAACAATCTTATAAACATTTATTAAGAGGGAACTATAGGCAAAGTACCACACTAGGTACTGGAGATAAAGAGACAAAAATAAAGCAGTGCCTGATCTCAAGGGGCTTACATTCTACTACTTTTAAAAAGAGAAAAAAGCGAAGTTCACGTATATACAGTCAGCTTGCTGCTTCCCACTGTCACCAAATCAATTTTTTAAAAAACTATTCTTTCTGCCTTCTATATACTCTTCAGACTACGTTAGCTGACTTTAAGGCACCTGCAGATGTTCATTTGAAACTGATTTCACCTGTTTCAAAATGCTCATTTGGAGAAGTGTAGGGCAAAGTCTATGATTTCCTCTTGTCCTGGGGAGATTGGGCGATAAGGTCAGCCTTCTCAATCTAAAGGAATCCTCTCTGGCTCCACCATACTGCCCCTGAATTCTCAGTAAAATATTACTCTAGAAAATGCTAAAAACCAAGGAACCACTTTTTTATGGCTTCTCCAGTGGTTAGAAAGCCATTGGAATACAGCCAATTTCTTTGAGGATTTGGCGTGTGTACGAGGGCAGTGTTTGGAGATGATAGTCATTTCTGCAAATCAAGAAATGTTTCATTTTAAAGATACTGCTACTACTGATTGATTCTTAACTTTCAGTTATGTTCATTCAGATTATTCTTCTCAGAAATTCTGGAAAAGAACTAATAAAATATCCCATTCTTTATATTTCCTCTTTCAGAAAATGGGGATGTGAACAAAAAGGAATTCATTGTGTATATGCTCAATACTCGAAACCCAGCCCAATATGAAAGTAAGTGAAAACATAAAATAGGCAATAAAAAAGTAATAATTTACTTTATACCTCTGGAATGATGCTTCAGATATAAGCAACACTTTCCACATTTCTCTTTCTAATTTATTTCTAGGAAGATTTTCAGTTCCAAAGCCCTTTTCTTTCTTCCTCTCTCTTTTGTGGGGGTTGGGATGGGGAGCAGGGATAGGGGGTGAAAGGGGAAGTACAGTCATTGCTGTAGCCAACTGTTTATGAGGTACAATTCCACAAATATAAAGCACCTACTGTGTGGTAATAATAATACAGCTGACACTTTACATACATTATCCCACAGCATCCTCACAACAATACCATGAGGTAAGTCCTCCAACTTTTATTGCTGATGAAATTGAGGATGAAGGATCTTAAGTGACTTTCCAATGGTCACACAGTTAAAAAGCATCAGCTATGAGCTCAGTTCATTTATGATAGGTATTTTTATATTTGATTTAGCAGCCAATCATTTTAACTCTTTTGATTGGCATGTAGCTTTACAAATTCAATCCAGTAAATGTTTATTAACTTGTCTGGATTAGTTTACTCAAGTATAACTTGGAAAAATTCTCTTTCTTATTTGCTTCAATTTTTCCTAATATAAATTTTTTTCTTGAAGGAAAATTAAATATGTGGCATATATACATCTAGCAGATCCTCCCTACTTCTCCTTGTCATAGAATCAGAGGAAAGAGAAAGGAAGGGAACAGAAGACAATCATCTTCATTTTTTTAGAGGGCAATTTATTTATTTTTAAATTAATCTTTTTTTTAGTTTTCAACATTTACTTCCATAAGCTTTTGAGTTTTAAATTTTCTCCCCCTCCTGCCCCTTTCCCCCTCCCCAAGACAGCTTGCAATCTGATATGGGCTCTACATACACATTCTTTTAAAACATATTTTCACATTAGTCATGTTGTAAAGAAGAATTAGAACGAATGGAAGGAACCACGAGAAAGAAACAAAAAAAAAAAGAGAGAGAGAGAGAAAGCAAATAGTATGCTTCCATTTTCATTTAGACTCCATAGTTATTTCTCTGGATGTGGATAGCATTTTCCATTGTGAGTCTTTTGTAGTTGTCTTAGATCCTTGTATTGCTGAGAACAGCTAAGTCTATCAGAGTCAGTTATCACACAATGTGGCTGTTCTCCTGGTTCTGCTCACTTCACTCAGCATCAATTCATATGAACCCTACCAGCTTTTTTTGAAGTCCACCTGCTCATCATTTCTTATAGCACAATAGTATTCCATTACATTCATATACTATAACTTGTTCAGCCATTCCCTAATTGATGGGCATCCCTTCAATTTCCAGTTCTCTGCCGCCACAGAAAGAGCTGCAATAAATATTTTTGTACATGTGGGTCTTTTTCCCATTTTTATGAATTCTTTGGGATACAGCCCTAGAAGTGGTATTGCTGGATCAAAGGGTATGCACATTTTTATAGCCCTTTGGGCATAGTTCCAAATTGCTCTCCAGAATGATTAGATCAGTTCACAACTCCACCAACAATGCATTAGTGTTCCAATATTCTCACATCTTCTTCAGCATTTATAATTTTCCTGTTTTGTCATGTTAGCCAATCTGATAGGTGTGATGTGGTGCCTCAGAGTTGTTTTTATTTGCATTTCTCTGATCAATAGTGATTTAGAGCATTTTTATATGATTATAGATAGCTTTAATTTCTTCCTCTGAAAACTGCCTATATTCATATCCTTTGACCATTTCTCAATTGGGGAATATATTGTATACTTATAAATTTAATTCAGTTCTATATATATTTTAGATATGAGGCTTTTATGAGAGACACTGGTTGTAAAAATTCTTTCCCAATTTTCTGCTTCCCTCCTAATCTTGGTTGCATTGACAATCATATTTTAATAGATTCTAAAGCCATTGCCCCTAGAACTACCAAAGGGACATCCAAGTTTCAGAACTCTGTTTACTTTTCTTCTGAAGTACAGATAGAGAAGGAAGAGGTGAAATAATGGCGATAGAGAGAAAGTGGGGAATAAGGAAAATCAGGCAAGAGATAAATATATAAGTAGAAGGAAAAGGGGGCAAGAGAACCCAAAAAAGAAAAACTGAGACAAAGAATTCTGGTAGGAAATCAAATTTGGGCCACTGTCAGAATTAAACATTTAATTCTCCTGGGTTGAGGAATGCATCAGCTTTTGGACCCTTGAGTTTGTGTTGATTCTATAAACATTTCAGTCAGAAGCAAAGCTGGGCTGAGCAACTAAATTAAAAATTAAATTAAAAATATTTTGCTAAAGGTACCTTTTCTAGCCTATTTTCTTTATGTTCAAGAAAAACAGTGAATCTGAAATTATCTGAAATGTACCCAGTTTAAGCCATGTGGCCACCTCAATTCTGAGAGATGAATCCAAGAGTTAAATCGGAATAGATCACTTACACAGAAACCCCAAGCCTACTGTGATTGTTGAGACATTTTTCTGTTTTTTCATCATTTAAGAAATTACTTTTTTTATTCTTTCCCTTCACCCTCCCCCAAAAATTTTTAAGAAAATAAGGTCGATGTTCAAAAATTGGAATATCTCCTGGGCCTCATGGATATCTATCTCCCTGAAGAGGAAATTCAGGATGTGCTCCAGCACATTCCAATTGAAAGTGAGTATACCAGATTGTTCTGTAGGGTTCTTTGTGGAACTTTGCTTATGAGATTTATTTGGGTATGGGGGCATGCCTTCATTGCTAGCTTAGCCAGTACATAAATGAAGATATGATCTTTGTAGGAGTAAAATGAAATGTTTAAGTAATACTTGTGTGTGGCTAGTCACATGGGATTGGAGTAGATGTAAATGTAGGTCCCTAATTCATCTAAAATTCAGATTAGGTGAAATAAATTAAATCCCTCCACAGTGTTAGATTTAGATTCTTAATATTAGCCTTTGCTTTAATTTACAAATGAAGATAACAGAAAGCTATGAGAAAGCTATGATGGATGACAGATTCAGGACCCAAAGAAATTTTGACAAGCTATAGTACTAAACCAAATAATAGGATGCAACTTAATAGGGAAAAAAATGTAGTCTCATAGTTGAGTTCAAAACTTCAACTTCACAAGTATTAGGTAGGAGGAGACACGGTTAGACTCAGTTTGTTGGAAAAAGGTAAGGCAATGTAAGTGGACTCCCAGGTCCTTAGAAGTCGGCAGTGTGATATGAAAGCCTAAAGAGCTAACAAAATCTTGGATTGAATTAAGAGAATCCTAACTTTCAAGAATAAGGAAGTGATTGTCCCATTGTGTTCTGGCATGATCAGACCCACACAGAGTATCATTTTCAGTTCTGGGTGCTACAGTTTTCAGAAGGATATTGATAAACTGGAGAGCATCCAGTAGAGGTCAACCAGGATGGTTATGGTGCATGAGGTGATATCATATGAGGATTGGTTGAAGGAAGCAAGAATGTTTAGCCTGGAAAATATCAGAGAGGACATAACAGTTTTGTTCAAATATCTGAAGGGTTATTCTGTGGAAGAGGGATTAGATTAGACTTCTTCGGTTTTACCCCAGAGGGCTTCAAAACTGAGAGGGATTTGGGTGTAAGTTGCAGAGAGAGAAATTTAGACTTGATGTCGGGGGGGGGGGAGGAGCTCCTAGCAATTATAGCTACACCAAACACAGAATGGGTTGCCTCAGGAGGTGGTGGCACGTTCCTTCTTGGTGGAGATCTTCAGGCAGAAACTAGATGCCCACTTGTCAGGTACTTTATAAGGGGAAAGACTCCTTTTTAAGATACAGATTGGATTAGATGGGTGCTGAGGTGCCTTCTAACTCTGAAGTCCTGAGATTCTCTACCGGAATGTGATATGATGACATCTGTTTTTGTTATGTATTGCTTACATAATTTGGCACGTTGAATTGGGAGACTCAGTGAATCAATAAACTAACCTTCAGAGTCCTTTCTCTTTCCAGCTCACTTAGAAAATGGATAAAAGTTGAAATCACATTATCTTAATTTGCATTTTAATGCTACTTTTGGTGATTATATTGTTTTATATAATCATCTGTCCACAGTATGTTATTCCTATATTCTTGTAGAGTTATACCCAAGGTATTAGAGCTCTGATAAACTGTGCCATTTCCTTTCTTTCCATTACTGCTACCCCTGCCTTCCCCTCCCCATCACCAACATTCTTCCAGATGTGCTGATCCATACACAGCTTAGGAAACATAGGACAGGTATAAAGGCACCTGTTGATTTTTTAATGTTCTTTTTATGATTTTTATCTCTATTTGAACTTGTCCCTGAACTTTCCAAAGATGGGAAGGTGAATTTGAAAATATTTATGAATGCTGCCCAAGATATCAAGAAGATTCCTCTTTATGACGGTGAGTCAGAACTGTGTCATTACATTAAGAATTAGATGTATTCCAAACATTAGGAATATCAAATACCTTAGCAATAAAATTTATTTCTAGCTCTTTAATGTTAAAATTCTAATTTAGAAAGAAATTTACACTGGGGAAAATGTTCACTTCTCACTCTGTAGCAACTCATTCTGACTTCTGTCTGTCCTCCCCCATGAACTATCCCTTCCTCCATGTGAATTGTTTAGGGACTGTGGTGGCATTCAGATTTGAAGTGATTGCTGATCACTAGGAAGCATACTAGGAAGGAGTTGGAGGGATAAGGATCTCCTGGTGATAACACTCACCTAAAATTCACAAGAGGAGCTAAACTTGAGTGGCACAAAGCAGTTTGCCTACCCCCCCAAAAAAGTATGTAAAATGTGTCCCTTTTACCCAGTAAATGAAGTGACCCAGAATTTTAACAGCATTTAAACAAATGTATAATTTTTCTTAAACTAAAATTGAATGATTCTGTGTCTAAACCCTTACTACCTGAGATACGTACACTTATGTGTGAATATATATACATACATACACACACACACACACACACACACACACATTGTAGAGGGAGGGGAGAAGGACAAGGGGAAGGAAGAGGATGAGGAGGGGGAGGGGAGAGAGACAGAGAGAGAGACAGAGAGAGAAAGAGAGAGAGAGAGAGAGAGAGAGAAAGAGAATATGTCTCTTTTTTTGGAAATCTTTAAGAACAGGATAGATTCTATTCTTGGCCCTAACTTAATACTGATAGGTATGTGAATAAGGAATAAACTTGATCCTTGAAGTAGGAAGACTTTTTATTTATGTTGAATATAAATCTACTTTCTCCATCTAGCTCAGCTCCTTCCCTTTAGGCTACATCAGTGGCTTCTGAAATTTTTAGCAAGGGAGCAATGTCCCACAACCTTAATACAGACAATTATTGATCCTATATTCCCTGGTTAGAAACTTATCTAATATTGCCTTATCTATTACGTCATTCCTTGCTATCTGCAAACATGCCTAGATCTCCTGTATCCATTTAAAAAAAAATCAGCCTTGACTCTACCATCCCCTCAAGCTGTCATACTATGTATCTTTCCTCCCTTTCACATCCAAATTCCTAGAAAAAAACTTTCTACTCTTCCTGCCTCCATTTCATTCACTTCTTAGCTCTTTGCAATCTGGCTTTCAACCTCATCATTCAACTGAAAATGCTTTCTCCAATTACCAATGATCTCTTAATTGCCTTTCCTCAATCATCTTTTTTGACCTCTGTTAGCTTTTATTGTTGTTGACTGCCCTCTATTCTTGTACTCCCTCCTTCCTGGGTGTTATTTTATCTCATTTATTTGTCTTATTACTATTATTCCTAATTGTGAATGTGATCCAAGGTTTTGTCCTGGGATTTCTTCCTCTCTCTCAGTAACCTCATTAGCTTTCATGAATTTAATTATCATCTATAACCAGATGATTCCCAGATCTGTACCTACAGCTCTAGTCTATCCTAATTCTAGTCTCACATCAATAACTGCCTATAGGACATTTTGAATAGAATGGTCTGTTGGAATCTCAAACTCAATATGTTCGAAAGAGAACTGATGATCTTTTGCCCAGAACCCTACAACAAATCTTGTCTCTGACACTTACTATATGATAAGAGACAAGTCATTTAACTCCTTTGCCTCCAGTTTCCTCATCTCTAAAATGGGGATAATAATAGCTAGCGTACTTATTTCATAGTATTGTAAGGTTTAAATAGGATCATATATTTAAAGCATCTTGTAAACCTTATAAGAACAAATTTGAATGAATAAGTTATTTTGTCTGTTAAAAATACCCAAATTAACTATAAAGAACATATGAAGAAAGATGCTATCTGAATCCAAAGAAAGAACTGATAAATAGAAGCATGTATGGAATAATTTTACATATATATACCTATTTGTGTCTAATGGTAACCATCTCTAGGCAGGGGTGGGGGGAAGGGAAAAAAAAAGAAAAAATTTCACATGGTAGTTTTGTTGTACATTTGAAAGGAATAGCAAGTTGTGCATAGTAGATTTGCAATTTCATGTACAATCATCTTTTTTTATAGTACTGTGTTATGGAAATGCTCTTTTATTCTGTAAATTAAAAATAAAAAAATTTTAAATGCTATATGGACTTAAAAGCTATTTCTGCTACGGGTATCATTATCCTTCCAATCACTCAGATTTGCAGCCTCCAAGCTATTCTTGATTTTTGACTCTCCCTCACCCCACATATTGAATCTTGCTGACTGACACTCTTGTCTTTCCATTATACCACTCTGATACTGTACTTTTCACCAGAAATACTTTTGCTTGATCCTAGAAAGCTGTTAAGAGGGGACAAAGTCTACAGATTTTCCATATTCCCTATTTCCCCCAGCCACCATCACTTGTTTACATACAGATTTCTAAGACACAGCATAAATATTACCCCCTACACAAGGCCTTCCTCATCTCCTCCCTCCAAAATATAAGAAACTTCATTGCACTTACTTAACTGCATATGTATTATTTCCCTTCAGTAAAACATAAGCTCTTTGAGAATAGAAAACATTTTCGTTTTTCTCTTCCCTAATGCTAAGCACAGTCCCTGGTGCATTACTGGCACTTAATAAAGGATTGCTGAATTACTGAATTGAAAAGAACACAGAAATGATCATCTCTCTAAATGTTTTCTCTTTTTCTAAGGGATGAAGACGGCTGTTCAAAACCTGTCCAACATCCTGGGTAGCATGAGGGTGAATGTTACTGATGAAAAGCTTCAAGAGCTTCTGAGAAATTTGTCACTTGGTGGTAAGTATAATGGATAGTGTTGAGCTCTTCAAGGGAACCTACTAGGGTTCTATGGCATAGAGGGGAAAATGCTGAACTTAGAGCCAGGAAGATTTTACTTCAAATCCTGCCTTTGACAGCTTACTAATTATGTGACCCTGTGCAAAATATTTAACCTCTTTGACCCTCAGTTTCTTCATCTGTAAAATGGAGCTAATAATACCTATAGCATCTATCACTCAGGCAAGGGCTCTTAACCTCATTTTCTGTCATAGAACCCTTTAGTAATCTGATGAAGCCTGGGGATGGACCTTCTCAGAATGATGTTTTAAAATATGTAAAATAAAATACGTAACAAAGTATTTTTAAAAGAAATTCACTGACCCTCAGATTAAGAAACTCTACTCACAGGGTTGTTATGAGATTTAAATAAAATCATGTATGTAAAGAATGTGCTTTGTTAGCCTTAAAGTCCTTTATAAATGTCAGCCATTATGTTTTGCAAACCTTAAAGGTCCTACAAGGCTGAAAACTTCTTTGGCACAATTGCAGAATCCAGAGGATGCTATGTACCCCATCCTGTTTCCGCATGATTTTGTTTTCTTCTGCCAGGTCTCTATATTTGGAAAGCTTTAATTCTATGCCGCTTGGAAATTATGAATATTTGGTATGTTGTTGTTGTTGTTGTCGTTCAGTTTGTTTTCTGTTGTGTCCAGCCCTTCATGACCCCATTTAGGATTTTCTTGGCAAAGATGCTGGTGTGGTTTGCTGTTCCTTTCTGTAGCTCATTTTACAGATGAGGAAACCAAGGCAAACAGAGTTAAGTGACTTGTCCAGGGTCGCACAGCTAGTAAATGTCTGAGGGTAGATTTGAACTCAGGTCTTACTGATTTTAGAGCTGGTGCTCTATCCACTGTGCCACCTGGCTGTCTAAATATTTGGTGTGCCAACATCTATCTAAAATGTCATTCTTGTGTTTTTGTGAATCAGTGTTCTGTCCAGGAGGTTTGGGCAACAGTTCCTCTCTGTGACAATTCTCCATTTCTAATACAGTTTATTGGTTGAATTCTCAAAGATATTTTGGAGCTTGTATTTGTAGCATGGAGATTTATCCTCTATTTAGGAAAGATAGTGAGCTTTTCATGTATAATTTTCATTACCAGGCCATGTCTTGTTAGTGGATCTTTTGTCCCCCCGCCTCCAGCCAGACAATTAGGACCGCCACAGGGACTAAAATTGCCAGAAGTTTCTGGAAGAGTTGAGCATACTTTGACCCAGAAATCACAGCAGCATTGACATCTTGAATTTGGTACTAAGCAATCCAGGAAGGAGATAAAACCAGAGTGAATCCATCTTTCTAAGCCAGTGGAAGAACAAGGTGGGGTTAGAGAGATGCCTTCTGCTCTGATCAGCCACCTGCCAGCAGGTTGCTACTGTAGCTGCTGGGGGAAAAGGAGCTAAGGGAGAAGCCTGGGGCACGTAGGAACTCATTGGGTGAGCTGATGAGACAAAACACACACAGGGCCCCTGACACTTTTCTGCCCTCTTCTTTTGGGGGTTAAAGAAGGATCAGGCACAAAAAAAATTGACAAAAGAATTTTTTTTAATTCTTTCTAATTTTTATAGAATTTACTACAACTTCTCTTATTTGTGCAAGTGCCCTTTAAATACAGATAATCACATGCACGTATTATAATTTTACTTTGAAATAAAACTTTCCTCCTACTATCTCTAATACATGCAGATAGACTGTGCCAATTGACATAGTTTGAGCCTTCAAAGGATTCTTAAATTCCAGTCCTCTTAACAGCCAAAACATTTCAATTTATGTCTCTCCTCTATTTAGGAGAGAATAAAAGGAGAGAAACTTATATCAAGGACCAGCTACAGCTGCCTGGCAGCCAATAATAAAGATGCCCTGTTTCCACCATTGCTTACTGCCCTTTATAGTTCTATCAGCTATTCCCCAAGTTATGAATGAAAATGTGGTAGCTACAAAACAGAGGCATTTAAGGAAATGACAAGGTAGGGAAAGTCTCTTAGTAGAACCTAAACTTAGAACACACTCTGCCAAGGATGCCTGTTCACCATCACTGGGAAGAGGAAGTAAGCTTAGGGATCACCCATGAGTAGTACACATGTAGGGAGCACATGTGATTAGGACACGTATATGGAGAGAGGACTCTTGCTTCTGGAGATGGAGTCACATCGCTCTCATGAGGCCTGCTCCAAGCTAATATGTACACTGGGTGTGTTGCACTGCAAGTTTTCTTTGTTCTTTGTGGTGACTGCTGAGTCCACAGTCTTAGCTCTGTTAGTTCTATGGCGGCTACTGGTTGTGGTAATATTGTTCACTTCTATCATTCTTGAAGAGGACCATGACATCAGGGAGGTGATACCCTTATCTGTAGGTACAAAGGCAGATATAGTGGGAAAGATATCTGAATGGTATGTAATGAGGAGGAAGAGGGGAGAAAGGCGCGATTCCAGTGAATAGTTTCAGTTTTTCATTGAAGTATAAGATTAGGTCCTCAGCTGAAATGCTGGACCAGGGGGAGGGGGAAGAATGCTTTGGGGTAGCTTGAGGAGAGATGAGAAGGTTTAGAATAGCCACTGAGGAGAGGCTGGCAGTTGTCCAGAGTCAGTTGGGGGTTAAGGAAACTGAATTAAGAGCTCTTTGGCATTAAAAATACTCGAGTTAATTAATTGGCTTTTGTTTTATTTTGTTTCTGGAGTAGTAAGGAAGTGATCTTGATATAGTGAGCTCTGTTGTAACTACTCTATATGTGCATTTAATTCCTTTTTATAGGTTTTAGGATTAGAAAAATGTATAAAAATAAGCTATTCGGCCTATTTGTAATATGTTCAGAAGCTTCATTATCAGAGAAAGTATATTGAAAGCAGCCAGGAGGAGGCAATTAGCATGTCAAGGAATAGCATAATGAATTGAACAGACGATCACAAGTTAAAGAAAAGGACATAACAACAAAAAAAAAAAGCAAAGGAAATCAACTTGTACTCCAAAATAACATGTTGCAAAACTGACCATAACTCCATGAAAAAAAGATGGTTCTTAACAGGACTTTCAACATGAAGTAGATAATTAGACAAATAGGATGGGATGAAGAACCTAGTGGGATTCTAAGTTACAAGAAAGGCATGGTAAGAAGGGAATCCGGTGACAGGCCCAGTGGCAAGAATGAATCTTGGTACTAAGCCAACTACTTACCTTTTGTTCCTCACATAGTCCCTGTCAGAGGCCAAACTGGTCTCAAGATATGTACAAGTCCACATGTGGAGACAAATAGGCACACCCAACCAGCATTGAGAGAGAAAATCTGGTGACTTTTGACACTTAGCTCCATTTACTGTATTTTGAAATAGAGCCAAATGTCAAAATAAATTCTACAGCACTGATAATGCCCTAGATCAAGGATTCTTAACCTGGGGTCCATGGATTTCAGGCGGTTCATGAAGTTGGGTGGGAAAAAATTATATCCTTATTTTTAATAACCTTTTACTAAAATCTAGTAATTCCCTCAATTATGAATATAGGGAACAAACTACAGTAATATTAGCAGCACCTATAATTTTGTTACCAATAGAAATCACAGATATTTTCAAATCTCAAGTGTTTCTGAAAATATCTTAAATTAGTTTAGTATTAATAACATAATTAAATAGTATCTATTATTAATTAATAATGGTCATTATTGCTCAAAATTACCAGTTATTAGACCAATCATGAAATTTATTACTTTATTATATTAAAAATGTTTTTGATAACCATATATCATTACAACTGCTTTTCTTTGTCATCCTATGTATTTTATTTTTTAAAACATTAATCTGAAGAGAGGTCTACAGTTATCACTAGATTGTTATCAAAGGTAGGGATAAGGTCCAAGACACACAAAAAGGTTAAGAAACCCTGAAGTAGATCCATTTCCATATAATTTATGAATCTTAGTCATTTTTATATTGGTCATTTATTTTGAAACATGATTCTTACCTTACAGAGGATGGGAGTATAGATCAGAATAAGGTGATGGAGATTGTAAGAAGTCAGAAAAAGGAAATACCTGAAGGTCAGTGAAAAGTTGTGAATGGGATGCAAAGAAGCTCTCACAATCTGACTCAGGCTTCCATGTTAATTTAGATGCTTTTAAGGGATTAATAGAGAAGGTATTCCATAAGAGAAGAATATCCTAATTTGAGAGTAATCTTATGTTTAAATGATGCCAAAATGGTTGAAAAGGAAAAAAAAAACTCAATTTGCTTGTTTTGTATGTACCATATGAAGTAGCTGGTTGTGGCTCTTTTCACTTTGACATCACTGAATGCTGATTTTAAAGGAAACACCAAAACTACAATAAGGAATTTCATACCCAATGCAAGCAATGGAATTATACCTGAGACAAGCAACATGAAGCATATTCTCAGTGGCAGGTGGGAGGGACTCAAGACCACTGTTGGAGATGCTGTCATCTATGGGGATGGTGGCAGGACAGCACTAGAAAGAGCTTTCCCTAGTCTGATAACTTCCTTTTTCAACTAACTAGTTATTAAGTTATGTTGCTCCTATTCTAATAAACATTCATTTATTATGCACCTACCATATGACAGGCACTGGGGGATACAAAGGCAAAAATATAATAGTCTCTGCCATCAAGAAGCTTACAATGCAGCCAGGAAATTAACACATTCTCGTCTTTCTCCTTCTCTCCCTCCTATCTATCCAGAGAAACTATCTATGGAAACTCTCTGTGCATACATGTATATAAACATAATTGTGTGCATATACATGTGTATATATTGTGCCTTGTGTATTTATACAAGCATTTGTAGTATATGTACATATAGAGATAAGCATGTGTCTATATGCACATGCATATATATACATATGTACACATTACCTATAAAATTAATACAACATAGTTTGGTAAGGGTTAAGAAAAGAGTCACTAACAACTGAAAAGATTAAGAAAGACCTTACCTAAGAGATTGGGCTTATACCAAACCTTGAAAAGAAGCTAGGGATTCTAAGTGTTACCTAAGGGCTGTGAATGCTGATATTGGCCTCTAAATTCAATGACCTCTAATTCTGGCACCATGGGGCAAAGCCCCAATCTCTCTACCTTAGTTATAGCTCTGGAAAACATGACCAAATATCATTTTTAAAAAAAGGAGAGAGAGAGAGAAGGGAAGTATTCCTTTTCTATCTGGATGTCAGAATATTTTTGCATCTTTTAAAATTTATACACATATATGTATATGTTTATATATATCACTTTTAAAACCTTCTTTCTATTGTCAACCACAACACCTCAGTTATCTGAAAGTCAAACTTTTGGCAATCTCAAGTATCAAGCAACTAAAACCAGGAATACAAAAAGTAGGGAGGGGAATGTGTCTGGGAGCAAATTAGCATCCACTTTTGCAGTAAACAAAGATGGAAATACTTCACAAGTGCCAACAACCTAAAGATTAATTAGTATGTGTTGTGACCAGCTGGTTCACTGACAGAGGCATGCTCTCATTGGCTAGCAACAACTATGAAAGTCCAGTCACTTAATAAAAAAATCTTATGACTGACTTTTAACATAGGCATTTACAGTAAAAGGAGCTAGAAAGAGAGGAAACGGGGCATAAAGGAGAATGAAAAACAGAAGCATCAGTGGGGATTACAAGCAGTGATAGATACAAGCAGCAGATAATTTGACAGCAGAGACATTGCTGAATTGAATCTTACTGTGCATACCTAAATGAGACCTTAAGAATTAGCTTTTTTCTCTAAAAATGTGATGTGAGTTGTTTTCAATCACCTCACAACTTACTGATCTGTTTAGAACTTTAGCATTACATCTACCATTTTAGAACCATAGATGTTCCTCATGCCCATATTTTTCCTAAGGAAATGAGGTCGATCACTCTCAATTGGATGACATTCTGAAGGACTTGGGGGTTTATCTCACTGAAGATGAACTTCAGGAACTATTAAAACACCACCCAGAGATTGGTAAGTATTTCACTTTCCATTGCACCTTTCATGAGCGCTAAGGTTCTTCATGGTCCTTGTTGTGATTTTTTTAAACTAAAATGTATTGAGTACCAGGAGAGGTAAAGGTATGGACTAAATAATTATGTTTGGGTAGATTTGGAACTAGTTAAATCGCCAAATTCAAAGAGTAATTATTAATGGTTCAATGTCAACTTTGACAGAAAGACTCCAGTGGAATACCCCAGAGCACCACCCTCAGCAGTGTAATTTTTTTTATCAGTTATTTGGATTAAGGCACAGAGGGCGTGTGCATCAAATTTCCTTATCACACAAAGCTGGGAGGGATATCTAACACAACAGGAACCAGAAAGATCTTGACAAGGCAGTCAGGCTAAATCCAATAAGATGAAATTCATTAGGTACAAATGTAAAGTCTTAGAGTCGCCTTTAAAAACTGAACTTCATAAGTAGAGGATGGAGAAAGCATGGTCAGGCAGCAATTTATTTAAAAAAGGTTTGGGGATTTTAGTGGACTGCAAGCTCAATATGAGTCAGCAGTGTGATCTAATCTTGGGCTGAATTCAGAGTAGAGCTTCCAGGAATAAGGAGGTGAACGTATCATTTTACTTTGGTCCAGCCAGACCACATTTGGACTATTGTATTCAGTTCTGGGTACCACAGTTTGAGAGGGACATTTTAAAAACTGGAGATCATCCAGAGGAGTGCAACCAGCAAAGTAAAGGACTTTGAGTCCGTGTCTTTGAAGGAACTGGAGTTCTTCAGCCTAGAGAAGAGTCTAGACAGACACGATGGCTGTTTCCAAGCAAGCTCTGTTTTATGGAAGAGAGAGTAAACTTGGCCCTTTGGACCCCACAGGGCACAACTCTTGGAAACAGCAAAAGAAGCAAATTTAGACTTAAGGTCAGGAAAGACTTTCTAACAATCAGAAGTAGAATGGGCTGCCTCTGGAGGTAGTCGGTTCCCTGCCTTGGCAGACTATAGGATTGACAACATCTCTAGTATTTAGAAGGGAAAGTAGAGATTCTTTTTCAGGCATAGGTTAGAGTAAATGACCACCGAACATCACTTTCAATTCTAAGATTGTGATTCTCTTATTTATAATACACATAGAAATAAGTAAAGTAGGAAGAAATCTTGAGCAATGCAGTGTAGAATACTGGGTAGAGCTGGACTCAGTGTCAGAAAGACCTGGATACACATTCCCCTGGGACACCCACAGTACTGGTTCTGTGATTTTGGGCAAGTCATTTAGCCCCTCAATGTTCCAGGCACTATAAGACCCTAAGTTGCCAGACAACTGCATACCAGCATTGGTAAAGGGATCATGCAGAATTCCCTAAACCAGTGAAATCACTGGTCCAAATAAAACCAAACCAAACAAAAATAAAATATCAATCAATCAATCTCTCCCACCCCCTTCTCAAAGTACCATGTTTGAGGGCCTAGAAGATGCTATCAAAGCTGAGTGCTCAGTCTGCCTCTGTTTCCCACTTGCGGCCTATGGTTTTTAATACTGTGTTGCATAGAAGCCACATCGAGGGAAGAGGTGAATTAATATAATGGTTTGGAGAGTTTCTTCCTTTCCTCAATTTCATATTCACCTAGAAGGAAGATACTGAAATCACCCAAAATGGCTGATTTCCATTGTTGCAAAATATTTCAGTACTTTATACCATTTTTTTCTGTGAGCCTGTGACCAAATTCTGCTTTGTCTTCCAGCTGCTGGGAGGATAGAACTGGATAAAGTTATAGATTCTCTGAAGAATTTTGAAGGTCAGTAAATTGTTATTATGAGAAGGCATGCTGAAAGTGAAATCCTGATGCCTTGTATTTTACACATATGTAGGACATGGGTGTGATACATGCATGTATATTAGTCCCCACACACACTGTGTTGTTTTTTTTTTCTGGTTATTGCTTCACTAATCTCATTGTCCTGTTTATTGGAGCTCAGTGATCTCACTGCCTCAAGTCTCTCCCCACTTCAGTATATCCTCCATCCAGCTGTCAAACTGATCTTAATCTGAAGATCTGACCATGTCACTCAAACACACACACACACACACACACACACACACACGTCAGTAAATTCCAGTGGTTCCCTTTCACCTCCAGGATCAAATATAAAATCCTCTGAATGTAATGCCATTTATAACTTGGTCCCCTTCTACCTTTCCAGTTGCTTCTTATACTTTAGTCATCTCCATGTACTCTTCAGTCTGGAAGCACTGGCCTCCTGGCTATTATTCACACAAGAGGAACCTCTATCTCTCAACTCTTAGCATTCTCACTGGTTGTGCCCCCCATGCCGGGAAGTCTCCCTCTTCGTCTCCCTCTCCTCTCCCTCTCCCTCTGCTTCCTCTGTCTCCTTCCTCCTTTTCTCCTCTCATCAATTGATCGATCAGTCAATCAGCTAGCATTTATTCATTCCTCTCTCTCCCTCTCCCCCTTTCTATCTCTGCCTCCTACCCTCCTGGGCTTCCTTCAAGTCTCAGCTAAAGTCTCCATAGGAAGCCTTTCTCAATCTTCCTTAATCTTAGTGCCTTTCCTTTGAGACTACTACTAATTTATTCTGCATGTATATCTTGTTTGTACATCGTTGTTTGCATGTTGCCTCTCCCATCAGACTGAACTCCTTGAGAGTAGGGGCAATTTTTTTGCCTTTCTTTGTATCCCCAGAACTTAGTATACTGCCTGGCACATAGTAGGTGCTTAAACAATGCTAGCTGATTGACAGATTGACACATTTGTGTCTAATAAAGATCCTTGACTGTCCCTGCAGTTTTACTTATACCCTTTAGCACCAAATCTCTTTGGAAAATTCTACAATTTGGTTTTTTTTAATATACAAAATAAAAGAATGGTTACTCAGCACCAAAGAAGACTGGAAGCTGTTGGCAGTATCATAAATACAAAAGACCAAAAAAAAAGCCTCAATCCTAATCTCACCAAAAAGAGATGAAGATATATATTCTCTTCTTAAAAACATACAATCTTGAATTTTCTCTCCAGTCATTTCTCCAAAAGATAACCCCAACCTTACTCTCAATGCTCTCCTCAAACAAACGTTGTTTTAGCATCAGATCTGCCCCTTTCCTTTGCTCTCCCCGCTGTTTTTTCTGCTGTTGCTCTTATTTAGCTCTAACGTCCTCACTTCATAGGATCATACGTTTAAAGCTGGAAGGGATGTTAGAGGTCATCTCATCCATTTGGCTTGTTTTATAGATGTCAAAACAGAGGCCCAGAGGAGTTAAGTGACTTGCTCAGGGTCACATAGACAATGTGTCATTACAATAACAGACCTTTACCTTTTTCCTGTTTTTTTTTCCTATCACCACATGAAACCCATCTTCATTTTTCTCCCCTTCTCTTACAGCCTGAGGCAGTTTTCCCCACATTCATGTGGGAGAATGTCCCTGGCTGAGTTGTTTCATTTCCCTATTCATCCCCAACTTTGAGGCTGGCCCCAGCTGATGCTGCCTCTCATTCATTGTGGATGGCTACTGGGCAGTTTTCATAATATATCCTCCTTCCCCACAGAGGTTACACACAATCTCCTGCGACAGAAAGCAATGCTTCTAGGTCTCTGTCCTTCACATCTGAAACACTTCTCCACTGTACACACTATTCAGATGATTTCTAAAGACATACCCAAAGCACATTCCCTGTTGTTCTCCCACAAGTCAAGGAGACCTATCCTTTCCTCTCTTCCTCCTGTTTTCTGTTAACCATGCAGAAGACAAGATAGAAATGTCTGCTTTATTTCTTTCTCCTTCTTCCCATCTTTACTTGATTGCTTCCAGTCACTACTTAATAGGGTAGCCTATTACATTACAAGCTGGTAGTCACTCTTATTTTGTTTCTTTTCTGCCGTACTTCCCCAATTCTTCCTTTCTGACTTTTCTCGGTGCAGTGCAGTAGAGACCCTGCCATGCCCCTCAAACTACCATTCTATATCTCTTTTCCCTTTTGGTGCCTTTTGCTACCACCTGGAGTCAAAAAGACCAGAGTTCAAATGCAGGCTCAGACATTTACTGACTGTGTGACCTTGGGCAAGTGACCTAACCTCTCTCAGCCTTAGTTTCCTCAATAATAAAATGTGATTAATAATAATAGTACCTACCTCCCAGAGTTGTTTTAAACATCAAATAAGATAATATTTGTAAAGTGTTTAGTACAATGCCTGGCACTATAAAAATGTTTATTCTATTCTACTCCGCCCCCTTCCCAGAAAAGGCCCTGTGCCATTAGCTTATAAAAAGCACATTTCAGTGGCTGTTAGAGAGATGTTGTAGCATCTGTTGTTGTAGAGAAGTCAAGCCTTTCATGCATCGTTCAAGCACACAATAAAATACGATCAGTAACACCAAAATGCAAAAGAAGGTGTGGTCAGAAACAATGCCAGGAACTGACAACCTATTGCTATAAAACATCCTATTAATATTTAAAAAAACAAACAAAGACCTTCACCGGGACCTGGCAGTTGAAGGAATGGTTAGTGATTCCTTTATGGTTTGGCATAGGCTTCTTGAAGTTGGAAGAACAGCAAGAAGACTGAATTTAACAACAACAACAAAAAAAACAGCTGCTAGCTATTGCTATGAAGAAAAATCACTTGTCATTAGCAAGACAGTAGAAGGTATGGATGGTACAAAAGAAATTTTTAAATGCTATAGCCACAGTTAGCACAAGAGAAAAATTAAAAAATATATATTTATAGCATGATAAAGCAAAGATAAAACCTTAAAACTTTTGCATAATGATTTAGCTAATCAAATTGGGCAAAAATAATTATGCCCACCATCCTGAAATTAAGTGAGCTCTACTATTAAACAGTTAAATGAATCAATTCATCTATGTAGCAAAATAGTGAGAAGATATCATAGTAGATTTATGATAGATTTTATGGAAGATTGAAAAAAAGATAATTTTTACTGTTGAAACTTACTTTTACATCCAAGGAGCTACCAAAACCATTGTCAGGAGAAGTCCAGAGGTGCTTATAAGAACAGAGCATTAGAATTCATTCACTCCCAAAAAATGTGTAGGAGATTTTTATTTCCAAAGGGCCTGAAAGTATCAAACCCATTGAGAAAATCATGAAATTTGATAAATATATTGATATACTATAAAAAAGAATTGCTCTAGATTCACAGAAATTCTCAAAAGTAGAATAGAATACAGCAATGTGGTCTTGTACCATGCTACTTGGGATGAAAGGTTTGATTTAAGGCATTAGGAAGCATGTGAAGCCAGAGAAAAGAAGCTATAGGAAAAGCGTATAAGAAGCAGAAGAGTAATCTGAGCACAGGAGGAGTCACAAGAAGCAGAGGGTGAAACAGAGGCTTCCAGCTAAGACAACTGAGATTTCAGTTACTTTGATAGAAGCTTACTGATAGGCATAGAGGCATTGCTTAAGTGATTGGCTAGGAAAAGACTGGAACAGCTGTTGGAAGCTTATTGGAAGAGAGCTGAATCCTGCAGCTTTGTGAAAAGCTGTCGGGGTTTATTGTCAGGGCTTATTTAATACCCTCCACTACTGAGAAAGAAGCCTTTCAGACATACCTGTGTTGCCCTTATCTTCCCCATCTGATTTGAGAGAGAGAAAACAGAGGGGAAAGATACTTTTGCATATGCTTTGCTATGAAAAGAGGCTTGGAGCTGATTGAACAAGACAGAATTCCCTGGTGCCCCTAAAACAGAATTTCTTGGGCTTAAGGAACTGCCTATCACTGAAAGAGAGTAATTTTTTTTTAGCACCCTGTTAAAGGTGTCCATGAGCTAAAAGATCTTGTCACTGCTTCATTAGCTCAAGAGGAGAAGAGAAGTGGCTTTCACCAGCAGAAGAGTTTGTGTTTTCTTGAGGGTTTTTTTTTAATTCAGTGTTCTTCTAGGTTATTTTTAGTTGCATACCCAGTACATCAATCTCTTTTTCTCTTTTGTGAATAAAAATGTTTAGATACATAAATTTCTCAAAAGGACTTCTTTGGCTGCATCTCAGAAGTTTTTGATGTGTTGTCTTATTGCTGTGGCTATACTTATTTTACAGGAAAGGAAATAGAGTTTAAGCATCAAGGAGGTTAAGCATCTTTCCCTGCATCACACAGTTAGTAGGAGCATCTCAGGTGGGATTTAAGCCTCGGTCTTCTAGACTACAAATCCAGCACTCTATTCACTGTATTACACTCCCTGTCATGGGAACAGCTTCTCTTTCTGATTCCCCCACCCCCCTGACTCTCTGAATACTTGGACCAGCCATATTATTAGTTGACTTTTAATACAAAAACTAAAGAACATATACAAAAATTGGCATTGTTCACATTTCAGAATCATTAGATATTTCTTATTTTCCTGTCTTTCCCATTCTTATCTTTCCTAAGGTGGGAAGATAGATACCAATTACCTGGAAGATGTCTTCAATAAAATGAGAATACAATTTACTGATGAGAACGTCAAGAGGTACTGAAAGACGTGCCAATTGATGGTAAGTGTTCGGATACTATTGTGCCCTTCAGAGAAGCTTGGACTAGCTGGTTTACACGTGAGAACTTCTAGAGCTACATTTATTTGATGTTTCCTAAGTAGTCAGGAAAACCTATAGAAAGACCCATTCTAAAATAAGTAGAAATATTGGCCTTTGTCATTATTCTGTATGTCAAGAAAATGATCTCTTAGGATCATAGGTCATAGATTTAGAGCTAGAAGCGAAGATAGTAATCAAGAAGTCCAGTCCCCTCACTTTTTTCAGATTAAGTGAAGCCCAGAAAGATGAAGTGATTTTTCTAAGGTCGCACAGGTAGAAAGTGAAAGGGACCTGAACCCAGGTCCCTTGAGTCCACCCAGAATTCTTTCCACTACTTTCCATGCTACTTTCTTATGAGTGACACCAGCAGGATGAGTATAGATACTACTGGTCCTCCTGAAGAGGTTAAGGCTTAAGCAAAAGGAAAAAAAGAAATGAAGAACAAATAATAGTCTGGGGGAAAGGGAAGATAAGAGCTAAAGGTGATTGAAAATAAAGAAGTGGTTATAGTAGAGTGATAAAGTACCTTCAACAATTGTCTCACTTCTTGCCTTCTTTTTTCACCTAAGTTTACATGAGTTTTTTTCCTGCAAATTAATTCTGATGGGATAAACATACAAATGCTTTTTTATATTCTTAGAAACTCAAACAATTAAATAGATGAGTCCTAATGGCTTTTTCATTTTATCACTTGTAAAACCACTAGCATACCACCATGACAACCTAATTATACTACAGATGCATCCATGCTATTCTAACCCTCAAAGATGTTTGCATTGCAAACAGTCTACAAACAAAAATACCAGCACTATGTATTTAATCTCTTCCTGAGATATATTTCTTAGTTGAGCTCATGTCCCAAGATTAAAGATGTTATCTCATCATGCTATATCCCATATCAAGATGATTGGTCAGAGTAGGCAATGGGAATGTGGTGCCCTTCTATTTGTTCTTATTTTCTAAAGACAGAAGTTCTTTCCCATATAGTCCCTAGAAAGGAAAAGGCAATTGGACATTAGGCATTAATTTAAGAAAAATTCTTTGCCCTATCCTCAGTTCCAGGTACCTTAACTGTCTCTGGCTAACCAAAGCTCCAAATGTTGGTGCTTATTCAGGCCTGCCTTCCCTCCCAAAGGCTCCAAACTCCAAAGTTCTTTCTTCTCCCAAATTAAAACTTTCTTTTCCTTAGTATCATTAATTTCAGCTAGATGTTAGACAGGAATCAACCTGATTAAAATAATTTACAATGTGAAATTTATATTTTAGAAGTTGACACTCATTAACCCACATGAATCTCAAATCAGTAGAATATAAGATAATAGGAGGAAGATAATTTTAGGCAAAGAAGTCTGTCCACTTGGAAGCTTTGAATTATAGAGATTTGAGAATCTTTTGAGAGGACTCAGAGCAAACTTATGACTTGTCTGGTTCTTCCTACCCCACTGTCAAGTAGACGTTAGAACTGTTATCCCCATTCTGGTCCTGAGAGTCCTTTTCTTGTTTCTTAACCCAGACCCTGACTTGTTCCTTTGTTTTCACCAGTGCCAATATAACTCACTGGCCTATGACAGCCCAAATTAATTCACTAATCAGTAAGAATTTATTAAGCACCTACAAGGGATATAAAAACATAACCCAAAACAGTCCCTGTTCTCAAAGTAGCTTAGAATCTAGCTATAGGAGGAAACATAAACATACATTGGTACATGTAAAATAAATTGAAGATTGTAAGGATGGAGGGTACTAGCAGCTGAATGTATCAGGAATAGCTTCATGTAGAAATATGTAACTTGAAGTGAGCCTTGAAGGAAAGTGTAGGTACGGTAAGAGACAGAAGTGAAGAGGGTTATCAGATGGCCCATCCAAAGCATAAAGAAAGGAGTTGGAGAACTGTGTATGAAGAACAGTAAGGACAGTTTGGCTGGACTTTCATGTGCATGAAGGGGAGTAATGTGCAATGAGACTTGAAAGGTAGGTTGAGAACAAGTTGTGATGGTCTTTAAATGACAAGCAAAGCTGTTTGTCCTTTATACCAGAGGCAATAGGGAAGGAACCCTTCGAATCTGAGTAGTGGTCATATCTTCACTTTAGGAAAATCATTTGGGCAGCTGTGTGGAGGATAGATTGGAGAGAGGGGCAACCTGCAACATTCTAGGGGAAGGGGTAATGAGAGCCTAATCTAGAGTGATAGCTGTGTGAGGGGAGAGAAGACGATGAATTCAAAAGATGTTGTGAGAAATAAATTATATGATTTGGCAACTGATCGGATACGTAGGGTCAGGAAGTGTGAGGAGTTGAGGAGGAAATAGAGGCTGCACACCTAGATGACTAAAAGGATAGTGGTGTCCTTGAAAGAAATAGGAAGGTTTACAAAATGAGTAGATTTGGGAGGGAAAGATAATTATACTTTGGACATATCCAGTCTAAGATGCCTACTACAAAACATTGACGTCCTGTTGGCAGTTTGTGACATGAGATTAGACCTTAGGAAAAAGACTAAGTTAGAGATATCAATCTAGGAATCATCAGCATAGAGATAATAATTGAACTTTCATGGGAGCTGATGATATTACCAAATGAGAGTATAAAGAGAAAAGATAAAAAGGCCCAGGATAGAGTTTGGGGGAACACCCACAGTAAGAGAGTGGACAATATGGATGATAATCTAGTAAAGGAGACTGAGAATGAATAGTCAGACAGGTGGCAAAGGATTGAAAAGTAAGAGGAGAGGAAGCAGATGGAATAGTCACAATAACTTTTTCTAGGAGTTCAACTAAAAAAGGAAGAAATACAGAATGATAGTTTAAAGGAATGGTAGATTCTAGTGAGGTTTTTTTTTTTGTTAAGGATAGAAGAAACTTGGGTGTGTTTTAAGCAGCAAGGAAGGAGCAGTAGATGGAGAGAGATTAGAGGGAGGCATAGAGGGATCTACTGTAACATAATCCTGTCTCTAGCTTTAGCCTAGCCCTGTGTAGACTATACTTGACCATGGAGTTTACCTCTTAAAAGCTGGGGTGGGATCAGAGGAAGTAGACTTTGTGAAATGAAACAGTACATTCCTTAGTTCCCACAACCCCCATAAAATTCATGCCTTTAGTTCACCAGCTATTATTGCCTGAACTACTTCAGTGACCTAATTTGTCTCCCTGTCTCGTCTCTCCACAGTTTAGTCCATCCTCACAGAGCTGCCAAAGCGATTTCACTTAAACACAGATCTAACTCTGTCACTCCCCTGCTCAATAAACCTCAGGGTCAGGCTCCTTTTTGCATCTGGGATAAAATAGAAATGCTTTTGTTCAGTGTCTAAAGACCTTAACAGCCTGGCCCCAACCCATTTTTCCAGAATCGTATACAGTGATCCTCTTTCCACACTCTGTAATTCTCTGTTTCTCATACATACAACATTCCATCTTTCACCTTTGCTTTGCAGTCTCCCATGCCTGGAATGTATTCCTCCCTCAACTCTGACTCTTAGAATCTTTCTTCCTTCAACATTCAACACAAGGATCACTGTCACCACGAAGCCTTTCTTGATCTGTGTTTCTCAGCAACTAGTGCTCTCTCTTCCCTGTCTTATACTTAACTCCCTTGCATTTATTTTATATTCCATATACATATAGATGTAATATATCATATATGTGTCTATATTATAATATATACATATACATGCATATATGTTATCTCTCCTAATACAATGTATACTCCCTGAGTGTAGGGATTGTTTCATTCTTTGTCATTTTACCCCAGTGCTTAGCATAGTACCTGGCACATAGTAGGAGCTCAATAAACACAAGACGACTGAAACATAAAATGTACTCAGGAAACAAGAATTCATGGCAGAATTTGAAGACTTGGGTTCATGTCTATGATTCTGAATGATACAGTAGCAGAATGAATGATATGCAGAATAATTAGACTGAGTTATTGGCAAAAGCCTCATGGAGAAGGTGGAAATTGATCTGTACCCTAATGGAAGGATTGAGTCTAGGTGGAAAGGAAGAGACGAGAATTCCAAGGAGGGAGAGCAGAATAAGTTATCAATGAAGGCCTCCATCACATAGCAGCCAATTTTTCTTTGCTTGATTTCATGTTCATCTGAAAAGAAAATTAATTTCTGTAAACAAAACATGTGAAGTGGCCCTAGCTTTTATAATACATTTCATCATTTTAAAACTTTATTTTTGGAGTCTATGTCTGAATTGTTCCTTGTCTTACAGAAAATGGGATGTTGGAACTCAGTAAATTAATGAGTGCTTTGAAGGCTAAAAAAGGTAAGTGAGAAAATAATCATTTAGGAAGGCTGCTATAATACTAACGTTAGCTCATATCTACCCAATCCTTTAAGATTTACAATGTACTTTCTTCACACCTCCCTCACCCCTCCCTCATCAATCAGATGTTTCCACCCAGCCCTAAGAGTTAAGTTTGGGCCTGATTTTGCCTTGGGCCAACTGCTATCCCCATCATGATATGGAAGCATGCCTCCTTAGCTTTGTTTTGTATTTTGTTTTTTTAAGATTGTTTTCATATGTGGGGATTTTTTTTTCAAAAAGGAGAAAGGAGATTGTTAATGAGTTATGTCCTATTTGTCTGGCTATTTAAATTAAAAGCAATTTTTTAAAATTCTGGGGAAAAAACTTCCCTGTAAGGTGCAGGTATTATGTAATGTTATTATCCTCATTTTACAGATAAGGAAGCCAAGGTTCAAAATTAATCTCTGTCAAAACCTGAATTCAAATCCAGGTATCCCAGCTCCCAGTTCAACCCTCTTTCTCCTACAACATTTTATAATTTGTTTTACCTAATTATTATATAACTAATCCTTAAACACTCTACAGATATTGCTAAGCATCTTCTATGTCCTGGACATAGTGCTAAGCACTAAGGGAGATACAAAGATAAATAAAGAAATATTTCCCTGCCCTCAAGGAGCTTACAATCTAAAAGGGGAAACATTCCATTGCAACCTCTTTATTAGTTTACTGCTTGTATTCTGATAATCCATAGTTCTGCTTTAGTATAATTTTGGAAAATAAAGGACATCCTTGTAGCAAATCCCATATTCTCTTAAGGTTTTGAAAACAGTACTCTTCCTTTGTCAACACAGATTCATTCAAATTCTACCCACCCACAGCAAAGAGCATCATAGCAGGAAAAATAAACTGGTGAAGTTAAGTAATTGCTACTTCTGCACTTTGAAAAACCCATGGTTTCATTAGAACTTTCTTTACTAGAACAGATCGCAGCCTAGTGCAAAAGATGCTATGTCCCTCAGTTGCCAATTTTCTGGTTATGTGCCTCTTGGCTCTTAGTTATGTCCATCTATGAATAATAGTCCCTCTGTCCCCTCCCACCCCCATTTGCTGTTCAGCCTGTGTTTAAAGTCTTTCTAGTTTAGGTGGGACCTGGCTGAGTCTGTGCTTCTCCAGCATAATAACAGCAATTCAAAAAAACATTTATTAAGCAACTGTTGTATGCAAGGCTAGACGCTGGGGATAAAGAGACTCAAATAAAACCACCCTCTGACCTCAAAGAGAAAATATTCTACCCGAAGCAAGGCAACATGCACTTATTTATAGGGATAGAGATAGGAACTGTGATTTCATTGGTATTGAAAATGCCCAGGTAAAAGGGCATCTTCCTGTGCAATTTGTAGTCATAAGACTTATCTAGAACACTGAGAGGGTAAGTAATTTACCTGTGGTCACAAAACCCGAAGATGTCAGAGGCAAGTCTTCTCTATCTACTGCCCCAAACTGTAAATATAATTTGCAAGTAAAATACAGGGTATTTAGAGAATGGGTTGACTACTAGCAACTGAGATGAGTGAATATCAGACAAGGCATTACAGAGGAGGTAGCATGTGACCTGAGACTTTACGAAAGACAAGGATATTGAGAAATGGAAATGAGGGAGGAGTATGTTTTAGACGATGACATTTTGTGAATTCGTGGAGTTGGAAGATGATGTGTTTAGTTTAGGGAACAGCCAATTTGGCAGGAATACAGAGTTCAACAAGGGACAGTAATATGAAAGAAGCCTAGAAAGATAAGTTAGTACCAGAATACAGAGGGCTTCTTCAGTGCTAGGCTGAAGATTTTGTGTTTTATCCTAGAGGCAACAGGAAGTCACTCATGGTTTTTTTGAGCAGGCTAGTTACATGGTCAGACCTGTCTCTTCGAAACATTAATTTAGTAGTTATATGGGGGATGAATTAGAGAGTAGAGACATTAGAAGTAGGAAACTCAGCAATCTTCCCAAGAGACCAGTGATAAAGGTCTGAAATAGGATGATAATCATGTAGTTATGAAGATATTGTGCAGTGTCCACAAACCTTGGCAACTGAATGGATATATAGGGTAAAGGAAAAGCAAGAGTTAAGGAAGAAGGGGCAAGGAGGACCTGAGTTCAAATGCAACCTCAGACACATGATACTCACTAGCTGTGTGACCCTGGGCAAGTCACTTAACCTCGATTGCCTCACCCCCCCCAAAAAAAAGTTGGGGATGAGTTTGAGAGTATAAATCTGGTTGTCTGTGAGGATGGTGGTGCCTCCAATATAAATAGGAAAGTTTGGAAGAAAGTCGATTTAGGGAAGATGTTAACCAGTTCTGCTTTGAATGTCAGTGGCATAGCTAGGAGCTATCCAACAGGTTGTGGAGAGTTTAAGACAGGAGAACTGGCAACTGACAATATTAATTAGTGGGAGGTGATGAGATTACCAAGGGAGAGAGAATGTAAAGAGAAAAGGAGTCCTGGGCAGAGCCCTGTGGAGCACCCATGCTAAAGAGGCAGTCAGGGGGTAATTGATCTAGCAAAGGAAATTGAGGTATGATCAGATAGGTAGGAGGAGAACTAGAAAAGAGCAATGTCAAGCCAAGGCAAGAGAGTATCTAAGAGAAGGATGTGGTTAACGGCGTTAAACATCGTGGAGCAATCAAGTAGGATAAAGAAAGAAAAGACTATCCTGATAAGCAGTTACTGAAAACCTAGGAAAGATCAGTTTTCAGTAATAGAAGCCAGTTTCAATGGAAGCGTCAGGCATGTATGATTCTTTCAAGCAGTTTGACAGTGAAAAGGAGTAAAGAATTATGATGGAGCATGAAGGGGTAGCGGAGTCAATAATTCAGTTTTATGTAGTGCTTTAAAGGTTACAAAATGCCTTCCTCTCAACAATTAACCTCCAAAAATGCAAGATCAGCTTCACACCACAAACAGGCATCCAAGTAGGACTTTAATGAAGGAATTCAAGGGGCAGCTAGGTGGCATAGTGGATAGAGAACTGGCCCTGGATTCTGAAGGACCTGAGTTCAAATCCGGCCACAGACACATAACACTTACTAGCTGTGTGACCCTGGGCAAGTCACTTAACCCCATTGCCTAGCCAAAAAAAAAAGAAAGAAAGAAAATGAAGGAATTTAGTTAACATAGAAATTCATCTAAAACAAAATTAAAACACAATGACAAGCAGGCAATACTTATTAACCAGACAACCCTAATTCAGAGAACAATACCCTAAACCGCATTTTCCTATATTTATTATGTTGACTTATGTAGTAAAAAGCAATTGTCAGTGCTTCATATGTGAAATCATGCCTTTTTGGATGCCCCTGTGTTTAGAATGTTACACTTTGTATATCCTACATGAACAGTTGTTCGTATATGCAAGTAAAGATATTGACTAAAGTCAGTGATTGGCTTGGCTAGCCATTGGTCAACTGGACAGTAATTGTCCAAGAAGAAGGCCCATGTCAGGATGAGTGGAAAGGAAAAGACAGCAATTTAGAAATATAGAAAGGAGTCAGTTGAGAGACATTTGTAGAATCTGGGGAACTATAAAAACATATAGCTCAAAGATTTTTAAGAGTTAGTTAGGCCTACAATGCCATTTTCCTTGAGCAAGGTGGGAACTTGCAAACCAAAGCTGAGTTACTATTCTCCCAGTGGCCAAGGAAAGAGAGAAAAGGCTATTGTTTGGACTGAGGGTTGAAGGAGAATAGAAGTAGAAAGAGGATCCAGATTTCTTGGTGAATGAGGGGGAAAGGACTTGATTTGGGATCAAGGCTTCCAGGACTGAAAGCTCTATAAGATTATTTGTGTGGCATTTATTGTTTTATTTCTACAAGGCTAGGAGTATATTACCTTGCTTATTTCTTCCTATACCTATAATTTAGATAAGCTGCCACCAGGGGAATTGAGATGCTTGTACTGTAGTCTAGGACTAGGTGGTCTTCTGATTCAATTAAAGTGTGGAGACTAATGTGAAATCAAGCCTATAAGTACTTCCTTTACCAACCTTTGTCAACTTTCTGAAAATTATAGAGCCTGGCCTCAGAGATCTACAAGACATACTTGCTTCCCAGACCCCCTTTTTTTGGAACATTTTAAAACATATTAAAACAGAAAAGTACAATTTTTAAAAAGAGATTGATATATAGCAGTTTCTCCTCAACTATAACTGCCTACATGTATACTCACTACATTCTCATGTCTATAGTAAAATGGCCTTTATTCCTCTAGAGGAAATTGAACTGCCAATGACTTAACTTAAAAGTGTGAAGTGTGTGATCTCAGGTGAATTAGCTACATTCCCAGCCAAATAGGAATGCTTGTACCCATAAGTGGCACTACCTGTGTCCCCAGTTGATGGAGGGGAGGGGGGTGAAGGGGCACTGGAGAAAGATGCTCAGGTACACTTCTGGGCAGGCAGCCACATGGAGTGAGGGCAATTTATTCTGTCTTGCCATCTGGGAGCTTCCTATTTTTACTAATTATTCTTATTAACTAGGTGTTGTGTTCTACTGTTTCTGTGCTGCTACAAGATCGAAAGTGTTTTTTGTGCCTCTTTTATTTGGCTCCCTGGTCTTTTTCTTGTTATGGCACTGAGCCCAGAAAGGAACCAAAAGTCTTTGTGGGGCTAACGATGGAAATGGCAGTCAAAGCGTGGAAACCTTGACCACAACCTTTTTTCTGCCTTTTGACCGTGTCCCATTTATGTGGATTACAGGGACAAATGTTATGCCTGACTTCCTCATCAACACCTATCTCTTCTGTGTACATTTGAATAAATCTTACTGTGCCTTTGCATTTTACTCAAAAATTGGAAATAACAATACTCAAACATAGGTAGTAGTCTAAACATCTGTAAATATGGCTAAGAATTCCTATCTTTTGCTATGTCCATCTCTTCTAAGGCATGACGGTCAGTGTCGATAACCTGGATGGCATTCTGGGAAACATGGGAGTCGAGCTCACAAATGAAGAATTAGAGAATCTACTGAAAGAGATACCAGTTGACCGTAAGTATTTTGAAGCTCTTCTAGCCACATTAATCTTCAAGATAGCTTAGGCTTATTGGGAAACATTTCAAAAACACACTTAGCCACAAATCAGCAAATACTGAGTGCCTGTGGTGCTAAGTGCTGAAGAGAATACAAAAAAAATAAAATAAAATAATTCATAAAATTGTGGCAGCTAGTGGCACAGTAGAAAGAGTGCTCGACCTGGAGTCAGGAAGACATATTCAAATCCAACCTAAGATATTTACTAGCTGTGTGATCCTGGGTAAGTCACTTAACCTCTATTTGCCTCAGTTTCCTCAATTGTAAAATGGAGATAATACTAGCACCTGCCTCGAAGGATTGATATGAGGATCAAATGAGATAATAGTTGTAAAGCACTTGGCACAATGTCTGGCACAGAGTGGATGCTACATAAATGCCAGCAATAATGATGATCATGATTCCTTTTTTTAAACTTCCAAACATTAATAACTTAGATTCTAATTATGCTAGAAACCATCTACAATTGCTGTGAAAAGGCATAGGTTTTGTTTTCTCCTTATAACTGATGTAGCTTTTACTTTTTCTGTGGACAGATGCTCTCTTTTATTGTCTTAACAGCGTTTTGTGTTCATCACAAGGTCTAAAATAATATTATGTGCAATGTGTAATATAGTTGTCCTAATGGCTCAATGCTGAAAAAGACCTGTGATTTTAATGTAGATCACAATATAGATAGCACCATCCCAATTTAATTAGTTTCTATAACTATTTCATCATGTGTTAGCCAGCTCTGGTGGTCAATCCCTCCAAACTTAACTAGGCTGTGGCTTGAACAAGAGGTACACAGTCGATCCTAGGGTCCATGTTCTAAACCTTGCTTGAAACTGGTCAAAGCTTGTGTTCTATGAGCACAGATTTTTCTGAAAAGCCAGCATTGCTCTATACCACAAGGAGCAATCAAAATAAAATTTTAGTGAAGGAATTGTTCTAAACTTTAAAAAAAATTTAAAACATCATTTACGGTCTATTTTGTGTTTCCTAAGTAGAATTAGCAGCTAGATGGCTCAGTGGATAAACTGGACTTGGAGTCAAGAAAACCTGAGTTCAAAACCAGCCTCAGACACTTAGTAGCTGTGTGACCCTGGGGAAGTCACTTAACCTCTGCTAATCCACTGAAGAAGGAAATGGTAAACCACTTTAGTATCCTCACTAACACCATAGATATATGATCTACAGGGTCATGAAGAGTCAGCCGTGACTGAGTGACCAAACAAAACAAGTACAGAGTTTGCTAGGCACTTTCCTAAGTGCTTTACAATTACAGTTATCTCATTTGATCCTCACAGCAACACTGCAAAGTAAATGCAGTTATTATCTCCATTTTACAGTTGAGGAAACTGAGGCACACAAGTTAAGTGACTTGCCCCGGGTCACACAGATGGTAAGTGTCTGAGGTTAGATTTGAACTCAGGTCTTCCTGACTCCAGGTCCAGTGCTCTATCCACCGTACCACCTAGCCAAATTAGTGGAAAGGCATTAAAGAATATGTGATTACCCATGAGACTGATAGCTCTGTTTATCAGTGTGCGGCTAGGTAGGATACAAATCTAGAGCAAATCATAACAGTTTTGACTGTATAAGTTCAACCAACTTCAGAACTTTTCTCCTGTATTTGTGACTTCCCAAATGTGGCCACTGAGTGTAAATCATCCCTTGTGTTGCAGATTATGGAAACATAGACTTGAATACGTTGATCGACACTGTGAAGTCTATAAAAAGTATGTGAAAAGCCCTACAGAAGAACCATAACACTGATACCCTATACCATCATGTCAGCTGGATGCTTGTGTTATCTAATGACCTTAAATTCTGTTTTGGAGCCATCTGTGTGTGGACAGATGTCTCCAGTTCTGTGTCTTTGTAGCAAGTATCATCTAGCTGTCTGTCTCTATGTATGCAGTTATATATGTATGTGTTTACATATATATATATATTTTATATAGATGAATATTCTCTTCAGTTTTTCCAAATGATGTGACTCTCTCTATCACAAAAAAATCACAACACTGAAGTGAGGGATTGATGATTATTTGGGATATTGATCAGTGGACACAATATGGGGATTAGGATTTTTAAAAAAACCTATATATTGGCAAGAAAAAAAATAATTAAAATGGGAGACTACTTTTGAAATACTTAATATTTCCGTACCAAGATCTCTAACAGGGATTTAAAAAATTAGATCTTTCATATCGTTATATGTTTATCTCACAGGATTGTTGTAAGGATCAAATGAGATAACATATAAAGTACTTTACAAAACTTAAAATCATTATATGTGCTAAATATGGTTTTAATCATATCACCTGTGAGCTACTATAATTTGTCTTAATTATTTTAATGGCGAAGTTGACATGAGAACACATTTCATGCTACTTCCAGTTATCTTTCCCTTCGTTAAGTCTCTCTCACACACTTGGTAGGGAGGGGGCACCTCCAGTCGCCCTTTTCTATATCTTGCCACCGGACCCAGATGGTTCCAGAGGGGAAAGTGAGGCTGGTGACTTTGTACAACCCTCCCTGACTTAAATCCAATTCATTTGCCTGTCATGGCATCGCTTTGCTGATGTCACGGGCCTCTTCAAGAACAAAGAACAAACAGGAACACACACTTGGGCAAATCTTAATGTTGATACATTTTTCAGACTCAATTCAGGAATGGCAATAGTTGGTTATAAATGTTGCTTGTCACATGCAAGGGTTTTTTCTTTGTTTTTCCTAATGGGGGAAGGAGAGAGTAGGGGAAAAAGAAAATAGATTTTTGTTAACCAGGAAAAATAAAACAAAAAAATTTTAAAAGGATATAGAAAGACTCACCCCAAAGTAAGAAGACATCCTATCTCACATGCTCCATGTGAGGCATATTCTAGCCATGGCATATATATGCAAAATAAATACAAGGCCTTTGGGGGTCTAAGAGAGGCACCAGGATCTAGAGGGATCCAGAAAAATCTCATGTAAAAGATGGCACTTGAACTGAGATTTGAAGGAAATTAGGGATCCTAAGAGGTAGAGATAAGCAAAGAGAATATTCCAGGTATGGAGTACAGCCAGCGCAAAAGCACAGACAGGAAATGGAATATTGCGTGTAAAAATGCCACAAAAGTCATCTTGACTAGACCACAGTGTGTGTGAAGAAGGGTTATGGATAACAACACTGAAAAAGTAGTTTTAAATTCCAAGTAGAAGAGTTTCCCATGTTCATAGAAGGAAATAAGCTAGTGAAATAGGTTGATCAGAGAACTGAGTGGGCAAAGGAGTGGGGAAGAGGAGGAATATTCCTATGCTTTAAGACTATCATTTTGGTAGCTGTGTAGAAGGTGGATGGAAGAGGCAAGTAACTTGAGGCAGTTTCTATCTCACATGGTGTCAGTAAAACATATCTTAAGACTCTCAAGTTTTTATTGGTTCTAGCTGCCAGTACCACTTTCTTCTTCCCCTCTGAAGCTACCTGCGCCTGGTTCACAAAATAATTGATGGCCCTTTAAAAGACTAGGCCTGGAATAATCAATCCACACTTGCTATCCTGTAAAGGACTTGGCTTGGAACAGCACTACCTCTTGTGATGGTAGTTAAAACTCAGACATTCCCAGAGCAGCCAAGACATAAAGCTATCCTTAATACAGGAGGGGACAATTAGGGCATTTCTGCTAGACTGCCTCTCCTGATTTGGGCCCTTTTTCTTTTTTCCAGTTTTTTTCAAAGGCATATATATGCACTTGGAATATTTTTACCTACTAATGAAAATAAAAGAGATATGTTCAAGAGTAGTAAACAGAGGAAGGGGAAACCTTAAAATCAGTACAACTTGGGTTCAAGACCTAGCTCTGACACATCCTAGCTGTGCAACCATGGGCAAGACATATGACCTTTGAGAGCTTGCCCACAGGCAACTCTCTAAACTATAAGTTTCAGAAAAGTTGATAGCCTGGAACATAGTAAGCACTTAATAAATACTTGTTGTTTGTTTGATTGATTGATTGATAAACATCACTGGAAGGAATTCCATACTGGTGAAATCACAGATCCAGACAAAATAATAAAGAAAAAGATCCAGGCACATTTTTAATGGCTCATTCTTTCTGTTCACACAATTGTGCTGTTCAGCCATAATGGCGCAGTGATTCCAGCTACGTCCCATTCTACAGAGACCTTGAGAAAACAACAGTACATTTCTTACCAGCCAAAAAATGGGAACAGAAACAACAGAGTATACATTTCCTGTTCCCTGGACTTTAGCAATGTTAGTGAAAGTATGCCCACTATGTTACATAGATTATTTAGGTTCAAGTGTAGGCTTTTTAAGGGTAGGCAGTCTTTTGCCTCTCTTCGTACCCTGGCACTTATCACAGTGCCCAGCACATAATTAGGTAGGCACTTAATAAATGTTTACTGAATTGAATTGAACTGAACTGAATTGTGGGGTCAGCTAGGTGGCACAGTGGATAGAGCTCTGGGCCTGGATTAGGAAAGAACAATGTTCAGATTGTCCCTTGCCCCCTAGCTATGTGAACCTGGGCAAGTCACTTAACATCTATTTGCCTCAGTTTCCTCACCTGTAAGATGGGAATAATAATAGCCCCTACCTCCCAAGGTTGTTGTGAGAATCAAATGAGATAACAATTGTAAAACACTTAGCACAGAGCCTGGCACCTGGTAAGTGATGTGAGATATATATGTGTATGTATGTATACACATATGTGTATATATGCATGCATACATGTGTACAGATGTGTTAGCTATTATGAAATCCTACCTCTGATACATACTGTGACCCTGGGCCAGTCATTTAACCTCTAGGAAATTCTCTAATGCAGATAAAGTATTCCTTGTACTCATGAAATCACAGTTTCAGCCCCTATCCTTATTAGACAAGGAAATTCTATTAAGGTAAATTTGTTACTTTTAGAATAGCACTCCTCTATTTTAAAGGAAATTGGGCAACATAAAAGCTTGTGTCCACAGAATGAAAGGGAAAAGTAGTAGATTCTCCTTGCTCTTTGCCAACAGAGGTACTCTCTATCTTTCTACTATGTCTCATTCAGGGCAGGATCTGGGATCCAGAGATGTTTCCTCAGAGCACAACTTTGATTTCTAGAATAAGTTTTCTAATTAATTATTTGGGGAATTTGATATTCTATTAGAGGGAAGAAGCTACAGTAAAGGAAAAGATACTTCCATCATCTCATGATGACATGGAGGAAAAGTACAATTACATTTTGGGGAAAAATCATGAAAAATCCTCACCTTCCTAGACTATGTTTTATGGTTTCAGAATTTTATGCCATTTTGGTCATGATAAATAATATCACTGTCTCTCTAGATCACTGCCTCTGGGTCTTAGATTATTCCTTTTTTTTTCAGCTGATGGAAAAATAGATCAGGATAAATCGAAGGAGACTCTGAAGACTTTTAAAGGTGAGTGAGAACTTAGGGTAAGGAGATACAGTGAGAAATACCTGGCTTCAAATCCTGGCTCTGTTACTACCACCCATGTGATGCTGGTCAGACACTTTGCCTCTCGGGGCCTTAGTTTTCTCATTGTAAAATCGGAAGGTCTAAAAAGATGAGCCCTAGAGTACCTTACAGCTCTACATCTTATGGTCCTTTTTGACATCTAAAAACCTCCTCATATTTTTCCCTGAGCCAGCTAGGTGGTGCAGTGGATAGAGTACCAGCCCTGGATTCAGGAGGACCTGAGTTCAAATCCGGCATCAGACATATAACACTCACTAGCTATGTGACCCTAGGCAAGTCACTTAATCCCATTGCCTAGCCCCCCCAAAAAAAGTTTTTTTAATTAAGAAAAAAAAAGAATACCCTAGATGGGATCATGAAGAATCAGACGTGACTGAACAACAACAAATTTTTCCCATAATTGTCTTAATAAAGCCAACTCACCAATTTTTTCATGAGATCTTTGTATCTTATTACTTGTGGTTCTTTGAATACGTCTGCATTTATAGATCATCTTCAGCAATATAGTTTGTAAAAAGTAGTATGTTCTCTGGAACTTCATAAAATAATTTGATTCCTGTTCCCAATGTAGAAACAATCCAGTTCTAGGTCTGCATGACAGATAATTGAGGAATTGGTACTTACCCAATTAATTTAGTCAGTATAAAGACCCAATCTAATAATTTAGGTAAAAAAAATCAATAATTCCTTTTTACCAAAATGGTTAAATCATGGAATTTTCAAGCTAGAAAAGTCCTAGGAGAAGATCATAATGCCTTCATCTTTAGATCTGGAAATGGGATTAGACCAGATAAATGTCTTGACCAGGGTTACAGAGCAAATTAGTGACAGAGCTAGAGGTCTCCTCATGTCGAGTCCTGCTCTCTCTCTCTATTACACCATGCAATCTACTTTCTCCATTTGTTTTATGTACACTATTAGAGAAATAGCTTGCTATAAAAGATAGCAAACCAGCCTTGAGGTCACGAAGATCAAATCCTGCCTCATATACTTGCTATCAGTTTGACACCAAGTGAGTTGTTCACCTCTCTGTGCCTCTGTTTTCTCATCTGTAAAACAAAAGGGTTGGACTCCATGGCCTCTAAGGTCTTTTTCAAATCTAATTTTGTGATGCTCTGAGACTAGCCTCTCCGTGGCCCAGACAACTCTCATAGGCTTTTAAGTGACAGAACAAATGTACTGGAAGAAAGCATTTCCTATAACAGGGAAATTACAGGTCTGGTCAAAAAAAGAATACACTAGTTATTCATACAAAATAGACTTTAGGTCATCTCTCTTGAATCAAGATCGAAGGAATGGGTTTAATTTTTGATTATAGTCCTTTGACTACATGTCAGTTATCTTCACTTATTTCCCCACTGAAATGGGAAATGTGTAGGCATCAGTGACATTTTCACCTTCAGGAATCATTCATTTCCTCATTTTTGTGTTTCACCTTTCTTCTTTTTCCCTAGAGGAAAAGATTGATCTCCATAGCATAGACACATTTCTAGGAAACATGGGCATAGAATTCACAGAAGAGGAGCTTGAGGAGCTAATGCAGCATCTACCAATTGATGGTGAGTTCTGGTGTTAAAAGAATAGGCCTGGATATGAGAAATTTCTTCAGTTCCATTCAGTAATATTTATAAAGTGCCAACTATGTTCCATTCATCCTCATCTGATTCAAGCTTCTCCTGATTCTAAATTCAGAGCTTGTTCTACTATGCCATCTTTCATAGAAAGATTCTTAACAGTACCTTAGTGTCTGTGATAAGTAACGAATGATTCAGACAATATAAATTCTATGTCGACTTTAGCCTAAGTAGAACTGTCCCTATGGTTGCAGTAGTCAGGAAAGGCTTCGTGGAGAAGAAGGAATTCAGCCTTACGTGACAGGCCTTACATGACAAAATGTTTGAGCTGCTTGGGAATGAGATTAGGAAAGGACAGAATAATAACAACAAAGAGAGGAAGGCACGTGGCTAATGGTTGATTGAGGGAATGGTGAGTAAACCAGTTTAGCTAGTGCAGGGTACAAGTAAGGCACAGCTAGTACCTGTTTTCAGGTATGTTCAAGCCAAACTCATTATTATTTAAATATGCCCTGTGCTTTTTCTCTTCTCATCTTTGTTCAATTCATATCCTCCCCTGTATGTCAGCATTGCTCTTCTCCCCAGCTAGAAGTAATCTTTCACTATCGTCTCATCTCATCTAAGAAGCTAAGCAGGATGAGGCCTTATTAGTATGTGGTTGGAATATTGCCTGGAAATATCAGGTGTTATGGGTTTTAGCTCATTGTTCCAGCACAATGGAAAGTGTGTTAGTTTTGAAGTCAGATGACGTGGGTTCAAATCTAGACTGATTAGCTATATGACTTTGGGCAACTCACTCAACCACTATGGGCCTTAGTTTTCTCATCTGTAAAATGAGATGGTTAAAATGACCAGATGACTTCTAAGTCACTTCTAGCTTTAGGCCTAGGATCCTAGGAGCTCTCATAATACTTTGTACCTCTCAGATAGAAATTTTTGCATTTTATATCGCATTCTAGATATCCATGTATCTTCCCAAATGGATACTATGTTCTTTGAAGGCAGGGACTGTCTTAACTTTTAGCACAATGCCTTGCATATAGTAGGCTGCCTATAAATGTTTATTCAGTGATGGCATCTCACTTCACTACCTGAGTAATCTGAATTGTGCTTTTTATCTTACAGTTCATGGCAGGATGAATCAGGAGATGGTGATGGAAGCCTTGCAGAATTTTAAAGGTGAGCAAATAAAGTGATTTTTAAAAGTCTTGATCCTTCCTATTTTAGACTGTCAGTTTTATTTCCTAGCTATTCAGTTTAGTTCAACAGGCATTTACTAAGTTGTTTCTATGTGCAGGACACTGTGCTAGGCATTGGAATAAATGCAAAGTTTACAGAAGAGATGGCCCCTTCCCTTCTGACACTTCCTGTCTAGGAGTGAGGCCCTATGTGTAATTTTATTAATCAGACATCTCTGTACAAAGACTTCACATTTCTTTAGTTATACTTGAATATGGGCAAATCATCAACAGTTCTGTGTTGCTTCTAGCAAGTCCCACATTCCCTTTTAATTTTTTTCACACTTTCAAACATTCACTTGAACAACTAAATCATAGGTTTTAATGCGAAACAGTGAGATGAATGGGTGACAGTTCTGTAGTGAATTTGGCCAAAACTTTCTTTTAGGCTGAGTCTACTTCTCCTCGGCTGGAAGTGCAGCAGCCACTCGCCAGCCCAATTCCACTAATTGGCGCAGAAATCTCGCCTTGCTCTGTTTCTGACTCGATGGTTTGCTCCTGCTTATGCCTGAAGCCCCACCTCTACCTAGTGCCCACCATCTTGGTGCCTGACTTAGAGTGGAGGCCTGTCAGCTTAGCCCTGCCCCAGGCTCAGAACTGAAGCCTCAGCTTCCCCAGTAGCTGGGATATCAATGTGGGCCGCTATGCCTGATAGCAGACGCAGCTAATCTGATGCTTAATGTGACAAAAGAATCAAGCCAAACTTGTCGGTCAGATTCTCTTAGTGTTGTTGAGTCGTTTCAGTCGTATCTGACTCTTCGTGACCCCATTTGGGGTTTTCTTGGCAAAGATACTGGAGTGGTTTGCCATTTCCTTCTCCAGCTCATTTTACAGATGAGGAAACTGAGGCAAACTCGGGTAAACAATTTAAGTGACTTGTTCAGGGTTACACAGCTAGTAAATGATTGAGGTCAGATTTGAGCTCAGGAAGATGAGTCTTCCTGATCCCAGGTCCAGTGCTCTATCCACTGTACCACCTAGATGCCAACACAAATTGTACATGTACGAGGCCAAATTTGAACTCATGTCTTCCTGACTCCAGGCCCAGCACTCTTTCCACTGTGACACCTATGTGCCCATTCTTTTAGAATGTGCTGTCAAACCCTACTTCACTACACACCTTATAGCTTTATCTTTTGAGGAATAAGACAGTTACATGGACCAAGGTAAAGGGGACAGGTTCTATTTATGGCCTCCTAGTAGATTTACTAGGTGTGCTTGAATAGGTCTTCTTTCTTTAGTTTAAGGAATTATGAAACATAGACATAGAGAGTGGTTGGTACCTTTCATACTTAAGCATTATTATATTATATTACTTTATTCTCATTTTTCATTTTCCCCTTGTTTCCTAAGGAGGAAAGATGAATGCCAGTAATTTAGATGTGGTTCTGAAAAATATGGGGATCAAATTCACGAATGAAGAACTAAATGAAATTTTGAAACAATTGCCAGTGAATGGTGAGTCTTTCATATTGTGCTCTACAGAGAATCATAAGGTTTGAGAAGCTTGGGAAGTATGTGAATGAAGTCAATAAGCATTTATTACGTGCTTGCTATGTTCAAGGCATTGTGCTAAGCCCTGGGGATACTGAATTGCCAATTCATTTATGGAATAAGGGAATGGGACCACGAGGGGGACCCTCTGGGTCAGGTGTGGGAGCCTCCAGTTCTTTGGATGCTCACCAGAAAAGATCATAATGGCAGCGAGTAAGGAGCAAAGTTTCAATCACACTTTAATAAGGGCACAGAGAGTACACAGGCAAATAGCACAGAAAGTAGAGAGAAATGGCACAGGAGCATGGGGCACAGAGGTAGACAGCATGGGGAAGGGAATGGGGTGGTGGAGGAACCACAGATAGGAGATAGAAAAGTGCGTGGGGGGCAGAAGATTGGGGTCTCATTTTTATAGGATTATATATGCATGCTACCTTGGGGTTAGTTCATTAACATATCCACATCATCTCAAAAGTTATCTACAACATTTGATGTTCTCTGCTGGTGTTACTGCAGATGTCTGGAGCTTATTTTAGGCTTACAGACCATGGACAGTTAGCAGGACCAAAGGGCCCTTACAATAAGGCCTAGCTGGCTTCTCCTGATTTAGCACATAATCTTAGGATGTTACTTTAGTTAATTTATAAGACAATTTGCAAACAGTCTATGGACAGTCTGTAAGTGACTTTTAGGTTTCCTCTTTGCAATCTTACTTCTAGTTATTGTTATTTTATATTGGCTACTTATAAACTTATTATGTTAACTAAAAGTGGGGGATAGGTTCAGGCAGACTAGAACAAAATACAATTTTAACACAGATACAACAAAAAAGTCCCTGCCTTTAAGGACCATACAGTCTAGTGGGGGCAGCACCATGCAAACAACTATGAATAAAAAAGACATATACAGGACAAATTGGAGATAATCTCAGAGAAAAGAAACTAGCATTAAGAGGGATCAGGAAAGCCTTCTTACAGAAGCTGTTAGTTTTAGGTGAGACTTGAAGGAAGCCAAGAGGCAGCAATGATGATGATGATGAGAGACAGAGAGAGAGAGAGAGAGAGAGAGAGAGAGAGAGAGAGAGAGAGAGAGAGAGAGAGAGAGAGAGAGAGAGAGAGAGAGAGAGTGGAGAGAGAGAAGGAGAGAGAGGGAGAGAGAGGGGGAGAGAGAGGGAGAGAGAGAGAGAGGGAGAGAGGGAGAGAGGGAGAGAGGGAGAGAGAGGGAGAGAGAGAGAGAGAGAGGGAGAGAGGGAGAGAGAGGGAGAGGGAGAGAGAGAAAGGGGAGAGGGAGAGGGAGAGAGAGAGAGAGGGAGAGAGGGAGAGAAGAGAGGAGAGAGAGAGAGAGAGAGAGAGAGAGAGAGAGAGAGAGAGAGAGGGAGAGAGAGAGAGAGAATTCCAGGTAGGAGGACAGCCAGAGAAAATGCCCAAAATCAGGAGATGAAATGACTTGTTTGAGTAATAGCAGAGAGGCTAGTGTCACTGGAATGTAGAGTAGGTAGTGAAGAGGTAAAATATAAAAAGACTGGAGAGGGTGGGAGGAAGGTTATGAAGGGCTTTAAATGCCAAGTGGAGGAATTGTATTTGATCCTAGAGGTGATAGGGAGCCAGTGGCATTCATTAAATGAGGTGTGGGGCTGGACATGGTTAGACCTCAGTTTAAGAAGATTAATTTGACTGCTAAGTGAAGGATGGACTGGAGTGGAGAGAATCTTGTGGCAGAAGGATCAACCTACAGGTTGTTGTAGGATCCAGGCATGAGGTGATAAAGGCCTGTTCAAAGGTTGTGGCAATGTCAGAAGAGAGGATCCAGGCATGAGGTGATAAAGCCCTGTTTGAAGGTTGTGGCAATGTCAGAAGAGAGAAAAGAACATATATAAGAGATTTTATGAAAGTAAAAATCAATAGGCCTTGGCAAGAAAATAGATATAACAATGAGGAGTCAAGGGTGAGAGAGAAAGAGAATTTGAGTGGACTCTTGCCTTACATTTATATAATGCTCTACAGTTTACAAATAACTTTATATTTGTCCTTCACAAAGAACTAAGTGAGATAGTGCAACGATTATGATACCCATTTTACTACTGAAGGAACTGAATCTCAGAGATTAAGCAACTTGCCCAAAGTCACATAGTAGTAAGAGGCAGAGCCAGTACTAAAAACTCACATCTTCCAACTCCAAATTCATCGTTCCACTATCCTCGAGCTACTGCTTAGTGCCACCAACAGTCTCCACAAGGGCCACCAAAGGTACCTGTTGTTTGAGAAAATCAATTAATTTAGTTTATATTTAATTCCATTCTGTAATTGCTTTCATTCTGTAACTGCCTGAGCCATGTTTCTTTGTCCCTGAGTTAAGTTCAGAAGTTCATGAGTCCAGAAGTTCAGCTTTCCTTTCTGAATACGTTGTGCCATTAATCACTCTAATTCAAAGAAATATACTATCTTTACACATCTTACTGCCCATGCACAATGAAGGAGACCTGTTACCTTACTAAACTTTCATACCTAGGTACAATTAAGAGAGATCTGTTATCTCACTAACAAACCTCTCAAGATGCAAGTGGGGGCCAGGAAATCTGTTATCTCTGCAACACTGGCTGTCCTCCAACAAAGTCTAGCTGTGACACTAACTAGCCATCAAAGGGTGGACGCCACCAATGAGTTTTCCCTGGCAACAAAATGGAAGGAGGGGCTGTTGCTAGTGCTACACTCCAGACTACCATCCAAGCATATTGTTTTCCATCATCTAGGTCACTTCAAACTTTGTAACCTGTATTATTTTGATGCTTCCTGTTCTTTGTTCTCTTGTACTGCTTGAAACTATGTGAAGGCTAGTAAGCCCTACCTTGTGGACTTTTGGCTGACTGAGGAGCCAAGAGGACCAATTTATTGGTTACTGCTAGCCTAATAAATTGAATGTGCTCAGAACTTTAATTTCAGTTGCAACACATTCAATCATTCATCTACTTTATTTTTCATTTTGTTTTGTTTTGTTTTTTGCATTTTTTGGTGAGGCAGTCGGGGTTAAGTGACTTGCCCAAGGTCACACAGCTAGTAAGTGTTAAGTGTCTGAGGCTGAATTTGAACTCAGGTCCTCCTGGCTCCAAGGCCAGAGCTCTATCCACTACGCCACCTAGCTGCCCCTCAATCATTCATCTAGCATCTGTTGAATACCTATGTATATGCCGGACACTATGCCAGGCACCAGAGATACAAAGACAAAAATAAAATAGTCACTGCCCTCAAAGAACTTATACACTCCTGGAAGACACCATATGTACATAAATAAGCACAGAGAGTAAATACAAGGGAAATGGTAGCTGGGAAGACAGGAAGTACTAACAGCTGGGAGATCAAAAAATGCTCCATGTTGAAGTTAGTGCTTGAACTGAGCTTTGAAGGAGACAAAGGATTCCCATGGGCATAGTGCATTTCAGACATAGAAAATTGCTTGTGCAAAAGTATGGTGAAAGAAAATGGAATGTCAAGTGAGTAACAGCAAGATGGCCAAATTGGCTGGATGTACATTAAGGGGAATAGTGTGTAATTCTAAGGTGGTTGGAGCCAGGTTGTGAAAGGTTTTAAATGCCAAACTGGGGAGGTTGTATCTGACCCTAGAGAGAATAGGAAGCCATTAGAGTTTATTGAGTAAAGAAATGACAAGATCAGATTTGTTCTTTAGGACCTTGGTGTCTATGTAATGGGTAAATTGGAGAGAGGAGAGACTGAGGCCTGGAAACAAGTTAGGAGATTTTTACATTGGTCTAGGCAAGAGGTCATAAATGCCTGAACTAGGGGAGTGGAGAGAAGGGATCAGATGTGAAAGATGTCATAGAGGTAGAAAATAGCAAAATCTGTCAACGAATTGGATATGCTGGTTTAAGGGCCAAGTGACGAGTCAAATATGACTGACCCCTAAAGTTTCAAACAAGGGTAACTGGAAGGATGGTGGTATTTTTGACAGAAATGCAGCAGTATGAAAGATGGGTGGCCACATTCAACTTTAGAGGTCCATTAAATAGCTCGTGGTACAAGATTAGAGTTTGAGAATTTAGGTCTGGTATTATAAATCTTGGAGTCATCTGAATAGAAATGACAATTGGGAGCCAATGAGATTGCTGTCTATGGAAAGAGAAGAGATGAGAAGAGAAAAGGGCCCAGGCCCCTTGTAGAGTATGCCCACAGTTAGGGAACTAGGTATAGTTGAAGAGTCATTAAAGAAGTCTGGGAAGCAGTCAGAAGAGAACCACGAGAGAGCCGTGTCACAAAAACCTAGAAAGGAGAAAAGAATGTCCAGGAGGAGAAGGCAGTCAACAGTATCAAATGCTGTATAAAAATGGAGAAAGGGTGAGGCCAGAGAAAAACTCATCAGATTTGTCGATTAAGAGATTATTGCTAACGTTGGAGAGAGCAGTCACCGTTGAATAATGAGACCAGAAACCAAACTGCAAAGGGTAGAGAAATGAGAGTAAATAAACTGGAGGCAATGAGAGAAGACAGGCTTGGTTTTGCTGCTGTTGTTCTGTGGGCAGTGCTGCCTTGTAATGGAGGCCTTTTCATCAAAGCAGGAAACAGCATTATTAAAGAGAAAGGTTCTCATACTACAAACTATGGCTAATTTGGAGTCAAACAGTTAAGTATACCCTAGGGTGTTGAAACTCTATAGCTTGCTCAGAGTCTTCATCACAGTGGTGCATTTAGGGGTGCTCCCTCATTTAGCTGTGGCCAAGGGCACCAACTAAAACTCCCCTGTCCCAGTCACTTTTGAGGGGGCAAACGAGACACAAAGCAGCAGTCAAGATTCATTAATGTCCACTGTGGTCCTGGATTTCTGAAGCACTATCAGACATGTTACCTCCTCAGTTGCTTAGCTCCTTCTCGTACTGACACAGTGGGAATGTGGAGGAGAGGGAAGCAACAACATGCCTCGCCATTCCTGGATCATGCTTCAGTGTTTGGCTGAGCTATCACTGAGGAGCAAACCAGACATTTGAGGCCGCTAGGTAGCACAGCTGATAGAGTGCTAGGCCTGGAGTCAGGAAGACATGGGTCCAGATCTGGCTTCAGATGCTTACTAGCTTTAGGATCCTGGGCAAGTCAATGTCTGTCAATTTCCTCATCTGTAAAGTGGGAATAATAATAGCACCTACTTTGCAGGAGTTTTGTGTACATCTATAATACTGTAAAGCACTTAGCACAGTTCCATGGCACATAGTAAATACCATATAAATGTTGCCTATCATCATCATCATCATCAACAACAACCATATAACAACCATCACAACCAACCTGAAAATTATAAGACATTTCAGATTGGTACATAAGCCAGGAATGTGCTTTTTATGTGCCCCGTGATTATTTGGCAGTCCTTCTTAGTATAAAATATCTGCATTCAGTTCAAGAATTATCATACACAAACTAAATGAGGTATGAGATAATCAATGTCAAAGTGCTTTGAAAAGTATAAAGTGCCTTGTAATTGTAATGGTTTGTAGTATTATTGTTATTTTATGTTAATTTCCAAAGTTATTTGTTGTAAAAACAACACCACCACTATGATTTGTTTTGATTCAACTAGAAATATGCCCATGAGAACTCACCAAAATGTTCCTGGGACACCTATGCCCTTGAGAAAAGGAGTCAACAATTGGGACTATGTGACCCAACCCAGGGCTGTTTGAATCTTACTCAGAAATTCACTACGGACACTATTGCCATTCCTTTTGATAATATTTTCTTTGTTCTACGATTTTAGTTACAGTACACGTCCTCCTGTCCAGTAGTTTTGTCTGTTTGTTTTGACCCACTAAAGAAATGATGCCATTTACAGTGTTTCTTTCTTTTTCTTTCTTTTAGAATCTAGTACACACAAGGTAACCTGATGGTACCATCAGAAATGTTCAATGTTACCATGATCTAACTAAAATAATACAATGGCTTAAGGAGTTTCTTCACTGGGAATTCTCCATGATGAAATCAGATCTAATCACTCTATTCCCTCACCCCAACCCTCAAAAAGAAAAAAATTACACCCAAGTATTAGTCAGGGGGACTCACTAAAAGGAATTTTGTGCTTTAAAAAGAGATGTTCTGTTGTGCAAGGTTAAGGTTGCATCCGCAATTGCAGTTAGGAAGAAAAAGGTAGGAGATCCTTCTGTCCGTGTAGTTGCAGTGTGAATAATCCAACCCACTTCCCTTCCTCTCCTTCTATTCTGCTGGCTTTCTGTAGAAAATATACCACCTCTTTTGGAGGCTGTTTCTGGTTCTATGTCTCTGCTGCATGGGTAGAATCTGATAAGACTATATATTTTAAAAAGAAGTCTGGGAACTAAAAAGATGTAGCCATTACATAGAGAGATTTCCCCTTTTCCCAGCTTCCTTTTAACTGGACCAAGAGTTTAGGGAGAGAAAAATCATGACAATTGCAAGATTCCAATGGAATACTTTTATTCTTTGGAGCATCACTACCTGTGTATCTGAATTGTGCCCTGTTTTACAGCCGATGGGAAGGTCCAGATGAGCAATTTGATGGACTCTATACAGGCTGTTAAAGGTGAGTGAAAATTGTGATGAAAAAAGTTAAATAAAATGAGCTCCTGATGTGTGTTGGATTTTTTTTAAACTATGTTTTTCTACATGATTTTCCTGAGACTTACTGATGAGATATTTTTTCTTGTAGAAACATTTGTTTCATTTCTCCTACATTTTGAAAAATAGTCTTCATTATTCTGTGCTTTCACTAAGTCTCATGTGTCCTGAAATTTTTCCGGAGTAACATTTTTTCCTGTTATGTAATATGGCCTTGTGGATAGAGAGCTGGACTTACAGCCAATAAGCCCTGGGTTCAAGTACCACCTCTGATATATACTGGCTGTGTGACCCTGGGCAAATCCTTTAACTTCTGTAAGATTCTGGGCAACTCTTCAAGACCATAAGTTACAGAGAACATGCTGACTTGCATTGATAGAGGGAGTTCTTTACCTGGAAGTTTCCTATATTAATGAAATCAAAGACTCTCCATTTCTATCCCTACCCCCATCACTCGTCCCTCTTATCTAGACACAGAAGCACAAAGCCAAGCTTATATAGATGGAACAGTGGCCCCTAGTCACGGGCCAAACACTCCTGAGGCCCCTTACTACCCCTCCAGAGTTCCTGTCTGTGTCTATCTGTTTCTCTGTGTGTCTCTCACAGTCTCTGTCTCTCTGTTTCTCTCTTTTTCTCTCTCACACTGACTCTCACTCTCTCAGTATCCCTGTCTCCTGCTCTTCCCCTCTTTCTTAGGGATAGGAGAGGCTAAGCTTCCAGTTTCAGTCTCATTGCTCTCTAATAGTGAGCCACTAGTTAAATAGGTAAGCCAAGAATTGGCAATTGTGTAGGAATTTAGATGAGTAGAAACAATTAAGTTGGGTATTCAGATTCAAAAAATCAAACCCTGCCTATTGGTCAGAAATATATGCTGTTATATAGTAATATAATCATAAAATAATGGTAATTATTTATGTTCATATATTTAACAATATATAATAAAACATGGAACTTTCCAATTCCTACTTCCCTGTTCACTGTGTTGACCCACCCTTTGAGGTAAACTATATTCTTATGGACCAGGATTAAATAAACTAATTCTGTTTTGTTAGTCTTGTTATGCCTTTTCTTATTGTACTGAAGGGAAGAATATGATTGGGTTTAAATGTTAATTTCCTACTTTAATCATTAGGTATATCACTTATTTCCATCTTTCGCTATTCCCATCTTTTTCAAGGAGAGAAGATTGATGTGCAAAACTTGGATAAACTACTAGGCAATATGGGGGTTGAGCTTACGGACAAGGAAATTAAGGAGCTGATGAAATACCTGCCAACTGATTGTAAGTGGTCTAAATACATAGTGGTCTAAATACCACAGCACCATACAGAGGAGCGTGGGTTTATGATTTGTTCATAAGGATTCCTTCATAAAGATGATAATTGAACCCATCAGATAGAATAAGATCACTGAGAGTAGAGAGAGATGAAAGGCCAGGACAGAACCCTGAGAGACACTAATGTTTATGGGACAAGAAATGGATGATCCAGCAAAGACAAAAGAGTTGTCAGATAGGTAGGAGAAGAGTGGTCAGACAGGGTATAAGATGAGAACCAAGAGAGAGCAGTGTCAGAAGCCAACAGAGAGGCTATCCTGGAGGCTATGACATGGAAAACTGCAGAAACGTCTAGAAGGTTGAGGATTGACAAAAGGCAATTGAATTGAGCAGATTTTATCTCCTCTCTTATGACCAGTAGCTGACCTTAAATTAAAATTCTACATAGCTACGTATTCTACTAGACATAACCAGAAACAGGAATCAAATACATTAAAAATGAGGGGGTATGAGAAAGGAAACTCATTATGCGGCTCTTCTGTTCCTAAAAGTACATACTATATTTATTAATCAGCTGCAGAGCTCTGTTCAGAGCCCAAAAAAAATAGTCAGGTACTTGTGAAGAGTGTCTCTTCATCTTCCTTCTAAAAAGTCCTGAATCCAAGACCCTGAAAAAGGACAACACATCACTAGAGTACTTGCTATGATGCACATACATATTGTATAAGTTGGGTATTTCACTGAACACCTTGTACTACATTCAAAAGACATTTGAGTCATGAAATGGATCAGCTTATCACTTTGAAAACTTTATCCCTTAGTTCCATTCTCACTTGGGGGGTGGGAGGGGATAAATCAAATCAATAAAATAAAATAATCAAAAAACTTCCTAATTTTCATTAATTCTATAATTTCATAATTTTTATATTCATAAATATTTATAAAATTTTTGTCGCTGTCCCTGGATCAGACCTTTGTCTTGTCTTTCAGCTAAAGGAACCATGTATCAGAGTGATTTGCTGAATGCCTTAAAGCACTTTAAAGGTTAGTGAGAAGACAGGTAAAGCTGAAACCTAGAGATTTTGTATTTAAAATAAAAAGAAAACCCAATGCCCATTTTATTTCGCTAAGGTGGGAAGGTTGATGTTCATAACCTGGACAATGTGCTGAAAAACTTGGGAGTTAAACTCACAGATGAGGAACTTCAAGAGGTGCTAAGATTTATGCCAATTGATGGTAAGTATTTCTGATACCACTGCAGCCTTCAGGGGAGCTTGGGACTACACAAGAACATTTCTCAGAAGGTATGAAACATATTTCACATATACAAGATCTGGAATACATTTAAAAAGATATAGAACTAAAATGAGAAGTCCTGTCCCATGCTGATGCTCCTTACACCAAGGGTCAGCACCCTCACAGCCATCATGACACCCATCATGGCTCTACAGAAATGCCTGAGAGTGATACTGGGACTCCAGGGAGAGAAGGTATGCAGTAGGGGCTAGGAGGTGGATGGAGTAGAGAATAAAAATAGAAGGGAAAAGATCAGAGAGACAGACAAAAGGAACAGGAAAGGAGAGTTTCACAAGGTAGAAAGTCTTCAAGTCCCATCCTCCTTCAATAATTCCCTCCATTCTGGCCATTAAATTTGATTGGCTGGTGAGAGGCCCAAGTGTTAGCGGCATCAAGAAGCTAGATGAACTAGCTCTACTCTCTTAACTCGGGGCTCCCATTTTTGATGCTGTCAGTTACCCATTTGTTGAGTATTGTTTTCAATTTGACACAGCATGTCTGTCCTATGCATGAATTGTGCCTTTTCTTATAGCTTATGGGAAGATGGATATAAGCAAACTGTTGAAAGAAATTAAGGCTATTCAAGGTGAGTGGCAGATTATGATGCTAAGATAAAACTGGCATCCTCATTCTTTAGAATTCTTTTTTTAATACATCATCTTGTCCCTTCACCCATCATCCCAGCCAGTTATTAATATAACATTTATGCCCGTTGACCTTCAATTTCTCTCTGTAGGCATCTACAGAAACACTCCATGACATATATCTTTATATATTTCTGCAAATTTGCTATTTTTTTAAACAGCCAAATTCTAGGTCTGAACAGCACACACTGATGCAGAGATCTGATATTTTGCCAGTAAATTAGTTCAATATAGAAACAGATCTCTAAATTTAAGTGAAGAAAACCAAATCCTCTTGTTTGTTCACTGTCATTCAAGGTCTGTACCTCCTCCTTCTCCCCCACATGATATTTCTCCTCTTCCCATCCCCCTCTCCCAATCCCTTTTAGATACCCAACAATCTTTTGTCACCTTCCCATCCCATTATCAAAACCTGCTCTGAGGAAGGAACCTATTATCACTCATTTATACCTTAGCATAAAGTTAAATCAATCTCATACTTTATAGAAGGCTACAGTTATTTTTTTATAGAAAGCTATAATTACACTTATTTCATCATTTTACAGATGTGGAGCCTCATTTACACAAATCTTATTTAGGGTCCAAGTTAACAATAAAACCTGGGTATTCTGACTGCTAAGTCAGATTTTTCCATTAAACCACATTTTCAGTATATGAAAAACAAAAACGAAAAACCAAGGTACAGCTAATATTTGATCTTTAAACATTGAATTCAGAATGTTAGCTAGCCATTAAACTATGAAGCCACTTGTATTTGTCTTTTAAGCCTTATCTTTTATTGTGAAAGGATACTATTTGCTCCCTAGTAAAGGACTTTTAAGCATTAGCTAAGAGGATAGAAGAAGGCCTGGGAAAGACCTTAATTTAGAAAGGTCAAGGTCATCCGATGCACCTGGGCTATTACCAGTTGTGGTGTTGTCGTTATTCCTTCTTCATTTTCAAAGAGGATCATTATGGGTAATGTCTTGGCTTGTGCGTGACTTGGATTTAAGTGAGGCAGAGCTGCACAGATCTATGAGCTTCGCTCTCTCCTCCAGAATCATCAAAGTCCAGAGGCAAGAAAAAAGTCAAAGGGACTGGTGATGGCCCAGGATGCAGCGAATGACCTTGACCTTTCTAAATTAAGGTCTTTCCCAGACCTTCTTCTACCGTCTTAGCTAATGCTTAAAAGTCCTTTATTAGATTTTTGTTTTGCCACTGAACTTTGATGACTCTGGAGGAGAGGATGAGGCTGATGGCTCTGTGCAGCTCTGCTTCACTTAAATCCAATTCAAGTGAGAATCAAGACATCACCCCACGATGTCACTGGTCTTTTTTGAAAACGAAGGACAAACAACAACAAGAGAGAACCTAGTCATAACAAGTGGCATACCTGTGTTTAAGACAAGCCCAGTTATTTGAGTCACTTCTCTATGTGACCCTAAGTTGCTGGGTAGTACCTTATCTGTCCTTGGTTAAATTTCTCTGACTCTAACGTCAGGGTCTCCATTTAAGTACAAAAGCGTTCCTTCTTAGTTCCTCATTACACTTTTCCTTTTAATGCTGAAGTTGAGGGCAGTGATGTAGAAGTAGGTTTTTTTCATGCTTTGCAATGAGTAGGTATTGTTCTCATCTGCATCTTTCACTATTCTTTTTTAAGGAGAAAAGATTGCCATCACTGACATAGACAACCTTCTGAAAAATACAGGAATTGAGTTGTCAGATCAGGAATTTCAAGAGCTGATGAAAAACCTGCCAGTGGATGGTGAGCATTTATGACACCACAGTATCTTTTAGGGGAGCTGACCCTAAAACTACACGTACTTAATGACATGTGAGGCATCTGATACACGTGTAAAGATGCAGTTTTAATGGTGCAGTGGATAGAGGCCTAAAGTCAGGAAGATCTGATTCAGACATTTATTAGCTGTGTGACCCTGGGCAAGTCACTTAATCTCTGTTTGCCTTAGTTTCTTCAACTGTAAATTGAGACTAATAACACCTGCCATGAAGAGTTGTGAAAATCAAATTAGATAGTATTTGTAAAGAGCTTAGCACATTGGTAATAGGAGCTTAATAAATCTTATTCCTTTCTCCCTGAATATTCATTCAGTGACCATTTCCCAGTACTCTTTAATCTTAACGCTTTCCCTCTGAGATTAGGTCCAATTTATCCTTTATGTATATCATTTTTACATAGTTGCTTATATATTACTAGACTGTGAGCTCCTTGAGGGCAGGAACTAGTTTTTGCCTTTCTTTATATCCCTAGCACTTGGCACAGTGTCCGATACACAGTAGGTGCTTAAATGCTTACTGACTAACTTACTGAACTTGTTACATGCAGAGTAGTATCCTAGCATGCTGGGAATAAAATACAAGTAAGACATGGTCTCTGCTGTCAAGGAATTTACAGTCTGTTAGAGGAAACCAGAAAAATTTGGAGTCAGAAAACCTAAGGTGAATCCCAGCTCTGCTATTAGCTGCAAGTCATTTGACTTCTCTTGGATGTGGTTTTCTCTTCTGTTTTAAAGGGAGGGAGGAAGAAGGAGGAGAGAAAAACAGAGAGAGAGAGGGACAGATAGAAAGACAGAGACAGACAGAAATAGAGGAAGAAAAAGGAAAACTAAGAAAGAAAGTGAGAAACTAAGACAGAGACTAGAATATATTATCTCTGCTAAAGCAAAAATTCTTTTTTACAGATGATATGATGGTCTACAATAGAGAATTCTAGGGCAGCTGGGTGGCACCGTAGATAGGGCCTATAGTCAGGAAGATTCATCTTCCTAAGTTTAAATCTGGCCTCAGACACTTACTAGCTGTGTGACCCTGGATAAGTCATGTAACTCTGTTTGCCTCAGTTTCTCATCTGTAAAATGAGCCAGAAAAGGAAATGGCAAATCACTCCAGGATCTTTGCCAAGAAAACACCTTGAGGAGTCAAACACAACTGAAAGTTGACTAACCAATAACAACATAAAGAACTCTAAAGAGTCTATTAAAAACTATTCAAAACAATAACTTCAGCAAAAGAGCAAGATAAAAAATAAGCCCACATGAATTATCAACCTTTCTGTGTATTAGCAACAAAACCTAGCAGGGAGAAATGGAAAGAAAAATTGCATTTGAAATAACTATAGAATTTATTAAGTATTTTGTATTCCATCTACAAAGTCACACAGAGGAACTATAGCAATACGATGATAAAATACTTTTTACAGAAATAAAGTTAGACTTAAGTAAATAGAGAGATTAATTGCTCAGGGTTGGGGCATTTCAATATAATAAAAATTACAAAAATACTTTAGTTAATTTAGTATAAACTATGAAAGTTTTACCTTATAAAGCTAGGGGGAAAACCCTAAAATTCATCTGGAGAAACAGAAGTTCAAGAATCTCAAGGGAAATAATGAAAAATACATAAAGGAATGGAGCCCAGAAATACCAAAATGCAAACTATACCGCAAGGGAATAGTTATCAAGATGGTTTGGTACTGTTTAAAAATATAGAACAGTTGAGTAATGGAATACATAAGAAATATCACAGCATGCAGAAATACACATAGTAAAAGTGTTTGATAAACACTAGACCCCAGGTAACAACAAAAACTGATAGGAAAACTGCAAAGCATTCTGGCAGAAATTAGGTTTAAACCAAAATCTCATATACCACATTAAGCCCCCGGTATATACATGACCTAGATAGAAAAAGTCACATCATAAACAAAAACAGCAAAAAAGGAAATTTCTTTTAGATATATAGGTAGGGGAAGAATTAATGCCGTAATAAGGATCATAAAGAAAAAATTTTATTTACATAAAATTGAATAGGTTTTGCACAAACAAATTTAATACTGTTAAAATTAGAAGTAAAACAAGCAGCTAGGAGGTGTTTAGTGTCTTCTTCTGTTTACTCATATTTTAGCCTTAGCTCATGTGTTGGGACTTTGTGCCAGGGCCAGGATCCATCATCTCTGACATTCTTAGAAGTGTGGAGTAAGCCCTATTTGTTCCTGTCTCCTCTATAGCCTGTATCTCACTGCTGCTGCCATTCTAAGAAGGGTGTCTGGTACTAGGCCATATCCTCTGCCTCAGTCCCTGGCTTCTGTTTCAATCTCCTGATGATCCATTATGGGTTCCGACTATGACCCAGCTCTGTTTCCTTGTCCTTATACAATCCCCACTGGGAGGTTGGTTCCACCCCCTCCTGTAGCCCTGACAAGCCCTAGTCCAGTGTTGGATATTATACTAGTCTTGGGCCTCCTGGGAGGCCTCTTAGTGCAGGCTCCCAAGTGCTGAATTGGTCCTGCTTCTTGCGGTGGCTCCCAGTGCTCCAAGGAGCACTGTCGAAGACCCATCCTCCTGTCTTATGGACCTGTGCAGGCTGGCTTTGTCCCTGTTCATGGTTCTGACTTCAGGCCTCAGTTACCAGAGTTTGAGCTGCCTGACAATCCTGACTGAGTATCTTTCTTTAGAGCACCTGGTAACTTCAGGCCTCTTCACTCCAACGTACCTTCTGGCCAATTGTTTTTTGAGTTGCTGAAGGAACTTTATTTTTGTTTCTCTTCGGTTTTCTTTGTCACTGATGTATATGCGGCCCTTTTTAAATATCTTTGGGGCAAAGGGGAGGGTAAGAGGTGGAAGAGCTGGTGTCTTCTAAAACCTTGCTTATTGACATTTTAACAATAAATAATCCCCCTAAGTACAAGACTGATCATACTCCCCCACTTACAAACCTTCAGTAGCTCCTTATCACCTGTAAAATGCCTGTTTCTTTAGCCTTAACATTTAAGGCCTTTCACAATCTAGCTCCAAACTTTTTTCATACTACTCTCCTTCACAATCTCTGTGTTCTTTCCAGACTAGACCACTAAAGCCATCTTGACTTTATCTCTCTTCCAACTCTGAATTTGCATAGTATTACTCTTATTACTTGTTATACTGATTATTAAATGCACAGACATCCACCCTGACCATCTTGCCATCCCTAGCCTCACATTCTGCCTCTTCTTCTGGGCATAGTAATCAAGTCAATGCTACTATTCCTTAAGAAAAGAGCCCTTAATTGAGGGCTCTAAGGATCAGCTCACCATTCTTGGAACTCTTCAAACCAAAATTCCCTTTCCTGGACACCTTTCTCCCCCTTTTAGAATGTGAAATCTTTTAAGGCAGGGACTAGTTTATTTTTTATTTCTTTATCCTCTGCTCTTAGCATACTGCTTGACATATAGTCATAGTAAATTCTAAATAAAAGCTTTTTCATTCCTTTATTAATTCATTTAGCAAGAGGCAGGAGAAAGAATGATGCTGGCACTGAGAAAGTAAAGGCAAATCTATGAGGAGAAAAAGAGTGAGGAGGTTTTGGGTTTTTTTGTTTTTTGTTTTTATTTTGCCTTTATAACCCACTGAGGAGACAGCTTAAAATGATTAGAAGTTTCCTTTTTGGATTCATACGCATTGCTCTTTGCATACTGCTTGCCATGATCATGTTGGTGTTGTTCAATCATTTTTAGTTGTGTCCAACTCTTCATGACCCCATTTGGGGTTTTCTTGGCAAAGGTATTAGAGTGGTTTGCTATTTCATTTCCTTCTCCAGCTCATTTTACAGATGAGGAAACTGAGGTAAACAGGATTAAGTGACTTGCCCAAGGTCACACAGCTAGTAAGTGTCTGAGGCCAGATTTGAACTCAGGAAGAAGAACCTTCCTAACTCTAAGCCCAGCACTCTATCCCACTGTGCCACCTAGCTCTCCACGTAGTCATAGTAAGTGCTAAATAAAAGCTTTTTCATTCATTCACTCATTCATTCATTCATTCAGCAAGGGGGAGAAGAAGGAAAGATGTTGGCATTAAGAGAGCAAAGGCAAAAATCTAAGAGGAGAAAAAGAGTATGAAGTTTTTTTTGGCCTTCATCATCCACTGGGGAGACACCCCGGAATGACTGGAAGCTATAAGAATTGTTTTTGCCGTACTGTTCTGTGCTAATAAAAGTAGCCCTAAACTCTCTGCCTGAGATTCAGATACTTAAAGTGAAATAAAAAATCAGCTGGAAAATCAAGTCCAGGGTTCCAAAAATATAAGGTTTTTGTGATGGCTGATTCCATTCTATTGAACAAGAATTCATTAAGTACCTCCTATACCCAAGGCATTGTGCTAGGCATTGGAATTACAAAGAAAGATAAACCGAAGAGCTCCTGCTCTAAAGAAGCTTGCATCCTATAGGAACTGTTTAGGATTTCTGCCTTCATTTGTGACTGCTGACAAAGTCTGAAATGGATAAAGGGAAGGAGGAAGGGAGCAAGCATTTATTAAGCACCTCCTGTGTGCTGAGGGCTTTACAAATATTATCTCATTTGATCCTCACCACAACCCTGGCAGGTAGGTGCTATATATGCTTTATAAGCAGAAAGGTTTATCTTTATAAGATAAGATTGGCCAGGAAGAAGGACAGTGTATTACAATTGAAAGGGGACTTAGAGATCATTTATTCCAGCCCACTCAATTTATAGTCAGTTGGTCAACAAGCTTTTATAATAATAGATAGCATTTATATGGTGCTTTGGTATTTGCAAAACTCTTCACAAATATTATCTCAATCCTAGGTAGGTGCTATTAAAATCCCCATTTTACAGATGAGAAAAATGAGGCAGGCAGAGTTCAAGTGACTTATCCAAGGTCACACAGCTAGGGTCTGCAGGATCCTCCTGACTCCAGGTCTAGCCCTGCCATTTTTTTGAACTTGGCTTTTCAGATTTATGTGGAAAGGCCAGGAAAGATTCTACTTTGTGTACTTTTGCTCGGGTACTGGAAAGAACTAAAAGGTTTTTTTGTTTCTTTGTTTCTTTGTTTTCTCAAATAGGTTATTGAGTTTCCACATTTGTTTTCTATGTGTGGTCCCAGTCCCAAAACTCTGATCCATAAATAATAGCAATAGTGATAACTAACATTTCTCTAGCACATTAAATTTTTAAAAAAATAAATATTTTGTTTTTCTTTCAATTATATGTCAAAACAATTTTGACATATTTTTAAAGTTTTGAGTTCCAAATTCTATCCCTCTTCTCTGCCCCCCCCCGACAGTCAGCAATCAGATAGGTAATCCAAGTGCAATTATGTAAAATACTTCCATATTACATTAAATTTTTCAAAGCACTTTACATAATCTCATTTGAGCCCCACAACAACTCTATGAGACAGGTGCTGCTGGTATTTCTTGGGTCTGGACCTAGGATTTCATTAACATAGATTCCCAGTGTGGAAACTCCCTCCACTAATGCAGATCCAACAACTTGTCTCCAACATAATCTTATGGAATGTGGGCTTGGAGCCCCGAGAAGGTGACTTCCCTGTGGTCACACAGCAGATAGGACTTGAACCCATGTTTTCCTGTATCCAAGGCTGGCCATCTATTCACTGCCTCTTCTCTCCCACTACAATTATAATCATCATTATTTTATAGATGAGGAAACAGACCCAAAAGTTTAAGTCAGGAAACAAGCTCAGAAAGGTCAGGCAACTTATCTGTCTGTGGTCATACAACTACTGAGTGTCAGACGTGGAATTCCAATGCAGAACACTGTGCTAGATGATGAGAAAGATGTGTTGGCTAAGACACAAGTTAAGAACTCTGTCAGCTGATATAATGCACAGTGGATAGAGTGCTGGACTTGGAGATAGGTAGCCCTGGGTTTGAATTCTGCCTCAGACACTAGCTAAGCTCTTAAGTCCCTAGGCAAGTCATTCAGTTTCCTCATCTGTAAAATAGGAATAATAGCATCTATTTAATAAAGTTGTTGTGAAGATCAAACAAGATCATGTAAGTAATTTTGCAGTTGTTCAGTCATTTCAGTCATATCTGATTCTTTGTGACACCATTTATGGATTTCTTGGCAAAGATACTGGAGTGGTTTGTCTTTTAATTTCCTTTTCCAGCTTATTTTACAGATTAGGAACTGAGGCAAATAGGGTTAAGTGACTTGTCCAAGGTCACCCAGCTAGGAAAGTGTCTGAGGCCAGATTTGAACTCATAAAGATGAGTCTTCCTGATTCCAAGCCGTGTGCTCTAGCTACTGTGCCACCTAGTTGCCCCAACACAAGTGCTGTGGAGAAGCCTTAATATACTATGTAATGTCAGTCATTATTACCTGTTATTATGTTACAAAAGAAGACCTGAGACTGTTAGACCTAACACCAAAACAGAGCCCCTGATGTCTAACCCTGTCTTGTGTAACAGCCTTCAAAGCTGAATTCACTAGGGTTTAGAGGGAAACAGAGAACACAGTTTGATTAGTCCCCTCCCAAGTGCCATGCACCTTAGTGCCTAGCCATGGAAAAAATCCTGTATATCACAGTTTTGTGAGATATGTATTATATCGTTGAATATTATTGTATGGGTGAGTATTGAACTCACCAGGCAGATTTTCAACTTTAAGAGATGTCCTGTGACGCAACCAAAAAGCTGGTGTCCAGGCTTTTGCCTTAATGGGAAGGAATAAGCAGTTGGTCCTTTTTCCCCTGTGTAAAAAAAAATATTTCTGAGTCACTCCCTTCCATTTTCCCCTTTCAAAATGGCTATTGGAAACTCTGGACGCTTCTGATCTGAGTGATAGGTCCAGCTCTATAATAGAGTATCAACATAATGCCTCTGAAATTAGATATCTTGTGGCAACAGATTTTAGATTATTTAAGTGAATGCATTCAACAAAGCTGACCTTTTTGTTGACCCTCATTTTTGACCTTCATCTCTAATTTCTGTACCTTTGAATTGGCTGTCCCATATCTGGAAGGTACTCCTTCTTTAGTTTCACATTTTAAAGTCCCTCTTTTCTTTCACAATTCTCCTCAATCATCTCCTATGATGAAGCTTTTCTGACTTCCCTAACTGCTGAAATTAGCATTAACATTTATTTATTTTATATATGCTTATGTAATTGAACACTGTAGTCATTGTCTAATGGTGAACAGAATCCCTGCATCTTCCCTGCCTTGATTCTTTGGGGAGCTGCAACAACTTGGTAATAGGCTAGACCAGAGAGTGGCTAATAAACTAGCACCTCCCATTCCTAAAGGGGAAAGAGGAATTAAAGAACAGAGAGCAGCATGTAGACAGGTCACTGGACAGATGCAGGAAAGCTGTGTGACAGATCTCTCAAATGGCAACTGCACAGAGGACTGAGAGGTGAGCATGAAAGAAAAAGAAGAGTAAGCAGCGCCCACAAGACACAGATTTGACAAACAGCAGAGTAGGTGGATGGGAGAGGCAGACATCATACATATGAGCTGTCACCACAGAAGTAAAAATGGAGCCACAGCGATTAAGCTGCCAGTGCAGAACTGTGGGACCATGAGACGTGTCTGAGCACACCTAAGGCTTCTTATTTCCCCAGCTTCTTTTTTTTATCAGTAGGGAAAACACAGTAAAAGTCTAAGGGAAAGTGTAACTTTCTAACATAATCTTCATAATTTTGGACCTTTGTAATTTTCATGAATCTTAACTTTCATCTATCTTACTGCTTCTGTGTCTTTTTTTTAACAGCCAAAGGGAAAGTCCTTCTTATTTCCCCAGCTTCTTTTTTTTAGCAGTAGAAAAAACATAGTAAAAGTCTAAGGGAAAGTGTAACTTTCTAATGTAATCTTCATAATTTTGGACCTTTGTAGTTTTCATGAATCTTAACTTTCATCTATCTTACTGCTTCTGGGTCTTTTTTTTTTTACAGCCAAAGGGAAAGTCCTTCTTAGTAAACTTATGGAATGCTTACAGACTTCTAAAGGTGAGTGCAAAGCATGATGAGAAGACAAACCAACCCTGGAACATTTTGCGTTTGTGTGATTCATTTTCTATGGCTTAAGATAGATTTGCATTTTTCCCAGATAATTCACCGGGCATTGTGTCTTCCTAGAAAGTTCCATCATGTCTGTAATCAGAGAATCACAGAATTTGAGAGTTGGAAGGGACCTCAGAAGTCAACCAGTCCAATCCATACCAGAAAAAAGAATCCCCCCTCCTTACTAAATACCCAGGAAGTGGTCATCTGCCATTTTCCTGAAGTCCTGTGGTAAGGGAGACAGTGCCATCTCCCAGGGTTGCCCATGACACTTTGAGATAGCTCTAAGTGTAAGAAGAATTTTCCCAAAATCAGTCCCTTAATTTTTGCCTCTTTGCAACTTCCACTCATTCCTCTCTGAACCAAAGAGAACCAGGCTAATTCCTTTTGCATATGACAACTCTTTAAATACTTCATAGCTGTTATTCTCCACTGCCCAACCCAGGACCTCAGCCCAAGTCTTCTCATCTCTAGACTAAATATTCCCACTTCCTTCAGCCTGTCCTGATACAACATGTACTCGAGTCCCTTCACTGTCCTGGGGACACTCTCCAGCTTAGCAATGTCGTTCCTTAACTGTGGTACCCAGATCCCAGGCTGTTAACCACTATGTGATGATGCATTTCTAACTCCCTTGTGTTTTTCCAGACTTTGATGGGGGAAATATTGAAATCAAGGGTCTGCATAGCACAAACTGAAATGGTGGATTCATAATTCTGTATTTAATTCAATCAGGAAAAAACCAATATGGGAATTCAGGCAGTAGAGACAAAGTCAATTGATCAAGAGAAGGATTTACTGCCATAATTCACGGAACAGTTCCTCAATTCCCTCCTCCCTCCTTTGACTTTTGATTCACCAGGATAGTGTCCAGGGGCAGAATTCAGTTCCCAAGTTATATTTCTGAGTCTTCCCACTCTTAGATCACAGGATCACAGATTCACAGCTGAGCAGAAATGTAAAAGTCTTCTAATCCAGCCCAACTAATTCCCTCACTTTAAATATGAGAGAACTGAGGCCCAGAGAAGCTAAATAACAAGGTCACAAAGATAGCATGTGGCAGGGCTATGGACTCCCTGTTTTCATATGGACAAAGAGACAGCATGATGTAATAGAAAGTTGTCCTCACGCAAGTCTTGTCTCTTATTTTCCTCCATCCATGGTATCCATATACTTGGTAATGCTGGTAATACAACCAAGACCACTGTCAGAAGATTTAGTGTTAGAGGGCCTGTGTTCAAATCGTGGCTCTTCCACTTACCACCTTTTGTGACTGTGAATTCAACAGACACTTGTCAAGTACCTACTCTGTGTGAGGCACTGTGCTAGGCACCAGAGATACAAGGACAAACATCAAAATAGTCTCTGCCTTCAAGATTACATTCCACTGAGTGGATAGAAGATATAAAAAAGTAGGTAAATGCAAAGAAGAGCCAACATGATACAAAATTATTTCAAAAGAGATAGAAATGGTGCTAATGATGTCACCTCTCCTCTCTGGGGCTCAGTTTGCTTGTATGTAAAATGGTGGGGTTGACTGTGTGATTAACTCTAAGGTCTCTTCCAGTCCTAAATCCTGAGTCCCATGGGTCTTTGTTCCTCACGCTGAAAGTAAAACCCATTAATAATGAGGAAAAAATTTTTTTCACATTTTAGAATCATTGAGTAATTCTCATATTCCTGTCTCTTTTCCTAAGGAGGCAAGGTTAATGTCCATAACTTGGGTGACTTTCTGAATAATATGGGGATCGAGATCACAGATGAAGACTTTAAAGAACTGAAGAAAAATTTGCCAGTGGATGGTGAGCATTTTAAATACCCCTGTGCCTGTCAGGGGAGCTTTAACTTAGGGCATTCTGTGTGGATAATTCTAAAATCACATTTATATGATGCAGATATTGTTCCAAAAGCTTAGCTAGAGCTCAAATACTAAATACTCATAAGTCTTGTCTTGGATCATTTTCATTAACTTAAGATCTGCAACCTTTTCTAAGATGGTGTCTTCGAATATGTGTAATAAATAATGCTGGTAATATTGGCCCAGAAATGGACAGGAAAAGTGGGGGAAATGGACTATAAGAGATTAGACACTGACAGAAAAGAATAAGTAGAAGAGAAAATGGAGGTACTGATTGTGGGGAGCGATAATAAATCCCACCAGTGGTTAACTCAAGTATATAGTGGCCATGTTTCCAACCAACCATTCCAAGACAGATAACAAGCTGTGAGATGTAGGAAGAATATGAGAGAAGTGAGGTCCTCTCCGTTTACTGAGTGAGCCAGTGTCTGTCTTAGGAACAAGTACACTAGTGAATCTGTCTCATGTGGATAGCATGTCCCTAAACTATGCCTCCTTAAGCCTAAATACAAAACCTCAAGGGCTGAAGAGAGTATATTTTCCCTAAGACTAAATTCTACATGAAGGAGAACACACCCTACTTGCCTCTTAGAATACCTAGCTTTGTCAAAAGCTCATGTCAAGTTCTGCTTCCTTGTCTTTGTATTCCTAGTATTTGGTAATCAAATTAGTGATATATTAATTGATTGAAAGAGACCTTTCCTGATCCTCCTAGTTAGCATTTTCCTTCCCCCCCCTCACCTCCACTCCTATCAACCACCTTATATTCACTTTGTATCTTTTATATTTACTTAATATGTGAATATATTCTCCTCCTCCCCTTCCCCCCATATAAATTCCTTGGAAATAGGACTTTTTTCTTTGTTTTTGTCTTATATCTTTAGCACCTAGTACTGTTCCTTGCAAAAGTAGGTATTTAATAAATGTTTGTTGAATTTCATCCAATTGAATATGGAAACAAATCCAGAATGATGGAATTACTTAGTTTCACATAGTAATGCATGTCTGAAGACAAGTTGGCGTATATTGACCTGGAAACCTACTGTCAGTAGGACTCTAACTCTGCTACTTCCTACAAATGTGTGCTTGGGACTCTCTTCTCTGGGCCTTAGTTTTTCATCAGTAAAACTAATTAGATGACCTCTAAAATTCCTTCTGGTTCTGGACCTATAATCCTAGGATCCTAGAAGAATCCACTAGGGACATTCTCTGGAACATCTGCCTCTTTTTAATTCTTTTCAATTCAATAATCATGTATTACACACCCAAGACTCTGTGCGGTGCATTTTGCTGGAATCTAGAGGAACAGTTAGATGTGTGTAGAAGTTTTCTATTCTCTTCCCTCTTTTGAAAATTGGGACATTTGCTTTTTGTCTTTTGTCACAATCTTTCAAATATCACTGACAATGGCTCAGCAATTTCATCTGCCATTTCTCTCCAGATCCAAGGTTCTAGCCAGGTGACTTGAGCTCATCAAGGGCAGAGAGCTATTTCTTTATTTATCTTCAGTATATTTCTTCAAACTGTCCAAATCAGTTGCTTTTTATAGTTTAAATTTTTCTTCTTTTTTAATCACTTTATACAATTTTTTATTGTCTTAAAAGTTGTGTTCTGTTTTGGTTTATTCGACCCATTACTTGAGTAGTTTTCTAACTTCTAGTGTAAGTTATTTATTCTCCTTATTTTTTCTTCCAGAGCCCTTATTTTATTTATAATTCTATTTTTATCTTTCTTCCAGGTACTCTCATAGTCCTATTATCCCCCTTACTGGTCCTGCCTTCCCTCTATTGATTATCTCAGTTATCCTATATATCTGCATATTTTATTTGTACATAGTTGTTTAAATGTTGTCTTCCCCATTAGACTGTGAGATTCTTGAGAACAGGAACTCTTTTGCTCTTCTTTGTATCTCCAGCAATTATTATAGCACCTGACAATATAATAAATGCTTATTGATTGAGATTTGTTTTAAAAGGAGGGAATCATGAAGCCAAAAAAGTACATTTGTTTCCAGAATTTTGATGAACAAGAACATGGTAGCACCTTCTTTCTCTGCTGTGACAACAGAGCAGTGTTTCTGGGCCACTTTTCTCTCCATAAATACTTTGGCTCTGATATTATAGAAGATGTGCTGATGTGAGTGCTGGTTTTGTTTCCACAACGTGTTTCTGTTTTACTGTGGAGACTGAAATATTATAGGAAAGAACATGAGAAGCTACATTAATGGAATGAATGCACCAACTGCAATAGAAGTTGTCTACATGCCCATCTAGGAAAAGCATAGGGTGAAAGTCTAGGGTCCATGTTGGAAATTATTGAATTGTTATCTTTGGTTTCATCATCTCAGAATTTTATGCCACTTTTTCTACCATTTAATTCTTACATGTCCAAATCATGCCTTATCTTATAGCTTATGGGAAGATTGATCTGAGTACACTGATACAAGAAGCAAAAGCTTTACAAGGTGAGACTTTATGGTGAGAAGACAGGTAAAATGGAGAATCCTGATGCTTCATATTAGTTAATTTTTTTTTAAAATGTCATTGTTGGATTTTATTTTTATACTCCTTAACCTCTCAGCTCCTTATAACAAAGAAAAACAGTTAAGCCAAACAACACTAATTGTGTCTGACAGCATATGCCACATTAGACCTCTAGTCACCTCCTCTCTCCTGAGAAAAGGAAGGTATATCTTCTTATCAGTTCTCCAGCACTGAAATTGTTCATCAAAGTTTGAATGCTTTTTAGTGTTATCGTTTAAATTATTCTAGCCACTGGGCATTATTCTCTCAGTTCTGCCTTCTTCTCTCTGCATCATAGTCCCAGAGCTAGTAAACTTCAGGGTGGAATTTGAATTCAGGTCCTCCTCTTGACTCCAGGGTGTAGCATTCTATCCACTATACAGCACAGAAATGAAAATGTTTATAGTTTAAAGCTGTTAGATCTTAAAAGGCCCATCTTTTACCAGTCCCTTCTTTTCTAAACAGAAAAGCATGATATCAATGATGTGGAAAATGTCCTGAGGAGCATGGGCCTGGAGTTCACTAAGAGCGAGCTTGAGGAGCTGCTGAAAAACTTGCCTGTTGATGGTGAGCATTTCAGACACCACTGTGTCCTTTTGGGAATGGGAGAGGACTAGGCATGGGGATTTTATAGACCTGTATGTGAGAACTTTTAAAACTTTCTTTTCAGGTAAGAAAATCTGAGGGGAAAAAACAGAATAATGCAAGAAAATAATACAAGATGATCCATCTTTGTCACATAGTTTTTAAATTTGGGGATCTATAGCCTTTTCAGCCATGAATCATAATGAAGCTATGTCCATGACTGTCATTGGGCACTTACTGGCCTGTGACATAAACAAAAATAGAAGAAACAAAACTAAAAGGAGTGAGAGAATCGTATTAGAAGGGAAGAAAGAAATCAAGAGAGGCAGGGCAGAGGGAGAAGAGAGGAAAATAATGGCTAGTTGGCATCTATATAGTGCTCTCAAGTTTAAAAAGTGCTGTGCATATGTTACCTCACTTGATCTCACCATAAGCTTTGGAAGTAAGTGCTATTACGATCACCATTTTATAGAGGAAGAAGCTGAGGCAGACAGCAGTTAAATTACTTTCCCAGGGTCACACAGCTTGTAAGTGTCTAAGGCAGGATTTGAACTCAGGTGTTCCTGACTCCAGGTGTGCTGCTCTATCCACTGTGCCACCTAAATGCCAAAAAAAAAAAAAAAAGGAAAATAAAGGCATACGGGCCTCAGCAAAGTACCTGTAGTATCATCGTGACTATGCTCCTTTTTTAGTTTTCCATAAACTCGTATGTTATAGGATCCTGGATCTGGAGCTAGAAGAGCCTTCAGAGGCCTTCTAATCTAATCGCCTCATTTACAGAAGACCAAATTGAGCCCCGGGGAGATGTAAGGCAGTTTGTCTAAGGTCGTGGTGAGAATCAGAAGCAGAATTTGAACCCAGGTCCTCTGATTCCACAAGTTGCTGTATACTCCTTCTACTGTATAACACTGCCTCCTGTTTTCACTTTTCTGCTTCCACAAAAGCAGCATTTTTTTGTAGCTAACATATGCATCTCCTTTGCTAGTAACTATGATGCTTCCCTACTCGCTAATGAAAAGGAGGCAGTATCTTCTTTGATGACACTTTATGTCTGCCACTTGTTACAGCCATGATGGTCCAATGGTACCGTTAGTTACCTTTTTTTTTTTTACCATAATCAATTACTGTTAAGTCAACAAGCACCTACTATATGATAGACAGTATGCTAAGTGGTGAGGATAAAAAAAAATGCAGATAACAGTCCCTACTCTGCTAGACTTAGCAAAAAGTAGGAGGGCAGAAACATTGGGTTTCCATGTTCTTCTCTTCCTGTGTTTCCCCACATTTATGTAGATAGTCAGTGCCTGTGGACCCCGACACAGTGTTGTGACTGTGCTTTTAGCAATAGGAAAAATGACCCTCTTGGAAAGACTCAAATATGGCCTTCTTTCTGAGGACCAGCTGCAATAATCATAGGTCATTTGTAAGCTGGCCATTTGGTGGAGTTTTTTTAATAAGGCAGTAGAAACTCATATAACAAGGCAATAAAAAGTGATTTTCAGTCCTATGAATCCTTCTTCCACTTCTGCCTGCAGAGACAGTGGAAGAATGTCAGAAGAGAGGACAGAGGGTATTATGAATCATATAGCTGGCATACCAACAGTCAAATTAACTCTGAGAGCCTTGCCCAATGACCAAAATGTATGGCTAAAAGAACAGAATCATCAAACATTGGTGAAACCAGAAGAAAGAAGGAAGTGCAAACAAATGAAAGCTATAGTCATACAGTTAAATAGCTTGAAGAGGTAAAGAAAGAGGCTGGTAAGAGGTGGTTTTATCATACATCCAAAGACAACAAGAAACATGATTTCATGGAATATTTGGTCATCCCGTATAGTAGAACTAAGGATAAGTATTCAGGATAAGGGAAAGAGAAACATCAAATATTTGTAGACTACGTTCTTCAAGCCTTTATATCAGGAACAGCTTCTTCAAGAAAAGAATTGGTAGGTGCTAGGGTTGGCAAGCACCAGAGGAGCATTGCAAAAAAGAAAGAAAGAAAGGAAAGAAGGAAGGAAGGAAAAGAAAGGAGAAAGAAAAGAAATAGATTATATCTAAAACATAAAATGACTTATTGATGTAAGAGTAATCACTGGATCAGCTGTGCACAATAAGACCACTACTTTTCAAGAAAAGATCAGAATATAGCAAGAATACATAAAATAATATAAAAATCAAGAATATAAATAGTGAGGAAGAGATATGGCATACATTTGAAACAACTCAATCTTGATTATTTAAACAAGTAACTAACAATGAAAATGGAAAATAGACATCAAAAAAAGACATGGATGGCCATTAAAAGGCAGAACTTAACCATTCTAAATCTATTGCCACAAGAGGAAAACCAAATCAGCCCAGTAAACACCTTAGTCAGTAAATGTTTGACTTACATGCCAAGTGAAGAAATATGACAACACTAGTTCTAGTTAGTAAACTTGTTTCTAAATTTAATGGAGAAGGATGTTGGACATTGTTATAAGCAATATTGTCTCATAAGTCTTTTAAAGAAGCTGTGGAAGGTTAAACCAATTTTTTTTAAAACTGTGTAAGGAATCCACTAAGCATGGTAATCTCCAGTGCATTTAAGGATAACTATAGAACAATACATAGAAGAGAATGGAAAAAATCTACAATGATTACTGTAATAAACTATGAGGAGCAGTAAAAAGAGAACACTTGCACCCATGCATCACAATCCAGGATAAGCTTGTAGGAGGGATAAAAATGGCATTAAAGAGAACAAAGATGAGAAAAGCTGCCCAGGTGGACCAAATGTATATAGAGTGTATATTTGTTCTACAGGATACTCAGTTGTGAGAGTACCGAGGGATAAAGAGGCTGTCCCAAAAGTCGTCGTGCAATTTTCAGTTTAAATATCTTTAAACTATACTTAGACTTTTGGGATACCTAGTATATGAAGGTGTCTGAAAAAGAGGGAAGATACAAAAAAAACTTGGACCTTACTAATAAATTTAATATTAACAAATAGATGACCAAGAAAACATTAGCAGTCGCTGACCTATATGCCTACACTCCCACCAATTAAAAAATCCTTTGCATGAGTCATCTATGCACAATTCAAGAACTACCTTGATGAAAGTATTAGTACAGAACAAGCAAGTATTTGAAAGAGATACTCAACAAATAGGGCTATTCTAGGATGAGAAATGAATGACCTTTCCCAATAAGATTAGAGTAAAGCAAGGGTATCTATTATCACCTCTATTATTTGATGTAGTTCTACCTGTTATAATAAAAAAAAAAGTTGGAAAAAGGAGCACAGGCAGAAGGGAAACAAAATTATCAATTTTTAGAGATGATATGACAATATACTTAGAGGACCCTAGAGATTCAAGTAAAGATTAATGAAACAACTTCAGCAAAGTAGAAAAATATAAAACCACACAAAATTTAAAACTTTCTATATATAACCAACAAAATAGAGCAGGAAGAGATAGAAATAGTTATTCCATTAAAAATAACTAAAAAATTATAAAATATGTAGGAGTCCAGCTACCAAGATAGACAATTATATGCACATAACTACAAAAACACTCTTTATAGAAATAAAGATAGTTTTAAATAAATGGCAAGATATTGATTGCTCACGTTTGAGCCATGTCAATATAATAAAAAAATAACAATACTAGCTAAATGAATGTACTTATTCAGAAAATTTGCAGAGGCCCTGTGAAGACAGTTATATCAATGCAATGTGGGTGAAGCTGTGAATTGGTCAAACCATTCTGGAAAGCAATTTGGTGAAAGAAAAAAAAAAGTAGACTTTTCATACCCTTTCTCCCATTTATGTAGCTACTTGGTTAACTTCCTTAAAGAGATAAAAGGGGCAGCCAGGTGGCGCAGTAGATAGATCACCATCTCTGAAGTCAGGAGTACCTGAGTTCAAGTATGACCTCAGACCAAACATTTGACACTAGCTGTGTGACCCTGGGCAAGTCACTTAACCCCAATTGCCTAAAAAAAAAAAAAAAGAAAAGAAAAGAAAGAAATAAAGGACCCATAGGTACAAAATAAAACATTTATGGCAGGACTTTTTGTTATAGCAAAGAAATAGAAATTTAGAGGGTATATATCAGTTGGGGAAGACAGCTAGGTGGCACAATGGAAAGTGCTGGCCCTGGAGTCAGGAGGACCTGAGTTCAAATCAGATTTCAGACACTTACTAGCTGTGTGACCCTGAGCAAGTCACTTAATCTAGTTTGCCTCAGTTTTCTCATCTGCGTATGAGTTGGAGAAGGAAATAGCAAACCATTCTAGTATCTTTTCCAAGAAAACCCCAACTGGGGTCATGAAGAATCAGACACAGCTAACAGACAAAAACAATTTTGGGGGAGCAGCTAGGTGGTACAGTTGATAGAACATCAGGCCTGGATTCAGTTCAGATGTGGCTTTAGACACTAGCTGTGTGACCCTGAGCAAGTCACTTAATCTAGTTTGCCTCAGTTTCCTCACCTATAAAATGAGCTGGGGAACGAAATGGCATATCACTCTAGTACCTCTGCCAAGAAAACCCCACATGGGGTCACAAAGAGTCATACATGACTGAAACAAATGAACAATATCAGTTGGGGAATGGCTAAGGAAATGATCATATATTAATTTAATAGAATATTATTGTACCATAAGAAATAACAAATGGGATAGCTTCAGAGAAACATGGGCTGACTTTTATGAGCAGAAGCTGAGTGAAATGAGCAGAACCAAGAAAAAAATTATTAAACAATTATATCGTAAATGAAAGCAACTTTGAAAGACTTAAGATTGACAGCTCTGACATCAGAAGATTGATGATGAATCATAATTCTCATCTCTTACCAGAGGATTTATAAACTAGAAGTGGAGATGTAGATTTTCCCACGTGGCCATTGTGTAGATGTGCTTTTTGGGGCTATACTTTTATTTGCTATAAGCATGGGTTCTTACTGAAGGTAGAGGGATAGTAGTTATAAGGAGGAGAAAGAATTGGTAATAGTGATGCAAAATTAAAAAGAATGAAAAAAGTATCAATAAAAGATGTATAAAATATACAGAAGAGAGCAAGAGTGCAGAAAAAAATCACAGGGAAGCGTGATGTTGGAATTACCTGGATAAATTTATCATGTACTTTTTAAAATGAGTTATATATAATAGAGATTTACAATTTCATATACCAAAAAAAAAGCCTGTTTCCAAAGAAGTACTATCTATTATTTCTTTTAAAAAGGTACTTGCATTAAAAATAAATAATAAATTTGGAAAATATTTTTTAAAAATAAATAAAACTAAAAGGTACTAGAGCCAAGTGCCTGTGAAATACTACCTGTTAGAAGCAAAGCATTTTTCTGCAATAAATCATGCATTCACTATAATGGATTGTGTTACCACAGAGTCAGAAGAATCTATGTTAATGAAAGGGATGGATTCATCCCCTTGAGAGCTTTCTCTGTTTATTCACTTTGTCATTATTTTGTGGAGCAAGGAAGGAATAGGACAGTCTTTATAGACTGGGTTTACAAAATGATGAACTTCATGCTATTATTGTAATCCTCTGCTAATTCCTTTGTGACCTGAATTGCACTTTCTCTTACAGATAATGGGAAGGTGAATCTGAAAAACTTAATGAATGCTGTGCAGAATCTCAGTGGTAAGTGAGAAACTTACTTTATTTCTTCTTACTAATTATAACATGAATTCTCTTGTCCTTCCAATTTACTGATTCAGCATTGCTGCCTCATGACCTCCAGTTCTTCATGTACAGCTACCCTGGAGGAGGCAATTTACCAGATTCTATCAATGTAGAGAAATTCAAACTCCTTGGCCAAAAGTATGTAGATTAGCTGTCTGCTTTGCCAGAATCCATCAGCCTTGACCAATTCATTCCTTACTATGTGCAGTGGAGGCTTCTCTTGAAAAGTTTGTCAGGGTCTCTTGGACCACAGTCTCAAGAACAGCTCATCTTCCAAGCTCTCCCAATGACTCTCTATGTATGTCCTTAAAGATTGTTATTGTACCTTTCAAAATGAGTTTGGAAAGCATTTGGGAAGTACTTTATATATGTGGATTGTTATTTATATCATCTCACCCTCAAACTAGAAAGGTTGAATCCAGTTCTGAAATTCCTTGTATGTAGTCTTTATACACTTTTTCCATCTATGATACAATTCCATATCTTTTTTATTTGTCTCCCCCATTAGACTATGGATTTCTTCAGGGCAAGGACAGTGCGTTTCATTTTCTCTTTATTCCCAGCACTTAGCACAGTGCCTGGCACATAGTAAGCACTTAATGCTTGTTGACTTGACTTGGTTTAATGCAACATTTAACACATACTAAGCACTTAAAAATGATTGATTGATTGATTGATTGATTATATTCTACATTTTTCTTCTTTCTTAAGGAAGGAATGTTGATATTAACAACCTGGATGAGGTTCTGGGCAACCTAGGGATCAAGTTCACAGACAGAGAAATTGAGGAGCTGTTGAAGAGTCTTCCAGTAGATGGTGAGTGTTTCTTATGCCCCTATGTACTTTTAGGGAAGCTTTTCCTTCCTATCTGAGAATGTCTGAAAGGATCCTTATTTAGATTACATAAAAGGATATCATTACCTATATCACAGTGTGTGATGAAATATTATCTCTTACTGAACCTTCAAGTCAAGGATTTCTCAGACTACCACAAAGCAGAACACAAGAATGGAAGACTCCTTACTTTTTTACCATAGGACCCAACTAAGCTGCCTAGTGGCACTCTTTAAGGAGAAAAGTCCAATGTGACTGTCACCAGGGGATACTAAGCAGCTAGATGATATGTTTGGCCATGTTCGGACAAGAAGATCCAAATTCAAATACTGCCTTAGAAACTTACTGCTATGATCCTGGACAAGTCACTTATGCTCATTTAGACTCTTTTCTTTTCTGCAGAATGGGGATAGTAATAGTGTCTACTATATAAGGTTGTTGTGAGGATCAAATGGGAAAACATATATATGTGCATAGTTAGGCATATCTACATATACGTATATATTGTACTGTAAACCTGAAAGTGCTGTGTAAATGCCAGCTATTATTATTACTTCAAAATATCTGTGCTTTCATTGGCATGATTAGCCCAAGTAGACTATAACCTATGTACATCTAAATATATCCTTTCATCTTTCTTTGGTCAAAAAGAAATCATGTAGTGGCCAGTCTTCTAAAGATGATCCCCTATCTACTTAGCTTTATTGGTCTTGTTTAGGAGACCAATAATGATTTGTTAGCATAGCCTTTAAAAATCTACCTCACCATGGCAATGAAAGACATGTTATGTTCTAAGCTACTTCAAAAATTGTGAGCACTTGAAAAGATTAAATAGAGCCTCTAACTGGGCCTACGTTCATGATCTCGGGGTGGGGGGGGAGAATGGGGTCCTCAGCTCTAAGCCCTTCTCCCTAGTTGTCAAGGGGTGTGAATCTTCCATCACCTTGTCAGTATGAGTATTCCTCCACCAACATATTTTGCAACCTCTCTTGTCATTTCTTAAGCTGCCATTGAGAGTCACTTGTGGCCAAAAACCAAAAGCAAATACTGTATCTAAATTAAATTGACATCTGCAAATGTGAGTGTGGGTGGAGATATGCAAGTAGATAGATTGTAGAAGCAGAATCAACAAGTTTTGGCAAGTGATTGAGTGTAAGGAGGATGGGAAGGGGAGGAGTTGAGGATGATACTTGGAGGATACATACCCAATAATGATTCCTGTAGCATTGAACTCACAGGGCTGTCATGAGGCTTAAGTGAGATTATTTATGTAAAGTAATTTGTACATTTTAAAAGGACATATAAATGTCCTTTATCACACGTTTGACTTAAATAGAGTAAGCTAAGGGGCCGCATCTTTTTCTACCTGAATAACTTAAATGCTATTTAAAAATAATATTTTTATAATAAAGTTACATATTTGTTTTCTCATAGACAATATATCTTACACTTAACCAATTAGACAAGCAAATCAAACTTGCAGATTCATAAAATATTAACAACAAACAAGATTGTGGTATATTAAAAGAAAAAACTAGCTGCTCTTTTCCTTGTGCTATCAAAAAAAAGGGAGTTTCCTAGTACACAGAATCATATCGTGACCATGCTGGGAATAGACATGGAGATCACCTAGTCTAGCCTCTTCATTTTACAGAGGAGGAAGTTGAGGGCAAGAGATAGGAAGGGCCCAGTTCTTTAGATATTACTCCTAAAATGTCCTGAATCTGATATGCCAGAATATAACGTCTGATTACAACACAAGTTCTTCTGATGGTCGATAGCAAAGAGAAGGCCAGCTCCCTGAATGGTTGTGTGAGCTAGCTAAGTGGTACAGTGGATATAAGACTGGACCCAGAGTCAGGAGGACCGAAGTTCAAAGCCTTAGACATCTACTAACTGTGTAACCTGGGCAAGTCATTTAACCTTTCTGAGCCTCAGTTTCCTCATGTATAAAATGGAGACAATTATAGCACCTGCCTCACAGGATTCTTGTGAGGATAAAATGAGTTAATTATTTGTAAGGCACTTTACAAAACTTGAAGCCCTATGTAAATGCTAACTATTATTATTACTATTATTATCATCAATTTACAGAATGAGAGCTTTCTTCATTCCTCAGATGCTTATTATAAATTAATCTTTAGAGAAAATAGGATGAAATTCCAAGTTAATTGCCTGAGTTCAAAGAAAAATGTTAAATTCCTCTGGGTTCTCTCATAATTTCAGAATGTAATACTCTTTTTGTGTAATACTCGAACCTGTGCCTTTTCTTACAGCTAATGGGAAAATTGCCCTGAATAAAATTATGGATAACGTGAAATCTATAAAAAGTAAGTAAGAAGTTATGAGGAGAAGGCAGGTAAAAACTGACATCTTCATATTTTTCACAGAAATCCATGGGATAAAGCATGGCATAGAGGATAGAGCCTTACAGTCAAGAAGTCCTCTATTCAAATCCTGCCTCTGACACTTAATAGCTATGTGACCGTGGGGCAAGTTACTTCCCCTCTTAGGCAGCTTCCTAAACAGTATATATAATAATTTGTTGATCTGCATAGACAGAAATAATCAAATTGCAAGCATTTATTAGGTGCCCATTAGATCTGTGCTAAGCGCTAGAGATACAAAGGCAAAAACAATGAAATAGTCCCAGCTGACAAAGAGTTTGCCTTTTCTTGGCCAAGACAACATGTACACATGTAAATATATGCAGAATAAATACAACATAATTTGGGAGGGAGAGCCATAGCAGTAGAGGAATCAGGAAAGCCTCCTAATAGAAGACAGAAATTGTGGTTCACCTTGAAAGGAGAGAAGGACTCTGAGATAGAAATAAGGAGAACATAGGAGACAGCTAGTAAAATAATATGGAGTCAGGAAATGGAAGGCCATATGTGAGGAACAGAAAGTAGGCAAGGGAAAGTGATATATAACGAGAGCAGAAAGGTAGGTTGGGGCCAGGTTGTAAAATCCATAGAAGCAGGAGTTTATGTTTTTGATCCAGGAGAAATAGGGAACCAGGGAAGATTATTAAGTGACATGATCAGTAGATCTGTGCTGAAAGAGAACTACTTTGGCAAGTGTTTCGAAGATCAGAGGGGGAAAGGATTATCAAGGCAATTGAGGACAATTGAGACCAATTAAGAGGCCATTTAACATCTCTTCAAGGGGAAAATAGACAATGACTTGAGCTAAAGATGTGGTTGTTTGACTAGAGAGCAAAGAAGGTAAATTTGAGATGTTTTGTAGAGGGAGAAATGGCAAGATTCCGGCACTGATTGAATATGGAATGGGGGTGGAGGGGGGAGAGTCCAGAGTCTAAGATAACAACTATGACACTACCTATTGTGGATGAATGTGTTAAATGATCATCACTCTATTTAAATCCACTTGCTAAATTCTCTCTAGTCACTTTGTGGCAAGTCGTGAATTTCCTGTAGCATAACATGTATGTTCTGGCTCCACCTTTCCATAGATTGAGACAGACCACATTCTGGTTCTCCGAACTAGTGGTGAAGTATGAGATTGCATTCAGATGAGTCAAACCAAATGGGATAAAGGCAAAGATAACCAAACCCTACTTATTAGCTAGACCTATGTATTTTAATGCGTCAATGATTTTGCCACTGTTCACTAGACTATTGTCTAATGACCGTTTCACATGCCTCTGTGTAGGCCTCTTCAATCTAGCATAGACTGGACCAGAAGGAAACAATTTCTATTTCCGAATTCCTAGGTGACTTTCCGTTTATGTGTAGGCTCATCTCAAAGGCTAACTCTCCTCTTCTTGTTAAATCTGGAGATGATGGGACACAGGGATAGGTAGTATTTTTTCACCCTCTGGAGTCATTACATATTCTTCACATTTCCATCATTCACCATTCTCATATTTTATAAACAGAAAACATTGATGTTCAAAACCTGGAAAACTTTCTGAAGGACATGGGGATCATACTCACAGAAGAAGAATATCAGGATCTCCTGAAACACCTGCCAATTAATGGTGAGTGTTCCAGATTATACTGTAGCCATCAGGGGAACTTGGGCTTGCTTGTGTGAAAATATCTGATATTTACTAAGGAAAGATACCTCAGACTACTCCCTAGGTTAGAGTTCTTCAGCTTCAGTGCAAGCGCAAAGGCTAACCAGTGTAAGATAGTACCATTTTAGCAAATAGGAAGCCTGATAAATAGTAAAAAGAAAGGGGAACAAATAAAATTAAAAGATATGAATAGAAGAATAAAAATAAAAGAACAGGGTTGGGTAAGGTAGAACAGAGTAGCATTAAGGGGTGAGAGAAAAGTAATCTAATATTGCCACAAATGGAAAGTGATCTTATTCCCACCCAATTCAAGTGAGCTAGCATAGAGGCTGGGGATTCTGGACCAGGAGAGCTGGAGGAGTATGACAAGAAGCAGGAGGCAAAGTTGCTCAGTTTATGTGTCTCAGGGCAGAGTGATATAGAGTATTTGCCATGGGGTGAAACTCCACAAACTTAAAAAAACTTTTAAAAAACCCCAAAATTTCAATGGTACCTACAGAAATGTAAGCAGTATTTTTCTGTCCTATATTATACTCTGGGAAGACAAACCTAATCTCTGCTGCTCTAGCCAATCTAGAAATAATCAGTTAATGGTTTCCTTTAGATTTGGAATTCAGGATATTTAATAGTTTTGCTAAACTTTTGTATGGGCTAGTGTTAAAAGGACTCCTCAGATCCCTTCAAAGAGGAAGTGTGATGTCATGGAAAGAAGGACTAGATGTGGAATCAAGGACTATAATTTAAATCTCAGCTTTGCTGTTACTCTCCATGGGTAGGACCTGAAGAAGCTTTGCTTTCCTTTCACCTTGCATAGAGTAAGCGTTTTAAAAATGGGCATTTGTGAATAAATGAAATGAAAAGTAATGCAGTACTAAAGGCACTTGAGACAGCCTGGTAGTACTGTGGTGCCCTGTATAGAATTAGAAGACCAGAACAAATGCAGCCTCAGACATTGATTAGCTGTGTGACCTTGAGAAAGTCACTTAATCTCTGATTGCCCCAGTTTCTTCACCTGTGAAATGGAAATAATAATAGTACCTGTCTCCCCAGGTTATTTTGAGGATAAAATGAATTAATATTTGTAAATCACTTTGCAACTCAATGAAAGCTATAGTCACACAGTTAAATGGCTTGAAGAGGCAAACAAAGAAGCTGGTGGAGTTGATCTTATCATACATGCAAAGGCAATAAGAAACATGATTTTATGGAATATTTAATCATCTCATATTGTAGAACAAAGGATAAGTATTCAGGATAAGAGAAAGAGAGATGCCAGAGATCTGTAGACTATGTAAAAGCTTTATGCATTTTTTTGTTTTTTGTTTTTTGGGGTTTTTTTGTTTTGGTTTGGTTTGGTTTTGGCTAGGCAATGGGGTTAAGTGACTTGCCCAGGGTCACACAGCTAGTAAGTGTTATGTGTCTGAGGCTGGATTTGAACTCAGGTCCCCTGAATCCAGGACCAGTGCTCTATCCACTGTGCCACCTAGCTGCCCCCTTTGCATTTATATCAAGAGCAGTTTCTTCAAGAAAGGAATTGGTATTTGCTAGGTTTGGTGAGTACCAAAAAGTATTGCAAAATAAAATGAAATAGATTATTTCTTAACAGGTTAGAAAATACTTATTATTGATGTTGAGTAATCAGTGGATCAGCTGTGAACAATAAGACCATTGTCTCGTCAAGAAAAAGATCAGAATGGGGGCAGCTAGGTGGCGCAGTGGATACAGCACCGGCCCTGGATTCAGGAGGACCTGAGTTCAAATCCGACCTCAGACACATAACACTTACTAGCTGTGTGACCCTGGGCAAGTCACTTAACCCCATTGCCTAGCCAAAAAAAAAAAGAAAGAAAGAAAAGAAAAAGATCAGAATATAAAAAGAGTACATTATCTTCTTGTCACAATATTCTGGATATATGATGCCTAATATGATATATAAGGAATATATAAATATAAAAATCATGAACATAATAGTCATAAAGACATATGGCATAGAGTTGAAACAATTCAATCTTGAATTATTTAAACAAAGAATTAACAGTGAAAATGGAAAATAGGCATCAAAAATGACAGGGATGGCCATTAAAAGGCAGAACTTTAACCACCTTAAATCTGTTGCCACAAGAGAAAAACCAAACGAGCCTAGTAAGCACTTTAGTCAGTAAATGTTTGACTTATATGCCAAGGGGAGAGATATGGCAACTTTATAGTTAGTAAACTTGTTTACTAATCTCATGGAGAAGAATGACAGACATAGTTACAAAGCAATATTGTGTCATAAAGCATAGAGAAACTGTGGAAAGTTATACCAACTTAAAGAAAACTTTTCAAGAAATCCCCCTAAGGATGGTACTCTCTAGTACATTTAAGCATAAATATAGAACAATAAATAAAAGAAAATGAAAAGATCTCTAATGATTACTATAGCAAACTATGAAAAGCAGTAGAGAGAGAGTGCCTGTAACCAAATATCACAATCCAGAAGAAGATTATAGGAAGGATGGAAATGGCATTAAAAAGAACATAGATGAGAAAAGCTGCCTTATTGGACAAAATGTGTATAGAAAGTTGTTCTGAAGGAGACATAATTGTGAGAGTACTGATGGATGAAGAAGCTGCCCCAAAAGTCTTAGTGCAATTTTAAGCTTTAATCATTTTAAATGATAACAAAGGCTTTTGGAACATGACGTGTATGAAGGTGCCTGGAAGAGGGAGAAGATATGAAAAAATGTACCTAAATGTACCTTTTTAATAAGTCAAATAATATTAATTTGATTAATTAATCCTCCACTAATCCAAAATTGTTATATGAATCTTTGATGAGGGTATTATTAGGGAACAAGCAGATGTTTGCAAAATATATTCAACAGTAGACCACATCTTTGTCATTTTGTAGCTGACAGAAAGGTACGGAGAATGTAAGATTCTATTTTACTTATTGTTTGCCAATTATGAAAAAGTAATTGATTCAGTAGAGCAAAAGAACACCTTAGAGTCTCTTTTCCAACTGAGATCTTCTATCCATCTGTAAAAATCAATCTAGGTTTCTTGAAAGATATAACAACAGAAGTAACCCTGTTCGATGAACGTCTGCTCGTAAACATAAGAAGAGGCATTTTTCTTATTGAGTCATTTTATTCATGTTCAACTCTCCTTGACTTCATTTGGGGTTTTCTTGGTAAAGATACCGGAATGGATTGCCATTTCTTTCCTGAGCTCATTTTACATGTAAGGAATTGAGGCAAACAGAGTTAAGTGATTTCCCCAGTGTTACACAGCTTGTAAGTGTCTGAGGCCAGATTTGAACTCATGTCTTCCTGACTCCAGGACCCACATGCTCTATCCACTGTACCACCTAGCTAAAACAGGAATATGTATGGTGACAAAAGGTATTCACCACTGTGATAAAGTAGATGCCATTGAGAGTCCAAGGTGAAGAGGGTTTCTGGGTGGATGCTTAAGTCCTCTGGATGTCCTCTTTGGGGATGACATTTTGCTGGTTGCATGAAAACTAGAATATTGCAGAGCCTCCTGGAAGAGCTTGGTATAACCACTCAAGAGTTTGTGCAAACTTTCACAAGAGGAATGCCAAGTAGATGAATAATGTCCATTACATAAATCATGACATGCCTTTATGTCACAAATTTAAACAGCTTGTCCCTGAATTATGTGTATGTAGGAGAAAGAATGAAGATGGACCGGTTCTTCTCAGAGGAAGAGAGTAGGTTAGGTTGCCTTTGGGAAATGTAAAACTCGATTAATTATACCAAGTTTCCGGTGAAAGCAAAGGCCCATTTTTTAATACCAATATTCTGCTAGTGTTACTTTTAGCAAGACATGGAATACATCATTCTCTAAACAATTAAAAATGAATATCACACACAGGGGAATAGAGAGGTGCTGTGTACCAAGCTACAACATATAACTAGTAAGGAACTTTGAAGAACAGGAGTTAAATATGGTTATCACAGGGCAATGGGTTAAGGGGTTAACACATGGATAAACAGAGAGCTCCACTGGTACCCTCATGATGTCAACATAGGGCAAAGAAAGCTTCCAGCAAATTGGTTGGTAATCATATGGCAAAATTCTGGGAGGACATGAACAAAAGTCACACGAGATGTTCAGGCATGGATGGGTTGCTAATATATTTAGAGCTAGAAGAGACCTTAAAGATCATCAGATCTAACCTCTGCATTTTATAGGTAATGAAACTGAGACCCAGAGAAGGTTAAGTAATTTGCCTAAGGTCAAACAGCTATTAATCATATGAGATATAATTCAAACCCAAATCTCAGACTACAAGTTCAGCACTGTGCCATCTGCGTCTTTTTAAGGAACTCCCAAACAGATCCATTTCAACATGTAAGAGCATCATGTCATACAGGGAACCTCACTAGGGAAGCTTTTCTGTTTAAAAGTATGTATTCTATTTGGCAACAAATAGGACTGTCCTAAGATGAGAAATGAATGCTCTTTCCTAGTAAGATTGGGGTAAAGCAAGGATATCCATTGTCATCTCTATTATTTGATGTAGTTCCACATATTGTAATAAAAATAAAGACAGAAGGGAAATAAAATAATTAATTTTTACAGATTATATGAAAATTTATTTAGAGGACCCTAGTGATTCAACTAAAAATTAATTAAAACAACTTCAGCAAAGTACAAAAATATGAAATAAAGCCACACAAATTTTCCAAGTCTCCATATGTCACCAACAAAATAAAGGAGGTGGGGCAGCTAGGTGGCACAGTAGATAGAGCACCGGCCCTGGATTCAGGAGGACCTGAGTTCAAATTCGGCCTCAGACACATAACACTTACTAGCTGTGTGACCCTGGGCAAGTCACTTAAGCCCATTGCCTAGCCAAAAAAAAAGAAAAAAAAGGAGGAAGGGATAAAAAGCTATTTCATTAAAAATAACTTAAGAAATGTCCAATATTTAGAAGTCCAGTTACTAAGACAGAGAAATTATATGCACACAAATACAATAACACCCTTTATAAAAATATATTATTAACTAAATGGGTATTAATTGCTTGTGTTTGGGCCATGTCAATATAATAAAAAGTGGCAATATTAGCTAATTTAATGTACTTATTCAGAAAATGTGGAGAGGTCCTAGAAAGACAAGTATTTTAATGAACTCTTGGTGAAGCTGAGAATTGGTCCAATCATTCTGGAAAGCAATTTGGGCTTATAGCAAAAAAGTAAGTAGATTTTTCATACCCTTTGGTCCAGCTATATCACTACTTTGCTTATGTCCTTAGGGAGATCAAAAAAAGACATAAAGTAGAAAAAGTGAAAAAAAGTAAAAGTTTAAAAAAAGACGTAAGTAGAAAAAAAATTATAGCAGTGCTTTTTGTTATAGCAAAGAACTGGAAACTTACACAGGGTGTGTATCAATTGAGAAATAGCTAAGGAAATTATCATAGATAAATGTAATAGAATATTATTGCACTACAAAAAAAAACAAAGAAACAAAGACTTTTATGAACTGAAGGTTAATGAAGTGAGCAGAACAGAGAAAAAATTCACAAAATGATTATATCAAAAACAAAAGCAACTTTGAAAGACTTAAGATTAGTGTGATGAGGCTGACTTCAGAAGACTGGTGCTGAATCTTAATTCTTATCTCTTGCCAGAGAAGTTAGAGAATAGAGGTGCCGACCAAGACAAAAATTTTCACACAATACCAGTGTATGGATGCATTTTTCTTTACTATACTTTTATTTATTATGAGTTCTTATTAGGAGCAGTTGGGTGATGCAACAGATAGATTGCTAGGCCTGGAGTCAAGAAGACACAACTTCTTACTTCAAATCTGGCCTCAGACACTAAGATATATGACCCTGGGCAATTCACTTAAGGCCTTTTTCCTCAGTTTCCTCATCTGTAAAATGATCTGGAAAAGGAAGTGGCAAATCACTGTAGTACCTTTGTCAAGAAAACACTACATTGAGTCATGAAGAGTAGGACATTACTGAACAATGACAACAGAGTTTTTACTGGGGGTAGAGGGATGGTATTGTGAGGAGGAAAAAGAAGTAGCGATAGTGATGCAAAATATGATAAAAGAATGAAGAGAACATCAATGAAAGAGGTATAAAATACACAAAAGAGAACAGGCATTGAGAAAAAGTTAGAGAAGCACAATGTAGGAAATACCTTGTTAAATTTATCATATACTTTTAAAATAAGTTATACATAATACAGATTCACAGTTTCACACAACAAAAAAAGCCTGTTAACCAAACCAGTACTGTCTGCTATTTTCTTTAAAAAAGGTATTCAAGTCAAGAGCTTGTGAAATAATATCTGTTTGAAGGAAAGTCTTTCTCTGTAATAAATCTTCCATTTACTACAATGGATTGTGTTACCACAGAGTCAGAAGAATCTGTGTTAATAAAAGGGATGGATTCATCCCCTTGAGAACATTTCTTCTTTCTTCATTCTCATTTGGGGGAGCAAAGAAGGCATAGGACAGTCCTTATAGGCTGGGTTTACAAAATGATGAACTCTGTGCTATTATTGTAATTCTCTGTTACTTCCTCCACGACCTGAATTGCACCTTCTCTTACAGCCAAAGGGAAGGTGAATGAGAAAATCATAATGAATGTTGTGCAGAATCTCAGCGGTGAGTGAAAAACTGTTTTATTTCTTTTCAGTGATTATAACATGAATACTCTTATCCTTCCAATGTACTGATTCAACATTTCTGCTTCGTGACCTCCAGTTCTTTATACACAGCCACCCAGGAAGAGGCACTCCACCAGATTCTATCACTGTAGAGAACTTCAAACCTCTTGGCCTAAAGTATGTAGATTAGCTGTCTGCTTTGCCAGAATCCATCAGCCTTAACCAATTATTCCTTACTGTGTGGTATGAAGGCTTCTCTTGAAACATTTGTCAGAGTCTCTTGGACCAGGATCACAGCAACAGATCATCTCCCAAGCTCTCCCAATGACTCTCCATGTGTGTCCTTAGAACTGTTATTTGTATTATCACATCCTCAAATTAGGAATGATGAAGCCCGTTCTGAAATCCATTGAATAGTTGTATCTAGGTATATGCTTTATATAATTTGTCCCTCTTGGGCACAATTCCATATTTTACTTATTTGTCCCACTCATTAAACTGTGAACTCCTTGACAGGAAGGAAGAGACAGTGCTTCTGATTTCTTTTTATTCCCAGCACTCAGCACATTGCCTGGCACGTAGTAAGCACTTAAGAAATGATTTTTGACTTCACTTGGTTTTGAATCCCTACAATTTAGTATAGTGCCTAACATATAATAAGTACTTAATAAATGCTTGTTTAATTACAGTCTTCAATTTTCTTCTTTCTGAAGGAGGGAATATTAACATTAACAATCTGGACAAGGTTCTGGGAAACCTTGGGATCAAGCTCACAGATAGCGAAATTGAGGAGCTGTTGAGTCACCTGCCAGTTGATGGTGAGCATTTCTTATGCCCCATGGGCTTTTGGTGAAGCTTTTCCTTCCTGTCTGAGAATTTCTCAAAGGATCCTAATTTAGTTCACATGAAAAGATAAAAATACCTATAGAGAAAGCCCATCATAATGTATGATGAAATATCTCTGACTGAACTTTCAAGTCAAGAGTCTCCCAGAATGCAACTGGGTAGAATACAGGAATGGAAGACCCTTTACTCTTTCCCACAGGCCTCACCTGAGCTACCTAATGGCCGTCTTTAAGAGGAGAAACCCAATGTGACTGTAATTGGGAATCCTAACCAGTCAGATGAAATTTTCTAGTACTGGACTTGGACTGAAGAAGACCTGAGTTTAAATCCTGCTTTAGACACTTAGTGGTTTGATCCTGGACAAGTCTCTTGTCTTCATTTAACCTCACTCCTTATCTGTAAAATGGGAATAGTAATAGTGTCTGCTGCACAAGGTTGTTCTGAGAGTCAAATGAAAAAAAAAATATATATATATATATATATATATTTGTATATATACATATATATGTACAGTATTGCAAACCTGAAAGTACTATGTAAATGCCAGCTATCATTATTATTATTTCAAAAGATCTATGTTTTCATTGGTCTGAGCATTTTGAGCAGATTGTAACATAAGCATATCTAAGTATATCTTTTCATCTTTCTTTGGCCAAAAAAAGAAAAAAGTAGTCATCTAGTGTGCAATTTTCTGAAAATGATCCTTTATCTACTTAGCTTTGTTGGTCTTGTAAAGGAGGCAACTGATGATTTGCTAGCAGAATCTTTAAAATTTTATTTCACCATGGTAGTGGAAGACACGTATATTATAAGCTGCTTAAAAATTAGAGTGCATTTGAAAAGACTAAACGTGCCAACATTCATGATTTTAGTAAAAAGCAAAACAAAAACAACCAAACCATTGGGTCTTTAGCTGTTCTGGCCAATTGTCAAGGGGTATGAATTTTCAATATTTCAAGAATCCATGACCTTTTCAATGTATTCCCTATACCAATCCATTTTGCAAACCTTCTCTCATTTCTTAGGCTTCCTTTGAGAGTCACTTGAGCCCCCAAAACCAAAAGTGAATACTATATCTAAATTAAAGTGACACCTACAAGTGCACAATGTGAGTGTGGGTGGAGAGATGCAAGCATATTGATCTTAAGAGGAGAACCAGCAAGTCTTGGCAATTGATTTGGATGTGAGGAAGAGGGGAAAGGGAAGAGTTGAAGGTGACATTTAGAGTGTACACACCTGGTAATGATTCCTGTAGCAAAGATCTCAGAGGGTTGTTGTGAGGCTTAAGTGATATAATTTATGTAAAATACTTTGTACATTTTAAAAGAATGTTTAATTGTCCTATATCACATATTTGAATTGAATAGCATAAACCTCCTCTATAGTTAAATGCTTCAATTTCTGGCCTTTTAACAAAGTGAGCCTACTAAATGGGATTGTTCTCCTACAGGGACCATACCTGTGTCCACTGGACTAATTTAAATGATATTTAAACATAGTTTTTATAATAAATTGTATATTTGTTTCCTCATGGACAATATATCTTATAATTAACCAATTAGAGAAAGCAAAGCTACGTAAAATATTAACCACATACAAGATTGTGGTAAGAACATAGAAAGAAAAAACTAGCTCCTCTTTTCCTTGTGATATCAAAAAATGGCAGTTTTCCTAGTACACAGAGTCATATCATGTTCATGCTGGGAAGGAACATGGACCTCACCTAGTCTAGTCCCTTCATTTCACAGAAGAGGAAGCAGAGGTCAGGAGATAGGAAGCAGCCAGTTCTGTTCATCTTACTTCTAAAATGTCCCAAATCTGATATGCCTAAATGTCTAAATGTCTAACATGTGTGATTACAAGTTCTTCTGATGCTCAATAATAAAGAAAAGGGGAGCTCGCTGAATGATTGTGTGAGGTTGTGGTACAGTGGGTGTAGGACTACAGCCAGAGTCAGGAAGACCCAAGTTCAAAGCCTTAGACATCTACTAGCTGTGTAACCTAGGCAAGTCATTTAACCTCTCTGAGCCTCAGTTTCCTCATCTGTAAAATAGAGATAATAATAATAACACTCACCACTCAGGGTTTTTGTGAGGATAAAATGAGTTAATATTTGAAAAGCACTTTGCAAGCATTAAAGCCTTATGTAAATGCTAACTATTGTTATCACTATTATTATCATCAATTTACAGATTGAGAGCTTTATTCATTCCTTGGCTGCTTATTATAAATTAATCTCTAGAGAAAATAGGATAAAATTCCAAGGCAATTGACTGAGTTCAGAGAAAAATGTTAAATTTCTCTGGGTTCTCTCATAATTTCAGAATGCAGTACAATGCTTGTAATGTAACTTTTTGTGAGATTCTGCATCCTCAGATCTCTGTCTAACCTCTGCCTTATCTTATAGCTTATGGGAAAGTTGCCCTCAATGAAGTTATGGATAATGTGAAATCTATTAAAGGTGAGTAAGAAGTTATGAAGAGATGGCAGGCAAAAACAGACATCTCAATATTTTTCAGAAAAATGTATGAGAGGAAGCATGGCATAGTGAATAGAGGTATAGCCTTAGAGTCAAGAAGACCTATATTCAAATCTGCTTCTGACACTAACTGGTTGTGTGACTGTGGAGCAAGTTAATTCTCTTCTCAGGGAGCTTTCTAAACAGTATATATTACAAATAATTTCTTGATCTGCAAAGACAGAAATAATCAACTTGCAAGCATTCATTAGGTGCCCATTAAATCTGTGCTATGCACTGGAGGTACAAAACAAATAAAATAGCCCCAGTTTAGAAGGAGCTTGACTTCTCTTGAGAAACACAACATGTACAAGTATAAATATATGCAGAATAAATACAACATAATTTGGGAGGGAGGGTCCTAGCAATACAGGAATCAGGAAAACCTCCTCATAGAAGGCAGAGATTGTGGTCCACCTTGAAGGAAGAAAGGTATTCTGAGGAAGAAGTAAGGAGAACATGGAGGACAGCTAGTAGGATAATACAGAGACAGGAAACAGAAGGCCGCGTGTGAAGAACAGAAGGTAGACAAAGGAAAGTGATATATAAGACTAGAAAGGTAGGTTGAGGCCAGGTTGTGAAGGGCTTTAAAAACCATAGACAGTAGTATATGTACCTGATCTAGGAGAAATAGGGAACCAGGGGAATTTAATGAGTGACATGATCAGTAAATATATGCTTAAAAAGTTTTGGCAGTTGTATGGAAGATGGATTGGAGGGGGAAGAGACTCTTCAGGCAGTGAGATGAACTAAGGGGCCATTATAACATCTCTTCAAAAGAGTGATGGATGATGTCTTGAGCTAAGGATGTGGTTGTGTGAGTAGAAAGAAAAGGGGATAGATGTGAATGATGTTATAGAGGAGAAATGACAAGATTTGTCAACTGATAGGTTATAGGAGAGTGGGGGTGAGAGAGAGTCAGGAGCCCAGGAAAACAACTGTGACATTACTTGTTGTGAATAAAGGTGTCAAATGATCATCAACTCTATTTAAATCCACTTTCAAGTTTACCAAATTCTCTCCAGTCTCTTTGTGGTAAATCCTGTATTTCCTGGAATATAGTAGGCATGTTCATGCTTCACTTTTGCTACAGTATTGAGACAGACAACGTTCTAGGTCTCCAAGCCAGTGGTAAAGTGTGGGATTGCATTTGGATGAATCAAAACAACTTGGGATAAAGGCAAAGATAACCAAACCCTACCTGTTAGCTAGACGTATGCATCTTAATACGTCACTGATTTTGCCACTGTTCACCAAATAACCATTTTACATTCCTTAGTGTAGGCCGCTTTAGTCTAGCATAGTCCTCTGAACCAGAAGGAAACAATTCTCTTTCTGAATTCCCAAATGACTTTGACTTTATGTGTAGGCTTATCTCAAAGGCTAAGTCTCCTCTCCTTGTTGATTTTGGAGATGATGAAATACAGGAATAGGTGGCATCTTTCAGCCTCTGGAGTCATTACAGATTCCTCACATTCCCATCACTCACCATTTTCATCTTTTATAAATAGAAAACATTGATGTTCAAAACCTGGAAAACTTTCTGAAGGACATGGGGATCATACTCACAGAAGATGAATATCAGGATCTCCTGAAACACCTGCCAATTGATGGTGAGTGTTCACATTACATGGTGGCCATTGGGGAACTTGGGCTTGCTTGTGTGAAAATGTCTGATACTTTCTTTTTTTATTTTTTAATAATATTTTATTTTTCCCCAATTACATGTAAAAACAATTAACATTTGCAGTTGTTGGGTTTTTTTAGTTCCAAGTTATCTCCCTCCTTCCCTTCTCTCTCCCTGAAACAATAAGCAATCTGATATAGGTTATCCATATACAATCATGTAAAACATGTTTCCATATTAGTCACTTGGTGGAAGAAAGGAAAGAAAGGAAGGGAAGGAGGGAGGAAGAGAAGGAAAGCAAGAAGAATGGAAAGGAAGGAAAGAAAGAAGAATGGAAAGAGAGAAAGAAAGAAGAGAGGACGAGAATATGCTTTGGTCTATATTTAGACCCCACCATTTTTTTCTCTGGAGGTAGATAGCGTTTTTTTTATCACAAGTCCTTTAGGATTTTTTTGGATCAATGTATTGCTGAGAATAGCTAAATTATTCATAGTTGTTCACCATACAGTATTGCTGTTACTATGTGCAATGTTCTTCTGGTTCTGCTCACTTCACTCTGCATCAATTCATGTAAGTATTTTGAGATTTTTTAAAAAGCATCCTACTCATCATTTCTTATAGCACAATAGTATTCCATTACAATCATATTCCACAGCTTGTTCAGCCATTCCACAATTGATGGATAGCTTCTCAATTTCCAATTCTTAGCCACCACAAAAAGAGCTACTATAGATATTTTTGTACTTAAAGTTCTTTTCCCATTTTTATTGCTTTAGGATATAGACCTAGTAGTGGTATTGCTGGATAAAAGCATGTACTGTCTTATAGTCCTTTATAGCCTATATAGCATAGTTCCAAATTGCTCTCCAGAATCATTGGATTGCAACTCCATCAGCTATACATTAGTGCCCCAGTTTTCCCACACCCTTTCTAATAGCATTTTCCTTTTCTGTCATATAGCTAATCTGGTAGGTGTGAGGTAATAATTCAGAATTGTTTCATTTTCATTTCTCTAATCAATAGTGATTTAGAACTTTTTTTTCTATGACTACAGATTGCTTTGATTTCTTCTTCTGAAAACTGCCTGTTCCTGTCCTTTGACCATGACTTGTATTCTTTTTTATTATTTTTTTTCTACTTCTACAAAATATTTTTGGTATTTTGATAGATATGGCACTGCATAAGTAGATTAATTTAGGTAAACTTGTCATTTTTATTAAATTGGCTCAACCAACCCATGAGCAATTAATATTTTCCAGTTGTTTAGAACTGACTTTATTTGTATGAAAAGTGTTTTGTAGTTGTGTTCATGTAGTTCTTGGGTTTGTTCCAAGTATCTTATGTTGTTTTTTTAAATGCAGTTATTTTAAATGGATTTATCTTCCTATCTCTTGCTGCTGGACTTTTTTAGTAATATATAGAAATGCTGATGATTTATGTGTGTTTATTTTATATTCTGCAACTTTGCCAACATTGTTAACTATTTCAGTAGTTTTTCAGTTGATTCTCTAGGATCTCTCTATTTTTTTTCTTTTTTTGGCTAGGCAGTGGGGTTAAGTGGCTTGCCCAGAGTCACATAGCTAGTAAATGTTACATGTCTGAGGCTAGATTTGAACTCAGGTCTTCCTGAATTCAGGGCCAGTGTTCTATCCACTGTGCCACCTAGCTAGGATTCTCTAAGTATACCATCATACCATCTGTGAAGAGTGATAGTTTTGTTTCCTCATTACCTATTCTAATTCCTTCCATTTCTTTTTCTTCTCTTATTGCTATAGCTAACATTTCTAATACAATATTGAATAATGGTGGTGTGATCCTGGAATCAGGAAGACCTGAGTTCAAATCTGGTCTCAGACATTTGACACTTAACTAGCTGTGTGACCCTGGACAAGTCACTTAACTCCAATTGCCTTGCAAAAAAAAAGAAGAAAAGAAAGAAAGAATAATAGTGGTCATAATGGACATCCTTGCTTTATCCCTACTCTTACTAGTAAGGCTTCTAGTTTATCCCTATTATAGATAATACTTGGCGATAATTTTAGATAGATACAACTTATCATTTTAAGGAAATCTCCATTTATTTCTATGTTCTCTAGTATTTTTTAATAGGAATGGGTGTTGTATTTTGTCAGAGGCTTTTTCTGCATCTATTGTGATAATCATATGATTTTTGTTGCTTTTGTTATTGATGTGATTGACTATGCTGATAGTTTTTCTAATATTGAACCAACCCAGCATTCCTGGTATAAATCCCACCTAGTCATGGTATATGATCCTTGTGATATATTTCTGTAATCTTCTTGCTAGTATTTTATTTAGAATTTTTGCATCAATATTCATTAGGGAAATTGGTCTATAGTTTTCTTTCTTTGTTTTTATTCTTTCTGATTTAGGTATCAGCATCATATTTGTCTCATAAAAGGAATTTGGTAGGACTCCTTATTTACCTGTTTTTTTCCAAATAGTTTATGCAGAATGGGAATTAATTGTTCTTTAAATGTTTGGTAAAATTCAATTGTGAATCTGGATATGAGGATTTTTTTTCTTAGAAAGTTCATTGGTGGTTTATTCAATTTATTTTTCTAAAATGAGGTTATTTACCTATTTTATTCCCTCTTTTGTTAATCTAGGCAATTTATATTTTTGTAAATATTGATCCATTTCACACAGATTGTCAGACTTATTGGCATATAATTGGGTGAAATAACTCCTAATAATTGCTTTAATTTCCTCTTCATTGGTGGTAAATTCACCCCTTTCACTTTTTATATTGGCAATTTGGTTTTCTTTGTTACTTTTTAAAATCAAATTAACAAAGATTTATCTATTTTATTGGTTGTTTTTTTTTAAATAAAACCAACATCTAGATTTTTTATCAGTTCAATGGTTTTCTTACTTTCAATTTTATTAATCTCTCCTTTGATTTTCAGGATGTCCAATTTAATGTTTAACCGTTTAATGTTTAATGTTTAATCTGTCTTTTTCTTGGGGTTTTTTAGTTGCCTGTCCAGTTCACTGATTTGTTCTTTCTCTGTTTTACTGATGTAAACATTTAGAGATATAAATTTCCCCCTAAGGACTGCTTTGGCTGCATCCCATAAATTTTGGTATTCTCTTTAATGATTTGTTCTTTGTTTCCATGTTTTGTTTCTATGGTTATTCCTTAAAATTAGATTATTTAGTTTCCAATTAATATTTAATCTATCTCCCCACTACCCTTTATTGAATGTAATTTTATTTTATTATTGTTGAAAAGGATACATTTAATATTTCTGCTTTTCTGCATTTGGCATGATCAGTTTTTGTATAGGTGCCCTGTACCACTGAGAAAAAAAGTATAATCCTTTCTATTCCCATTCAGTTTCCTCAAGAGGTTTATCATATCTAATTTTTGAAAAAATTCTTTTCACCTGCTTGTTTCTTGTTTAGTTTTTAGTTAGATTTATCTAGTTCAGAGAGGGGGAAGTTGAGGTCCTCCACTAGTATAGTTTTACTGCCTATTTCCTCCTGTAACTCATTTAACTTCTCTTTTAAAAATTTAGATGCTATACCAATTGGTACACATATATTTAGTATTGATATTACTTCTTTGTCTGTGGTACCTGTTAGCAAAATATAGTTTCCATGCTTATTCTTTTTAATTGGATCTATTTTTGCTTTTGCTTTATCTGAAATCATGATTGCTGCCCTTCCTTTTTTTTTCTTCAGCTGAAGTATAATAGATTCTGTTCAGGCCCTTACCTTTGCTCTGTGTATGTCTCTCTGCTTCAAATGTGTTTCCTGTAAACAGCATATTGTAGGCTTCTGGCTTTTAATCCATTCTACTATCCATTTCTGGTTTATGGGTGAGTTCATCCCATTCACATTTACACTGAAGATAACTAACTGTGTATTTCCCTCTGTCCTATTTTCTCCAATTTATCCTTCTTTCTCTCTCTCACCTTTTATCCTACCCCTCCTTACAAATGTTTTATTTCTGACTACCACCTCCCCCAATTTATTCTCCCTTCTATTAGTCCCCCTCAATTCTCTTATCCCCATCCCTTCTTTCTTCTCTGTAGAATAAGATAGATTTATGTATCCAACTGTGTGTATGTTATTCCTTTTTTGAACCAATTCTGATGATAGTAAGGTGCGAGCATTGCCTACCAACCCACCATCTTCCCCTCCATTGTAACAGCGCTTTCATACATCTTTCACATGAGATAATTTACCCCATTTTATCTCTCTCTTCACTCTTATCCTAATGCAATCCTCTTTCTTACCCATTAATGTTTTTTATACCATCCCATCATAGTCAATTCACACTTGCAACCTCTGTCTATGTATACTCCTTCTAATTGCCCTAATAGTGATAACATTCTTAAGAGTTATAAGTATCATCTTCCCAAATAGTTTCCCAAACAGTTTAACCTTATTGAGTCTCTTATATTTTCTCTTTCCTGTTACTTTTTTATGCTTCTCTTGAGCCTTGTATTTGAAGATCAAATCTTTTGTTCAGCTCTGGTCTTTTCATTAGGAATGTTTGAAAGTCCTCTATTTCATTAAATATCCATTTTTTCCTCTGAAGGATTATACTCATTTTCACTGGGTAGGTAATTCTTGGTTGTAATCCTAGCTCCTTTGCCTTCTGGAATATCATATTCCAAGTCTTCTAATACATTAATGAAGAAGCTGCTAAATCACTTTATAATCCTGAATGTGGCTCCACGATATTTGATTTGTTTCTTTCTGAATGCTTACAATATATCCTCCCTGACCTGGGAGTTCTAGAATATTGGCCATAATATTCTTAGGAGTTTTCATTTTGGGATCTCTTTAAGGAGATGATTGGTAGATTCTTTCAATTTATATTTTATCCTCTGGTTTGAGGAAATCAGGCAGTTTTCCTTAGTAATTTCTTGAAAGATAATAGCCATGCTTTTTTTTTGATCATGGCTTTCAGATAGTCCAATAATTCTTAAATTATCTCTCTTGGATCTATTT